GGAGACTGCGAATCTGCAGGAGGGTTGTATTCCTTTCGTTGGTCTCTATATCCACGACCTTAATTACAACTCGCAGAAGCCAGCGCAGGTTACCACTCAGGCTGGTGAGCCGTTGATCAACTTTGAGAGACATCGCACGACCGCGAGGATTGTGAAGAATCTTCTGCGGTTGATTGATGCGAGTACGAAGTATGCGTTTGAGCCTGTGCAGGGTGTTATTGAACGGTGTCTTTGGATTGCGTCGTTGGATGAGGAGGGGATCCAGGCGCGGAGTCGGGATCTTGATTGATCTCCGTTTCTTGTTTATTTTTTTTGACCTCTTCCCTCCCTTTCTCTTTCTTTCGTTTGTCCTCGTTGCTCTATCGTTGTTCGTTGTATGTCTATGTCGCGTCGCATCTCTTGCATTTCTCGCATTCGTTTCGGTTTTTTGTTGGATTATTGTATTGCATCTCAGCGCAGCACTCGTTCTTGTTTTCTGTTTTTATTTTGCTTTTTCTTTTCCTTTGTTCCGGGTCTAATTGACTAATGTGCATTTCCGGTGCTTGTTGACGATATGGGATTGGGATGGTTGGATGGATGGGATGGATTCGGATGGATTCATGCATATGCATCGAGTATGGGATTTCTTTTTGTCGCATATGGTGTGGTTTTCTGTACTCTATCTATGTGGAATTTTCCTGCATTTTCTTGCTAAGTATACTTGGGGGCTATCCGGGGCTATTTGTTGCATTACTTGATTGGGACGGATGGGGAATAAACAGCATAACTACTGTATCTACAACAAAATAATGGATAATGGTGTACATGTGCCACTGCGCAAAAAAAGTGCACAATTGACTTCTATAATCTCACAAGAAGTTGTACCTCTGACAGGAGCGTGTTTGAGGTTCATTTGTTAGTGGAGCTTTTCTCCCATACAAAAATGCATCAACTGCCACTCTTGACCTACGTAGTGTGAGTTAGGCCGCCCTCCACTCTTCTCTCGTCTGCCTTCTCCTGTTCGTTGCCTCCCGGCTCTTACACTTACTCACACTCATTCACTTCTTTTTTTCGTTCTTTTCCCTCCGATTTTTCCCTCCGATTTTTCCCTTCATGGAGGAATATTCTTTCCTCAATATATTGCGATTCCCCCGGAAAGTTGAACACATTTAGTTGCATGTGCCCGCCCTCCTGCATAACTCCCACCACCACCGACGCCGACACCGCTACCGCCTACCCACGTCCGCTGCCCACGATGGACGACGAGACTCGCGCGGCCTCGTCGCTAGACTCCGGTCGCGACAAGAATAATCTTAATACCGATAATGATAATGACGATGATCTTGGCGCCCCGAATAAAAGACATACTCTTACCACCACGCTACCTGATGATTTGCCCAAGTCGTTGGACGACCGTCGCTCGGTACCAGTGTTTCCGCAGGAGACGGAGATATACGATGCCTGGATGGGTATGTATCCCTTCAATCCCATCTTTGTTACTTGGTGGTATGCTAATAAACGTGTGTTAATAGGCCAGTCCCAATTCCTAACTACCCCCGTGGCCGCAAAACCCCTAACTTTTAACCTCGCCCTGGACGACCACTCGCACGACGACGAACATGACATCCAAGCGCAATACGGCCGCGGCATGATCGACGTCGACAAAGATGTCGAAAACACCTCACGCCTCGAAGACAGTGACGCCCGGTTAATGGAGATGCTGGCGGCGCAGGCCGCGCATCGCGAAGTCGACTCTCTAGGCGCGGACGAGGATAGTATCGTGGACGACGAGAAGCTGAAGGAGTCGGAGAAGAAGGATATCCTGCAGCGGGGGTTGAATATGGCAGCGAGTAATGGGGATGTGGAGCGGGTGAGGAAGTTGTTGAATGGGAAGGCTAGGGGGTTCGTGGATGTGAATATGCCGGATGAGGAGGGGACGGTGCCGTTGATTTATGCTAGTTGTTTTGTATGCCCCCTCTTTATTGAATGGCTTTTGGTTTATTTGGCTAACTGTAACAGGGACACCAAGATGTTGTTTCGGAGCTTTTGGGCGCCGGCGCGCATGTCGACCAGCAGGATCGCAACCAGTGGAGCGCGTTGATGTGGGCTATGACGAACCGACACAAGACCATCGCCAAGATTCTTTTGGATCATGGAGCGTCGCCGGATATCAAGTCGTCGTCTGGTGGGACGGCTTTCGATTTTGCGCAGCCCGGGAGCGAGATCTCCGAGTATCTGAATGAGAATGGATACCATTTTGGAGGCGCAGTTGATGATGATTTCTACGATTCTGGATTTGGGCATAGCCGGTTCGAAGAGGAGATTGCGGAAATTGGGATGAAACGGCGCATGATGATGGAAGAGAGTGCTATTAACTTGGAGGTTGATTTGTCCAGTCTTGGGCTTGACGAGAAAATCGAGGTGAGTTGTTTTATTCTATATATGGTTCTGCTAAGCTAACCTATATGTTTTTTATAGTCTGCCGACGACGAGGATATCGAGGACGACCAACAAGAGTTTGCTTGGGACAAGTGTTTGCACGATCAAATGTTTGTGTTCCAGGATAACGAGTTGGAATGGATATTGGATATCATCATCACCAACATGACGCCGCAACGATCGCCCTCTCAGAAGCCGGTCCCGGCCAACCTACTCTTCCTCAGTGCGCGATATGCCCATTACCACGCTAGCGAAGAACTGCTAGAGCAACTGCTGGTGTCGGCTACCGAGAAGATCAACGACGTGGTGGAGCGCCATCAGTGGGATATGACGATACTGGCATTTTGGATGTCGAACGCGACGTTGCTGCTTCACTACCTGAAGAAGGATACTGGGTTGATGGAAGCTACCGTGGATTTCCAGCAGCATCTGGCGGAATTGATCAATGAGATCTTCATCCTGATCATCCGGGACGCTGAGCGTCGGATGAACAAGGTGCTGGAGCCTGCTATGTTGGATCATGAGACGATCCCCGGCCTCGAAGACGTACATTTCCAGAACGAGTGGAAGCTCTTCCGAGGCAAGTCCAAGGCGAAGCCGCCAGAACCGGCGGAGAAGCGTTTCCGACCCCCGTCACCGCGGCGGCGCGCCCAGATCTCCCCGCGCAATATCACATCGCTCTTATCCTCGACGCTGTTTGTGCTTGATTTGTATGATGTGCACTCGGTTATCACGACGCAAATTCTGTCGCAGCTGCTTTACTGGGTCAGCGCGGAGATCTTCAACCGTATCATGACCACGAAGCGATACCTGGCGCGGACGAAGGCAATGCAGATCCGGATGAACATCTCGGCACTGGAGGACTGGGCGCGGGCTAACAACCGCCAACCGGAACATTATGAGAACGGGTCGACGACGTGTACTGGCGAAAGCACCATGGACGCAGCGCGGCGACATCTGGCTCCCGTGATCCAGCTTCTGCAGTGGCTGCAATGTTTCTCGTCGCTGGGCGACGATTTCGAATCGCTCGTGACGACTTTGCTGCAACTGCAACAGTTGACACCAGCGCAGCTTCTTCACACGGTCAAATCGTATCGACCGGAAGTTGGCGAAAAGGGCCTTACCAAGCCGGCAATGCGATTCCTCATCGATCTCCAACGCGATTATGACCTGCTATTTCGGGAGCAGGAAAAGATCCAGGAGAACAAAGCCAAAGCTGCCGAAGGCGCTGCTGCACAGTCGGCTCCCACAACAACGGAAGGACAATCACGTCCTCAAACACCTCCACCAAAAGACACGCCGCAGGGGCACGGCTCACCCGCAGCAAGAAGCATGGCCTCACCGGGTTCGATACGATCAGGGACGGCGGGACGATTCGACGACCGCAGCACTACTGAGCTGTTTTTGGATCCGTCTATGACACTTCCCTTCTCCTTGCCTACTAGCACGGATATGTTGATTAGCTATGGTGCTGGATGGGGCGGGACGAATCGTGAGCGCGCGAGGAAGTACATTCCTACTGTCCCGCCGGAAGTGCTGAGTCGGTTTGATCGGGAAGCTTGATTTCTTCTTGGTGAACAAATTAACTGCAAGTGATATCTGAGCAAGTGATACCCGGTGAGGTTTTTATGTATGTATGTGCATGTAAAAGGGTTGCTTTGGGAGTATTTTGTCGTATGTACCTTGGGACGACAAAAGTCATATCTTGCTTACTTTGCTTCTTTTTGGACGTATTTATCTACTTTTCAAGGTAGGAAAATCTCGAATGAATCATGATAGACCTCGATCCGTCCGTATTGAGCACATGTGACTCGCCCTTTTTTCTAGGGGTCTGGCCCGTTCCCAATCCGGACGATTTCCAGGACGCGCAGCCGTGGGGCCGAGTTATGCATCTAGCACAAGCATCCACGGAGAACTGCCGCATTGTCTATTTCACTCCGTGCTTTCGTACTTTCACTGAATAATCGGTCCGAGCCGAAGAAATTAGGATTTGCTTACAGTGCATAAACTTTGGGCCGGAGGAATTCTTATCTTATTAGCGAGGCTAATCCACTCTCGTCGTCAGCTCCAGGCGTCGGTCCACGCAATGGACGTTTTGGGGCTGGTCCACCGATGTTTCTGGCTGTCGGGATAACCTCGGCATCTCCATTTTTGGTGTTTTTCTCCCTTTTTGGGGGGAGCTTAGTGAGGATCCAGAGTGCGAGGGTTATCTTAATATGCAGTGCGGCCTTGATTCTACCACATTAAATTGAATGCTGTGTGGGAAATCGTTCCTGGCTTCCCGTCTGCGCTTAGCGGTTAGTGGGTAGTGGGGACAGTCCCGATGTGGTAAGCGGCGCTTAACCCCTTCCTGTTTGGGACCTTGCCCGTTTGGGAAATCCCCTCTTCGTCTCGTCTTCTAGGCTTCGATTTTCTTATTTTTGTCCTTTTCTGCTTCCTTCAATTTTGCATCCAGCGTTGTTTTCTTCCCTTTTTCTTCTTTTAACGATATGATGATAGTAATGACGACTGGCCGCATATGATATTGACGACAATTTATTGATGTTCTTGCTTGTTGATCATGGACAGCACTTGATAGCACATCATTGGAGCTTACACCTGTCTCTATCATGCTGCTCACCTTGAAACCTCCAACTCCGGCTCATATGGCGCAGAATGGGATCAAAGGTCCCTCCCACGAATACTCCGTTATCCGCCAATCCATCCCCTCGTTGCGCGACTCGTCTGTCCCGTTTCGTCAGCCCTCAGTTCCTTCTTCCCCGAATACAACCACAACTACGAACACGGCCCCTTCCTCCACAAACATGGACTCATCCTCGCGCAGAAGTCTACCTCCGCCGCCATCTAGAACCCTACCGCCCCCGCAACTGACAGCTGCACACACGCCTCCACAACTCCCTCCCCCCCCGCCATCGTCGCAATGGCACTCCGCAGACAAAGATCCGTCGATGCATTTATGGTTGCGGGCAAGAGCAGAGGAAGATCGGAGGAAACAGGAGGAGGAGAAAGCGAGGCAGGAGACGCTGAGGTTGGAACAGCGCGTGGTTGAGCATAGTATGCTGCGTGATGCGTTGCAGGCTGGAGTACCGCCCCATATGGTTCCGTTGATTTTTGCCGGGATTAGTGGGGGTGGGCTTCCGCAGGCTGCGATTGATTTGGCGCAGCAGTATGTGTCGCATCCGGTGGCACAGGGACAGGGTCAGGGGCCGGGGCCGGGGCCGGTGGTGGCTTCGATGCCTCCTCCGCCCGCTCCTCCTGCACCTCCGCCTCCGCAGCATCACCAGCATCAACCTCAGCACCAGCAGCATCACCCGCATCACCATTACCACCAATCTTCAGGGCCGGATATGCCACCATCTACGTTTCCTCCTCCGCCCCCGCCGTTTTCGCACCGACACTCGCATTCAGGGTCGATAGACTTGCGTCGGCATTCTCATTCCGTCCCGCCAAACACACTATATAATCCACAGCCGCCAGTTCCGTCTCCTGGAGAGATTTTGCCATCACAACCGCCTACCATATCCCGGGGCTCATCGCCTGTTAGGCAGCCTCTCGGGCAATCTCCGTTCCCTCCCAGTGGTCCTCCTTCGTCTTCATCTTTGCCTCAGCCTCCAATCCCCCCCGGCAATAGTACACAACAGTATGCACAAGCACCACCCGCCTCAACACCTCAATCCATCGCGAACAAGGAATACCAGTATCGACCACGTCAATCAACCTCTATCTATTTCCATCATTGGGTCCCGCCAGGGCAACAGCCGCCGTCTGGAAAGTCGCAAGAGTACACGCCGGGCGGGAAAGCACCCCAGGAGTCCTCTGGAGGAAAACCGTCAGATAGGGAAGAGCCCATCCCAGCATCATCACGTGCCCACTCACGGAGCGTCTCAGAGGACCACAGCTCTCCAAGTCGGAAACGGAAGGCCCAAGGCTTGCATCAGCCGGCACCGATACCGTCGTCTCGCTCGCGGCAGAGTTCGATCGTTCGTGACAGCGTGCAATGAGACTAGCGGTATGTTTCATTGTCTGCAGATATGCATGATGAGTATGATGACCGCATGGTTGTGGCACTTCTGATGCGAAGAGCGCTGAACACCCAGCAAGGGCAATGTCTATCACGTGATGATATATACACCCAATGAGCTATTGAGGACTAGCTACTGCTTTATGGACTTGCATCTAGCAGTTAAATATTGATAGCGGCGGATACGTACCTCATATGATACTTATGAGGCTCATCTAGTCGGCAGTGGTGACCTATTTGTCTCACGGTCAAATTGGTCCCAGACTTTCCCTGCTGCTGTGCATCTGTGGTCTATCTGGACACTCCAGAGTTGGATACATGATCTGGAGAAAGGGATTTGGCCCGCGGCTTGTGTAGACTAATTGTCGATTCGCATACTTAAATGAAAATACAGTGCCAGTACAGTGTCCATATTCAAGCCTTTGATTCTTACTTCGTAACTTGACGTATATTTAACACCATAGTTAATATTGTCGGAAGCCGTCCAAACACTATGACAGACAGTTGCAAATAGTACCGCTCAACACCAAGAAACATGTCAAAATCTGGCTCAGTAGATGATGTAGATTATTATTATTTTTAATGAGACTGCTCAACACTCAGCTGTATACACTCTAATGCCGTTTTTCTTGCACCTGGTTCCTTCCTGGAGATTGTCCGCTCCTTCCTCATTTGGCTCTTTCCCAGAGGTTGCCACACCCTTGTTCCTTCCTAATTTGGCACTTTTCAGTTCCGCGGGCTCCCCTCTCTTTCCTTTTATTACTTCACCTCTCCCGCACCCATTCACTGCTTCTCCTCAACGTTCCACCCGTCCTTTAACCCAATCTCCCACAGAGATTGATATTTAGGGAAGGTGCGATCCCTTGCAACCATGATTTGGGGAACACAGGAATTTAGTATGGGCGGATGTCCAGAACCTCCCCTGTATCAATCCATGGCACACAGTTGCGAAGTTTTCTTCAATGGTCGAATTTAATGACCCATTCCCCCGTTTATCCAGTTCTTGGCCTCCAGCCAGACCTGGACTTCCTGGCTTTTGCCCGTATATCTGCCCGGAATGTCCACCATGGCATGCCCGGACTGCAACGAAGTTGCACCCAAAGAGATCCCGAATTACATCATTGAGAGGATCTTTCCCGTGGTATTTGGGCCGTCCATTTGGGAATGGCTGAAGGCTAAGTACTCGTGGCTGTCGCCAGACACGCTTTCTCGACAAGTTTAACCAGGCAATCACAGCCAGCAATTGGCAGATTACAGTTATTGAAGAACAAGCAGAGGCCTGGAATCAACGGACCGAGGCACACAAAAACCTGGCTTAGGCCTTTGGCCGCATAGCTGCGGCGGCCGCCACCCAGGGACAGCCGGAGATGGCCTGTACCGAGAGAGATTGGTTGGCCGAAGATCTCGATGCCACCACGGCTATGAATAAGAATCTTGAGAAGAAGTTGGAGGCGGCCTGTACCGAAAAGGGCCGGTTGGCAAGAGCATTGAGGGCCTACAAAAGACACAAGACAAAAAGTGCCAGAAGATCAAGTCAGCACTGCTGAAAGTCACCAACGGCTACGGGTGGTTGGTATCGAATTTAAATACGAGCCCTCGACGTGAAATAGTCACCTCTCCTTTCGACGATGTCGAGGTCTCCGGGCTCCATCGCAGACATCAGCCGTCCTCTCATTCCGACGATGTCAAACTCTCCGGGCTCCATCACAGACATCAGTCGTCCTTCTTTCCTTTCGACGATGTCGAACTCCCCGGGATCCATGGCACAAACCACCAAACTACACTACGTTACGGTTGGCCTTGCACTTTTGGTGCTTTCCTGGAAGTTGTCCGCTCCTTCCTAATTTGGCTCATTCCAATTGCCATCCGATAGTTTTCTTCGCATACCTTCTTTCTTTGGAATATGCGCATCCCAGACAGACCAGTGGCCCTGAGTATATGTTCTGCGCCAGTTTATACTAACGTCGAGCACGAGGGTGAGTACATTATACCTATATCTATGCTAAATCGAGTCTCTGACTCTTCTCCTGTAGCTCGTCGCTCTTCCCTGGGCTCCACACAGTTCTATCTCAATTACCTTTTAGTCTAGCGCTCGCGATGCTGTCCCCTTTGTTTAAAACGTTATTTTCTATGCCGCTTGGAAGGCTGTTTTTCGCTACACAAAATGGAGAGTTGTCTCTTCCTAGTACACTATTTGTAACGTTGTTCCTTTCTACACCATTTGGAACATCATTCATTCCATAAATTAGCCTCAACTGACAGACACTACCGCCAATTTGCCCATCATGCTCCACATACCCCGATTGCAACGCTGCTGCGCCAAAAGGCACCCCAGGCTATGTCTTCATAATCCTCGGGTTCTCTCTCGCATTTCTTGAACAGTCCCATCATAAAACATGGGCCCAAGATAAATGGTCGTGGTTCTGACCACCCACACTGTAGATAGTTTCTCTTGCAGCACCTGCTCACATCTTCATCTTAGTTTTTCAGCTCTTCGTGCTCGGTTTCATCCATGGTTGTGAAAAGAAAAGAAAAAGTATACACTGCCATTCTTGTACCGTTAAGCCATACCCTTCCTGCAAGGATATCACTGTCGTCCACAACTATGAGTTGAGCTCTCCGGGCTCCATCGATGCTCCAGATCAAGGGTCATACAGCTATAGACTTGGGAATGATGCCCTTTCAGAATCACTGTTGTTATTTTTGTAATATTGAATTCGCACCAAGTTGGCATCAAAGGCACCGCTTTATTGGCCGATTGGTCTAATGTACACTATCACAAATTTCATGATCATGCATATATACCTTAAGCACCTTTTATTCACTGTATCTACATCTATTAGAAGATATTTAGTCCCAGGATTTCTCGGGGCCCAATTTGCATAACCATCTCCATAATCCTCCGTGAGGACAGACATATGCGGATTCCCGAGACCTTTCGTCCAGAGTAAGGACAACAGAGGGCACTTCAAATCAAGTAGTGACAATCAACTCGTCGGTGTCAGTAAGAGAGAATGTGGCACTGACCATAATCGCTGAATAGGCTTTGCAGTTATGTAAGAGGTGTTTCTTGCCTTTCTCATCGTGTGATCCCTCCAAAAGACCCTGCGGGACAAGATCTACATCTCGCGACGCAAGAAAGGTGAGACTGGGATTAGATCCTGAATCATATTGTGGTAATTTCATATCCTGGTGCCTGAATGGCAAATTTCTTCGACGACACCAGATTTGGCGATATGAGATGGCGATCAAGATTCAAAGAACAGAGACAAAGGAGAGGGTCTGAACCCGATATAATACACTATCGCTACGTGCTGTTGAGAGGACAAAGGGGCCTGATCTAGTAAGTATAGAGTATTGACGATAGCTTCTACAGAGTACTATGATCAAACTCATATCTATAAGGCTGGAATAAATTGCCTCTCAATCCGGCAGTAGCACTGACCATTTAGGAAACTGCACGAAAAAGGAAGAGAGTTGACGTCCCCATCCATCACATGTGATTGGCGAGTCAGCTCAAAGAAACGAACTCCGCGTGGGCCCAGTGGATATCTCGAATTCCTCCGCTGGCAATCAAGAATCGCCGAGCACCAATAACATATGCCAAGATCCAGCACGGGAAGACTTAGCGGTCGATCATTTCCGTAAAAACCCTAAGCGAGTCCGCTTGTTTGGCGGCTAGGATTCACTGCGGCACTTAAGATATGGGTCAATAAAGGGTCTAGGAATTGGGTAGATAAGGTTGGGTTCTTGGTTTATTCCCGTATCCCACTTTTGGGACTGTTGGATGCTCTGGCCTCGATATGGGACCAAATAGTCCATGGTCTCAACAGCGAGTATGGTTGGCATCACTCATGGTCATCTTTGCTGCGTTTGTATATTTGATGTGGTTTGGGATGAATTCGGACCGCGATAATGTACACCCCTTACTCACCCAGCTGATTCCCGCGGGACACTGTACCTGCCAAACATCCACCTCGTTCCAATGCTCAGACTGCCTCTCATGCCTCACCTTAGACGCTTCAGAGAACACATCAACACAGACATACGACTATCACCGCGACGCCCACAATATCAGTCTAGAAAAAGACCAATGCAATGCCTTCTTCCCAGGCCTCTACAAGGACATCCACCGGGGCGTTGAGTATTGGACAAAACGAGCAAGCATAACTACAAAAGACCTGAAAGACACACCCCTCCAAAAAGGCATGGCTCGAGCCAGTATCTACAACGGAGAGCTCTATGTCATAGCCACTTGTGCAAAAGGCGAAGACCACAGGCGCAAAATCGTCGCGACTCTATCGGCCATGTACCGCATTCTATCCGCTACGCCAAATCGCGCTGCGATTCCCAATATCGAGTTCATTTTCTCTGTTGAGGACCGGGTGGACGACGTGAATGCCAATGGACATGCAGTATGGGTGTACTCCAGAAAAGCAACCGAGGAATCTGTATGGCTAATACTGGACTTCGGATTCTGGTCTTGGGGTCACTTAAGCAATGATATCGGGCCTTACTATACACAAGCTATGGATAAGGTGCTCGCTACTGAATCGGGGGTGTCTTTCCATGCAAAAGAAAAGAAATTGGTTTGGCGGGGTAAACCGAGCTTTGCTCCTAAACTACGCCGTGCATTGCTGGATATTGCACGGAGCAAGAAATGGGGCGATGTGAAGGAGTTGGATTGGAGCCGGAAGGCGAATTTTCTTTCTATGGAGGGCCATTGTCGGTATATGTTTATTGCGCATGTCGAGGGTACGCTCCTTCCCCATTCCTCCTGTTCCTTTGGATAGTAAGTGCTGATTGATATAAAGGCCGCGCATACTCAGCATCCCTCAAATATCGCCAAGCCTGCCGTTCCGTCATAATTGCCCATAAGCTCCAATACATCCAGCACCACCACTACCTCCTCACATCCTCAGGACCACACCAGAATTACGTAGAAGTGGAACGCGACTTCTCTGACCTCCCAGAAGCAATGGACTCGCTTCTACAAACCCCTAGAAAAGCAGAACGCATTGCCAACAACAACATCAAGACATTCCGTGAACGATACCTAACTCCAGCTGCGGAGGCGTGTTATTGGCAGGAATTGTGGGATGGTTGGGCGGAGGTTTCGAGGGGAGATATTGAAAGGGATGTGCCGGGGTATAAACGGGGGCTGAGGTTTGAGAGTTTCTTGCTGCTGGGCAGTGGGGATATGTTGCGTTTTTCGTTTTCGGAGTATGAATAATGTAATAAGACGATGTAAATACTCATGCAGATACACATGCACGGCAGTGTATAAAATTCTACTTCCTGTGTATTGATTTTTTGTGACGTTCTTGGTTGATAATGGGGCGAGGGTTGATGTGTGAGGCGAGGAGGCGAGGAGCGAATGGGGTTAGGATGAGTGCACCAATAGATGATTTCTACAGGGCAGTGGTTTATTGATATCTGTATATTGTCCTACAACTATGTGATGAAGTCGAATTTTGAGAACGACCAATGTATATGTTTGAATATTTTATCGAATGCCACATAGGCAACGCTTGTGATAGTAACGTAGGGAGTATGTCATGTGTTTAGGGTAGACGACAGGGGAAACAGGCAAGAAAAAGGAGAACAAGATTAAATGTAAGCAGTAAGGAGGGCAACAGTATATCATGGTATACCAACCAGTAGACTAGACATGATCAAATGGAACAGAAATGAGGGCAGGAATTTAGAAAAACGGAATATGAGAGAGCGGATGACAATCTAAGCAAAGGAATTGGCTGTTTTAATGACCGGATTAGGAGAGCAATGGCAAAGGAGAGGATAGACAGAGTAGAGAGTGGATGTTAAGAATAAGCAGTTTTGGTACGCAGGTAAAGAAACAAGTAGATGAGTATGGATGACGAGGATATATTAATCACTCCTCCTCTTTCCAAGGAGAGGAAATTATATAAGGGATTTAATCCGTTCAAAGTCCGGTCCGGAAGCAGAAGTATCCAGGCTGATACCAGAATAAGCCATTTCCCATGGAAAGGCAAAAAAAAAAAAGAGCAAAATGATTGCCCAAAAACCGTTTCAAATTCCTTTTTCAGGCAATTCGAAACAAATTAGAAGAAAATAAGTCAGAGGCCAAAGGCCAGTATTAAAATCGTATTTCCTATAGGGAGGAAGCTGCCCTTCCGGACCAGAACCGATACCAAGGAATCATGATATGAAAAGCATAAATAAGAGGTATATATAAGTCGGGGGTATTCATGAGAATTAGGATTAAGACCTCCTTTCCTTTTCGGTTCGAAATCGAAATCGTCAAGATATCATTCGGTTGCATGCGTATCCTCTGTGCAGAGGAAAAAAGAAGAGTGATTATTAGGCGTAAAGGTTGTCTCGCCGCACCAGCAACGAATAACAACAGAGGCAAAAGAAAAAAACTGCTGATTGATAAATCATGAAAACTTTTTCCGATGATGGACTTTCCATTCCGCTTTGGCAACTCGCATAAACAGCTCGATATCCTTGATCGGAACCCAACTGGTGAGAACCTTCATGGAATTCTCAAAGTCCGATTCGAGGATAATATCGCGCATGCCGTCAATGAGGGCCGCGGAAGTAGCATGAAGGACATCTAGTCCTTTGCCAAAGGTGCTCGTTTGAGGTTGTTTGGACCCTTTAAGCGGGAGGACCGAATGCGACGGTGTCGGGTCTGCATCGCCAAGGAGCATGAAAACGTCCCAGACCCGGAGTTGGGCCGGGAAGGGGATCGAGTAGTTAAATAATGTTAGATACCAGCGGGTGCCATAAGCCGTTGGCGGGATACCAACTTCGTTTAACTTATTGGCAACCTCACCACCCCCCAACCACTCTCGTTCAAAATCACCAAGGGCCTCCATTAGACCAGAAAAGCCATGTTCGTATAGACGTTCCAGGCCTCGTAGCTGCCAAAGACGGACAAGCATGATAAAAGTGTGCTCTTCATCATAATAAGCAAGAAGTGTTGCAGCCAAGGCTGCCATGCCTTGAACGTAACCGGTATCCGGAAAATATAACGACATGGCATGCAGAACACGGAACAACAACCGTTGTCCACCACGATAGCGTCTGCGGAACATGATATGGCTGGTGATGGTGCGTGGCACATCGATATCGATCTGCACATCGTCCGGCGACGAGACGTACTGGAACTCATGATATGCTTCCATCAACTCCGTTTCACTGGGACTGTCGTTGCGCTTTCTGGCACTTGCCTCGAGGAACGAGTACCATGCTGTTGAGCGCCATCGATCCGGAATACCCTTCCAGGTACGTTCGATGAGTTTCGAACTCTGGGTGTCAAACTCGAACTTCATGCCACCGCCGTCCTTGTTTTTTTTGGACGGTCGAGCCATCTTGGCCCACTTATCCTCCCGCTCCCACTCTTTCTTCCTCATGGTGCGTGCGGCGGCGGAATCGATTCCGTTCGCAGAGCCGACTGCCTCCACAGGCAGCGTGAGCATGTCGGCCGCCTCATCTGTGAACCGGCGATCGCGGTTGTGCGGAAGATGGTTCGCAGCGTGGCGAAATCGCGACGTCGACCGTCGCATTGGCGAACTGTATGTACTCTGGGACGAGGATGGACGGATCGAAGGTTCAGAGAACTTGCGTGTAGGTGAACGTCCGGTGAAGGAGCGGTTGCTTGCCAGGGCCGACGGAGGTCGAATAGAGTGTTTTCGCCGGGGTGTCTCAGACGAAAGAAGCAGACTCGTAGCAACTCGTTGGATCGGGTTGGGCTGTTCCGTAGTCTCGCCGGAGCTCGTTTGGGGATGACGGATGAAACCGTACCTATCGACATCGCCCGCTCCGATGTTCTGCCAGTACTCGATACCACCTGCCAGCTCATTGGTTTCCTTCTTGAGCATGGACTTTCGATCGGGCTTCATAGTCGACATTCGTCTGGACCCAGCACCACTCGGAGCGTCAGAAGCAGACGTTTCCGCTGCTTCTTCCCACAGGACACCATTCTCCATGGCCATCGAGTCGGCCACCTCCGAATCACTCACATTTTCCTCACCCTTTTCGTACATCAGTCTGACACGCCGTGACAGCATATCCTCGTCCGCAGAAATCGCTCGGGATGGGATGCTTATTTGGCGCCTAACACGAAGCGAAGCCGATGGCTTCAGCAATCTTGGCCGGGCGCCATGGAATTGGGGCTGCTGTACGTCACTTTGGTCGTCCGCAGAGGAGGCAGGCGAAATTGGGGTGGCTTCCGGTTGTTTATCTTGTTGCTCTTGCAATTCAGGCTGTTCAGGTTCTTTTGGCTGTTCTGCTGGTTTCTGCTGTTCTTGTGAATCGTCTTGTGGCGGTCCCGATACCTGTTCGGGCTTTTTTTGGTCTAATTGTCCCTCATCCTGTGGCTGTTCTTGCTGTTGTGGTGGCGGCTGCTGTTGCGGTTGCGGTTGCGGTTTGGGTTGGGGTTGGGGTTGGGGTTGCGACTGCGCTTCTCCTGATTTTTGTTGCGATGGATCCTTAATAAGGCTTCCACGCTTGGAAAACTGCATCGCCCGCAGCCCAAGGCCGTCCAGCGACGCGGTGGGAATATCGAGCGAGATACCGCTGAATTGAGGATCCATCTGAGGCACAGGGGGCGGAGGCGAAGGAGGACAAACAGAATACGTTGGTCTATCGAGTTCTGCGGACCTTCTAGTCCTTAAACCGCCCCATTTGCGCTCCGACCAGCGCGAGCCGGGGCGAGAACCGGGGCGAGAGCCAGGACGCGAACTGGGGCGGAGACTGGCAGCATCGTTAACAATAATGCTAGGGATACTGCGTAGGCTGAGGCCCGAATTGTCTCCCTCCGACCGGTTCGTCCTGTTATCCTTTGCTGCCAGCCCTGTCTCCGGGAACTTATTTCCATGCGACGAAGTCGGGGAAGTCGGGGAGGCCCGTGGCTGGTCGCCCGCGCCGCCAGGGCCAGTAGCACCGCCTGCAGATGACGAACCGGTGGTGCTGATGGATCGGGATCTGGAATCGGAGTCAACGGAGGAAGCGCCGGGGGTCGATAGGGAGTCGGATCTGATCGTGGTATCTTCGTAGGGGATGGCGTGGAGAGTCGAGCCCGTGCTAGTAGTAGCCGTCGTAGTAGTAGATTGCATCACGTCCGCAGGGAATGAAGTAGGTCTCTCATCCATAATCTTTTGGCATGACTTGTAAATATTTCTTTTTGCCTTCTTCTCGCGCTTTTTCCTTCACTGAATTAGTGGCTGGGAGAGAGAAGGCGACTGGGAGATCGAAGGGGAGGCGACGTTATAGGGAGGCGGGGATAGAACAGAGTCAGGAATTCGAGAGCAGGAGTCGGCGCAAGGGAATCACGCGAGAGGGACGGAAGAAAGGACAATCAATATGTATAATATAGAATAATATAATAGGAATCGATCGATTAGAGCGAGCCGTGGTAGAATGAGAGGTGTTGGTAAGGTCGAGAAATGGGCATCACGGAGGTTGGGGTAGTTGTATGGACTAGTGTATGTAACTAGTATGAAGATGACTATTATGCCAGATGATCAAACAGACAAGAAACACATGTGAACAGATAACAGATGGGATGGAAAGAAAGCACGAGGACTTCACATGTACCTCTGGTCTTTTTTTTTTTTTTTTTTTTTTTTTTTTTTTTCTCGCCTTTATGAAATCAATTGTATTGCCTCTTCTGTTTCCCACACGCAGGGATCGCAAAGGGGCGTTGTGTCCACACGGGTCAGTGGACCTTATATAAATAGAACTATGTATGACTTATATGAAATATCTACTGCTGTTACTGCTGGAGAATACTGTATACAAAGCAGATAAATAGACCAACGGACAATGGAAATAAAATGAGAAAACAATTGTGACTGTCCTCTTTTTCAGCAGGAGTTGAGGCTCCCCTTTAACATCTACTGCAAGTCAGCACAACGGCTTGAAACGAGCAGGCAATAACAATGGCAATAATAACAACAGGGCTGCCCACAATGCATTTTATTAGCACGTTTTATTATCATGAAACCCACCAGAACCAGAATTTCCCCGGGTCCAGACCTGCGGGAGAACAAAAACCTGCTACTGAACCATAAAATGGAGTCTTTCCGTTGAGCGTTGATGACCCGTCACGGAGATTTACCCCTGGTATACTGCCAGGAACGAAATAACTTGATTTTCAATGAAGACTAGCGTCTATTCAGTTGGTTGGCCGTTGAAGAGATTTTTTCTTTTTCGGACTTCTTTGTCTGGTCCGTATCCACTGTAAGTCTCCAATTTATACACACATACACACACATTCCCGTTTATAACTCCGTAGGTCGTATGCCAGCACGCCTGCAATGCAAGAAAGGGCACAGTTTAACCAACCAGCTGTACCAAGGAAAAATATAGAAAAAAAAAAAAAAAAAAAAAAAAAAAAAAAAAAAAAAAGAAAGAAAGAAAAAAAAAAAAAAAAAAAAAAAAAAAAAGATATAATAGAAATGAGAGGGGAAGTCTAGGCCACGGCGGTCGTGGTTCGTACGCCGTCATAGGCCGATTGGGTCGGTTCGATGGGCTCCTTGGGCAACAGCTCAATCTGGCGCACCAAGAAGCTCTTCTCATCGGTAAATTGGTCGTCATCGGTACGATCCTCAAGGAATTTGGGGAGGAATTTCAACAGGCGATCCCGGTTGTTGATCAGAATCCGCTGCACGGCCACTGATTTGTTCGGGTTTGCGACGAAGACCTACACCAAGTCACATTCTTTGGTTAGCGCATACCAACCATCGCAACGCCGCGAAAGAATCTTAGATACATACCTTGAACACGTGGAATCCTTCGTATTGAACCATCTTTCGGTCGTCGCGCAGCAGTTTCATGCACAGTTTGAGGTTCTCTCCGCTCTCGACATACGCCATCATCACATTGTAGTTGGCGCGGTCTAGTAAAAGCTCCCCAAGGAGCTTGATACTCTGTCGCTTGGTCACATATGACTCGGACTGTATAAGGATATTGTTGAATCTCGAAAAGAATAGGTCGAAGTTGGCCGCCAGGTATCCGGTCACCACCGACTTGTGTCGAGTCAAAGTCTCCTAAAGAGTTTCCGTTAGTCAAGAATCCGGGACCAGAAATTGGTTGGAATGGCATCCTTACCCTGAATGTCGTGAACGCGTCTGCGCTGACTTCGAAGCTCCCCCGGTCGATCCATCCGAAGAATTGCCAGAACACACCATCTCCATTTTGAGGGTTACCCGGCCGCACGTTTGTGAGTCGGATCGCGGGCTCATCATCTGTCGACTGGTCGTACAGGATAATCGCAGCAATGACGTCGAACTTGAGCGCCTCACGTAAGATGGTACCACATGGCATTGCACTCTGGCTGTAGTTGTATCCGCGGCAAAGCTCCACTATAATCTCTGGTCGGTGGTGAACGATATATGAAATAACAGGAGGGTCGCCGTGTGCGGCATGCGCCGGCCTGAAGCGGAGGACGTGGGAGAATATGGTTTGAGTATCTTTTCGAGCTTCGAAGGGAAGGATGTGGATGTTATGAGCTAGCTCGTGGAGTAAATCTTCGTGAACCATAGCTCCGACTAATCCTTGCACCTGCTCGGGGGATGTATCGATCTCTATAAATGCAAGATTGCTTCAGTGCGTGGACGGATTATATCGCGGGATGCCAGGGAGAGCAACGGACCTTGAGTGCCTTGAATCATCAGCTTCATCTGGGACAACTGCCTCGCCAACTCTTCTTCAATCTACAAAAGTTAGCAATTTCTTCCAGAAAGCCAGCTTTGAGCATTCCAGGGTTCGCACAAGGACAGACCTTCGGAGTGTTGGGGGTTTCGCGCAGCTTCTCCAGCAGGTCCTTGATGGACCGCACTACTTCCAGCGGCTGACGTCGGCCACGGTTGAATAAGAAAGCCATGTCTGCTAGATCTGGATAGAATTATATTGCAAGAAAAGACAGCCGAAATGGAACAAGGATAGAAGAATAAAGACGAAGGGGGGGGGGCCCGGTCAGTAGGGATCTAGGGCAATTGAGATAGCAGCAATTGATCCCATGCAATTCTCGGTGCTTTGAAGCGTCCAACTGTAGAGCAGGGAACAATTCGATTCCCTCCTTTCGCTCTGATTGAAAACAACCACGGACTGGATGCCGGTGATAAGTATGAACCTGGACGATAATGATATGCTGTTATCGCTTCAAGTTCCGGGTCAGTGTCATGTGAATAAACAAACAGCGGGGCAACAGGATCTTTATGCCTGAGGCATATTAAGGCACCCTTAAGGCAATAAACTATTTTTTCTTATCACTGCCCCTCCACACCCACTTTTATCCCCGATTGATAGACGAAGAATTTGTCTTTCTCCTTCCCTGCATACCCCATTCGTCTCAATTGTTTCAATTATTGTTTCATTACTCTGATAGCGCGAAACACAGAAAAGAAAGATCAAGAAGAGAAACGAGATTGCCTGCGCAATGTCCACCTTTCCGACCTCCGAGCGCCCTCCGAAGGACGAAGACACTCGTTCGACAACCTCAGCAGAGGACTCAGACGTCACCGACGAAGAAGGCTGGGAGGACCTTGAGCCCGATCAGGAAGAATCGCAGCCCATTGTAGGCTTGTTCTCCGACAAGATCTACCCTGATGTGAATGCGATGCTGCAGGAGAGCAAGGACAAGCACGATTTCGATCTGCGGCAGATCCAGAAGGAGCTTGGTATGTACTCGACTCGCAATTGATATTTTTGTCCCTTGGGCAGTTTGGTCATTCATTGTCTTCCGTGCCCTGCTTTGCGCTGGGCAATTGACATTTGGAATACTCTGTACCTTGCATTAGTTCGACCCATAGCGGAAGATATGACCCAGCTAACTTTTTGCGCCTGCCCTGCTAGACTTGGACTTCATTGGTCTGATCAAACTCGTCAACTACATTCGATCTCAAGTCAATGCCGGAAACACGACCCCAGACGTATCTTCCAAGGACAAGTTCGACGATGATGCCTACATGAAGCCCGTGTTGGAAGACGATGCTCTCTTATACAGCTTGGGTGATATTGCGGAGGAGGATGAGCCTGAGGCGTCCGGCGACAACGATGCTGAACGCCGTGTGGTCGAGTTGCAGGAAGATCTTGAGCGTCTCCAGACTCAATTCACCGAATACCGATTGGCCGTCCAACAGTCGATGGAGGAACAATTGACTCAGGAGGATGATAAATTGTCATCCGCCGGCCCATCGGCGAGGACCAAGAACAAGATCGAGGAGGTGGACTCGGATTACTTCGTGTCCTACCAGTATAATGGTAATTCATTACCTTACGTTACCGGAGGGTGTATTTGGCTGGGATCTCTGGCTAACAAACCCTATAGGCATCCACGAGTCCATGCTCAAAGACGCTATCCGTACTGATTCCTACCGTGATTTCATCTACGACAATAAGCGCCTTTTCCAGGACAAGGTTGTGCTGGATGTCGGATGTGGCACAGGAATTCTCTCCATGTTCTGCGCCAAGGCCGGTGCCAAAAAGGTCATTGCTGTCGACAATTCGAACATCATCGACCGGGCGAGAGAAATCGTCTATGAGAATGGCTTTGGTGATGTGATCACGTGTGTTTCCTAGACAACTACTATCTTGACTTCTCTCGCTGATTCGTTCATCTTCAGATGCATCCGCGGCAAAATCGAAGAAGTTACTCTACCCGTGCAGCAGGTTGACATCATCGTGTCCGAGTGGATGGGATACTGCCTGCTTTTCGAAGCCATGTTTGATTCCGTTATCTACGCCAGGGACCGCTATCTCGCACCCGATGGACTGATGGTCCCCTCCGACGCTACTATCCGCATTGCTCCGTTTGCTGACTCGGATTTCATTGCCTCGCATATCTCCTTCTGGCACTCGGTGTACGGCTTCAATATGAAGAGCATGCTCACCGGCATCTACGACGAGGCAAACGTCCGCAGCATCGAACCGTCCGCACTTCCTGGCGACTCATCAGTATTCCTAAAGCTTCCATTGCATACCATCACCGTTGAGGAGCTATCATTCTTGAAAAACTTCCAGGTCACTCTTAAGGAAGATATTGACTCGCTCGACGGCTGGTCCATTTGGTTCGATATCTTCTTCATGCCTTCAAGAAAGTCCACGGTCCCAGACGATGCTGTTCCTTCGGAAATGCAGAAGAAAGGCTACGTTGCCTTCACTACAGGACCGCATGGTACTGAGACTCACTGGCAGCAGGGTGTTCTGCTCATCGACCACGGCCGGAAGGGTGGCGTGCCATTAAAGAAGGGCCAAACCATCACCGGAAAGGTTGGTTATCAGAAGAGAGAGCCGAATGCGCGCACGCTGGACATTACCATCGACTGGGACGCGCAGGAGGGTGGTAAGGGATCCCAGCAATGGAGTTTGAAATGATTTATGAATATTAAAAGTTTTGCTCTTCTCTCTTCATGTCACCCCATATACACCCTTGGAATAGTAGGAATCAAATGTTAAAGGACCTCTCATGATTAAATATTCATAGTAAGATCACACCGTTTGTTCTATGGTCTGCGAGATGACCTCCGATCATCATTCCCGTTTTCATGGTGATCGCGATGATGACGATGTGAACGAGAACGAGGATGAGAATGTGAATGCGAATGCGAATGCGAATGGTGCCACCGTGAGCGATCACGGCTCCTATCACGGTGATACCGATGCCGATGATGCCGATACGAACTCTTTTCTCGGCCTCTGTCATCCCGCTGTCTGTCTGGAGATGCATCGAGTTTGAACCCCTCCAAACTATTCTCTGAAATAGATCCTCTGCATGGTGATCGTCCCCGTCTGTGCCGACATGACGGTTCTCTGCCTTCCGCTTTCAAAGCCTCCAATTCTCGACTTCTTTCCTCGTTCCATCTCTTGCGCTCTTGCTCTACCGTTCTCAACTGTTTGACACCCTTCCTCATCGCCGCTAGAGGATCATTTGCATCTAGCCGAGCCATCTCCCTTTGTTTCCGCATGGGATCTTCCTTTCCCCAAACGTCTTTTCCAGGCATAGACTCTGGCGTAGGAGCTTCCCTCCCTGAAGACGAATACCAAGGTGCCTTGCCAACAGACTGACTGAACCCTGCAGCATTGGAGGGACGCATCGTGTACTGATCTTCATATTTGCGCTTCTTCTCGGTTGCTTCTGTCTCCGCCTCGGCATTCTTTTCCACCGGTGCGCGCCCTGCCTCAGACGGGAAGAGGTTGATATGACCAGCTCCATCTTCAAGCGGCGCGTCACTCGTTTTCGAGCGAGACAACTCCGCCCTTGTTCCGTCCGCGAGTTGTGCATCTTCTCTTGCCAATCTAATATCACGATCTGTGTCGTCTTCGCCGGCGAGACGTCTCCGCTTGTGATTATATCGTCTGGGTTCTTCGTCCTTGCGGCTTCTCTTCTCGTGTTGCGCGGCGGATGGTGGTGAGGCTGGTGGCGGGGGAGGGGTAGATGGGCGCTCTCCTCTTAGGATTTGTATTCGGCGCTCAGCATCTACTTCTTGCATGCGGCGCTCTTCCTCCTCTTCTCGCGCTTTGGCTTGCGCCTCGTCGCGCCGGACGCGGGCGACGTTCTCCGGATTGTAGACGTTCCATGATTTCTTTCCCAGAAGGTGGCTATATTATATGATTAGCACGGATTTCCTTCTAATGCAGGGACAATAGGTACTCACAGCGGCATCTTGAAGGTTATCAGCTGGCGTATTACATGGACAGCAGCTCTTCGGTTATCGACGTCAAGGGTCCAGCACTGATAAGACGGATCATTTCTGCTCCGACTCTCCGATCGGCGGAAACGGAGCTCCATGTGGCGGGCCGGAGAGCGGAGGCATGTATGCAACCATCTCTCCAACAACGCTCTCTCCGCCATATTTCGAACTATCTTGATTTTCGAGCTCATTTTGCGATCGTTTAGTTATTCTTCAGGAACGCCGCTACACCTGGTCATATTTACTACACTGACAACGTGTGTCTTCTGAATACTGTTCCAAAGAACAGCTTGATTGCAACAGCGTGGCTTCAACCTAATTCCATTGACGAGTTGGACTCTATTCATTTTCATTCTTTTCGATAACTATCTTCGATAACGACATACATATATACTTCCCGTCTGCGGATATCACTGATTAGATCATTGCGTCTCCCTTGAAGAACTCACAAATCGAATGACGCAAAATGTTTAACCGCAGCACCAATTACTCGAATCCCTTCAGCTCCAGGAGCGGAGGGCCTCCTTCGCGAGAGGGCTATTCGGTACCTGGTCAAGGACCTCCTCCATCTTACGGCCAGCCGATGCCGTCTAGGCCGCCGGTTGGAGCGAAGCCTCCGGCCGGAGGTGGTCGCTGGACATTGCGGCCTGCAAAGAGCCCGGATAACAATTATACATTTGGGAACCTGTGAGCCACCTCCAAAAGTTGTTCTCTTATTACCTTGCAATGACGAGAATCTAACACGATGTAGGGTTGCAGTATCACCCTCGGATTTCCCTCCAACACGCGACGGACTTGACCTCCTCCTCCTTGTTAATGGCCTCTTCGTCCTCTCCGCACGACCGTACCCCAACTTTCCACAGGGCCACATCAGTATGTCGGATCCGCAGCGGACGTGGGCTGGGGTTGCATTCACGGATTCCGTCGACGTACAAATCTACGATCCGTTTAGCCAAGGCGGGCAGGCCTACCTTGGTTCTACAGACATCGAAGTAGGATTCGCCGGCAAGAAGAGAGTTGAGACGCCATATGACCAAGATGATCTGGGAAATGCGGTGGCTAAGAACTTTGAAAACCAATTATTTGCTCCTGGTCAGAAAATCTTGATGGATCACCGGAGTATTCCGCTTTTGTTGACCGTCAAGACGGTCCAGCGGGTTGATCTGAGTTCAGAGAAGGCAGACCTTTCCAGTGGGGAAGTTGAGACAGATCCCATTGCGAGGGGTATTCTGACAAGGCACACTCAGTTCAACTTCTTCAAAGATGCACGAACCGGTATCAACATGAAGCCGTCGGCTCGCCGGCCAGCGGCTAACTCCATCATCCAGCCGGACTTTAAGTTCGAGAACATGGGTATTGGAGGTCTCGACTCGGAATTCAGCACAATCTTCCGTCGTGCATTCGCTTCCCGTATCTTCCCTCCAGGCCTTGTCGAAAAGCTGGGTATCCAACACGTTAAGGGTATGCTGCTTTATGGTCCTCCAGGAACGGGTAAAACTTTGATTGCCCGACAGATTGGTAAAATGTTGAATGCGAGAGAACCGAAGATTATCAACGGTCCTGAGGTGTTGAACAAGTTTGTTGGTCAGTCAGAAGAGAACATCCGGAAGCTCTTCGCCGACGCGGAGAAGGAATACAAAGAGAAGGGAGAAGAAAGTGGGCTCCACATTATCATCTTCGATGAACTGGACGCTGTATGCAAGCAGCGTGGTAGTGGAGGTGGTGGCACCGGTGTGGGAGACAGTGTAGTCAATCAGCTTCTCTCTAAGCTTGACGGTGTAGACCAGCTCAACAACATTCTGCTCATCGGTATGACCAACCGAATGGATATGATCGATGAAGCTTTGCTGCGTCCTGGCCGTTTGGAAGTGCACATGGAGATCTCCCTGCCCGACGAGCATGGACGTGGTCAGATCTTGAAGATCCATACCCAGAAGATGCGAGACAACAGCGTCATGGACCATGACGTCGACTTGGAGGAGCTTTCGCTTATGACCAAGAACTTCTCGGGTGCTGAAATTGCTGGTCTCGTGAAGTCAGCGTCCTCATTTGCCTTCTCGCGGCATGTCAAGGTTGGCACGATGGCCAGCATCAGCGACGATGTTGTGAACATGAAGGTCAACCGTGCCGACTTCCATCACGCCCTTGATGAAGTCAAACCAGCATTCGGTGTGTCGGAAGAGGAACTCTCCAGCCGCATCCAGTACGGCATCATTCACTACTCTCCTGTTATTAACGAGATCATGCGGGAAGGAGAGCTATTCGTGAAGCAAGTCGGGCAATCTACGCCGCTATTCTCCGTCTTGCTGCACGGCCCCACGGCAAGTGGAAAGACGGCATTGGCAGCTCGGATCGCCATTGACTCTGGCTTCCCCTTCATCAAGCTGATCAGCCCCGAGGACATGGTGGGATACAACGAAATGGCCAAGGTCCACCATATCAGCAAGATCTTCGAAGACGCCTACAAGAGTCGCACCAGTGTTGTCGTCGTTGACAACATCGAGCGAATTATCGACTGGGTTCCGATTGGTCCCCGCTTCAGCAACACCGTTCTGCAGACCCTGATGGTTTTCCTCAGGAAACAGCCAAGCAAGGACAGGCGTCTTCTGGTGCTGGCCACCACCACGCAGCGCGCAGTGCTCAAAAACCTCGACGTGTACAACTCGTTCAACGCCGACATCATGGTCTCGAACGTCAACACGTACAATGAATTGCGGTATGTTATGGAACAGTCCGAGGCATTCGATGCCCAGGAAATTGCGCAGGCTCTGGAAGAAATCGGTGGTATTATTGATGATGGGAAGATTGGGGTTGGCGTTAAGAAGGTGCTCTTGGGTATTGAGACGGCTAAGCAGGATGTCGACAAGGTCGGACGTTTTGTGCGTGTAATCAACCGGGCTATTGAGGAGGAGCGGATTTTTGAGTAAGATTTTTGCTGTATGGATTTGGCTGTTTAGATGATTGTTCTTAGTTATCTACGAGATATAATATACCACTTTATCCATGTATATAAGCAATGTATGGGATTAGGGCTTGCTATATACGTAGGCTAGTTTGGTATAATAAAAACAAAGGGTGTTATTAACAGCATTTATGCCATTGTCTATGGCGATCAAATAGAGATGAGACTTTGTTGGTGAGTGTGGTTCATCTGCCACATTCTCCATTCACTCATCTCCCTCCTACATATCCCCTCTCCCGTCCCTCCCAACTTCTTTCAACTCTCTCCTTTCATCCATCATTCATCACTACGCTTTCCATTCGTTTCCGATCCCTGATCATCTTTTGTTCCATCTCCAACCTATCAACCACATTCATATCAACTCCCAAAATCCAAACCAACCAACTACCATGGCCCAAACCAATCCCAACTCCCAAACGCTACCCTCCTCTCTACCACCCCCCGGAACCATGTCCGAACGCGAGTTCCGCGCCCTCGAAGAATGGGTTCCAACGGAGACTCTCAGAACTCGTGCGTCTGGTTATCTGAGAGCTCAAGCCCAGACTCAGGATCATAACCAGTCCCAGCCCCAGGCCCAGCCCCAGCCTCAGGGTCAGGGTCGAGGCCAGGGTCGAGGCCAGGGTCGAGGTCAGGGTCGAGGTCAGGGTACATTCAACAATGCCAACGCCCACGGCAATGCTAGCGTTAATTCCAACGCCAGCTCTAACGCTAACGCTAACTTCGAATACAATAACGTTCCCGCCGGTCCAAGACGGGGGACTCAGACCACGAACAAAAGACGCGGACGCGGCAGGGGTCGTAACCGTACGTCTTCGATTTTTGAGGAGTGGAAGGCTCAGGCTTTGGTCGATGGTGGGCATAAGCGTGATGGCAACGATGGTCAGAAGGTGGTGAGCAGTAACGAGAAAAGCTCTACTGGTGCCGGTGCTACTACTTCCAATGTCGGTGGCACTGTTGCTGCTGCCACTGCTGCTGGTTCTTCTACTACTGGACCTACTGGTACCTCTGCCTCTACCGCTGGCCGATCCGTGGGTCAACCGGCTGCCGGCCAAGCCACTTCTACTCCCGTTGGTTCTAGTGCTACAGGAACAAAGGGCCGCTCATACCGCGGAAGAGCTAGGAATGACTCTCTTGTTCGTCAAGGATCTGGTGCCACTGAGGGCGGACAGAAGAAGATCGTGAGCAACATGAACACCACTGCTGCTCCAGCGGGCCCATCTGCTAGTTCTTCTAACACTCGCCTTGCTGGCTTCTCTAAAGTCCAGCATGTTGGTCCTGTCGCTGACGCCAAAGGAACGAAGAGCCAGCCCAGAAGTGATGGAGATGTTGCTCACGTTCGTCAAGGATCTAAGTCCATTAAAGGCGGACAGAAGGTTTCGAGTGCCACTCAGGGTGCTACTGTTGCTACGGGCCTGTCTGCTCCTTCTGACACCCGCCCTGGTGCCTCGGCTGCTGGCTCTTCTGAAGCCAAGCATGCTGCTTCTACTGCCGATACTAACACTGAGGTGACAAAGGACAGTTTCCAACCGGAGGATTCCAATTCTCGCCAAGGATCTGAGGGACAGAAGGATGCTCCTGTGTCTACAATCCCTACTTCTGAATCTCTCCTTATTGGTCCAACTGTTGGTCCTTCTCAAAGCCAGCATACCGCTATTAAAGGCGAATCGAGCAAGGTGACTATTGAAGATAGCACCGTGGGCCCGTCGGCTGGCTCTTCTGGCGTGGCTGACACGACGACTGGTTCCGCCGGTCAGGATACTACTACCGATCAAAGCGAACCGACAAAGGGCCTATCGCAGTCAGGAAATGGCGGAAATGATTCTCATGCTCGTCAGGAATCCGGACCTAGCTCCACTAAAGTCGAAACGAGCAAGGCTAGCAAGGACAGCACTGCCGCTCCTACTAACCCATCCGTTGATCATTCAAAGGCATCTGCTAGCTCGACTGGTAACGACAAATTTGCTACAATTTCTGGCTCTCGTTCTCGCCGCGGAGGAATGAAAGGTTCGCATCGTCGCGCCAAATCTGGATCAGCCTTCACTGAGGGTGAATTGAAGAACGTTGCAAGCTCATCTGCTGCTCCCGCTGACTCTATCCCCGTTGGTTCCATCACCGATGGAGCGACAAAGCAGCCAGTTACTGCTGGCGGTTCTCAGCCCCAGACCGGGAAGGGTAATAAGAGCCGCCATGGTCGCCAGAAGTCTGCATCTGTCTCTACTGGAGAGTCTGGAAAAGCCGTGGATAACAAGGAGAGTAAGAAATTATCTACGAAGCAGTCGAGCGCTCCTGTTGGTTTAATGGTTGGTCAAAACAAGACTGATGTTAGCTCTCGCGCACCTAAAGCGGATGCGAAGAGCTCTCAGGCTCGTGGGGTCTCTGTTTCTAACTCTGCCGGAGAACCAAAGGCGGAGAAGGATAGCTCTGCTAAGTCAAAGGAGTTTGTCAAACCTTCGAGTGAACAGGCTGCTTCAGTTGCTCACGCCTCTGGAGGCCAAGCCAAACCTGCTGGCTCTCACTTGCGATCTGCAACTGGCGAGGAGAGCGTTCGTACTCGTCAGGCGTCTGTTTCTGCCTTCGTTGAAGAATGGAAGGAGAGCACTGCTGTCTGCAAGGAGCCTCCCGTCAAGACTTCGGGCGCTCCTGTTCCATCGACTACTGGCTCCCCTGAAAGCCAATGTGCCGTCGCTAGCTCTCACTCGCAGCCTGAAACGAGCGAAGAGGACTTCCATGATTGCCAGGTGTCTGTTGATTCTACCGAAGAGTCGAAGGAAGCAGTGAGTAGCAAGGCGGCTACTGCTGCCTCTGAGGAATCACCGATCAGATTTTCAGGTGTCCCTGTTGCTTCGATTGCTGGTCCGTCTAAGATCCAGTCTGCTGCTGTCAGTTCCAATTCGCAACCTGAAGCAGCCATTGAGGATTCCCGTGTTCACCAGAAATCTGAGCATACACCAACCGAGAGTCAACCGAAGAAAACCGAGGGTAACAACGGCGGTACTAATGCAGAAATGCCTGCTAGTCATTCGAGTGCTTCTGTTGGCTCCTCTGCCGGCCAGCCTGAGAGCAAGCCTGCCGTGGTCGTTGGTTCTGATGAGGCCCAGGACGATACAATGCAGGGAAAGATAGGAAAGAATACCCAGCGTTCGTCTGAATCCACTTTCGCCGGTGAGTCCAAAGCGCCAATAAAGCAAAATGCAGCGCAACAACTAATTCCAATCTGTCCAGTTCAAACCCCGGAGAACAAGTCAAGCCAGCCCATCCCCAAAGGCCCCAAGGCTGACGCTGACCGCTGTGTCTCGACCACCGTCAACAAGAAATCGGACAAACGGGCTGTTTCCAGACAGCATGAACAGGAGGGATACACGGCTCCGAACGGCACATTCCTCAACAAGAATCAACTGGCGAGATTGGCGGATGGTATCAAGAATGCGAATGGGGACACTGCCTATTTTCAGCCTAGCTTCATTGAGGATCCTTGGGCGGGAATGAAGCCGGTGAAGATTCCATGTTCTCGTCGTTAGCTACTGGTAAGTGTCTGGTCGCCGATACAGCTTGATGAATGGTTCGGTTTATGAATTTGCCTTTGTAGATACGATACCGGGATGCCAGGTCGATGGTTATTCTAATACTAATTTTCGGATGATATTTGTGGTTAGATGCCTGCCTGGAACGACAGCCAAAGAAAATGAGGGCGGATCGATTTGATTTACGAAAAATAAAAAATGGATCAAGGAAAACATGAGAATACTCGTTTCTAATGTTTATGCACATTTAAATTGTTACCATAATCATAGCATCATAGTTAGTATGTACTCAATATGGAATAGTTCGCAATGGTTCGAGGCGGGTATGTGCCTTAAATGATAGTCCGATGTAGCCCCCTGAAAATCTAATTAGATCTTAAATAACCACACAGAAGCCCCCAAAGCACCCAGTAATCTATTAAATATTTAATATAAGCGACACGAGCCAGTAACTTTTGTTCTAATATTCAGCCATGACGCCGTTCTTAAAGTTATGAATCACATCCATTTAACCACCGGACCAGGGGATGTATTTCTGAAGCTGTCAACGACCCTTGTCATTTTATTTCATTTCGGCGCTTAGGGCTGCCTTAATTATCGCCAATCATCTTAGTTTAATTTGCATTCAACTCCGCAGGAAATCGTGCTGTCATGTGCGAAGTACTCCGGAGCACAGCGCTCTGGAGACCATTAAATCCCGCACTGTTCAGGCGTTTGTTCATAATTCAAGAGCACGTACGTAATACTAGGGCTGCGTGGGGCCATGTCCTAATAATAACAACAGTAATCAAACCGGAAAAGGGGAGGATCTGAGCGTCTGTTTCAGGGAGTTGGGCATGTGCTCTACCATTACTCTGTGACATAGGGGATGTCTACACTGCCTACTTTCTGATCGTGTACGCTTTGATAGGGGATCGCCCCTCTTTCAGTTAAAAAGTCATAGCGTAAGTGAATGTCTGGTTCCTGCGTGGGTCGAACCAGATATTTGGCTCGAGTTAAACCGGACGTCGTTCGTTTCCTCTGGACGACCAAGATACAACCTACACTGTTGAAGATGGTAAGAGATGAATATTTCGATTCAAAAAGCAAAAAGCGCTATATCCAAGATTCCTGCTAAAATCATAACCAAAAAGGAGCAAATACAACCCAGTCCAATAATCCCGAATTACCCCCCCAAAAAACCAAAATTTTGTGCTGAAAAACGCAGAAAAAAGAGAAATAGTCGCCGTCATGAAAACAAACAGAAAAAATGAAAATATACAAAAGAAAGTCATGTCGAAACGAATGCAGTCTCAGTAGTCGTCATCGTGGAAGGCGTACTTCTTCGACGCTCGTCGGTATTCTTCCGGGTGTGCGGCTTCAGCTTTTGTTTTAAGAGCGCTGCAAAAGGAACTACAGTCAGCAAACACCAAATCTTGACATGGCAGCCGTTGAATCGTGTGGGACAGTGCCTGCCTGCCAAGAATGGCATCAACAGCGGAGCGCGGCGGAATACCACCGGCGGAGCGGAATCCGGTGACGATCATGTTATACGGCCAGAAGAGATGAAAGAAGACGGGGGAATAATGAGAGGGATTCAAGTTGGTCAGAACTCACTTCACGCGCTTCTGGGTCCATTCGAGGTCACGTTTGGTCTCACGGGCGACTTTGATGCCCTCCGAAAAGTTCGAGCGAGCGCCTTTCAGACGACGCTGGGCGAGAGCTTGCAGCTCCATGAGTTCTCGCTGCTTGGCGTTGAGGTGACCGGAGCTGTTTTTCATGTCGGTTAGCCGTCGACTCCATCAACCGCAATGAGACGACTCTTCTCATTCCGAGAACAGCAATGCTGGCGATTCTAAACGTCAAGAGAGGGGGCATGGTGAGGGCACTCACGTTTGCGCTTGCTTCACCAATCCCCTGTCCAATGGAGTGGGATCAAACGTCTCTTGCATGCGGTCATTGAGAACATCGACAACGTCGACGCCCGAGTATGATCCGTTGCTAGATTCATAGTCGCTCCCAGAGCTATAGCCAAGGCCTCCCGATGTCCGGCTACCAGCCGTCATGCTGGTGTTGTCGACGTCTGGCGGAGAGCCAGCTACCCGGCCGATAGGGTAGAGGCCAGCCGGGGCGGGAGCCTTGGAGGGGACATTGATGGGGAAGGTTGAAGGTTGGTAACGCTGGGTGGCAGCCATTGTGATGGATGGGGATGGTATATGAAAGAGAAGGAAGGATAAGAAGATATATATAAGGCAAGACAGGAAGGTGTATGACTTGCGGAAGGGCAGCAGAGGAAGACTGAATCGAAAGAAGACTGACTGATGGAGAGAATAGAAAAGGAAGAAGAAGAGAAGAAAACGGGAGAGGGAGAGAAGAGGGTTTATATAGCCCTGCTCGGAGGGTTTTCAGTCCGGCGGAATGAGCTGAAAAGAGATTAATACGCTCATGGCAGGATCAGAGACCATCCGGAAAGAGAAACTGGAGGGAGGGGAGGCGCCGTGATTGCTGGAGCGGGCTTCCCGGTCCTTCTCCTCCCATACTTCCCGGTTGGGCATTGAGTGGCCGCTCCGGGATCCGGGATGGCGATGCACTTTTCACTTTTTTTTTTTTTTTTTTTTTTTTTTTTCGTCTCCGCCAGACAGACTGTTTTACCTCGTCATTTTCCTCTCATCTCCTCAATTTTCTCTCTTTTCCTTCGTCCAGCCACCCTCACTCCCTCCGATTCATTACCTTACCCCCGTCCCCTTTTCTGGATACTTTTCCTCCAATCCCAATCCTCAAATCTAATCCTCTTCCGATTACCGCTCATCAATACGTCTCTGGACCCAGTTTTGACCCCGCTTGGCAATTCCAGAGAAACATTGGCCTCAGGAGACTCAGGCCTTGGGCTAGGCCTGATTTTCCGAGTCTCGTCCACTCGGAGGGTCTTCCGTCATCCCCGTCACGCATTTTTGCCTCTCGGGAGTTTAGGAAGAGGGATTTGGAATCATGAGATGGGAGGGGGAGGGGCTGGACCGGGAGGGATAAAAGGGAGCAGGTTTTTCTCGTGCTCTGTGGCTTTTTTGTCTTTGTTGTGGTTGCTGTATTACCTCTTATCACTCTTTCTCCTCCGTGGAGTCTACTCCCAGCCCTCATCGCCCGTCCTACTTAACCATCCCGATTTATTCGCTTCATGAAACTAGGTGGCTGGGAAATCATTGACGATGGTCTATTGTGACCAAATGAGAGAAGAATACGGATACACGGTTGCGTGACGTCCAATGGATTCAATGTGGTCCATTCCGGGTGCTTCGATGCTCCCGGTGCCTAACTTGCCTAGTTGGGTTCCTTTTGGATTGAATACGGCAGGAAGACACGAGAGAGCATTGTCTCTTTCCTTTCTGTCTTGATCCAATTCCTGCCCGAGTCATGTGTTGGGATTCGCGGCCTCAATTCGACCCGAGGTATCTAACTTTTTTTTATTCCATTTTTTTAACGTCATTGCTGCAGTAAGTCCCAATCCCAAAGAGCTTGAAGAGTCAAAGCGAAGAGGGGCTGACGAAAAAAAGAAAGCAACCACAGTTTCCTTTCCGAGACTGGTCTCAGGTAATATGAAGATCATGGTTTTAGTTAAAAAACGCAAAAGAAAAAAAAAAAGCGTTGGACATCTGTGCATGGGCCAAAGGAAGAATTACAATTATTTTTTTCGGCTGGACTGGACAGACCACCGCCAATCTGAAATCTGACCGGAGAAACCCAAACGAAAAGATCGGCCAAATGAAAATGAACGGACACGGGAACAAGCAATGCAATTGCTACTGCACACGAGGCAGCCCATGAATCGACCGGGAGGAGCTATTATTTTTTGCTTTTCGACGGGAGTACATGCGCTTGAAGATCCCAGAAATGGCCTGCTCCGCTCTCACGCACATGGCTGTGCTGGTTGCCGTCACCGCTGCTCCAGAGCAAGAACACCAGAAAATTCGACCGCCGAACGAACAACGGGACAAGCGCTTTAGACGCCACCATAACGGAGGCCAAGTGGACCAATGCTGAGTATGGAAGTTTTCTATGTCTCATCCTGGTTGTTCTTGCAGAGAGCACGAGACTACGGAGTATCAATTGAGGGGAAGAACATTGGGCCCCGGCAAGGATATGACTCGCGATTGGAATGCAATGCCCAAGACATGGGGACGAAACTTAATTATGTCCTTTTTATTGACCACGAAGAAGAACCCTACCATGGAGTACGGATTAGCCTGATTGACTAGCTGACTGCGATAATATCGACGATGATCCGATACGCTTGACGCACAATACCTTGCCCATCTCCTCACCTCCAATATCCATCTACTACGTATTCGAATGGGCAGCTGGACAGCTTGATCGATTCGAGACTAATGAAAACCGCTCATTTCAATTATTGGGGAAAAGAGGGAAAAAAGGAAAAAGAACAATCTTTACAGAATACAGCAATGCGAATGCAGGTAATCACGCCCCGGAGAATATACGCCATCGCCGCCTCGTTTTTTTTTTTTTTTCTTTTTCCCTTCCCTCTTTTTTTCTATAGTTAACCCTGAGGTTTTCTGCCTTAAGGCCTTTACGGCAAATCTCGATTAACTGCAGAGAGTTGCAGCCCATGGCCGAGCACCGGACGCAAAAGATGCAGTTCCGCGCTAGGCCGACCAATTTTCCGGGTTTCCTATATATATTACAAGAAACCCGTCGTACGGTCATCTACGGCTGGAGTACATTTTTCGTCTACTCTGGGATTACTTTGGGTTTCTATTGTCTCCGCAGGATCACCACCCCGGAACCTGGCACTTCAAGACGTCCAATCCATTAAGCTCCCGAATAATCATAAGATGGAAGGAAGGTATGCCCAACCCAACCCCGAACGATGAGATAATTTTCGCTTTCCACTATAGCCTAGCCTTGGGCACACCCGTACTCATTCGTGCCTCATTTCCAACAGTCGAGTCGAGTCGAGTCGCGACCAATCCTTCTCTTCTCGCAGGGCATACGTAGTACAATACCATGTGCCATGTATGTATGTACTTTTTGTACGTATGTACGTACCCACGCCCGTCCATACATAACGTACATATGCACCGTGATGAGATGAAGAAACGAGCCTGCCTGCCTGATAAGCGGGGATCGATGCATTCGTTTTGATCAGCTGCGACTGTACTCACTCACACCGCTAGACTGACCTAAGTGACTGCAGTATTGTAGGCGTTGCAGAGAAGGACTGGTCTACGTTTACTGCTTGCTAGCCAACTAGCCACTCTCCTAATACGCAAACCACATCACAGTCCCGACAGTAACCATTCATTTATCAGGTACCAAACAAGGAGCAGTATAACGTCCAAATAATTGTATTGATCTGAACGGTCGGCTACTATACACAAGTCACTAGTATACAAAAGTATTTAAACCGATACCCATAAAAAGCAAAAGGCCAACAGTGAACGAGTCCTGAAAATGCAAATTTCTTGCTCTCTGGAGTATCACTATATAAGATTATCTAATGCACGAAGAAAGTTCTCAACAAGAGAAATGAATAAAGAGGAATCTCGGGTTATTTGCAAATACAATCCCAGAAGGTGAAAGAAGCGAAAAACGAAACAAGATCGTGCTCATAAGCTTGATATGGTATCAGGAATAGAATAAAAGCAGCCGCACAATATAAAAAAAAAGAAAAATAAAAAAAAGAAACGGACCAGAGTAGAGAAAAAAGACAATGATGGAAGGAATTTGTTCAGGAGAAAAGAAATCCAACAACTGACGCCACACCGGAAGTATCAAAAGGTCCAAGGAAAAAAGAGAAAAAACAACATAAGCCTGAAATTCCGGCCCCGTGAGTAGATGCAGTGTGTAAAAGGTATCAATCAAAATTTGAAAAACAATGCCCGAATGCAGATGCAAGGCTGAAATCCGCAATAATCAAATATGCGGATGACAATGACAAAGGTCATGAACCAGGTCGAGACAAAAAAAAAAAAAAAAAAAACAAATAATAATAATAAAGACATCCAAAGGCGCCTTCCCTTCCGATGGCTCTTGCCAATCCTAACCCCAGTCCATAATATAGGATATAAAAAGAAAAGAGAAAAGAAATAAAAAGTAACGTGGGTGGAAAGTCCACGAAAAGAAAGAGAACAAGCAGCACTCCAGCATGGCGCAAATAGTGCGAGCGGAAGAGCTGTATGGGTATATTGCATCGACGAATACCGAAGAGGCAAAGGAGAACGAGAAGGCGAAAGGCAGAAAAAAGAGTGGGTATTGGTCGTTGATCGTGCGTGATGAAGCCGTTATCCTCGAAAACAAGAAACAAGACGGAGAAGATTTCTTTTATTTCCTTTTTTTTTTTTTTTTTTTTTTTTTTTTTTTTTTTTTTTTTTTTTCGGTAGCGCTCTGCCTTTTATTCTTCGCGATGACTGTCATCGTTTTCATTGTCTTCTCGGAGACGATCACGAAGCAAAAGCAGAGGTCTATTGGGATCGAGTAGTCCCATCATCATCTTTCCAAGTTCGTTGTGCTTGATGGGCTTGGTCACGTAGTCGTTGAAACCAGCACGCGCTGCGTCTTCGATCTGATCTGTCATTGCGTTCGCGGACAAGGCCATGATCGGGATTTGAGGGTAATGATTCTTGAGTTCCCAGCCGCGGACCTCTCGACAAGTATCGTAACCGTTCTTGACTGGCATTTGGATGTCGCACTGTACAGAAATGTTAGTCACTCTATTCTTATTTTACTTGCATCCACAGGTACACTTACAATAATGAGGGAGTAGTAGCCTGGCTCTTTGGAGAAGACCATTTCCGTGCACTCCTGACCATTAGATGCGGTTTCGGCCATGACTTTAATCTTGTCAAGGTATTTCAACATGACCTATTACATGTCAGACGACTGAAAATGATAAGGAAAAGAAGAGGGGAGCATACCATGCGATTCGTTTCATCATCCTCGACAAGCAATACCCGATAGCCTTTGTTACCAATGACCTCCTTGACCATCTTGGACATGGTCTTGAAATTGTTGTTGATCTCCCTTGCCATATCTTGGTTCCGATCTTTGCTGAGGTCGCGCCTATTGTCAGGGTCGAAAATGGCCGAGAATGCCGAAGGTTTGACCGGCTTTGGTACCGTGTAGACCTTCCTTCCACTTGCAGACAACTCTTTGATCTTCGGGTTGACTTGACGCTTCTGATAAAGATCAGAAATGAGAACCAGCGTCGGCGCAGCAGTCGGTTCGCACTCGGAAACATATTGGATCACATCCATAACGTCATCGACATTAGGCAGATTGAGAACCAAATGAGTCATACTGGAGCCAGTGCCCTCGTTTACCATATCCCTCCAATCATCGATATCAGGATACGCTTTGATCGTGAACGGAACTTCATGAGGCACCACCTGTTGAATATGCTGCTGGATGGCCTTGCGTGTGTTTTCGAGCGGACAAAGAATGAGAATAGAACAAGGATTGGCCTGTTGCGGTGATGGCTTTGGTTCTGCAGCTGGTGCAGCCTTGCTCACTGGCGGGCCAGATTCTGCCGCTGGTGCCGGTGCTGATTGATCAGGGTCAGTCTCTTTGGAGACGGCCTTTTTGGCATCTGGTGTCGCGACAGACGAGTTTTCGGATGGCATCGGTGGCGCAGGCTGTGCCGAAGACTCGGTACTGGTAGGTGGTTGAGAAGCCGGAATCTCGGGCGCAGGGGCCTCTGGACCTTTAGCGCCAACCGCTTCCTGACTTGGCTTTGTCTGCGCATCCGATGCCTTTTGCTGACGGGCACCCTTAGACTGTTCTTCCGGCGTTACTGGAGGAGGTGCATCGACTTTGACGTAGAACGAGAACTTCGCACCTTGGCCCTCTTTGCTGCTGGGTGTTAATTTACCGCCATGCATCTCCACCAGCTGTTTGGACAGGAACAATCCCAATCCGCTGCCTGCATGTTGCTGTGATCCGTTCTGTCCAAGTTGACTGAATCGCTGCATCAAACGCTCTGCATCTCTGGCGCTGAAGCCTTTGCCGGTATCGACGACGTCAAAGTTCAACAACAACTCCGTGTTCTTCGCTAGGGCGGATGGGTCATGGTGGATCGAGCAGCAGATGTGGATCTCTCCCTGCGAAGTGAACTTGACTGCGTTACCCACGAGGTTGATGAGCACTTGCCGGATACGGAATCGATCACCAATGACCGTTGGCGGCACGTCGACGTTCATCAGGTAGTTGATCTCAAGGCTCTTGTCGATAGCTCTCGATGCCACGGTATCGATCACGTCTTCGATCACGGACCGGACGTGGAACCAGGAATTCACCAACGACATTTTACCGGCCTCCACGCGGGACACATCGAGGATGTTGTCAACCAATTCACGCAAGTTGGTAGAGCTATTCTGGATGGTGTCCAGCATTCGCCGTTGGTCCGTGTCCAACTGGGTGTCGAGGATGAATGGGATAGTGCCAAGGATTCCATTAAGTGGGGTTCTGATCTCGTGGGACATGTTGCTGAAGAACTTGGTCTTGGATTCCATTTGGTTGTTCAATTGTTGCATGGCCTTGTTCAGCTCCCGCTCCAAATTCTTCCGGTCGTTAATGTCGGTACACGTTCCGTACCACGACGCTTCGCCATTGCCAAAACTGCTGGTTTCGACCCGAACCAAGCGGACTAGGTGCCAACGGAAGTCGCCTCCCTTGGAACGAAGACGAATCTCAGTCGAATAGAACACCCGTCCATTTTCATCCTGTTGCACGGAGGCAACGCCACGCTTCACGAGTTCATCCAGGGCCGGGGTGAATCCATGGCCGAAGTGCCGCTCGGGAGGTGCATTTTTCCCCTTAGGAAGTTCTGACGATGACGGGTCCCTCGAGTCGGTCTTGCCGATAAGGTGGTGGGAGAGCAGGCCGCACTTTTCTAGATCGTCGGGATGTATGTGTTTTGCGAAGCCGAAATTGAGCGCCTCCTCAAGTTTCTGGCCCGTATACAGGTGCCATTGCTCGTTCGCAAAAATCAGGCCACGGTATTCTGCTGCTTCGAACACTACCTGCGGGATCGAATTGGAGAATGCTCGGTATTTGGCGTCGGTCGCGAACTTCTCTCGTTCTTGTGCGGCCTTTAACTCGGCGATATGCTGTTCGTGAATATCGAGGAATGATCCAATCCAGTACAAAACTTCCCCGGTCGACGAGAGCAACGGGTTGGCCCTGAAAATGAACCAACGATAGGCAGATTCGTCATTGAAGCGTTTGACCCGCACTCGTTCCGTAAATTGAGAGCCAGTCCGTAACGCATTGGCCCATTCTTGCGAGACATGCTCGCGCTCGCTGTTGTGAATATTTTGCCACGGGTCCCGCATTTTCTGTTCTTGGGGTTGACTCCTCCGGTAAGCATCGAATTTGGAATTGGTCCAAATTACTTCACCACTCTGTGGTTTAGCCAGAAACAAGTGCAGCGGAACCGAGTTGAGCATCAACTGCGCAACAGTATCGGAAAACGGACGAGGGATTTCGCGTTGCAACTGCGCATATAACGAGTTCGCTGACGGATGACGTGAAGTCGATGGTTGGGTGGGCGAAACGGCGGCCTGGGACCGGGGTTCCTGCACAGGGGACGGCGCCACGGCGCTCGGATCTTGCAAAGCCGAATCGTCGTCGGTTGAGGCCTTGACCAGGGACTTTCCTGGCGACGTAGGGTTCGGCATGGTCACCTGCTCTTTCGTCTTTGATAGTCGCCTTCGTTGCTGGTACATGATGGCTTCGCGGAAGCTCTTGTGTTGCTGCTGCGGAACATTGAAATAGCTATCTGCCGCCTCCCGGCTTAGTTTGATAGATGGTCCAGAAGCGTCGTTCTGGTCGATGTTATTGGCGGTCGCAGCCCCCAAAGTGCCCAACTCGAACCCAGGTGTGCCACCAGGCCCTCCGGGAATGGGAGGACTGAGTTTGGTCGAATTGGACTTCTCATCGGGACTCGATAGGCTGGCATGTGCTGAAATGGTACCATCTTCCGCTACCCTGTAGTTAACGTGTCCGCTCAACCCAGCCACAAGCTCCAGTTCGCTGCTCTCATCGGAGAATGTCCCACCCAGGCCTAACAGATGTCCGTACCGTGGCGTTTCGAGACGAGAAACGAATTGCCGTTCCAGCTGACTGTATTGCTGCGCCAGACAAAACGACGTGGTCAAATGTGGCATCAGATACGCAAGCGACTGTCGCAGATTCGACGGGTAAGGGATGATAGGCGACAGGATGGAAATCACAGCAACAGGGAACCGCAAGGTAGACGAGGAGGGTTGCTTGGAGCTGCCAGCGTGAAGGAGAGGAATGTGCACGACGGACTTGGCGAGGTCGACCCCGATCGCTTGCAAGGGCTGAAGGTTGGAGTAGTCGTGTGGAGGGGGATTCTTCGCAAATGCCGACTCGTCGACCGAATAACTGACGAAGAATGGGTTCTGCTCAGCCTGCGCCCGCGGAGCCGGCGATGGCGCGGGTGATTGTGACCAGGGTGATGGAGGAACTTGCTCATACTCGTCCGAAACTTCCATTGACGGTGGCAGCCCAGGCACGAGTGCCGGAGCCTGAAGGGTCGAACCGCCAGGTCGAGACGGAGTTTGGGGGACACCAGGGCGAATTGGTTCGGCCGTCGGTGTGACCTGAACCTTGTCGTCCGCGGGAGACCGAGCCATTGTTCCACCATGTTTTTCTGAGCAGACATTCGCCGATCCCTTTGAATATTCCCGGGTCAGGACAACTGGCTTTGTGCGGCCAAACAGCTTGACGACACCTGTTCGTTTGATGAGCGGATCCGACTCAACTTCCAATGGCCGGGGTATCGGGAAGACGGCTTGTCGGTAGCTGTGCTGCGGTGTGGTGATTAAGGCGTCATCAAGTGAATGCGTCTGCGGCGTCATCACGTTCGCCTTGTCGCGATTATCTGTCGGAGTACTCTGCGAGAGCCCAGAATCCACGTCCATAGTATTGGTAGCGGCAGCTGACTGCGCATTCTCAACTTTTATCTTATGTAGTAGTTGCGACGGATCTTGATCAGCGGCATGCTTGCGGTCCTTTCCGAAGCCAGCAAATGAATGCCGCGACAGAAGTGATGGCCGTTTGGCGGCCGATACCGATCCCAACCGCGAATGGCCATCCGTGGTGTTATTGGTGGTATTAACATTGTTGTTGCTGCTGTTGTTCGCCACTGTCTCTGTGTTTTGAGAGTCCGCTCCGCTGGGCCCCGCCCGAGTCGTCTCGCCGTAGAGATGGTGGATGCTATCTGGATCTTCGCTGAGATTTTGATCAAACACCGCTTTTTGTCCCCATGGCACGTTCTCCAAGTCCGTCGCGTCCCCGGGGACCGCCAAAGAAGCCCGTTCCGCACCATAATATGTCTGTAGGATGTTGACAACGTTGGACCACCAAGCATCGAGGCCCGGGTCCGCACTGAGTTGAAGGGTGATATCGTACAGGTTTGGACTGGGGTATATCGGATCTTCCATGACGGGTTTATGTTGTGGCGGCAGGAATACGCTGTGAGGTGTTGGCGTCTTCATCACCGGGGCCGGCCGCTCATCCGACGGCTGCGAGGAGGGACCCTTGCTGAATTTCAACTTCTCTGCGGGGAGTGTCAATTTGAAATGACTGTGGTTGAGCATTGGTGATGACTCCTGCGCCGATCTGGCGGCGGCGGGAGATGGCGAGGGGTACATCTTGGGGAACGGATAGGACGGGGTCTGCCCGGCGAGCATGGGATTATTACTGGAATCTGGGGGGCGGATGGTGCCAGCAGAACTGGTGGAGTCGGAGTATGCGGCTGCAGTAGGCATGGCACCGGAGGACGAGGAAGCAGGGAATTGCGGAGATTCGTCATTGGAGATGCGCCGTTTCTTGGAAGATTCGTGGGGAGTTGAGGAACAAGGCAGCGGATCGTCTCGCGGGGCAGAAGGAGGGGCAGGGGGAGGAGCAGGAAAAGCAAAAGCTTCTCGACTGGGAGGAGCGGCAGCGGCAGCAGTGGCGTCCTGATCCTGGGATTGTTGTTGCATCTGCTGGTAGGCGAGCAATTCTTCCATCTGTCTCCGTAACTCTCTCAGGGTCTGCAGGCTTCGACCGTGGTCCTCTTGAGACCCTTTTCCCGAGTCGGAGCTCTTGTACTCGGAAGGAATATTATTCGACGATATACAGGACACGTCCGGAGTCTGTTGATGCTGCAAAGATGCAGCATGAGTGTTAGCTATCCGCAGAGTATCGTCCAGCATCGCACTTTCGCCATCATCGTTGTCTTTTGGGAGAAAAGAAGAGGTAGTAGAGACAGAGGCAGAAGGACCACGAGGTTCATGAGGAGGGTGAGGATGGGACTGGGACGCGGCGACAGGCGAAGGAGCCTCGGCCGGCGATGGAAGCGGAGGCGTCCTCATGCTGCGAACTTCCCCCATCATCACAATTCCTCCACCGCCGGTCAATAATCAGTTCTCCTGGGCGAGTCCAGTAGCACAGGAGCCAAATGAGACACTCATCTCTCGGACAAACCGGTCCGTGGTCAAATGCAGAGGAGTGAGAAATGGTGGCGGTGGTGGTGATGATGATGATGTGGTGGGAGGAAGAGAGAGAGAAGAGAGAGCGAGAGAATATGTGTGGAGGGGGAGGGGAGAGGGGAAACCGGAATAGGCGAGGATCAGATTCGAGGCAAAAGAAGGCAGAAACGGTAAGAAACGGAGAGGGAATAAGAGAGGAGGAGAAAAGGGTAAAATGTGCTAGCAATGAGCAGTAATAGAAGGAAAGAATATACACGATAACAAAAAAAAAATAAATAAAATAAAATAAAAAGAAGACGTTCGAAAAGAGACAGAAAAAAAAAAAGGGGTGTGGTGGAGAGAAGACAGTAAGAGTGTGTTAGAGTGTAAGGTGTCTTCACCTAATGTGGCAGGGTATGTAATTTTTCCTTCGCTTCTTTTTCTGGTCCTTCTAGAAAAGAAAAAGAACGAGGGTTAAGACGACATAATAAACCAGTAATCGGAGAAGGAAAAAAAAAAAAAAAAAAGGGAGGGAAAAAAAAAAAAAAAAAAAAAAGTTTCTTAGGATGGGGGGAGAGAAAAGACGAAAATGACTAAAGCGGTGTATAGCGGGTAATGGTTAATTTGATGGAGGGCAACGAGATGTGAAGACAACGACTGTGATGACTGAAAAGAGAAGGGTTCTATGGTTATCCTGACCTTTTTTCTGTTTCTTCTTTCCTTTGCAGAGGAATGATTAAGAGTATTCTGAAGGATACTGAGACCTGCTCTGACCCAGTGAGATCGACCGGTTTCCGGTGGTTGAGGACGACCAGATGAAAGGATAGGCCGGGGAGGAGAGAAAAGTGAAAGACACAGTAGGAGAGGCAAAGCCTATGGGTGAGTAGAATGAGAATGAGTGTCGACCTATGACGTAGGCGAGCCCTGGGGGGAACCAAAAGGCATTTACTGGGGGGGAAGGACGAAGGACTACGGGTTCTCCATCCACTGTTCCTTCAGGACTGGGTTGACCTGTACCGCGGCAACGTTCGGAAATTTCTCTGGAAATATAGGAAAGAGAGAGAGGGAACAAAAATAAGGGGATGAAAAGGGTAATAGAGGGGAAAGAGTGTACAAAGTAGTTGTGGGTTCGCGTGTGCGTGTGTGCGTCGGGATGGAGATGATGGGCAACGACGATACCACGATAGAGGCTGATCCGAGAGATACCCGAATAAGAAAGTGATCACTCTCAACAGAATATAGACGAGGGAAAAGTGAAAACAACCAGCAAAAGAGAAGAGAAGAGAAGAAGAGATACAGAGTAAGGTGTCAGAGACAGAGTCGCCGGAAGGGAAGTAGGATTGTCCGCTACGAGGGGGTTCGAAACGCTGTACGGAGTATGTACGAGTCGGTATGATCGGTATTGTGATGTCTTTTTTCTTTTTCCCTTTTTTTCATACCAGAGTATGGAGTAGCACTACTATGTAATAGTAGCGGTAGTATATTCTCATAGGCTGGTCACAATGTGGGATAATCGAGAATCTCATTACGGAGTACACACGGGATATGGATAAAAGCCAGAGATGAAGAAAAAGAGTCGGGAAGAAAGAAGAAGAAAAAAAGAAAGGAAAAGTGGGCTATTGGACTTGAAGCTGTAATAATCATAGTCAGTAGTATTATTACCAGCATAGTGAACCAGTCAAAGCAACACAATGTGCTTGTCTGACATGAATAGACATACATCACTTATGACTTAATCCAGAGTGCGCTCCGTACGGGAGTGTGGCACGGCTGGATTGGTAAAGTGGAAGAATCAATTATGCTAGGAGAATAAGAAAAAATAAGAGTGAGTACAATCCTTATTCTGACTTTCTTGTATCCTCCATGCACTCCGTACTAAGGACAAGGGGTTGTACAGCATGAGGTATGCCAAGTACCAAAATACATCATTAGGTACCAAGGGTTCGTCATAGCATCCATCCATCTTTTTTTTTTTTCCTTTTCAGACCGAGATTCCGATGGTGAATTACCATTTCTGATTTGCTTATCAGGGGTATGGAGGAATACTTTTCAGTGGCGTGCAAAGTACAGTGCAAAGCATGTATCCCAACATGGCTGAATTGATCTCTGGAAATTCTCCAGAATCAGACAATGGACGAGTGGAGCTGACGACGTCAGAGCTGGGGTCGTTCCATGGATTTCTTACCAACCGCCGTGCATATATGTTACATACCGTATTGGCTGCATTTGTCTCGGTAGAATATGAGGGTATTTGTTGAAGAATAATGGTTGCTAGTACTCTATAATAATATTCTGGGGGTATTTCCAGTAGTCTTAAGTTAAACTAATAGATTTGAGATAAGCCATTGTCTTTTTATGTACGTCGCTAAATACAGTATCCTTCTTTATTCTGACTACTGTAATGTATCGGCCGCTCGGCCATCGGCGGACATAATACGGAGTACAGTCCTAGATTTTGCGCAAAGTTTTACTGCCACAAGTACATACATAATTGAGATGGAAATTTTTGTAGGCAGATGTTTTAGGTATATAAACTGAGTATCAACTCTAGTCCAGGACTCTGGATTCTAAAGCCATCAATCCAATCCTTGAGTCAAGGGAATGGCCGTGCCACCGTCTAAATGCATGCAATACGGAGTAGAAGGGCATTGACCTCTGGGATTTGAACTCTGCTTTCTTCAGGAACCACTATCAATCCTTACCTTTTCTGATCCATATGAAGATACGGAATACAAAACACATACACAGACATATTCAGGGAAACCCATGCCCTTCACGGAATCTTCTGCAGAACCCGCTGCATATGAAAAACTCAATTGCGAGGGCTGACTGAGGATCTGTATCACATAGGCCGTCACACCATAGCATCATCTTCCTGAGAGCTGAAATCGTCTGTACCAATTTTCAGCCCCTAGAAAACGTACACTGTGCATAAAACTGCATTACTCTACATACGCGCATTTAACTATGTTCTTTGTAGTCTGGTAAATACATGTATTATCGGCGGTCGGCAAAACGACGTCATGCCGTTGGGTCCAAAGAATCGAGTCCATCGATCCGTCCATAGTACGCTTCTTTTCGTATACAATTACTCTGAGGGAAAAGAGGAAAGAGGACTAGCTGCACAGAGTACACTGATATGACAGCTATTGATGATAATCGAATAATCGACATGGACCGTTCCATTCCCGGCACTACCAATAATATATTTTGTGGTAGAGCGCTGTTGTCGTCATCGGATTGACGGATAGGGGCTACCAACGGTTTTTAGAGCTATTCAATGGAGCACCAATCTTCACTCGGTACTACTATTGATCACTAGGATACTGGTTATTTCTGATTACTTCATACCAGCATCCATTCTACGGAGTACAGTAGCTGTAGGCGACAGGATGATATTATCACACGACTTATATTAATTACCCCTGGATCTTACTCGTGGCTATTAATATACACCATCCCAGGGTATTGGTAGACTATATAACCATTCGTGCACCATGTCCCAAGGGCTCCATATATATAATTACGATTGCCCCTTTCATTTCTTTTTATAACGTTCTCTCAATGCTACGGAGCAATAGTGTTATGGCAGATGACGTTGTACACATTCCATCATTTAACATCGTCCTTTTCCTGATCAGGAACTCTCCGATGATAGTAGCCATAAGTCGCTGTTGATCTCCCAGGAGTCAATCAGATCGGATGTCTTTCCGCTTGGTAGATGCCTGTGCGTAAGCTATTTGGGGGGAAACTATCTTCGGAGGATAAGTTGATGGACGGGTATGCTTGTGCTTGTCTATTTACGGGATGGCATATGGTCAGACGTTATATTCAGTTATTATTATGATATCAAGTTAGTAGTGTTAATTAGCTACTTGTGAAGACCTATTTGCTTGTTCGATTATAAATAGAATTGATAGTAGATATGTATAAAGGTCTCAATGGATATATATTCAGGGGTATGATCCTAACAAGATAAGAGCTCATGCATCATGCCCACTCCTACTATGTTTGCATTGAGACACTCCAAATGCTACCCCAAGGACGTGTCAAGCTCCATATATAGTACTGTACAAATAAAAAAGAGTTTCAGGGGACAATGCGCAAAGTAGCAAAAGTATGTAGACCTGCCACCGCACTATTGCATTTTCATACCCACTTGACAAGCTACCGGACGATGTACAGCATAGTTCAGGGACAATGCGCTATCAACGGGGCGGTTTCTCGATTCTTCCGCAACGGTTGCGAATATCACTCGATAGAGTATGGGTACTGCGCACTGTCCTTATGAAGTTATGGTGATCATCCCGGAGTATTTCCTCTGGACTAGAGTGCGGGAATGACGTAGCTTCTTGAGCTCGCTAAGACATACTGTGCACAGGGTAGGGTAGTTCACTATTGTACGGAGCAGTGCTTGTGTACTCCGTACTCTGTATTCAATGTCTGGTGAATTGCCAGAGCTGGTGGTACCTGGCGAATGGCTACTGTATAGGGCAAGTCTCGTGACATCAGCTGACTCAGATACGATATTTTTGCCTCAGGCATCGGAAGCGGCCTCTGTTGGCACGAGGATAACCCCGACCGTTGTCCCTTTCTATTTTCTTTGCTGGATCTGTTGATTTTGATGCTGTGACTGTGAACGAGGCGAATTGCTTCCTTTTTGCTTTTTCTTTTTCTTTTCTTTTTTTCACTCCCTTTAATTTCGTTCTCTATTTTCTTCAACTCCCCCGCCTTGGTCTCACTTTGTTCGATTTAGAGCTGAAAAGGAAAGAAGGGAAAAAAAAAAAAAAAGCCCCCTCTTCCTCATCATCACCACCACTACCCGGCCGTTTTTGTCCTTATGACATTTCGCCGTTCACTTAAGCGTGTTTTCTGACCTGCCGACCTGTAAAGTCCGTTCTTTTCTTCGAAATTATATCACCTATGGCCGTCAGTTGAGGGGTTGGATTCTGAGTATTTCAAAAGGAAGACAAAAGCACCAGTTGAGATGGAGGATCACATTCTTGGAGAGGATCTACCGCTCCCACCCGCACGCCTTTTCGAACGACTCTCCCAGCTACCGGGCTATACGTGGGACCAATCAAGCGAGCCGTTCCATTCGACCTACAGTCACTGGCATGTCTTCGGAAACCGTCTGTCACCGGAATCCGATGCCTCCACGCCCGCCGCAACCTCCTCCGGTCCCTCCAGCCTTGCCCGCCATTCGCCCCGTGCCGAGTCCCGTCCTGCGTTCCGCCATCATTGGAGAAACAGCTTGAGCGAATCCAGCAGCGAGATCTCCCTGTCCAGACTTGATCAAGAACCAGCATGGATCCCCGTGATAGCCCGCGTCTCCTCCCATATCGTGAGGCTCGAGCGCGAGTTTCACATGATCAGATCCGTCGTTCAGACCTCTGACCCCGACTGTAATCATACAATACGACCCCTCGATCTGATCCGTCTACCGCCAGATCCGGGTGACATAGGACCTTTGTTGGTGGCTACCTTCGAATCGCCTGGTCCTAATATGCTTCGCGAGCTGGTTGCTTTTGGGCCGGCGTGGTTTGCCGTGGGGGCCAAGAGTGACAGCAACGACTCGACTCCCGGAGAGCAGGTTTCTCTCGCGACTTTTCTCGATTTTGCGATTGGCGCGTGCGACTGCTTGGAACTCCTACATTACGGCTTGAAAACAGTCCATGGTGAAATTCGCGGTGATGCGTTTCACTTTAACCGGGATACTGCCTCCGTGAAATTGACGAATACGGGAAACGGTGCAAGGTCTTTTGATAACATTCTGAGTGAGGGTTGGTCATCTTTATCGCGGGAGCTAGGCGTGAAGAATAAGCTGCAGTTCATTGCCCCTGAGCAGACAGGCCGTATGCCTACGGAACCCGATAGTCGGACGGACATTTATGCTTTGGGTGTGCTCTTCTGGACAATGCTAGTTGGGAAACCGGCGTTCACCGGTGAGGAGGCGGTCGAGGTGGTGCAGAATGTGCTCGGGAAGAGGATGCCCCCGGTCTCTGCCAAACGTATGGATATCCCCGATGCCGTCTCGGCCGTGATTCAGAAGATGACCCAGAAGACGGTGACCGATCGCTACCATACAATTTCGTCGGTGAAGAGGGACCTAGCGCAGATCTCCCAACTGCTTGGTGATGGCAACAGCGAAGCCCTAAAGGACTTTCAGATTGCCCAGCGTGATGTGTCTTCGTTCTTCACCCTTCCATCTCGCATGTTTGGACGACGGCAAGAGTACGACAAGATCATTGGTGTGGTTGAAAAAGTTCACAGGCGTCAACAGTCGGCCCTGGCAAGGTCAGCGGCCCAGAACTCTAGTGGGCTAGGATCTGGTTCCTCGATATCAGATAGCCGTGTCGATAGCTTTGAGATCACGTCAGCTTCCAGTGACTCGGGTTCATTCCATCTGGCTGCACCCAAAGCCAACTCGAACGGCGGGCTCAATCCTCTCGGACGCGTTTCGACCCATGAGTCGCTCCATAGCACCGAGTCATCGTTATCCACTCCTAAACCTGGAAGCAAAGCCAAGAGTCCCGTAGATTCGACCCGTTCTTCGTGGGAGACAATCGATCGCGATAGTCAACCGTCCACGAGCACCAACACACCGAGCCATGGGGACAATACTCTAGCGGTCCACAACAGACACAAGGCGGCACACAAGCTCCGTCGCTCTGCGCGTTGCGAGGTGATCACCATTAGCGGTGCGGCGGGAATAGGGAAGACGGACCTTTTGAACCGGGTGCAGCCGGCCATTCGCAAGCTTGGTTACATTGGAATTGCCCGTCTTGACCGAGCAAGACGGATTCCCTTCGAGCCCTTTGCCAAGATCCTTGCCAGTCTCTTGCGCCAGATTTTCTCCGAGCGCGATGTCACAACAGATTATCACAACAGTGTGCGGACGGCATTGCGCCCGATGTGGTCCACTTTGCATCAAGTCCTGGAACTTCCGGAGCAACTGATGTCGCCCGGTGGGAAAGAGAACGACGTCTCCCCAAGGCTCTCTGCAGCGCAATACATTCTGAAAGATGCGTCAACCAGAGGGGAACCGTCCAAGCGGGTCGTGCTTCCCCGACTCGATCGCGGCCAGAGCTCTGTGGAGTTCTTCTTGTCGAATGCGGCTTTGAAGAACATGCGCTTGATGGAGACTTTCTTGGAGATTCTGAAAACGCTATCGCAATTCAAGTTGATCTGCGTGTGCGTCGATGATCTCCATTATGCGGACGACGAGACCCTCGAGTTGATCATGAATGTCATGAAAGCAAAGATCCCATGCGTGCTCATCCTGACAAGCCGCCCAGCCGAACTTGAATCCGACGCCATCAAGTCACTCTTCGAGGCCGAAAACCCCAACATCACCAGACTTGCTCTCAACCCACTTGGCGAACAGGAGGTTATGGAACTCGTCGCGGCGACAATGCACCAAGAGCCAAATACGATGCTGACGCCCTTAGCAGCTGTCATTCAGGAAAAGAGCTTAGGAAACCCGTTCTACGTACGGTTGATGCTCGAAACATGCTATAGCAAGACCTGTATATGGTACTCATGGAAGAATTCTGTGTGGGAATTTGATCTGGATCGAATTTTTACCGAATTTGTGGCACCTACGTATGGCGAAGGGCTTGGTCTTGGGTTCATGAAGAGGCGTCTTCTAGAAATCCCATCGTTGGCTCAGTTGATTCTCGCCTGGGGTGCATTGTTGGGGAGCCCGTTTTCGTTTTCTCTCGTCCAGAAGCTGCTTACGAGCGAGTTTCTGTACTCCAGTGAGGATGATGAGGTGCAGGACTTGACATGTCCGGATAATGTGAACTTGATCCGGCAGTCGGAAGCGGATATCGTTGTTGGGTTGCAATATCTTGTTCAGGCTAATTTGATTATTCCCGGGAGGACGGATGATGAGTTCAGGTTCGTATACTCTTACTTAGTTTTATGGATAGCTCTAACAGAGTGCAGATTTGCCAATGATCGACTGGCGCAGGCCGCCGCTTCGTTGACCGAAGGTCGAAATGTCGAGAAAATGCATTTCATCATCTCGCAAGCCATGAAAAAGTACTACCATGATGGTCGTAGCCGTTACGCCATGGCTCGCCACGTCGCTTTCGCATCGCGCATAATCGGATCGCGTGTCGTCCAGCGACTCGACTACCGAAAAATCCTTTGGGATGCTGCGCAAACCGCAGCCCAGTCTGGCGCTCGACCAACGGCCCTGTGGTACTTCCGCCACTGCATGGCCCTCCTTCAAGACAGCCCATGGGATGACAATCTCACTGACGTTTACTACGACGAAACGCTGCGTTTGCACATCGCCACAGCGGAGATGTCGTGGTCCCAGGGTCAGAACACGGATGCTCTGGTGTTACTTGATATGGTTTTCACTTATGGGAAAACTGCCGTGTGCAAGTCGAGGGCGTGGATCGTCAAGGCAAAGATCTATGCCCAAATGGGAAATCATCTTCAATCCATGGATTCCCTTCTCACATGCCTGGAGGAGCTTGGAGTACATATTCGTGAGCCAACGACATACGAAGAGTGCGATGCTGCGTACAACAACCTAAAGGCGGTCGTCGAGAAAGCGAGCTTAGAAGCCATTGTCCGTAAGCCGGTCAGCAAGGACATTAACATGATCACCATCGGTGCTGTCATGGCTGAGGCGATGGCGGTTACCTATTGGGATGATGCGCTGACTTTCTATCGAACTGCAATCGAGATGATGAACCTCCATATCTTCCGTGGCGGATTCGTCCAGATCTCGATCGGATGCTCCCATCTTGCTATGATCTCCTTCAGTCGGTTCAGGGACCTCGACCTCGCCACAAGACTCAGTGACTTGGCACTCATGCACCTCGATCGCTGTCCTGAACCATGGACCCAAAGTCGCGGCTCCATCGTCCACAACCTCTACGTTAGTCACTTGCGGGTTCCCATGGCCTCGACACTCCCGGCATTGGAGGACTCGTTGGAGGTTTCGTTTTCGATGGGGGATCCGTACATTACGTTGATCAGTTTGTCGTCTATGGCGATGACGAGGCTGTTTTTGGGTCATGATATGGCACAGTTGGAGGCGTTCTGTAATGAGAGCCCGGATGATATCCCGGAATGGTTGAATGATACCCGCGGAGGCGCTAGTCTTGTTGCTGTCCGGCAAGTTGCACGTGCTCTGCAAGGCAAGACGGCCAGCCAATGTCCCGAAACAATCATGGAGGATGAAAACCACAACACTGCACTCTTCATGACCTACTTGGACGCCAATGCGAGCAACGCTGACCGGCCTCGCGATATCTACTGGGGTCTCGCCATGATCCCTCTGTTCATCTATGGCCACCACACAAAAGCCATCGAACTTGGTATCCAGATGATGGAGACAATGCCGCAATTGTGGTCAGCCCGTGTTGCTTACGTTGTCTACTTCTACCTCGCACTCTCCCTTCTCACTCTCCACAATGACTATCCGGCGCGCGGGTACTTGGACGGAAACCTGAAGATCGTCCTACAGTACAAAGCGGAAGTTGATTTTGCACGGAGCACTTGTGATGCAAACTACGGCATGTGGTCGTTAATTCTGGAGGCACTGATCTACGAGGTTCGCAATGATCACACCTCTGCAATCCAGACTTTCGAGGCCGCGATCGACCACTGCCAAATTCACGGGTGGCCGTTGGAAGAAGCCCTTGCACTCGAGTTGCACGGCGAGTTCCTGATCCGACGCGGTGCCAAGAGAGCTGCACGTTCTGTGATGCAAGACGCTATCGCAGCATGGGCTGCTATCAGCGCAGCAGGGAAGGCAGCACAGCTTTCTGAAAAGCATGAGTGGTTGCTTAAGACGGCTACTTCGTCGAGGAGCATCGATGTCGGATGCCAAACTGTTGACTCGCTCGAGATTGATCATACGGCAGTCGGACAAGATCATATGGTGATGACTCGGAACATGGAGGATGATAGAAAGCATCGCTGGATAGAGCAGAATGAAGTTACCACGGGGGAGCGGTCGCTTGATAGTATCTCTGCTTTTGGAATCGACATTATCGATCTGTCGAGCATTCTCGAATCCAGTCAAGTCATGTCGTCTGAGCTCCAGATCGATAAGCTCTTCACCAAGATGATCGAGATTGTGCTTGAATCGTGTAACGGGTCGGACTATGCAGTCATTGCTACAGATTTTGACGACAATGGCTTCGCCGTTGCAGCCGCAGGTGATCTTGAAAAAGGACAGAAGTCCTTCGTCGATGGCCTCCCATTCTCCGAAGTCGACGATAAGATGGCCCAGCAAATCTCACACTATGTGATGCGTACCAAGGAGAGGGTTCTCGTCCACAACGTCCTCGAGGACGAACGTTTCTCCAACGTCAGCGAGGCCTACCAGGCACGCTTCCCATTCGGTCGATCTGTGATCGCGCTGCCAATTCTGCAAGCAGAGCATCTTCTCGGAGTCATCCATATCGAAGGGAAGCCGAATTCCTTTACGCAACGAAACGTGATGGTCCTCCATTTGCTCTGCAATCAGATTGGTATCTCGTTGTCCAATGCGTTGCTCTTCCGGGAAGTTCGCAAGGTCAGCGCGACCAACGCGTCGATGGTCGAGGCGCAAAAGCGCGCTCTCGCCCAGGCCCGCGAAGCAGAGCAGAAAGCCAAGGCCGCGGAAGCTGAGGCCAATCATAACGTGAAGCTCAAGGAAGATGCGGCCAGAGCCAAGTCCATCTTCCTGGCAAATATCTCGCACGATCTGCGGACGCCGATGAACGGAGTTATTGGTCTTTCGGAGTTGCTCAAAGGTACTCATCTGGATAAAGAGCAAGATGAATATGTCGAGTCGATCCGTGTCTGCGCTGATACGTTGCTGACGCTTATTAATGACATACTGGATTTCTCGAAGTTGGAGGCGGGCAAGATGAAGATCTCTACGGTTCCGTTGAATATCAAGGAGACGATCTCGGAGGTTGTTCGTGCGCTGCGGTACACGCATCGGGATAGAGGCTTGGAGACGATTGAAGATTTGGAGAAAGTTCCGCCGGACCTTGTTGTGTTGGGTGATCCTGTTCGTCTGCACCAAATCTTCATGAACCTGCTCAGCAATAGCTACAAGTTCACGCCAAAGGGATCCGTGGCTGTGAGGGCTAAGGTTTCCCGCGAGGGTAAGGGTCGTGTGCGTCTCGAGTGTTCCGTGACGGATACTGGAATTGGAATTCCCGAGGAGCAGAAATCGCGACTCTTCAGACCGTTCTCGCAGGCCGACAGCTCGACCGCAAGATCCTATGGGGGTAGCGGACTGGGACTCAGTATCTGCAAAGCTATCATTGAGGATGTCCTGGGCGGTGCGATATGGCTCGATTCAGCGTCCGGCCGCGGCACAACAGTGACGTTCCACCTGTCCTTCAATAAGGCGCCCAAGGAAACCTTCGCCAAAGCCACCTATTCCCAGAGTCACAACCAAATCGAGAACAAGACACCTGCGAAGCCAATCGCCTGCGATCTTTCCATGGTTCCCCGCGAGCAGATCCGCGTTTGCATTGCTGAAGACAACCCCATCAACCAAAAGATCGCCGTCAAATTCGTCGTCGGGCTCAACCTCCGATGCGAAGCCTACAGCGACGGCCGCCAAGCAGTCGAAGCCCTGCGCGCACGCTCCCAGGAAGGAAACCCCTTCCACGTCGTCCTAATGGACGTGCAAATGCCAACTCTCGACGGCTACAACGCCACCCGCGAGATCCGCCGCGACCCAGACCCCAACGTCAACGAAGTCCTCGTAATCGCCATGACGGCGTCCGCCATCGAGGGCGATCGTGAGAAATGCATCGAGGCGGGCATGAATAATTATCTTCCCAAGCCCGTGCGCTCGAGTATCCTCTCCGATATGCTGGATAAGTACCTCGCTCCTGTGCCGACTTATACGAAGACAAGACTGGCGATTCGTGACAAGAATCGGGCGAGTGTTAGTGCTGCTGTTACTGGGTCTTCATCTGATGTTGGAGTGCCGAGTCCTAATAGTTTTACGTCATTGGGGTCGGAGAATGTTGTTCTTTCGCCGGATGAGAAACAGTTGGAGAAGTCTCCATCAGAAGCGGAGTGATCCTTTCTTCTGCTTAGGCTTTTACTTATTTCTTACGTTTTGATATTGCAGACCAGAAAACCAAACGGGAACGGGAAATACGTCTCATAGATATTGTTGTTTCTCGTTGGAGTTCGGGGTCAGTTTTCTATTCTTGTCTTTCTACAGTTCTATATCCCCTTTTCATTCGAGAGCGTGATATTCATTATTGGTGTTTTAATTGTTTCTTTCCTTTTCTTTCCAATGAATGATGACGATGGATATGAATCATGATGCGGTTGTTTTTCGTTCTTTCCTTTGAGTGGATGATCGAAATTCTTTTTCTTTCTTTCTTCTAATACTTGAGATACCTGCTGTTGTTTCATTATTATGTTTCTTTAAAAGACAGTCTGGAGATGGGTTGGAGTTTGCTTGTGGTAATAAATACAATGTGCATAGGTGCTTTTAGGATATAGAATTGGGTCTGTATCTTGAAATACTTCGATATGTACATGCATAGTCTAAAATGCTTGTTTAAGCAATGACTTCTCTTCTACCCAGAATGCGCAGTCGCTTCACACCTCCATCCGGCACGAGAGTCAACTTGACATGAGAGAAGACCCGAGTATCCTCGCCCTCGGCAGCAAGGTCGTCACCCTCAAACACATGCTCCATGTCCGCCTTACAAGCCCTGTCCCCCTTAAGCAACTCAACCCACTCCGGGTCATCATGCGCAGGAACCTGCCCCTCCTTATCCTTCCTCCCCACCAACCCATGCACCCTCACCGTCCGGGGGAAATTTCCCCGGAAATCCTTCGTATCCACCACAATCCTGGCCACAGACCCCGGCAAACCAAGCTTGATAATCGCCCAATCGACATGCCCAGGACCCCGCGAACGAGCCGTCTCCCACCCATCACCCATATTCTCCCCACGACCAGGAAGCAACAGGTTCGAGCACGGCGTGAAATGTTGATCCGACGCACCCAGCGCCAACCCACCCACCAACGCCGACGAGAGCTCCTCAACCGGCAAAACCGCGCGGTCCGTGCTCGCGATAACCTGCGCTGGCAACGCAGGCGGAATAGCATGCCCATACAACCTCAACCGCCCAAACCCGCCATCAGGATACATCAACAACCGTACATGCGTGTAGGGCTTCGAACTAAACTGCCCACCAACAAACCACGCTCTCCTCTGCGAAGGCCCACACTCCTTCGCCGGCAAAATAGTCTCCCACTTGTCATACCCAGCCTTGGCGATCTCCTCATCCGACGTCTCTACCCCGCCTTCGGCATTCGTCGCCTGCACCTCGGCCTTCTCGCCAAAGTTCCCCACAAAGAACCCCGTGTCCACCTCGATACCCTTGATAACTGCACTGGCCACACCAAGCTTGACCACGACCCAGTCGTAGGGCTCTGGGTTGTGGCGTCTTGTCTCCCAGCCATCGTACCAGGCGCCTGTGTGGACGAAGACGCCGGGGCGGTTGATGGGGGGTGTTGGGGTGAGGAGGTTTGTGGCGGAGGCGAAGTAGTCGTCTGAGCGGGAGAGGACTTTGGTGTTTAGGGCTGCGGAGGCGAGGTTGGTGGTGTGGGCGAAGGTGGTGTCGATTTCTTTGGAGGGGATGAAATCGGTCGCCGTGGTGGTTTCGGCGGCGGAGGGGGGGAATGCGTTGGCTTCCATGTTGGTTGAGAGAGAAGAGAAGAGAAGATCTTAGTCAAGGAATGGTAGTAGAAGAAGGGGATTGACTTGGATTATGAAGAGGAAGAGGAGTTGGGATATGGACTATTTATATACTCCGAACATGGTAGCTTATTCTAGGCGGGGTTGACGTTATCGATAACGGAAATGGTAGATAGGGCGGTATTACTCGATGTGATCGAGAAATGCCTTCCATCTTCTCTTCTTCGTTTCTTATCTTCTTCATGATGGCTATTCCGTTTGATTCTAAATGCTTCATTGAAATAACCGTTTAAATAACTCTATAATGGTCACAGCTCTGACAACACTGTGTACAAACTGCCCCAGCACCGGAACTCTCCGATACACAACGCAGCCCTCCGGATGATTGCGCACTGAAACACCTGCCACGAATCTTCATGAAAAGGAACACCTCCTAGCAAAACACGTGCTTAGAGTCAACCAGTCCTCGACAAGAAGCTCACTTTCTGGAGTCATCACATCATCTATCGTGTTCTCCGTCGGCTCTTTTCTTTCCATTCAGCTCAGGGGGTGGGCTGGAGGCTGGCGCTGGTCGTTTCATGTCATGCAGAGTGCCACAGAGCCTCCCCGGTGCCGATTTGGGGCATTGGGAGATTCTCTGTTATTATGTGACGGTTGGATGGTACACATGGTGTACGTGTCGCACGTGTTACTGTTACAGCACTCGTTGACATGTGTGACGTTCTACCAAGGGGGATTCGGGAGTCGATTCCTGTGTTCTGTTGTGGCCTGTGATGATGCAGGGGTCCTTTCGTACAGAATAAGGAGATGGAATACGGAGAAGAATACGGAGAGAAAGGCAAGTGAAAGAAAGCAGTTGGTATTATTATGTCTAAACTCCGTGTGTCATGATGGTATGCTTCGCAGGTTCCTGAATCTTCGAATGCCGGAAATGATGAGAAAAAAGAACGATCCAACTCCTAGTATACATGTCTCCGTCTTCAAGCCCCGGTCTTCGTCGCTAACTCCTCCAGATGATGATACCTCCATGCGATTTGTTTCATCTGCGTCTTTATTGTCGGATCTAGAGTCCCGTTGTCCTTCGCCTCCTTGTCCAGGTGTTTCAGCATTTCCCATCGCTTGAGGATACGGGCCTGGTTTTCCGCAATTGCTACCAGGTTGGAGTCTTTCGATGCCATGCGGGCGTCAATGGTTGCTTGGTAGGAGAGCTTTGCGCGGAAGAGCGCCATTTCGGATTCGTCGTAGATGAGGCCTCGTGCTTCGGGGAAAGATGCGTGTTCGTAGATCTGCAATGACGGCATTTTCGGTTGCAATCTTGCAAAAGTGGCAGTCGTTCTGTGTTTATTTCTGGGGGACGGAGAGCTTGACGGTCTGCTTGCTTTGTTGGAGGAGAGCGAAGGAGGATTCAGGACGACCGGATTCTCCACAATGTTAAGAAAAGGTGGAATTGGAGAGGACTGAGATTGAGGAGAGATATATGTCTTCCAAAAAAGAGGTGTCTGAAGCTGGAGAAAAGGAAGAGTTGCTTTGATGCACAACAATGAAGGTCTGTTACCAACTCCATATATATATAAACCCCAGCCTTGGCAATGTTCAATGATCTTTCATTGTTCTTTGGTGACAGGCGCCAAGGTAATACCAGGGCTGTCACCGACTGCACCACTGCACTTCAACCCGAAATGATGCAGCTGAACGGCAGAAACAACAGATGATCAAAAAAAAGAAAACGGAACTCCTTTGAAAAAAAAAATTCCTCCCACTGCCAGTCTGGTTGCATTGGTTGCCCTGCGAAGGTCCCAGTATGAGCAACTTCCGTTGTTCCCCATTGGGACAAATTGTGAAACCACCCGAATACCACCGCGCAACCGAACCGGACAGAACATGTCTGTACTGATGGCCACGAGCCACGACACTCCCTCTTGACCGTATAACTGGTGGCGAGTCGGTGTAGACGGAATTATTGGCAACGGTTTTTCTAGAGCCGGATCGTGTTTTGGAAGTTTCCACGGTTCTATAATGGAGCTTCCTTTTTACAAACGACACATGGGGACAAGCCGCCGGTCATGTTTGCTTCCGATGGGCTGCATACATGCTGGGGTCCGTCTACATACAGCAATCGATTGGCTGGCCACATGGAACAAGGGGGGGGAAGAAGGATCTATCTGAGTTCAATCGCGCGCTGAGACCTGATTCGCGCCGATCTGGGGAAATAAACAGCAAAACGAAAAAGAAACGAACTTCAGTGTAACCCGGAGGTGTCTTGAAGATGCCGCGGCCGTGCGTCATTCAGCCATCGGTAATTGCATTCTTCAACTTCCCTTTTTGTTAGATGCATTGATTGTCAGATTGCCACGCCAGATTACGGGGAAGTTGGGGGATCTCCTGACGATCCTGGAATAGAACAGTGGCAGAAATGGATAAAAATGGAATAGCGGGAGATCAGAGCGCGTGTCTGTATGGATGATTGCCTGACCGGCTGCATGTAACCGTTGTTTTGTGTCGCAGCGGTGTTGTCTGCTTGGACTGCTACATGGCACGCTGGCGATTAGAGTGATTTTCAGGTATGTCTACTTACGATCTCCAATAACCATTTAGAGCACATCTTATGCGATCAGCATCAGCATCATGAACGCCAACCCAATCTGACGCTGACACTGACAAACCTTCTCCGTACAAACCTCCGACAAACACTGGGTACTTGTACATATACATGCAGGTCATGCATTAAACCCTCCTTTTCCTCCTATAACCTAGCTTCCGTACCGTAAATGACCTGCATAATTGCCACCTAAGTACCTTCCAGCAGAAACCCAAAGCGGAAGAGATCAGATATGCACGTTATTCTGCATTTTCCCGAGAAGCTAATTAACCTAGATCATGTGCTCTGTACGACGGAGTACGCATGTCCACGCTGTTATTATTATGCTATTGTATTCTAGAACAGTGCCAGGAATACAGACAACTGCCTTACGTGCTGTACGTTTTATGTTGTGCAAGCCCAATTTCTGAAGAAGCCTGGTTTCAGAAATGTAAGCTGTTTCAGGAGTTGGGCTGAGGATCTGGACGTAATCACGGGGAAATAAGCGGTGTGGCTGGAGGGTATTATTGCTTATTTTGCCTTCTTGTTGTTCTCATTGTTGTCCTGGGGTATTTGTCAAGAGGGTGCAGCAAGTTCCGAACGGTTCCAATGAGTAAACCATGTTTATTCGAGAACGACTTTCTTGAACTGTGGACTTGCTTCAATCCACTTCTTGAGAAAAACCTTACCCACTCCACACCGACGAGCCATATTTGTCTCAGTCTCATCCTTTGGACAAGCATCACATTGAGTACAGTCAGATCCTGAGGACACTCGCTGCCAGAGGATGGATAGGATTGACATGACTGGCCAGAGTTGTATGGATATGCAACATTCATTTCTTCAGAATAGTGGAATCGAACTAAATCTCGCGCAAGGATGTCGTCCAATTCTTTACCCGCTAATGGGCAGTTGTTTATGTGTGAATCAGTCGATTTAGATTCAGATCCACCGGATCTTGGAGGGCGATGACATGGACAACCAGTAAGGTCTGCAATTGATCGAGTCGTCGCCAATGACACCACTGATGCCGTTTTCATCCCCTAGGTATAGTATAAACTCTCCTACGGTGTTAATGAGAGTACTCTGTTCGTAGCTGGGTATCTGAAGGACACCGGCAAACGAGCCATTGGCAGCGTAGATCCACAGCGGGTAATCTTGATGCGAACCATGGAAGAATCTCAATAACGGGCTATTGCTTTGTGGGCCGTATCTGGGGGCTCTGGCCTGAAAATAAGCTGTGAACCATGATAGGAGAGACGGTCCTGAGGCCATCCGGAGAGAAAACAGCGGCATTATTCTCCTTCTCGCTCGAAGCAAACGCCTCGTTCCAGAATGAATCGCAGGTCGGTTATCCGCCACCAAGCGCTCTATCACACATGCAAAACATTGCTGTTGTAGCTCAGGGGGCGGAATTTGTAGAAAACAAAGGTTGGAAATAGTCACCAAGTTGGATGAATTTCTCGCTATTGACATCTTGACGATTCAAAACGATTGGATAAGGTCTTCTTCTATCAGGACTATCAGGCGAGGTCTGTCGCCGCCAGGATAACCCGGGTTCGGATTCCAGGAAAGGGAAAATTAATATCTGAGGAATACATACCCTAGTACATTGGAGATAATGAAAATGGGATTGGGGTAATTACTATAAGTAGGTTGTTTACTTACAGACTGTTTGCGGTGTATATAGGGCTATCTTATGGAACAAGAGGATAGATATAGAGTGCCACAATGCAAGTTGGCTCTATCTATAACAAGTTTGCTCGAGAGAAGTCATGCTGTTCTTATTTTTGACAAGATAAATACATCGAGAGAAACATGGGCCATGACCAACTCGTATCCATATTCAAATCCGACACATAATCGTCCTCGATCATTATCCAAGCATCGTAATATGCCAACGGGTATATGTACAGTCCTATTGCAAAGAGTAAGCATAATCCAAGTCTCTTATTCAAAATTAGTCTTACCAGAAACAAAGTAATCACAAAAGTCAATCCAAGCTAATCCAATGTCGCGTGTTGAAGTAACCGATAAAGACTCAATGGAAGCGCGCGTTAGGAGCAGGACTCAACGGAAGGCGACGAGGAGCTCTGCCGCGAGCAGGACTAGGAGTATCGAGGAAACGGACACGGCGCTGTGACTGCTGCTGCTGCTGCTGTCCATCACAATTCGCAAGCTGACGACCCCGACCCTGGCCTTCGTAAGACGCGGTCGTAGTGGAAGCAGAAGTAGTAGAAGGTATCGTGATCGGACTCTGAACAACCTGGCCCTGATTCTGGCCCGAAGAAGTCAAGCGACGCGTGCCAGCAGGCGCGTACTCGTTCAAATACAAGTCCCAAGGATCCTCAGAAACTTTCTCGCCCATGGTGATGGTTCCGCGCAAAACGAGAAGACGGTAAACGCTGCTCTCGACGTATATACAATCAATGCCGTAGGGTTTATGGGTAATGCGGGTGAAGGGATCGGTGTAGCGCCAGTAAAGAAAGTTGAGGGTGGAGAGGATAGACTGAATCTCGATTTCGGTTCTGGACATTGTGATCGTGAGAGCAGAAAAGGCAATGTCTTAGGATCAATGGATGAGGAACGAGGATGAATAATCTCACAAAGATGATTGTCTTGGAGTGGGACAGTTGAAGGAGGAATAAATAGTAAAAGGAATTGTTTTGGTGCGTTAAATAATCCTAAGATTGTTAGGGCTTCTCTTTGCGGTATTTGCAGCATGGTAAACGCCGCTAAAGGATGAAGTGAATGGATGAAAAAGCCCTGACCCTTTATTTTTCTGATTGGCTCATCTTGATGAAGGGATCATTCCATTTGTGATTCCTGGATCTTGCCTTCAGGTGGTTTCTCTTTGGCATTGTCAGTGTCTCTAATCTGAAGGATTCCTCTCATATACCATAGCTTTTTCGGGGTCATGTCTCAAACATAGCCTCATATCACCTAAAATCGCGGAAAGAACCATGGGATCTTCCATTAATATTCCATGAGACACGGCGTGTTCGAACAACGAGACCAACTATTTCGTCGCGACATCGACAAGGGCATTGCAGGGGTATCAGTGAGATTATTTCCTTTCAGACGACGGGATAGCTTCAGACTGGGCAATCCTATGGGCTGCTCAGGACAGCTTCTAAGCTATAAAAGGACCGTACCTCGCCTGTGAGCATCTTGTCTGCATAACAGCCATCTTATCAACCCCTTTCCCTCCATAATTGCCAAATCCAAAGCCCCAATATATGACAACGCCAACGGGCAGAAGCACCAAGATGGTTGCCCACCCTTGCATTCTCATCAACGAACGAGACGCCCTCATGGAAACAATTTGCAAGCAGAAATGCTTTATCTACCACTGCTCTACCGGACTAAAAATCTTCGTCGAGCGTTATAACGATGTCGTTAAACAGCTCGAGCAACTCCAGCAGAAAGACACCGCGCGAGAGCGAGAGCAACAGCGACAGGCGACCACTACCTATCCTACCCCTCCCGGACAGGCGAATTTCTATCCTACCCCCCCTGGGCAGGCGCAGAGTCTTTCCCCGAGCTCCAAGCATCAGAGTACCGATGTGGATGATTTCGATGAAAACGATTACCTACTTCCCGAGGGTTACGACCCTGCTTACGTCTGGAAATTCTATAGCGAGAGCGAGGATGGCGATAACGACGAATACGAGAGCGAGAGCGAGGGCGAGGAATGCGTCAATGACCACTTGCCGGAGCGCATGTGTGTTAGACGTGACTGCCACCAGTTTGGATTCTGTCGCGAGCATGAGTTGAGTGCTGTGTGTGTCTGCAACGGAGGCCCGTAGCTGCTGCTACTGTGGTAAGAGATCGACAAATATTTTGTTATTTCTGCTTTGTTTATTGCTTTTTGACTGCTTAATACTCTGATATTGTTCTGTTTCCGCTGGTGTTCGTGAGGTTGCTGTGTTGGAATATTGGGTAGACTGGATAGACATTTGTGATTTCGGTTTCTGCTCTGTCTGTTGCCTTCGATTTATACTTTTGTTTTTGCTTTTTTCTTTCGGTGTTTGTTTTTGTACTTTTGTTCATTGTTGTACTGCAGAGTAGTTAACTAACTCAGCTGATTAGCAATCGACGCCTCCAGCTGCGTCATTGTAATCAGCTGACTGTGATTGGCAATTGAACATCTCACCGTTTATATACAAATGCAATTCTTGTAACCATCCTTCTTTTGTAATCATTTCTCTCATAAATCTACTCGATAATGGCGTCTGCTACAGGAATTCCACAGGAACATCCTCGAACCATCGAGGCCGAGCCTTTGCTGGGCGGACCAGGTGCCGCGACCCAGAGAGAGGAGGATGCCATGCCATATAATGTGCTTACTGGTAAGCTAATTATACCATTAACATTGATAAGGCAAGTGATTTATGCTGATTGGTTGCTATAGGCACGGCTGCGATCGCCCAGGCTGGAATATGGGTGGTGAGTGCCACACTTGAGACAGATCTATACGGATCTATATACAGATGAAGCAATATTAATCAATTATTCTCAGCTGACGATTTTCGTCTGGTTGGGCGTCCTATCTCAACCGTTGATGCTTTTCACTGGTCATCCGGTGCGTACCAACGATCCCCATCCAACCCCCAATCCCATGAACCATAGCTAACTCAATACAGCTCCTTAACACCATAGCTCTCCTCCTCCAAGTCCAAGGCACCCTCATCCTCCAGCCAACAAGCACAGCGCGTCAGAAGCTCACTGGAACCCGCTTCCACTACATCATCCAAGGCCTCAGTCTGCTCGCCTTCATCGCGGCCTTTCTCGTTATCGAAATCAACAAGGGTGACCATGAGCGCCTCACGTCTCCTCATGGCGTGCTGGGGCTGATCACCTATATTGTTATTATTCTGCAGGCGTCTGTGGGCGTGGTGCAGTATTTCTTTCCGGCTCGAGTTCTGGGAAGTGTTGAAACAGGAAAGAAGATTTACAAGTATCATCGTGCGTCAGGGTATGCTCTGCTGGTGTTGGAGCTGGGGACTGTTACTGCGGCTACTCAGACGACGTTCAATCTGAATGCTTTGCATATTCCTTTGTGGGGAGTGGTGGTGACTTCGGTTTTGGTTGTTGCTGGTGTTGGCGCGAGGGTTAAGAAGCATAAGCTGGGACTTTAGTGGTCAGGATGAAAGCGCCGTATCTGCTTATAGTTCAATGAGTTATGACAATACATTTTCCTACGTTTTATCTATGACATGCTTGGATAAACATATGGAACCCATTTATTTAGTATCCCAATCGGGAAAGCGGCGGGATCCAAAACTTCAACGCCGCAGATCTTCAATCCATACAAAAACAAAACACCCTACACCACAACTCCTCCCAACGGCCTCTCCAACGGCCTCTCCAATGGCCCCCTCCATGGCCTCGAAGGCACCATACGTCTGCCTTAATTGCAGAGTATCCCGCAGATTCACCAGATTCACCCCCTCCATCCGTCGCACCTTCACCTCGTCCCTCCGCCGCCCGTCAGACGTGATCCGACCAGCAACAGCACCAAAACCCACCCCAGACGTTAAACACATCCGTCAGAACGCAGAAATCTACGGGAAAAATTGTCTCGATCGAAACTATGCCTCTCATTCCGAATACCCGCTCCGGATCCAGCAATTGTCCGAGGAGAGTCAACAGCTCGATCATGATCTCCAAGCTCCGCGGTCCCGCATTAAGCAGTTAGAGAAGATGATTGCGAAGGTGGCTCGTGAGCAACAGGAATCTACGGGACAGGAGGACCTAACAGCTCTGCGATCGGAAGCTCAACGGTTAAAAGATGAATCGCACGCGATGAACTCCCGGAAAACAGGCTGCGCGGAGGAAATCCAACGTCTCGCTCTCGCCCTCCCCAACCTCTCCTCCTCCGAAACACCTGTCGGACATGACCCCAGATTAATCGACTATATCAATTTCGATCCTCAATCGCCTCCCGAATGGGCTACCCGTGCATCACCAGATCCCTCCCGCTCCCACGTCGCTATCGGCACCTCACTGGGCCTCATCGATTTCACCAGCTCAGCCACCACGACTGGCTGGGGATGGTATTTCCTCACAAACGAAGGCGCTCTTCTCGAACACGCACTGGTTCAGTACTCATTGGCAGTCGCCCGTCGTCACGGATGGAAGATCGTTTCTCCTCCTTCGCTTGTGTACTCGTACATCGCAGAGGCTTGTGGGTTCCAGCCCCGCGACCAGCACAATGAGCAGCAGATCTGGACCGTTGAGCAGAGCGAGAAGGATAAGCACTCGAAACCCCCGCGTTCGCTGACCGGTACGGCCGAGATCCCTCTCGCGGCTATATACGCCGGTCGTGACATCGAGGCTTCCCAACTCCCCGTCAAACTGGTGGGTTCCAGCCGGTGCTACCGCGCCGAAGCAGGATCTCGAGGCGTCGACACAAAGGGTCTATACCGAGTCCACGAATTCACCAAGGTCGAACTATTTGGCTGGGCCGACAACAACAACAACAACAACAACAACAACAACAACAACAACTCCACTCAATCCGAAAACCAACACCCCTCAACAACCCTCTTCAACAACCTCCTCACCATCCAAACCGAAATCCTCACCTCCCTCAACCTCCCCTGCCGCATCCTTGAAATGCCAACCACAGACCTCGGCGCCTCCGCCTCCCGAAAACGCGACATCGAAGCCCTCTTCCCCTCCCGCCTGCGGAACACCTCCGACCTCGAACCCGCCTGGGGCGAAGTCACCTCCGCGTCTATCTGCACGGACTACCAGAGTAGACGACTAGGGACGCGGGTGCGTGGCGGGTCAGCGAAGGAGTCGAGATTCCCGCATACGGTTAATGGGACGGCGATGGCGGTTCCCAGGGTGCTGGCGGCGATTTTGGAGAACGGGTGGGATGAGAAGAGGGGGGTTGTTGTTGTGCCGGAGGTGCTGAGGGGATATATGGGTGGGTTGGAGGTCATTGGGAAGTAATGAGTCGTGTTCTGAGGGGATGTGCTTGTACGATAGGATAGAGTATGCTACGATGTGATTGATATATGATATAAAAGTACTCAGGCGTGGGCCAATTCATTTTTCATCTCAGATCTAGAATAAGGGATATAGATAGATAGGACACATGCCACCGCAAACAATAAAAACAGATATAATTAGGTATCAGTGACACAGTAGAAAAGCGAAAGGACATCAATTGAAACAGGGTAAATCGGATCAGATGATAGTTTCTCTTGTCTGCTCAGAGGGTCATAACTCATAGACACGTTTATAAGGACGTCATCGCGGTCGTTGGTTGGATAATATGTGAGGATAATAATAATAATTAGGGCCATAACGAGTGATAATATGCAATCAAGCGAGAAGACTGTACCGGGAAAGTTCGAACATAAGTATCATGTGTGATGTGTGATGAGAGAAAGAGAGTGAAAGGCGTCGATATAAAAGACGGACAACAGTAGCGTAGGATAATCGTATCGTAGACACTTCGTAAGTATCGGCAACCGGGAAGTAGAGCCAGGTCACCTCCACGGAATATCCGCATCCTCAATTTTCGTACAAGTCAAATACGGCAACTCCATAGTTCTGCTCCCCTGCTCAGCACTCGCAGTCCCACTCGCAGTGCCCTTAAGATCAAGCTCGAGGAAATTCCGCATCAACGGCTTAACAATCTCCCTAGCAAGCCGTTTAATCTCATCCATTTTGCGTTCGAAGCGCTTAAGCACATCCCGCGTATAGAGCGAGTCCGACGACGGCGTCGGATGGACCTTGAGAAAGCGCTTGAGATCGTCATGGCCCAGATACGCTTGTGAGGATGAGGAGCCGATGAGGCGGTATACCTTCGCTGGCGACGGTGAAGCAGAAGAATGGCCTACGGACGGTGGTCTGTGGGACGATGATGTGGAGGATTCAGTGTGTCGATGGTGTGTTTGGTGCGGGGTGGGCGAGTTCTTGAGGATTGAGGCTGGAGGTGGAGTTGTGCTTTCGACGAGCCATTGGCGGAAGAGGGAGACGGCGAGCCAGTCTAGGTATGCGTTGTTGGGGTTCACGCGTTCGCCGCGCGAGGTGGTGAGGGTTAAGCGGAAGAGCTTAGAGTCGACGCGGGCTTTCATGTCTTCTAGATCTTCGACTTTGTCTTCGATGATGTCGAGGACGGAGTCTGGGACGGAGGGGTAGGAGCCGTTGCGTAGGTGGGATAGGGCGGCTGGCCATTGGCCGACGACGTGGATTAGTGCTTCTGAGAAGACGACTCGGCTGCGCGCCATGTAGCCTAGTTTCAGGTAGCTGGGTGGGTATTTGGCGATTTGTTTGAATAGTCGTGTTCCGAAGCCCAGGAGGTGATGGTCAACCCGGGGGCCTGTGACTGGTAAAGCGTCGTACATGTCGGCCAGACCGAGGAGACACTTGGATTCCGCGTAGGCCGTCGCGATATTGACGCTGTTCAAGGTCGGGAAATGGTTGTAGAATAGACGGAAGAGGTTATCGTAGTCGCGAATGAGCGGGTGCTGAGGCTCGTCTGATGTGTTATGAGGCAAATTGTTCGTTGACTGCATGCCCGTCAAGTTCGCCATTGAACGGAAGAAACCTGCTTGTGACCCCGATGGCTTTGTCACTGCCGGAGGTGGTTGAACCGCATTCGCAAAGGCTGAAGAAAAGCTTGGTGGCTGACAAACGTTAGACATGTTTGCTTTTCCATAGTGAGAGCACCAACCTTCTGGACGAGAATCGGTTCCTCGTCTTCTGCTTTGTTCTGCCAATCCAGCTCAAACCTCAACCTTCTCTTTTCGATCGGACGAGACATCCCTCCAACATCCGATTGCGCAAGGGTCGATCCAGTAGATAGTGTATCATCCTCGGTCATCCGCGACATAGCACTACCATCTGGCTTTGGGGGGGCTGATACAGCTGATACAGGCTGCCTTGACCACTCCTCGCTGGTACTAGCCGCGAAGAACCCTGAACACTGCGCTAATATCAACCGATGTAACAAGTATCGCTTCTCTTGTCCTCCCGCGCGTATAACAATTTCGACGTCGCCCGTATGCGTGAAAATGGGAAAATCATTCTGCGATTGCCGAGTGGTGCCGCCGTGGTGAGAGTGGCCAGAACGTCGACGGCTGTGACGCGACACCACAGAGGAAGTCGCATTTCGCGGAGGCATAGGGCGATCGAGAACATGGGCCTGAGAGACCATTTCGCTAACAGAGGTAGTCGACCTCCTGTTTGTCATGGCCGGTTTTTAAGGCGGCGCGTATAGGCGTAGGCTCGCGGAGAAGGGTCGGTCAGTGATGCATTACCAGACACCCCAGGCGCGCGCTGCAAGTGGAATCTCCCATGCAAAGCAGAAAGCCAGAAATAATGCTCGTCTGTATTGCGAAAAGTCGGAGGTGAAGAAGGAAGAGAGTCAGGACGTCGCCGGTGTTTTTGTGTTCCCCGCAACGATGATTTGAAACGGCGGACGGAGCAGTTGTTTATGGAGTCGAGTTGCGGCGCACAGGAATATCGTTTCGAGGAAAGAAGCTAGGCTAGTAACTAGCAGAAAGTGGAATTAGTCTCTGGCCTCTAGCAAAAAAAGATCTGAATCGTATTGTGGAAAAAGGTCCCACTTGATGCAATGCATATAAATAAACACCTGGATCACCATGGGAGACTGCAAGAAAAAAAAAAAAGGGGAGAACTGACACACATACACAGCGTACAATGAGGGCTGCAGAACAATAGAAAAACAATGCAAAAGGCAAAAGAATCGGCAACTTGACCGGTGGAGGGTGTGAAGATGATATACCACCAATCTATCCTGGAAGCAGTTCGCCTAATCGGGTAACATTTCCTCCTTTCAGCTGGCATGTACCAGGAACCATTCCTGTTTGGGTATAGTAATTGATAAGCTATACTGCATGCGGTATAATAGCTTCCGTATCCGGACTGGCGTCTGACAAGGTTAACGTGACCGACCAATCCGGAATTGCCGGTGGTGACCGCCTCGTTTTCAGGACAGGGACATAACACTTCGACTCAGGGCACTCAACCTGATAGTAACTATTATAGAGCTCTGATCTGTCAGGTTTGCCTTGAATCCGTGTTCTTCTATGCATAGGACGGGCAATTGAGACCCTGATCCAATTGGACATCTTCCGAAGGCTGTCCTATAAGAGACGCATCTGTCTTCTCAGCCGGAAGCAAGCTCATTGAACCCTCTATTGCTTACAGCATAAGGATACTTATCGTACGTACCGGCGGAATCTCATATGAAATCTTCGTCCGCGCGTCTTGTACTATATACAAATACAAGTACAGAGTACAAGTAGTTATGACTGCAAGGGGGAGACTGTCTGCAGACGGAAGAGGCAAAGCATTCCACCCTGTCATCCTCTTGGCCATGACTTGCAGCTGCTGTACTTCGTACTTTGGCTCCATAGTTGCTAGGGCGATTGTATGGATAAATGGTCCGATTGAGTCCACCGTCTTGGCTTCTAGAAGCTTGGGTTGTCAAAAGGACCATGGAGACCCGGACTGTGTAATCTGTTGTGTACATTCCATCCATGTCATTTTGTACTATACGATAACCCGGAGACAGTACAGTGCGTGCTTGCTCCAATTGTCCAACAATCTTCAAGATAGCCTACAATGAGCTGGTCAAAATAAGCTACAAACCATACAGTCTAGAATCATTAGCCAATCTGGATCTAGTTAGTTAGTTAGCCTTACCAGAGATGACTCAGCAGGTGGCCCCGCTGTTCTTTTCGAGGTCTTCGAGTCAACTTCTTTGACACCATCCTTTTTTTATTGCGACCCTGTCTTCTTGTTGACTCTAATGCTCTCTCCTTTGCTTAAGGAGATTATCATTTTCCATTCCGTCACCGTTGACTAAACTCAGAGATGTTGTCGCAGTGCTATCAGGCTATACCGCCACCCGATTACGCTTGACTGTCGTCGAGTATGGCTGTCAACTTGAAATACACGATTCTCCGCTGACCCGGTTTTCGGACTTACAAGACTCATCAGTAGACCACAGAGACCTCTTTCAAAGTCATGGTTGCCAAAGGTTGCTATACTTGTCGCCGTCGGCGCATCATTTGCGACAATGGCCAGCCCACCTGTCAAAAGTGTCGAGATGCCGGAAAGGAATGTTTGGGATATCAGAAACCTCTCGTTTGGGTCAAGGGAGGTGTGGCTAGTCGTGGAAAGATGATGGGCCGCAGTTTTGAAGAAGTTACGAAGAAGAATCCTCGTCGTGCTGGGGAACCCAACGAATTATCAGCACCGGCACCAACCGAGAACATGAACCCTCCGTCTACAGTCGAAGTCTTCAACCAGTCTGTCCCGAATACGTCGAATCAAGTCGCCGTCCCTTATAGTTCAAATGCATTGCCCGTACCGGGTTCTTCTGGGGCTGCTCAGCAGCGGGGAAAGAATACTGGTCATATTTCCGCATCCCGGAACATTTCTACCACGGATGATACCCATATTCTGCCAAGCTTGATTGATCCTATCCTCAAAGATATCAATGGATTGGCGAGGTTCTATATATTTCATTGTATGTCATCTTGCAATTCAATTCTGCTTTTGAGAGACGCGCTGACACGTAGCCCCATAGTCAACGAGAAAACAGCAGCCGATCTTGTTCTCTATGCAAACACTCAGAATCCATACCGTGATCTTATTTCCCTAGTTGGAGAGTCTCCCCTTCTCGCCAATGCTCTGTCCGCTACGGGAGCCTTGCACTATGCGCTTCTGGCAGATGGTGATTTCTCGCCCATGCCGTGGTCGACGGGCGAACCAAGTGCCAACGGGACACTCTTAACCCCCAAGGAAGTGGAAAGGGAGGTGACAAGTTCCATGTCCCGTCGTCCGTCCTCAAAAGCGTACGAGCATTTCTTAGGACTCAAACAACGGGCTCTCCGTCAACTATCCCAAGACATCCGCGACCCGGTCAAGCGGAACGACGATAAGACAGCGGCAGCCATCATGGTCCTCGCACTGATGGACGCCATTGAATCCGGCGACGAAGCATGGAAATACCACTTGGAAGGGGCAAAGAACTTGCTAAACAGTCGCCAACATGGGTTCGACGCCAGTCGCTCCCAAGAAATCCTCGGCTGGCTGGACACATTAACCGTCGACGGGTGTCTCATCATCGAACTCATGGGCTCAACCCTCGCCCGACCCGGCGTCCTATCCAAACCCTTCTACTCCCCCTCCATGGGCCCAACAGCCCTTCGCCGCCTCGAGAAGACCTCCTGGGTTGGCTGCCCCGCCTACCTCCTCGAAGTCATCTTCTTCGTCCACGCCCGCTTCTGCCACGCCGACACCACCACCACAACCCACGAACAACAAGGCCAACAAGAACAGCCCCCAATGCTGTTCTCCTCCTCCCTCCTCCCCCCAAACTCCAAACCCCTGCAATCCCCACAAGCCCTCCTAAACCACATCCAAGCCTTCGACCCCATCGCCTGGGCCATCGACCTGCAATCCTACCTTTACCTCCCAGACCTAACACCACGTATCGCCCTCGCAACAACCTACAAAGCAGCCGTCTACCTCTACACAAGCCGCGTCCTCTCCCGCCCGCGCTCCAGCTCCTCCTTCCCACCCGCAAACGCAAACGCAAACGAATGGTTCGGCCTCCCGCACGACCACTCAGCCGTCGCACACATCCTCATCGACCAACTCGCCGTGATCCCGCCGCAGGATCCACACTTCAAATGTCTTATCTGGCCCACCTTCATCGCGGGCGCGGAGTGTCGGGATTCGAGCCATCGGCCATTTATATTGGATAGGTTGTCTGCGCTGTATTATGCGATTGCGACTGTGAATGTGCGGAATGCGGCGTGGGTGTTGAGTCTTATGTGGCGGAAGCAGGATCTTAGGAGGGAGGAGTGGTTTAGACGCAGGCAGGGGAATACTGATTATGCTGTTGCTTATGATGGCGATAATTACGATAATGATGATTTCGATTGGATTCAAGAACTTGATGAGTCACGGATTGATTGGTTGTTTATTTGATGACGTTTTTTATACTCTACTCTGTTTCTCTCTGCTTTTTATACTAGGAGACTAATCATAAATAGGAATTTAATACACACTTAATGAATGTATGTACATAGAGTACGTATATTATTCTACGACTGGAACAAGAAAAAGGATTATCTCGATATTAGTCTGATTAAACCTGATCTATCCACCTAATTCTGTACTTGTAAACCAAACGCTAAATCCAACTTCCCAACCCTAACAAGTTAATAACAGAAGAGAAGCAATATAAAAGTGTTTTGGACAAAGAGAGTATATAAATATATATATATATATAAGCAAACGAACCAGCCAGGATATCCAAGGGAAATGATACATTCTGGGAAATGACTTGGCTGTATAGAGTGGCATTTGAGAAAAAAAGAAAAGCTATATGACAAGAACAAAATTGTGTATCAAGCAAGAATTGAGCAAAGAAAAAAGACAAACGAAAGGAAGAAAGGAGGAGAAGAAAATGAGAAAAGGGAATCAAATCAACTTCCAAAACCGCTCAAGAAACTGATGTAGGCACGGTTGACCAGGGCATGCCAAATAGAGTCAAACTGTGCTCTTGTCATGATTTTCAACCAAGAGGTATATATCACCAGTGGGGAGGAAGGTAAAAGAAGGTAAAAGACAAAGGAAAAAAAGAGAAGTGTAAACAAGAAATGACGAAGGACAATGCATGCTCCTTCCAACCAATCTAAATGCAAAAACACACGCTCATCATTGCGAAATGCAAGAAGCAAAGACGAGAATCCAAACATGCCATAAGGAAAACAATTCTTACAAATGCAAAGAAACAAATGAGATGACAATCGGCTAAGGGTCACAAACCAAAATCCAACCGATATCAACAACCCAATGAAAATATATCTGCCAATGTAGGAAATGCGAGAGAACGCCGTTTCAGGGCAGATCCATCGAGAATGTCGATAGGAGGCGAGAGAACAAAAGCAAGAAGCAAAGAGACGAATAGCCAAAACGTCCATATATAGAAACAAAGATGTGTTCCGGCACAACGGCTGTTCTGAACCAAAGGCGAGCTTTGAGAAAGGATCAGAGATGAGATCGAAAAAGAGAAAAGGGAAAGAACAATCCTCTTCACAAAGGTAGGTGGAATGGGAAAGACGGCTGATCTAGAAGACGGCCGCAAGACCGTTCTTGGAATGGCGCCGACTAAATCTCTTCCTTCCCTTGACTGATTCTGAATCTGTGGCTTGGTGCTTGACTAGGGTTGCTCGTCCAGGCGGTGGTGCGGCTTCCGCGTGGATTTCGGAACTGCGGTCGAGGGTGTTCGAATGGCTGGACATGCCCGAAGAAAGATCACGGAACGTTTCATCGCCCGAATATCCACCATTGTTGTGCTGAGTCAAAGCCATCTCCTTTGCACGATCTAGCGCATCTAACCATTCCTGCGCGGATAACGCCGTGACTCCGAGGTTGCTAGAGGACGGTTTGGGGTCTTCGAAAGAAAAGCGTTTGTCTCGCTGTAACGACGAAAAGTCAGATTGGCCTGTAATAAGGGAATCGAGGAGTTAAACATACCGTATCCACAACCCACGACGAGAGTCCCTTCGAGTCCGTTGTGGTTCGATATTGAGTCCCATTTGCTAAAAGGGAAATTTCCATCTTCGCCTTCTTCTCATCTCCTCCAGATGCTGCCATGATTATACGCGCGCATGAAGTAACCATGACCAACCGTTGCCGCTTCTTGGTTGTACTCCCTGCGAAGAATCGAGAGAATTTCTTTGTCGTTTCGGATTCACCTCCCTTCGAAACCGGGCTATGGGAGGCTGGCGAAGATAACACCACCTGATTTCCCATTTTGAGAATCCTCTCATTGGTTTTAGTCAGAACTGGCGACCATTCAACATCGAGTTGGCTGGGCGGCGGGAGCTCAGTGACTAGTCGGGGAACCACTCGTGAACTGGCGTTGGTAGTAGTTGAGGGTGCTGCCGTGATGTTGGGAGGGAAACTGTCCCCTTCACCACCCCCATTCAACTTGATCGGCTCGCGCGGCGGCGGGACGTACGCCTTGAGCCGCGGGGCTTTGCGCTTCCACAATTCGGGTCCCCACACTGTACCCTCGAAGAAGGGATGGTTTTTGACGTGCTCAATCGGGAGACGGCGGGCCGGGTCTAGAACGAGAAGGCGTTCCACGAGGTCACGAGCGACCGCAGGGAATCCGGGGGGGAACTCGTAGTCGAGCCCAACGATTTTTTGGAATGTTTGATATTCATTCCCAGCCTTGAAGGGTGGCCGACCAGCCAGGAGCTGAAAGATGATGCAGCCAAAGGCCCACAGATCGCTTGCTTTGCAGGCGTTCTTATCCGTCAGTAGCTCTGGACTGACGTACTCAGCCGTTCCGACAAAGGAGCTCGCCCGTTCCTCCTCGGGCATTTCGTTCGAGTCGAGCAGAGGCATCCCGCTCGAATTGTGATCTGGGCGCCTTTGGCCCTTGAGAATCTTGGCTGTCCCGAAATCGGTGATCTTAACGTACATTTGATTATCGAGGAGGACATTTTCCGGCTTGAGGTCACGATGGATCACGCCGCGCTTGTGCATATAGTCAATGGTGTCCAGGATCTGACCACCGTAGAACCGTGTGCACTCCTCATCAAACGAAGTCATTCGTTTAAGCACTCCCAACAGTTCGCCGCCTTTGCAGAGGTCGAGCACGAAATAAAGCGATCGTTCGTCTTGGAACGTATAATAAAGACGGACGATACCGGGATGTTCCGTAAGTCGATTGAGAGTATCCTTCTCGATGTTGACGTATTTGACCTTCTTCTCCTTGATGATATGCCGTTTGTCCAAAATTTTGATGGCGTACTCTTTCAATGTTTGGCGATCCGTCGCCAGCACAACGGTACTGTACGAGCCCTCGCCGAGGGTGTGCCCAAATGAAAAATCACGGACTCCCTTTTTGATATAACGAGCGACCGGCTTCCCGTTTGGATCGATCTCCTGTCGCACTGCGACTGCCGCACCACGGTGCTGCCATTCTTCACTGCTTGGACCGGGACCATTTTCCATTCCATATGGAGCTCCGCTAAGCGGAGCGGCGGCTGCAGGGCGAGTATGAGCCCTCGAAGGTTGACGCATCACCATCGGCCCGTTATGGGGAGCTGGTCGGTAAGACCGATCACTATGTGTATTGTCGCGGGCGGGTACGCCGGCATGGAGCGCAGAAGAGCCACCACGAGAGTCAACCCGCGCTTGACTTTCCGACGCGGATGATGCGGCCGAGTCGGTGCGGATACGGTAGGAGCCTTCGCGGGCCACCAATGCGGGCGAGGAGCCGTTGGAGTAGAATGCGGAGAGAGGTCGGGAGGAAGTAGGGGATTGCGAATGCTGTTGAGGAAGGTAAGGAGCATATTGTGGTTGTGTTGGATGTTGCGGTGGTTGTGGTTGAGGTTGCGGTTGTGGTTGCGGTTGCGGTTGCGGGTCGGAGATGGAATAGATGGATGTTCGATTTTCGGTCCGTCTGGAATAAGATCTGAGGGAGGCGGCATCCGGAGCATATCGCGAGGATTCTTCGGTAATGAAAGGGGGTATCGACGATTGAGAGGGCGGAGGGGGTTCCGGTACGGAGCTGGATGGTGATTCGGGGTCACCCGTTTTCTCATCGGGGGCTATTGAGGCAGCAGCCTCGGGGGCCGAAGCCACTGGTTCCTCGGAAGAATTCAGGGAAGAATCATCTGGATTCGCGATCCGGAGACCCCCCAAGGATTGGGAGAGACTGAGATCCCCATCCATAATGGGAGAACACCGTAACCGGGTATGTTATAGAGAGGATGGAGGGGGGTAGAGAGAGAGCTTAGCAGAATGGAATTATCGAAGGAAACCGGATCGGGACCGAAGGCGGAGAGAGACGGTGAGGGGAGAAATCACCCAACCACCCTGGCACTTAGGACAGAGAGTGGACGGAAGGTGGACGGAGCGATGGAGGGAGAAAGTACGCGTCAGAAAAGGAGATCGAAGAGGAAGGAAGACGACAAGAAAACGACGGTTATGAACGACAGGACGGAGAAAGAGCCGCCAAACGTAGCGATCGAGAACGAGAAAAGCGAGCGAGCGAGCGAGTCGATAGAGGGGTGGCCGACGGATTATGGCGGCGGTCGTAAGTGCAGCGGAGGCATGGTACGGCCAGATCCGAGAGAAAGAGGGAGGAGAGGGGGGCGTAGAGATGAGAGGAAAAGCGACGGATTGGAAGGAATAGACGGGCAGAGGAAGGAGGAGGGAGAAGAGAGGGAGGAAAGGAGAAGTGCGGGAAAGGCAGACGGAGAGAGGGAGAGGGATATAAGGCAAGTTGGAGGATAAAGAGCGAGAGTGATTCGAGGATAAAAAGAAAGAGCAAGACGGTAAAATAGAGGGGGAAAACGAAGAAGAAAAAAAAAAAAAAAAGAGAGAGAGAGAGATGAAGAGAAGAGGATAGAGATAGTGGGAGAGGGAGAGAGGGAGGTCAAGCCAAATACATAATAATTTTAGTGCAGCGTTTTTTATAGGGGGAGATGCCTATCCACCACCATCAGAATGACAGAATTAACTAGTGAGTCTACTTGATATCTGATCTCTGGCCTTATTCCATTCTGATTTGGTTGAGTAAATCAGTATCGTTTTCTACTGGTGGTGAGTATCTGCACTCTGCAGTCAAAACCACCAACACATTGACTGTGCATTGCAATTGCATAAGCAGCTATTTATATGGAGGCGAGTCGATCTATAAATATACCTACCATAATTGTAATATTTGAAGTTATATACTCGACAATATTTGTACAAATACTCGGATGTTGTCAAGCAATGGATAGCACTTTCCATTTTCAGTAATGGTGATGCTATACACACTTGCCCGTTACACCTGCCTTCTGAAATACAGAGTGAAAATGAAAGTAAATCTAGTAGTATGGTCATTACCATTCTCCTCTTTCTTCCAAGCAAAACAACCGCAAAAGAGCATACAGCATGGCCATGATCCGTCTCCCCCCAACCCAAATCGTCCCAAGTCGCGACGATATCCATGCCCACATCGAGCAGATCTTCGATCGCCTGTACGAACGGCTCCGTGCACTCGAACCAGAATGCTACGACGACGATTTCGGTGACGACCTAGCATCCCTCATCGACGCAGATATCTCCTCGTCGTTCCGATCGAGTCCAGCTGCTGACGAGGACTATGACTCGGAAGCGAGCTCTGCATTCGATCCGGACTACGAGTACAAACGTTATCCATCTTCACAACTCGAAGACTATGGGATAGACGATGGGATTTTTCTGTCGGATCCTGGGGTCATCGAGCGTCCTCCTAGAAGCGAGATCTCTGACACGACAGACGAGGGCTCGTATGAATATGGCTCGTATGAAACGGCTATGGAGTCGGGCGTTGATATGCAGGAGGATGGCCTGGGCTCGAGTTTGCCATCTAGTCGCATGAACTATGGAGTGTTGACCAGGGCTCCTCATCATTCACTGGAGGGTCATCGTCGATCCTTTGGAAAACGTGTGGCATCAGGAACTTATCGGCATCATGAAAGAATGCATTCACTGTTTCCGATTCGCCATCTCAATCCTAGGCTTTTGTTTGCCTTTCCTCAATACTCGACCCAGTTTCCTGAAATACAGGTTGTTTTTTCTTTCTTCACTCTTTCATATATCGTTTCTCTCACTGACTCAAAACAGCAGGACGTGTTGTCTCTGAGATCTTTATTCGGAGGCCTTTCCTTGAATACCTTGCCAGGACTCGATCATTTTCGCTTGGGAACAATGGGAAAAGGTTTGCTATATCAGCGGGTGTCATTGAACAACGCTAACGTTTTGTATAGAAAACCAACCACCTCAGCCTTCAGGCAAAGAAAAGACCTCGAAACTCGATCGTGATTTAGACTCGAAGCTCGTATCTTTCAACGAAGCGAAGACTCGATCAGTACAATTCGCCCATCCAATCCATCAAAGTTCCCCCAATCCTCGAGACAACAAGATGCCTGGATTGATTCAAGATGAACGAAATATGCCCCAGCCTGACGTCCATATGAGCGATGCCCCCGAGCCTAATGCCACTGAGAGCGGAAGTAACAATACCTCGCGTGTCTCGGGCACGGTCTCTCAGAACAGAGGCAAGAGAACCCGCGCATCTGCAGGCTCCCGCATATCTGCAGCTTCAGGCGACACCAAGCCTAAAGTAAGCCACTGCAATTGGGCCTAGACACCTTCTACACACGCAGATTGATGCTAATCGATGCCAAAGAGACGCAGCAGCCAGGTACCCTCTGAGGGTGAAACGTTGAGCTCTAGCAGCAAGCGAGGCGCACATGCCACCGGAGCCGCCAGCAATCAAATGGGAAGGATGGTGTCTCAGTGGACAGAGCTATCTCGTCCAGCTACCAGACGTACCAGTTGGCACCCCATCAACGCACCGCAGGTTTGTTCATACCTGACTATCAGAGCTGTTAAATCGCTTGCTAATCCATTTATTCTTAGGGCCAGAAAGGAAGACGACAGTCCGCAAACAGGGGCCGAGCCAACTCGACAGGCCAAAGCACGAGTCGCACGACAAACACTGCACAAACCCTCACGTCCAGCTCACGTCCTGCCAGTATCCAAGGCTCGGCGCTATTAGCCTCGAACAATGTTCAACGTCCGGCTACGAGCACCCACACCACTCCAACTACTCAGACCCAGCCCTCCACTGCACAGTCCACCACAACCGCAACTGCGCCTGCGCCTGCGCCTGCAGGAATCAACATGCCGCCCCAGACGGCCCTCGACCCTGAAAAGTGGAAGCATATGATGGAGATGTCTCAGGTGTACCGAGAGCATGTCAGCCATATGCTAACGGATTTGGGAAATGACGAGGATAATGCGAATGGATTTGGATTGGGTGAGTTGCGTCGGAGGCCATTGGGTGATATGTTTGATTGATTTTTTGCGTTTGGTTTTCTCTTTCGGTGTTACTGATTTTTTTTTTTTTATGGGATAGTGAAATGAGCAAGCTTTTTTGGAATGGCAATGCCTGTCCGTCGTTTGGTCTGGTCTGGTCTGGTCTGGTCTCTGATGTTTCATGTGCTCTGGTAGGATGAAGGATACGGTATCTAAGAATAGACTGGCAGGTTTATACATAGTACTCTGTACTGCCTTGATAATGATTATTTGATTCCTTCGTTTTGGATGACGTAGTTTACATAAGTTTTTAGACAATAGTTAACTAGCCCCAATCCTTCTTGCCATAGTGACTCAATCAGGCAACCCTCGCTTGTTCACGCTGAATCTACCTGTCTTGATTGGATCTACGAACCAAACTTCAACGAATGCAGCAGCGATATCGCCGCTCTCGTAGATGGCGTTCTCTCGCAGCTGAGATGTGGCCATCGCATCTTTATTACGACCCCGGATGCGGGGGACCTGCCTCTTCCGATTGTTGGGTTGCTGGATATGCAGTTTGTGATGTCTATGATTCTGAGTCTATCTGGTGTTGGCAGACTGGGGAATTGGAGGCTAGGGCACTGGTGACTGGGGACTGGTGACTGAGGATGTTGATGCTTGGTTGGATGAATGTGAGTAGTATACTGACTTCATCCTATATAATAGCAGGGTAACATAGTAGTACTAGTCTACGCCAGTCCCTAACACTTGTATAATACAATCATAGTTTCGCTGGGATATATATGTATATATATTACCCCGCAAGTAATTCTCATCGCAGCCATCATACATATACAGTCGCAACACCAATACATCTACCTCTCTCACATTTAGTCTAACCCATTGCAATCGTTTGATATCACGTTTCATATATTCTAGTCCTGCATCCGAAAACCTATACTCCGTACAGACTACCCCATCATCCTTCATTCCAAGAATAGCCTACCAGGCCCAGGCAGAGTGTTTCAAATCCTATATTCCACTCCATATTCCATATTCCATCCATATTGCCATCCATATTGCCATCGCTAATATCATTTGATCAATGACGTATATTTCAGCGTAAGCACATCAATCAGCTGGACGTGTTGGGTTGATTATCGAAAGTTTTACTACTCCGATACTGTACGAAGTGGAGGATTGGTTTTGTGGCTTGGTGTTGCCACTGTTGTACTTTGGCGATACATATTAGTTCCATGTCCATTGGTTGCTACTACATGACATACGCAAACAGCCACCCATATATGTATCCAAACTGTGTCTATGTCATAAATCTAATTATATCCAACGAAATCAATCTCATAGTTTGGCTCTTCATTTCAGTAAAATGACATGACGCGTCCAGCGGAGACACCCGCCCCAAGCCTCGGATCGCGATGGATCTGTGGTTTTTCCAGTGCTTTTCCAGCGCCAATCGTGTGATGGGTTTAATTTCGAGAATGGGGTTTGTTGGCGATAGGGATTGGCAGGGCGAACTTCCTGCATACTGGATTGGGAAAATGGACAGTGGGATGTAGGCTTTTTTATTTTTTATTTATTTTTTATTAAATTTTTATAACTGTGTTACAGAGATCTATCATTGAAACATCGAAATCTTTTATTCCATCCTCGTTTAATTATTAAAGACATGTCATATAATAGGTTTATAATAAAGAAATTACTGCTTGTTCTTGGCGAAAATCTGAGCACCATCCACCAGGCGACGCTCAGTGTTCTGGCGGCCGTTGACAAAGTCGGGGTAGTTCAGAGTCAACTCGACGGCACCGTTGACAATGTTGTCGACGGCTTCCACACCCAGCATGAAGGAGTGGTCCTGGTTACCGACCTCGTAGCGCCAGCTACCGAAACGGCCACGCGACCAGATGCCCTTCTCCTGGAGCTTGGGCAGGATCTTGGTCAGAGCACCCTCACGCTCCAACGAGGGAGTGGGGTAACCGTGGTCGAAGCGGCGGTGGTAGGTGGAGACGATTTCGTCGTTAGGACGGAGCATCTCGGTGTTGACGAGACCCTGGATCGACTCAGCCAGGAGAGTGTCGTTGTTGACGGGCTTCATGGAAGACTCGGAAACTTCCAACATGATCGACCAGTAAGGACCCTCCTTGGCCTCGGTGTCCTGAGTCTTGGAGCCGTCGGCCAGCTGGATGGTGGGGAGCGCCTTGGAAGATTCGGGCTGGTTGTGGGGAGAGTAGTTGGAGAAGATGGTGGCACGGTAGAAGGGGCAGTTGTCCTCGGGGAAGTAGAGCCAGCACTTGTCACCAATGCGCTCGGGGCGAGAGCCACGGATACCAACACCAACGACGTGAGTGGTAGAGTAGAAGAGCTCCTTGGTGTGGCTGATCAATTCCTGGTCAGCCATGGCGCCGGCAAGGAAGTCGACGGACATGGTGGAGACGAGTCTTTGGTAACCAATGGTGGTACCATCGGCCATCTCGACAGTCTTGTTGTTGGCGTTGACCTTGGCAACGCGGCCCTTCTCACCGAAGCGAGTGTTTTCCTTGGGGATGGTGTTGGCGACGGCAATCCAGATGCCACCAGTACCGCCACGAGCGGGGAAACGGAAAGTAGCGTTGGGACCCCAGTTACCGGCGGTCTTGTTCAGGATAACGTTGCTGGTGACGGCCTTGACGTTGGGGGCAGCGACACGCTCACCAAGCCAAGCGCATTGCATCTATTTTGGTTAGCCTCCGGCAATTCCTCCGGAACGTTGAGATTGGCATACCTTAGTTGTGGGCACAGCCCAGACCTTGTAGTTGTAAGGACGCATGAAAACGTCGGCGACACCAGTACCCATCATGCGGAGAATCCACTCATCAAAGTTCTGGGGCTTGGTGTTGGCGACGCGGTGCTCCAAGGCAGCGTCAATCATGCCATCAATGCACTTGACCTGCTGCTCCTTGGAAAGCATGGAGATGTTGTTCTGGAAGGGGTAGGGAACCCATTGGTCCTCGCAGCGGACGTAGGAGATACGCTGGTGGCTGTACCAGTCATCGTCGTTGGGAAGAGCCTCGTTGATGCAGTCATCGAAGTACTTGTAGTGAGAGAAGATGACGTGACCACCGACATCGTAAAGCTTTTATCCAGTCAGTTTCTCTTTCTCTTCCATTTTTCATCTTATCAGGAGCGAACGTACGAAGCCTTCGGGGGTCACATCGGTGGAAGCAAGACCACCAGGGGTCTCGTTGGAGTCAACGATCAACCACGAGGGGCTGTTCTAAGTCAATTGTCAGTATTTCCTTGGTATTCCCTCCATAATTGACTGATTGGGTTCGTACGATTTGGTTCAACCGCTTAGCAGCACCCAAACCAGTTGGGCCTGCACCAATGACGAGAACGTCAACGGAACTGTAGACAAAAGGCAACTGTCAGTCATTTTGCTCGCATATTCAATCAATGCCATCCATCAGAATCCCACGGAGCAATTGCCCGAGAGCCGTAGGAGAGTAGGCATTCAGTGTCTAGTAGGAGGGGTATCACATACACGTCGGGGTGGGTCATCCTGCCTTGTAGAATATCCTGAAAGCTGGGGACGCGATTCAAAGTCTTGCGAGCGAGGCTCAGCATGAACGATAACAGAGAAAACTGCAGGAAGAAACTGCAGAGAATTTAAGAGATGAGGTGAAGTTGACAGATAGAAGAAGGAAGAAGGAGGAGAAAAGGACGAGAGAAGACGGTGAGGTGGACAGATTGGGTTTGGCCGGGCGGTCGGGAAAGACGAAACGTGATAGAGAGAGCGGACAGACAGCCACATACAATTGTGGAGAAGGATGTCTGTTTCAGGTTTAGGGCGGACCTCCTATTTGATTAGAATTGTGTAAAAAGAGGATCGAGCCCTGGGAAAGGGGATGGCAATATGGATAATATTCAGAGGATGACGAATGTGCAAAAAAAAGAAAAAATAGCAGATTTCCAGCAAATCGTTGGTCGGGGATGGGAACATATACGACTCTTCTACAGTAGTTATTCAGGTACAGATAGCGAATACCGCGTCCGGTGGTATGTTTTTATCAAGATAGAATGCGCCCAGAATATAATAATAGAACCTTACAATTGATACTATTGACACAATTGCTATGTTCCTTATCATGAAGTAGCATTGTCGGAACTCTACCCTGTACTTTGTGATGCTGCAAACAGCCATACTACCCCATTCAGGAACTCTTGGCAGGTACCAGGGGAATGCGTACCCTCCGATTAAGCTATCTAAGTCTGATAAACGTCCCGTACCCGACGGAAGTACTACAGAAAGTAGCACCCTGTACGGAGTATAGAACATGGCAAGGTCCAAGCCGAACCGGTTCAAGTTCGGGTGCACGAGTGGTAGTACTACGCAAGTTCAGCATTGTCCACGCCGTTCCAGGTTGTCCGTAGTGTGCTACTCAGTACCGGCCAAGCCAGTTGCACGTGTTGCCTTTGAATTGATTGATGTTGTCTGGACCCTGACTTTGCTGCTTTTGGGATCAAACTGTGGTTGAGATGACACCTGCGATTGATTACCTTTTCCGAGGAACGATCCAGAGGGCTTCGTATGAAGTGGGCTTTTTTTGATTACGAAGTTCAGGGTATATATTAGTATCGGGCGATAGCACTTAGTGCTTCGTAGCGATTCCAGTAAACATACGGCATACGGAGTGCTCTGTACTCCTACACAGTGTGATAGAGAGACCTGCCGGGACTCCGAGGCTGTAATCTCAGCTGTTCCACCAAGGGATTATCGTTCGCCCACAACGGCAAGCAAGGACAGATCTTTTTCCAGAAACCGAAAGACATTGTTGGCGCTTGACCAACTTTGGGATGATAACGAGCTTTGACCCTCGCCAATGGGAGTGCACATGTGGGAAGAGGCGTTTTTTTTTTTTTTTTTTTTCAATTCTCCGGTTGTTAGTCTCAGGGTACATACGTGGACTGTTTGTCCTGCCACATGCAGGGCTAGCTGAACACATCCAAACAGTACCAAAAGAAGATAAAAAAGGATTACTCCTCGTAGTAATGGAGTGGAGTATCATGGAGTATCAGTCCCTGAATTCACAGTTCCAAAGCAACCAGTCAGAAACAGTGAACCGGACAGATGGCGTCAGGGCAAGGCAAAATTCGATCGCCGGGCATTCCCCACTCGGCAAGGGACCAGTCAGTGGGAAGAGACGCTCTGGACAAGTGGCCGGGATTGAGTCCATGGAGCCCATGGGGCACACTGGGGCTGGGGGAGGCGCCGCTGCTTGCGTAATGCAGGTGGTCGGTGTTAATTTGGATCAACAGAGTCCCTTGACCATGAGAACACACTGCATATACAGAGTACGGAGAATATGAGCCCTCATGTTACAGAATTGAGACGTTTGGGTGGAACAGTTACAGATCGGAGGACGAGTTCTGTACACTGTGTGCGCTGTACGCTGTGAACCGTAAAGAGCTAATGATAGAATACAAAAACGAGATAGATAGAGTATCGCAGAGAATAGAGTACAGTGTATGATCACCTGACACCAACCGCATTGGGATAAAGAACTGTCCGCCGAAAAGGGGTCGAAGAAGTGTCCATCGGATGAGTGGAACCCCCTTAAGATTGACAGAAGGACTTTTTTTTATTCGTTTTAATTCGTTTGCCACGAGCTGCGTATCGCCCAGCTGATAAGACTGCCAGGCGAATACCGTAATTGTACCGAGTACATAGTACATAATCCGTATTCAGTGTTGTACTTGTGCACCCTTAACGGCCGTAGTGTTAGAGCACTGTTACATAGTAGAAAACGTATGTATACCGTGGTAAGCACATCAGATGAAACAGTAACTCTAGCGTAGTTCTCAGTACCGAGTCTGCTGTGTGCGGACACACTAAACCACAAACAGTAGTCGCGTCAAAGGTCGGACCGTGGTAACATACGGTAACCATACCAGGACTACGTACACCTTTTCGCATCTCCATTGACGGATCTGAAGCCAAACTCGGGGTCCAATCCCTGCGATAAAATAATATAATAATAATAAAATAAAAACAGGTACGGATACGTATGTAAACTTTTGACTTTTGTTGCTTGTCATTGCTACGGAGTGCTATTTTTTTTTTTTTTTTTTTTTTTTTTCTCCCTGACCTGTGCCTGTAAAATCCTGTGCCGCGTTCAGCCTCTGGCCTCCTACTGAACAAAACTTGGTGTCTTTCCCCTCTAACCACCACCGCGCTACTACCACCTCTTCTTCTACTACAACCGTCCTTCCATTCCAGCCATCCCTTCCTTTTCTTCTCTTCTTCTTCCATGTTCATAATTCTTCTTCATCTGCTTTAGATCAGCTTTTCTTATCACTTTATTATTTTCTAATCCTGCCAACTCTCGACTCACTCGTTCACTCTCTTTAACTCTTTTTCTCCTCTTCTAATCGTCGCTCGTGGCCTCCGCAAAGTTCAGTCAAAGCAGCCTTCTACGGCCGCGTCCTTTCGACTTCCAACACTTCCTCAACCATCAACAGAAGCAAATTCGCACCTCCGTCACATCCGCAATGAGCGCCGAAGGTGAAAAGGCCAGACAATCTGGCGAAATCTCGCGCCCTGAGCCCACCTTGCCCACCGTCAACCCCGCCGTTGACAAGCCGGAGCCTCCCAAGCCGTCCTTCCACCCGGCCGTCTACGTTACGTGAGGACAACCCCATACGAATATCAGTTGGATCAATGATATACTGACGGAGAATCAGTGCCTGGATTACTCTGAGTTCCAGTGTTATCCTGTTTAACAAGCACATCCTCGACTATGCTCAATTTCGTAAGTTCTCTCCGCGTCTGGCCAGGTGGAAGATTCCAACAGCATTCTAACATTGATTGTCTCTAGGTTTCCCGATTATTCTCACAACATGGCACTTGGCGTTCGCGACTTTCATGACCCAGGTTCTGGCTCGTACCACCACTCTGCTCGATGGCCGCAAGACGGTCAAGATGACTGGTCGTGTCTACCTGCGCGCTATTGTCCCCATCGGTCTCTTCTTCAGTTTGAGTTTGATTTGCGGTAACGTCACTTATCTCTACCTGAGTGTTGCTTTCATTCAGATGCTCAAGGTGCGTCAATTCATCCGAATTATTGTTGAAAGAGTCGCGAAGCTAACAAAACTAGGCCACCACTCCTGTCGCTGTCTTATTCGCTACCTGGGGTATGGGTATGGCTCCGGTCAACCTGAAGGTCCTGATGAACGTCGGCCTCATCGTCCTCGGTGTCATCATCGCCTCGTTTGGTGAGATCAAGTTCGTCTTGATTGGTTTCTTGTTCCAGATTGGTGGTATCATCTTCGAGGCCACCCGTCTTGTCATGGTCCAGCGCCTGCTCAGCTCCGCCGAGTACAAGATGGACCCTCTGGTCTCTCTCTACTACTTCGCCCCCGTTTGCGCTGTCATGAACGGTGTCACCGCGCTCTTCCTTGAGGTTCCCAATCTCACCATGGGTCACATCTACAACGTTGGTATCTGGACTCTCTTGGCCAACGCCGTTGTTGCTTTCATGCTCAACGTTTCCGTCGTCTTCTTGATTGGAAAGACTTCTTCGCTGGTCATGACCCTCTGCGGTGTCCTCAAGGATATCCTCCTGGTCGCTGCTTCGATGATGATCTGGCAGACCCCCGTCACTGGCACCCAATTCTTCGGTTACTCGATTTCCCTGATCGGTCTCGTCTACTACAAGCTCGGTGCCGACAAGATCCGCGAATACACTGGCCAGGCTGGTCGCGCCTGGGCTGAGTACGGTGCCAACTACCCCGCTCAGCGCAAGTTCGTCATCATTGGTGCTGGCGCTCTCATCTTCTTCCTGTTCATGGGCACCATGGGCCCCAGCTATGCTCCCGAGTCGGTTGACCGGGTTAAGGGCATGCTTGGCGGTGCCAGCGCCGGCAACGCATAAGCAGCGAATTGCCGTGAAATGCCATCGGGTTGCATCCGTCTGTCCTGGACAAGATTGAGATGGTCCAGAGGCGCCTTACTTTTTTTGGATGGCACTTTATAAACCCAAGAAATCGGACAGGCGTACCTTACACAAGGAACGGACCGAGTGTATCCGAATTCATACTTAATGCCCTGATTTTCGAATTATTACGCCGCGATAACGACCCCTGTTAGAGAGAAGGATATACAGGGAAGAGTTGGAAGGGTGGTTGCTCTTTTTTTTTTTTTTTTTTTTTTTCATTTAACTTCTTTTCAACTGGACCCGGCGACATGCAGGGAATGCAGCCGGAGTCTTCCAACTCATTTACTTTCCTTTCGCTTTTCACTTTTGAACAGTTTTCCAAATGCTTTTCTGGGGACATGATGAACTGGTGTATTGTTGTTATTGATTTGATTACCCTACGAAGTCATTTTCTGTGGCATGCTAGACTAGCACGAGCTCTGGTGTCGGATACTGTTTGCTTCCCCTTCGAGTCTTCCCCTTTCTTTTTTAATTTTTGGACCATGTCCTTTTTGCTTTTCTTTCTCTCTGTTCTATAGGGATTCTTCAAAAATAGACTTGGTTTTTAGTGATGTCTTTTCATGCCTAAGTCCACCGTGTTGCCACCTGCTACTATAATATGCCTGAGGCATCTAAATATGCGCACTTGGTCTCTCCCGCGCACCGGGCTGTCGGCCGCAGCAACCCGGGGCTGCTCGTCATTGGCCAATAGGAGCTTTGGATCTTTCAACCAATCAGACAGCATAGTGGCGTTGGCAGGGAAGCCTGGGAGGGCCGACGCGCGGACTGGGCCCTGAGTCAAGACCAATCAGAAGACGCAATTGAATGCATAAGAACCAATCAAGCGAGATTCCTTGCAGCGCACCTCGGATCGTGTGGATCCCGATTCAGCAGGCGGTATGATATTGTAATACAATACCGCACAGCAGCGCAACGGGCGCCGGGATTGGGCTCCGGGCGGTCTTGGCACCGTAACAGAACGTAACGGAGGTAATGCTTCTTTTCTCTCCGCATCGCAGCGCATCGCAAAGCCCGTCATTTTCGCTTCTTTCTTTCTTACTTTTCGCATCACGCGTTTCTCCCGTGACTCCCGTTGTTTTGTGCCCTAGTCTGATCTTCCTTCTTATTTACTCTTCCCTTCCTTCTTATTTACTCTTCCTTCCTCCTCTTTCATCCCATTGACCTCTTCTTCACTTTTGCCCTACTATACACTTCTCTTTCTATACTACATCATCCTCTCAAATCCTTTCGCGTGACCTTCCTATATACCGTCATCTCCTTTACTCTACCTCCTTGACCACCTCTGTCATCCTCACGACCTGATTCGTCGCGGCTCGATATATATACCCACCTTCTTTACTTTTTATAAAGCTCGAATCTCTTCTCTTACAGGTTGCCACACCTTGCTGTTTTAGAGCTCACCTCACAGGACACACAGGACAGATCGAACCCTTTCGTAACCACTCACGATACACTCGCACACGCAATGTCTCCCATGATGTCCGACGGACCCGCAATGGTCCTCTCTCCTCCCCAGGACCACACCTTCGGTCAATTCCCTTCAGCCCTGCCTTTTGCCACGACCACTGGCCTCCCCAATTCAGTTCCCTCGAAGCCCTCGCGCAAGAGGTCGCGTGACGATGCCGGTTTCGAAGAGGCGATGAATGCTGCTCCCGTCGCTCCTGCACCTACCCCCGCGCCAAAACCCGTGGAAGAGCCCATTTATGGCGAGGGTATGGTGCTGCTAAACCCTCGTACTGGACTAGCTGTGTCTGCGGAGAGTCAAACGGGTACTTGGTATGAAGAGAAATCTGAACAATCAACTGCCGCTGCACCACCGGTTTCCTCGAGATCCCAGACTGGCATGTCTTCTGATGTCCAGGGTCGCAAGTCTCAACGCCTGGATCCTACCGCGCCCGGATTAGACGATATTGCGCTTTCTACAATGCAACAACGTCTGCAGAATACGACTGACGACAACCGCTCGAGCCCTTCGCACCAAGAACCCCTGGTCGATGACGCGACTCGTCTTCTCGGTATCAGCTGGCAACGGATTAACGTTAGCGACGACGACGACATGGCCCCTGCCGTGCGCGGTTGGAAGAAGTACATCGATAACCAATATTCGAACTACCTCCAAAACTGTCAGATCTTGATGAAGAGTCGCGCTCTGAACGCGTTCCTCGTCGCGGCGCAGCCGGTGGCCCCTGCTTTTGGCACCGTCGCCAACTCGCCTGCTTACTACCTCTTCAACGATGACCTCGACCAAGCCCGTCTTGTTGGCTCTACTTGGGAAACCTGTGTGCAGAACCTCCAATCATCACCCATCGTCTTCGAAGGAGCTGAAACGCTCCAAGCCACCGATAAGCGTTCGGACAACGGGTCCATGCAAGCACCTCTCGGAACAAACACAATGGAAGCTGGAGTGCCTCTTCTTCAGTCTCTTTCCGCTCAGCCGCAGCCAGTCGGTAATGCTGGGTTTGGGGGATTGAACGGTGATGTGGGAACGGGGATGGAGGTCGACTCGTAACGCATCGCGTTTTACCCCTAGCGACCAACCGGCGCCGTTTCCGTCGACATTTTCGTTGCTATCTCGTTTTCTTGCTCATGATCTTTCCGCCAGTTCCAGCCTCTGCGGACTTTGTTAACATTTTACCAGTAATCTCGCTACTCGGAGTTTGTTACATTATTGTCTTTTATTTCTCCTATCTGCTGTTGCTATATTTACCAGTGATTCGCGTTTCTCGTTTCCTTTTTCGTTCTCGACCGTCCTCGACACCGACTCGACTCGACATTCGGTCTTCTTTTCTTCTCTCGGCTTCACCTCTTATCTTTGCTTTTCTTTGCATTGTTTGCGTTTTGCGGTTGTTGTGTATGAGTATGGTCTGTTTTATTCGTTTTATTATTTTCTTGTGATGAGCTTATCTGTTAAATATTTCTGTGCATTTGCCATTTGAAAAAGCGAAACAAAGAGAGAAAGAAATGAGAAATGAGAAAAAAAAAATGAATTGATATAAAAATATATATTTATTAGACTTCTTCTGGTAACACTAAGAGACTCAAACAACATTGGCATCATCGACAAGCATACTAGGGTAATCCGTACAATTTTGTCCATTATGTAGATACAGTCCGCCGTACAATTGCCTCGAGTCACTACCAAGATCCTCGGCCATACTTGTATGTCGTACCTTCAAACCATCTAATCAAAAAGATACTATCCAATTTTTGATGGAGAGAATATAGATATTTATCGAATCCTCGATTATGAGCACTGACTTAACATTGTCACTCCGGTGCCCGGTCTGCTCTCGAGCGTTCGGAAGGCAAGCCCACCTGGAGAGGCATGCGTTGACTCGTAGGTGGAACCAATTAAGAGCACCAGGAGACATATACTGAGGGCTTTATTGCAGATAGTACCGATTATCCTTTTTCATGTCCTTTTTGCGATTCCAAGTACAAACGCAGGTGAGTGTAATTCTCATAGCTGGAAAAACTTGCTGATCGTCCTTTAGTGATGCCTTACGCCGCCATTGGAAGACATGTAATGCTCGTTTAGCATTGGGCTCGCAAATCCCAGAGCGGACCCTGTCAGGCAAACGCAAGCAAGCGTGCGATCGATGTGCAGATCGGAAACGTGCCTGTAGCCAAGGTCAACCCTGTACAGGATGCCTCCAATACGAGGCCGAGTGTACATATCAACGCGTGAAAAAACCAAGGATAACACGAGACTCTAACAGCAGCATTGGCCCTATCAGACAGGACAGATTCGATGCCAGCAAAGAAACGTCCAAGGCTGTTCATCGGTTTGATTTCCTCCGGAATTTCACGCATGCGAGTGGAATCAACCAGGCATATAACTACAAACGATGCTTGGTGAGCGAACCAGAACTCCCTCCAGAACAAACATGTGTTTCCAATCCATGGGGGTTCCTCTTTGATGACATCGAGGCAATATTGGCCGATGATCAGCTAAATACCGACCTGGCTTTTCCCGACTGTCTCTTTGCGGAAGATCCTGTTCATCTCAAAGCTAGGGAGATCTGGGATACTTTTCGCCCCTTTATCGAAAGAAATCCTACTCCTACTGTGTTGATGACTGACATCGTTGAGTTCTTCTCCCCAGAAAACCTGGTCAGCTCTCTCGACCTCTTCTGGGACCGTTGGTATCCACATTGTCCGATAATTCATCAGCCAACATTTGAGATCAGCCATTGTCCAGTCCTTCTCTTGTCTACCATGGTGTTGATTGGTGCATGCACCTCACCGAGCTTATCATATCGTAATGAGGCAAAGGATCTCTTGGACATGATGGAAGAGATCGTCTTTTCTAATCCCATGTTTTTGGAACAGACCACCGGCACGAGTATTGACGAACAATCAGATGGCCAAAAGGTCAGCGTGCTACAAGCAACTTATTTCATGTGTATCATGCAGAAATGGGACGGAAATGATGCAGCTAAATTACGTATCCAGCGAAATCGTTTCACGGCCTTTGTCGCAGTAAGTCTTTCAGAGTCAAAGGTGGTCTCCGTTGTTGACGAATAACTTATAGGCGACAAGAGCAATGGGACTTGCGAGAGCCACGCATAGGAATTTCTCCATCACTTCTGACTTTGGGACTGATCAATGGCATAGATACATCGAGAATGAGGGGATGATCAGGTATGAACGTGAATGAAGTGGAATAGCTCATATTCGAAACACTGACACCTAGCTGAACATTTAACTACGTGTTCCTCCTGGACTGCGCATTTGTCATTTTCCATAACTCGGTACCCCGAATGGTCCTGGCAGAGATGAATATCGATCTTACTTGCCCGGAAGATTGGTTTCAAGCCCCTTCACTGTCGGAATTCCTTGCTGCTATCCAGTCCAACAGATGGAGAAAGGGTCGAACCCCATTGCTTACGGAGGTGGTGCGTGATCTATTCACCAATTCTTCCCAGCCAAAGGAACGCGATCTGCTCTGGGGTGCCAGCAAACTGAATCTGTTTACCATTGCTTCTGGTAAGGTATCACGCCCTAAGAGACAGAAAAAGTACTTATGTATTTCAGCAATCCACGGCCTGATATTTCACGAGAAAATGTCTTTTACCCAAGTTTCTTCATCCACGGGTCCTATTGGTACTGCGCTGGAACGCTGGGGACAAGCCTGGAAAAAGGTTATAGCGACTTTACCGTCATCCGTGGTTGCGAATGAGGCCTGGAAAGACGATGGCTTTATGCAACATGCGGGGGAGTTTGCTGCTCTCGCTCGGGTCCATCTGCAACAGAACGACCCAATTGCATCGTTTCCCCAAGACTCAATGGGCTCGAGCGATGGTGGCATGGCTACTTTCGATCAGACGACCATGAAAACAGTTTCAGATCTTATCCAGGTGGTTGAAGGTCTGAGTTTGCATTGAGTTCTAACAACGTGGGCTATGTACATCCATGCATTGTCATCCCGCTCTGTTATATGGAGACATGGCTTTCTAGGAAAGCAATAATCCTTCTAAGATTCGGGTTGAAAGGCCTCTCCTCGTTTGTCTCGGAATCCAAATCGATAAACTCTTTAGCCTCAAATCCGTGACCCTGTCCCTCGACACATTCAAGGATCACATCGACTCCTAAGGATTTCAAAATATCTGTTACTCCAGCACTTTGTTCAGAATCCACCAAGACATCTTCGTTGCCATGAAGAAGAGCTGTTGGTGGAAAGCCGGACGACAGCCCCCAAGTTGCTGGAAAGAGTTGCCGGTGCTCTTGTGGGATGGATTCAGTTCCCTGCTCCCTAATGAGCTCCGCTAGTCCTGAAACTCGGGTCAAGACATCGGGGATCCATGCTGCTTGATGCATTGCAGCGATCCATCTGAACCGCTGATCTGCCATCGGATTCTCTGGAAAGGCATAGCCGTCGATAATCTCTCCACACCTCATAGAGTCGCTGATCGTTGTCAGCACCTTAGATAGATTTTCCACAGGCTTCCGGAGACCTCGACCTGGATGGGTATATCGATTGCCGACAGGGTTGAGCATTCCATATATCGAAAGCACAGCCAAGGGGCGGGGGGTTTGTGAATGAGCTGCCGCTGCCAAAGCTAAATAACCACCGGCACTTGATCCCGCCAATATTATCCGTTTGGAGATATTGTCATGAACCCATTGGGCAGCATCTATTGCATCGCTGAGAACTTGACTTCCCTCTGCTTCTGGGAGTAGCCGGTACGAAGGTGTGGCATAGGCCCAACCTCGGCGATGGCAGGCATTAATCAACCAGTGCGGTGGAAACGTCGTTTTCTCGCCAATCACCTATTATTATATGTTAATTAGAAGTACGATTGCAGACAGGGTAAGGGTTGAGTTGAATACCAGAAACCCTCCATGGTAGTGGATGGACACAATTCCCTTTTCCTTGTCAAAACCTGGCGGAATAGAGACGTCGATGCCTAGAGACAACCGGCCAGCCGTTTTGTAGGTATACACTGAGGTCTCTTCAACCATTGCGCTTGCTCAATGAAAAGGTTAAAAAATAGCAAAATGTCACTTGGATCAAGGTTGTGCAGTTGCGAAAGATTTCATCAGGGCAAAGTCGCAGTGGAAAAGGGCCGCCCTCTGGTGGGCGAATCCCGCACAACCGAGGAACCCAAACGATCAATAATCTCATACTTTCAAAGCCGATGTGGGTAAATTCCATTTCACTCGTGAATCTCGTTGCCTGTATCTGGATGTGGGTGAAATCCGCTAAGGCGAGGAACGAGCAATTGCAGAGTTGAACCGGCACCTTGAAACGGTACATCAGCATGGGCTATTTAAGCAGGACTATGCTCTCTCAGTTGAACGTGTCAATACATTATCAGATTTCCAATTACTTGACTGGGCTCTTTTGTCACTTTATCATGGATTCTTTGCGAATTTTGACCGATCCGTCAGTGTTAGCATCGGCGAGCATACTATGTTCAGGTTTACTGATCACCTATATTTTCTATATGCACTTTATGCATCCTCTGTCCAATTTCCCCGGTCCCCTCCTCCAATCTTTGACCAGTGCTTGGAAGGCATACTATGTCTATAAGCTGACGCTCCACGAGCGACTGGTTGAGCTGCACGAGCAATACGGCCCGGTGGTGCGAGTTGGCCCCAATCATCTTCATTTCTGGGATGGGGAGGCGATCGCCCCCATATACAAGGGGGGGAGAAAGATGGGCAAAACGGAGTTCTATGATGCCTTTACAGCGTTTAAACCGAATCTTTTTGGGGGTAGAGATGAGGATGTATGTACAGAAGCCACCCCACCTTGCCTTGTCCCAGAGCTAAACCCGGATAGATCCATTCCCTCCGTCGAAGACAGTTATCCCACGGACTTTCGCAAACCTCGATTCAGAATTTCGAGCACCTCATCGATGGCCAGATGAGCATTCTGAAGGATAAACTTGGTGGATTGACAGAGACTGGCGAGATATTCGATCTCAAAAACATGATATCATACTACGTATTGGACATATTGGGAGAGGTCGCATTCGGTCACCCATTTGACGCTCAAACCCAACATGGCTCTCCCCATCTTCCAGCAATCGAGGATCATTTGCTTCTGTCCGGTATCATTGGGGAGCTTCCGTTCCAGCGGCTTAACAAACTCCTCGCGCGATACTCCCCAATTCCTTGGATGCGAAGGTTGGTGAAAAGTCGTAATGCATTGAAACTCACCTGTGCCGAGTGCGTTGGAGAGAAAATATCTCATTCGCATGCGCGTGCCGATTTGCTCCAGAGTCTGGTGCACGCAAAAGACCCAGCGACAGGAGCCAGATTGACCGAAGAGGAGATCAACTCGGAGGCATTTGCGATGCTGTGAGTCACCTTACCCTACTATTTTTTTTTTCTCCGTCTTTTCTTTCTACTTTCACATTAAAGTTAAATGACAGTTAACAAATATCTTCTGTAGCGTGGCCGGATCGCATTCTACAGCCGGCACCCTGACTTTGGTTTTCTGGCACTTGGTCCACAATCCCGATGTGCTTGATCAAGTGAAGCAAGAGCTCTCATCCATACTCGAACCACTGCAACAAGATCAGATTGCCTACCCCATCCGCGGACTCGAGGCTTCACTACCATTTACGATGGCATGTATCCGAGAGAACTTCCGCATCAATCCCGTGTTCACAATGCCACTATGGCGCCAAGTTCATTCGCCCGGTGGAGCCGACATTGCTAATATCCATGTTCCACATGGGGTGAGTGCTATGTATTCCTCCTGAACAAACATATATACTTATCCCTGCCATCAATAATTCAGACCAGCGTTGCGATATCCAACTACGTGCTCCACCATAATCCCGATATCTGGGGCAGCGATCACGATACCTTCAACCCGAACCGCTGGCTGGGAGGAAAGGAAGGTATATCGAGATATCTCATCCCCTTTAGTATCGGTCATCGGATGTGCATTGGACGCAATCTGGCAATGACCAATATCATCAAGACTGTTACAACGTTGCTTAGCGAGTTCGAGTTCCATCCGGAATCCAAGGAGAGGAAGATTTATGTGCGGAGCTCGGGAATTGGGGAGATGGAAGGGCCATTTTTATGCAAGGTGTCGATGAGGGCTTAGCAGTGCTCCAATTAGTCCAAGTGTTTCAATTGAACTCAGAGGATGGTCTATGGCCGAAGAAAGAAGAGCACAAGCTGTTTAGTAGGAAAAGTTCTTGGAGTGCCATGTCCCGTAGAGACCGCCTCTCTAGAGTTATTTGAAGAATGCAAGTTGGTTTCTTGCTGAGAATCTGGCAGAGGTAGGGCTGAGGGCATTTCATCTGTACTCCAAATCACTTTCACCGAGCTCACCTTTGCGTGAGAGTCGGCTTACGGCTATCGCGGCCCGTCAATGTTGTATAACATATGGAGTGGATCATGATATCTGGTTGGTGTATTTTGATCTGCGCCTGGTCAATGGAATCGCAAATTTCAGGGACATTGAGAGTCTTGAGCCCTAGTTCCTGGTACAACTGACCTACTCCATCAAGTAAAGCGCGATCCCAAGTCGGCCTTTCGCCATTATCTTGGCGTCGGCCGTATCGGTCCACCAAGCTGCCCCCGGCCGACGGTCCGCTTCATATTCATGTACAGAGCATCCCTTAGCTTTCCCGTCAAATATCGGAAAACATCCGATGGATAGTGCAGAACGATGAGCAGTCCATCCCGACGTCCGGCATATTTTTGTACTGAGTACCGTCGTCGCAAAGTCCGGTGCAAACCATGCGGGAAATGCACAGCACACAGCCTGGCCTCCTTGTGTACGTATGAGGACGGTTGGAGTCTTCTTGTCTATGGGATGCACAATGCCATACATAGCGAAGAGCAGGAAGAGAGAACGCATAGTACCCTAGAACAACCGCTACCCAATGATACCTCACCACACCCATCCACCACCTCCGGCCGGATTCTTTATTTCCTCTCACTTAAGGCACAATATGAGAGCTGTATAGATTGCCCAGAAGTAGCAGAGACCTCTTTTCTGCTGCAGGCTTACCTTATATTGTCTCTAGCGGGGACATTACACGACAACCCGACTGTCCCGTCGCGAGATGACTACGAAAACGCGAACCTGGGTCCATATTGCTCAAACATGGCTTTCTGCACCCTTGGAAAAAGACCGTTTGACTTTGACAGGAATTCAAGTCCATTACTTGCTGCTTCTTGCTTGCCAAGTCAACCAAGTGGGAGCGGATCTGGTCTGGATATCCGCAGGCTCACTAATGCGGATGGCCATGCAGATGGGTTTACACCAAGATCCTGACTACCTGGGGGAGATGAGTGTGCGACAAAAAGAGATCAGAAGGTGACTTTAGTACACTATTCTGGAAATGAATGTACAAGCGGCATTGGATTCGGGTATGTCTCCCATGGTCATGGATGGGGACTACACTACCGTACCTCCTTCCAACGTCAGCGACATACGAGCTAGAGGAGCCAACACAAGGGAGACAAAGAAGTATCTCAAGCTGTTCTCAGACTTCATTTCAGTCTCTGCTATCAAGATCCCTCTCTCTCGGACTGCGTGCCACCAGAGTCATAAACAGCCTGCGGGAGGAAGCGTCGTATGGTAAAGTTCTGTCCCTCGGAAACGAGCTGGATTTGGCTTGCCGCGAAGCAACTGTCGCAATTGAGGGGGCTCCTTCCAACGCCGATGCCCACTCTGTAAACCAGTTTGCTTCTAGCTACTGCAGCCACCTTCGTCGCTTTCCCTTGTGTCTTCACTTTCGGTATGCCGTCAAAGCCAAAGCAAATCCTCTGTACAACTATTCGCAGAAAGCCTGTCTTGAGACAGCCTTGCATCTTGTCTCGCTTCTTGACGATGAGTACTACCGCCACTTGCTCCTCGTTGGAGGTGGGATATTCCGCGACATCATTACCCGTGGAGCATTATTAACATTGCCGGTTAATTCTACTTGTAGTTGCCGGATTATGTAGCCCAGAAATTTGGCAGTCGTCTATTTTTCCCCATCAATGTAGCTCACTTATATTACGAGAGCGTCTATCGCTATTCCGTCATGTTCGGAGAACTTGCTGGTGTGAAAATATCGATATAGACACCATAACCTTCTCTCTACAGTTCCTCAATTTCTACCTCATACCTCCTTGAGCTCCCCCCTATTAAATCCAGCCTTCTACCTTTGCTCTCAAGAAGTCCGTCAAAGCGGCCACTCATGTCAAGCACCACCTCGCGGTGCCAGCCCAAGCGAGAATACCCTCGGAATCGACAATGAAGTCCTCCTGCAAATGTCCCTCATATTCTTCCGTGAGTAGATACTTGTCGGCATTCTAACTATCAGTCAAAATTATCAAACAAATCCACGATATAGTCACTGTAAGCCTTCACCAGAGAGACGCCCAACTCGATTGTCTTGATACATTGAAGCTGTAAAAATGGTATCCGTGCCGCCCTATCCTCCACCACGCAAACATTTGCTCCTCTCATGCTTCCCGGATCCGCACTCAAGTTCTCCTGTGCTTTACTAACTAGCACAGGACTCCCGTGGAGCCGGATATTGTCTGTATCGCTTTCCTTATCAATCTCGGAAAATTGTAGCATCGCAGAAAATGAAAGTAGGTCCTGAATTCCTGATCGAGTTATCCTCGGCAATAGATCGTCTTCTTTCCCAACGTAGTCCTGAGCCACCCAAAGCACAAGGGTGATATCACAAGCTATCTGACTGCTCAACAGATCTTCAAACACGCGGATAGTTGGCATGGAGTCGTTTTTGGATGTATCGCCACTCAGCGGGAATATGAGGGCTATTGCTGATAGTGAATCATCCTGGCCGGGATGGGTTAAGAGGATATTCCCTGTTCGATCTACCTGCGACATTGTTCGATTCACGTTAGTATCAAATGTGTCGTTCTAGATTATATGGTACTCTTACCAAAAAACGGCATCCAGTGCTCTCTGCGTACTGCTCGAGCTGTTTGTGGAGTAGCGCGGGTTCAGAGCGGCTCGCAGACGTGATGCTCTGAGTCAAACTAGGGCACTGCTTTTTCTGATCACACATCTCTTTGATAGAAGGAACGGTCGTCTATTGAGAATCTGAGAAGGAGGAAGATTGCGACGAGATGCGGTGAAGTTGGTCATATACTCAGCTACCAGCCGTACCTCCGGAACCATTCTTTTCTTGGGTCCGGCATCTCCCCGGACATCCAAGTCGCCGAGCCTCGATCCGACCTAACACATAAGAAGAGGCACAAACAGCACAACTGGATTGAAACTGACCCTACTGATTCAACATGATGCAATCGACTATTTTCTATCCTCGCCGCTATGAAGAGGCCCAACGCTCTCTGCCAGCGATTCCGGCTTCGGGGATTGTGAGAAATCGCACAACGGAGCGCGTACTTGTTGTCCTGGATGATGATCCGACTGGCACACAGACTGTGCACAACGTGGCCATCTTGACTACATTCGAGGAAGATGTCATTGAGCAGCAGCGCCGCACAGGGGAGCGGGGGTTCTTCATCCTGACAAACTCGCGTGCATTTCCGTCGGACCAGGTATGTCTGCTAAACCATTCAATTTCATGGAAGTGTAGACTAAGAACTGCTTTCAGGCATCAAAATTACTCAATACAATCCTGAACAACCTCCGTGCTGCTTCTGAAACAGTGAAAGTTTCCATCGATGTGGTTCTGCGATCCGACTCGACATTGCGCGGCCACTTCCCTCTCGAACCACAACTAGTTGACTTAGCCCTGGGGCCTTTTGGGCTGTGGGTATTGGCACCTGCCTTCTTTGAAGGCGGCCGTGTCACAGTCGACGATGTCCAGTTTGTTCACGAGGGGGATTTTCTAGTCCCTGTGGCGAACACGCCGTTTGCTCAGGATCGGAGCTTTGGGTTTTCTTCCAGCAACCTACGAGAGTGGATCGTTGAGAAATTTGATGGCGGCGATGTTCCAGACATCACTAGCATCGGAATTTCTGATCTGCGTCGTCCAGACGGGGTTGAATATGTGGCACGGATTCTTGACTTTTTCCGGCACGACTACCAAGAGGCGCCGGATTGTGGTCCTCAATGCATTCTCCTACTTTGACTTCGAGATATTCATTGCCGCCGAAGCTGCCGCGCAGAATACTGCCCCGCGACTCTACCGGACTGGCGCGAGTTTCATCACAACCCGACTAGGCATTGAAGCCATTCCTCCGCTTCCTGTATCTTAGATTTTCCGCAATGTCCCTTCAAAGGTCGGGGGCTTGATTGTAGTTGGGTCATATATTACAAAAACAACAGCTCAGCTGGAGAGCCTTCTCGATCGCTGCGCAAGTCATCTCGCAGATCAAAGTAGAAGTGCCTTCCTTGTTGAAGAATGGACGTGCAGAACAGGATATCGTGGGAGAGCTAGCACGCCAAGTTGAATCGGTGCTGACTGGTGGTTGTGACTGTATTATCAATACATGTCGGAAGCTGATCCATGGCGAAGATGCCAGTGCTAGCTTGTCCATCGGGAATGTTGTTAGCGATATTCTGGTGAGAATTGTGCAGGCGACTCGGATTCGTCCGAGATATATGATCGCCAAGGTAGGTCTTTTTCTTTTTTTTTTTAACTAAGATATAAATCAAGTTGGAAGCTAATCTCTTTATCAAGGGCGGAACCACTAGCAGCGACATTGCAACCAAAGCATTGAATATCAAGAGGGCACGTATTCTAGGACAAGCAGCAACGGGTGTTCCCCTATGGCGCAGTGATGGGACCTGTGATAAGTGGCCTGGCATTCCATATATTGTTTTTCCGGGTAATGTTGGCTCACCTGAGCTGCTTGGAGAGCTTGTTTCGTCGTACCATCAAGCATAGGGAATGAAGATGGACTAGAGGATCTGGTCAATAAAGAAGCCCAAACCACCACGGCCCTTCTTTTCTTCTACACGTTATGATTTGCGAATCCAAGATCATATTAATTCAAGTGTTGCATTCCTCTTCAACAGATTTCATTCTAATGTAGCGACCATCAGTACATCAAGTCATATGCAAGCGTATCCTCACACAATTCTTCCCGAATCCTATGTACTCTGTAATTAACTGGACGTTAACTTATTGGACGATGACCTTTGAAATACCTTACACTTACTCTTGATGTGCAGGATGGATGCCATAACTCAGAACATGTTCTGGCTTCTCAAGGATCGCAACTAGGCCCATCCCGAAGCCCTTGCCCCTTTCCGCAGTGGCCGGGAAGGGAACATTAGCATGGAACTCCAAAAGTCCTACACAGAACTTCTGTAAGTACAAAATAATTATTGCAAATGCCGAAGAGGACTAGGGGTTGTAGGTAAGCTCACCTGGAATTTTCCCAACCATTCCTTTTCCCATCTGGCACCATCTGTCCACGTCGGTCTTTGAAACGCCTGGCTTAAGGCGAAAGAGAACTGAATCAGCTATGTCAGTGCTTGCAAAATCTTCCCGAAATAAAGCAGGTAAACTGTCGTACCAATGTGAAAAACTGGCATGGTTTCCTTTTTGGTTGAATATGGATGAAATTTGTCTCAAGATCAAATTGCTCTAGGAATAAACACAATCGAAAAGGCGAGCTTGTAATCGCAAAGATTCTAGCTAAGTTTAGAATTCCTATCCCAAGTAATGATGAACTTTAATACATATTGCCGCGAGCAGTCCACCAGGCGAGCCCGGGAAGATGCCGGTACATAACTGCACATGACTCTGGTCGGCATGTCTCCTAGAAGAGTTCAGCTACAGATTGCAGTCATTTGAAATTCCAGTCGTTGATCTCGGGGCAGATGGCGAAAAGCAGGCCGTGCTATTTACCAGGTGGGAACCAGTCTTTAGCAGTATCCTCTCTGAACACTGGGACTGATCTCAATCATTCTGATGACAACATACTTCTGTGGTCATTGAATTCTGTTCTTATAACTCTTTACGGTTGATACTCTGCCGCGTATCGTTAGTGACAAGATGAGCGAGTCCCCTTCAAACTATTGTGCCTACCATGATCCTGTTACCGGACAGGCGAGGGTTGGCCAGTTGAACTTTGCAAAGGAAACTATCAATCCGCTAAGCTTTATCTCCGGCACGCACATCGAGAGTCTCTATCAAGTCATTGAGGCTGGCTCAGAGAACATCGAAGCATCGGGTGACGCATTCCCACTGTCTGAAGTCAAGTTGCTTCCTCCTATACCCGGTTGCGACATCCTCACGGTTGGCAAAAACCACGCGATTGAGTTCAATCTCTCGGCTCTTCCTCCCTCGGACAAGGAGAGTCATCCGGCTCGTCCTTTGATTTTCACCAAGCGCGCCACGCCCATTACCGCCCATGGCGACCAGGTTCTGCCTCACGCCGATTTCACCAACATGATCAGCTTCGATGGCAAGATCGGAGTGATCATTCGAAAATCCGGTTTTCGCATCCCCGAGAAGGACGCCATGGACTACATTTGGGGCTACACAATCGTCAACGATGTGGTTGCCGGAGAGAATACCAGCATTTCGCCCGACTCTTTTTGTTCCATGGGGCCTGTTGCAATTCCGAGCGACAAGCTGCCGGGTGATTTGAGAATTGAAACGTCGGTGAATGGAGCAAAAGGACATGACTCCAGCCTGAACCAGTTGATAGCAAGCATCCCGCGTCTCATAAATACTTTCTCTCAGACTCAAACCTTGCGCATAGGTGATGTGTTTGCCATAGGTGCTTCCGATGGCCTTGGACAGGGTATTTTACCTATGGACCCGACAAAATTCTTGCATCCTGGAGACGAGATGAAAATCTCGGCGTCAGGATTGGGCTCGCTGGCCAACCACATTGCATCTTCTGATCTGCCTAGCACGACCATTGAAAGGGCGAAGTCTTTCTCCCACATTCCTCTCGCCAACTGCAAGGCACGCGATGGGAATGGACTTGTTCGGGTTGGCCACAAAAGCTTGTTCAATCAAGTTCAAGGAAAGCCTGGTGGGCCTCCTATCATCTTTATCCATGGCTTGGGTGGATCTTCAAATTACTACGTGCCACTTCTCCTTCGACTGAGTAGTACTCACGAGCTGCACCTCTTCGACCTCGAAGGACATGGTCTGTCTCCACTCAACCCCCTCAGCAAATTGACTATTGCGTCCTACATGACCGATATCAAGGACCTGTATATGCTGCGAGCCGACCGTCCCGCAACGGTAATTGCCCACTCAATGGGCTCGCTCGTTGCCCTGAAGCTCGCCATCAACCACCCCGAACTCACCTCTAAGCTCATTCTCATGGGTCCGCCTCCAAGCCCCGTCCCCCAGGCAGGTGTGGAAGGTTCAATTGCACGCGCAAATCTGGTCCGTTCTAAAGGAATGCTGGCCACTGCGGACACGGTCGTCAATGGTGCAACCTCTGCTCACACCAAGGATTACAATCCCGTTGCCATGGCTGCAGCAAAGCTGTCTCTAATGGGGCAGGACCCCGAAGGATACGCAAATGCTTGTCTGGCACTGGCCAGGTCTGGGTCTGAAACCCTTGATGTTTCTTCTATCCGGATCCCTACGCTTATTCTGACGGGTGCGGAGGATGCGGTGGGCTCTCCCGAGGTCTGTCGGAAATATGCTGAGTCTATTGTCGGTGCTCAGGTTGTGGTTTTGCCGGATGTTGGACATTGGCATTTATTTGAGGATGTTCGTGGGGTTTCCGGTGCTATTGTGTCGTTTTTGTAGATGAATTTTGAACTACGTTCTTAACCAAAGGAATTCGTAATGCACTAAGCTCTGCTGCATCAGAATTAAGAAATGGTTCGGCGCATCGTGATTTAGTTTTCAGTAAAGAAAGCCATTTCTCGCAATAAGACCAGATAGCAAACATGTTTTCAGGGAATGTGGCCTGTAACATCAATAAGATACTATATTAGGTGGCTGGAATAATGCCATTAAAGAACCACTGAGACACCGCTTCCCGGTCAGAATACAAACACTACGTCGATCGAATTCTTGTCGAGAACGCAGATAATGTGATTAACGTCTTGTCTTACGATGGCGTATCTCTCTACCTCTCCCCAGGAATATGACTCCGTTGAATTGGTGAATAAGACATTTATTATCTATCTGCCATCCCAGCGATATCGGCACAATTAGCATTACGAACCGAAAAAAACCGCAATCCTCTTCGTCTGTAAATCCATTGCTCCCTGATCAAATTCTACTCAACAAGTAGGAGAAAGGAGGGGTAGGGGGTGTGGAAAGAAAAAGAGGGAAACAAGCTAGACAAGAACGACAACACCATGTATTTGCTGCAAACTACAAGCCCCTAATACTGGATTCATGACACATTTCCTCGTGTTATCTTCATACGAGGCTTTATTTAAACTTATCCAGAGTAAAATCCTCCCCCTTGAAGGGTGGCAGGCCCGCGGTGACCCGCATACCCGCAGCACATGCACTCCAATCCAGGTCTTCTCCGCCAACGGCCTTAGCGGTGCAGAGATGATTCCAAGCTTGATCAATAAGGGGCGTGGGAGTTGAGGTCTCGGCACCCAGTGTTCGAATGAAAGATGCATCTTTCATCCCGCCGGGGATCGTGAATCCAGTTGCACCACTGAAAGCCCCGTCGCGGATCTTTTTGCCGTAGTTAACCCATGCGGGAGCGGGAAACCATGCCTCTATACTGATTTGTTAGATAGTTCGACATAGAGAGACGAGACATTGCCTGGACTTACGGATAAATTCATAGAAGAGGTTAACATCGAACCCTGTCTTCTCGGCAAGCGTAAAGCTCTCGGAGAGCAGCTCGATCGTACCGAGGATGCAGTTGTTGCCCAGGATCTTCAACAGTGCACCCTTGGCGGGATCTTCGCCGCAGTCGATTGTAGCCTTTCCCAAAGTCGGAACAATATATTCCTTCACGGTTTGTTGAGCGGTAATATCACCCGACAAAGCGATCAATAGGCTGGCGCTCTTAGCAGCAGCAGGTGGTCCAAAGACCGGGCATGACAGATACTTCAAGCCAAAATGACTGGCCTGTTCCTGGAGAGCCTTGATTGTTGTTGGGAACAGGGTCGAGTGGTCCACGAAGATTGACGCGCTGCTGGAGGTGAATAACTCGGTGTAGACGGAGATTGCCACTTGGTCGTTGGCCAAACAGGTATGAACGATGTCGCAGCTTTGAGCCAGGTCCGACAAAGAGTTGCTGATTTTGCAGTGGTTTTGTTGCGCGATATATTCAATCTTTGATCTTGTGCGGTTCCAGATTCTGACTCGCGGAAGGGCATTTCTTTCTGCATAGGCGGCGAGGTTGGCGGCCATCATTGACCCCATATTGCCCAAGCCGACAAATCCGAAAGCTCGAGGTTTCCCCGCCATATTGATAAAAGAAAAGAGAAAGAGAGGGATAAGGAAGAGAGGAGCAAAAGAATCTAAATTGATTTTTGCTTGATTTCCAGCGATTATGTATCCTCTTTTAAGCCTCGGCGATTTCAAACCCGTCCGGGAAAGACACCATTTCCCCTATTCCTCTCTAATACTAGAATCCGGTGAGATGCCGCGGACTCGGATATACAGAGTTGCATTTTGATGAGGGCAAACCTGTCCGGCATCTCCCCGGGGGGCGACTCCGAGCCCTAACCCCGCAATATCCAAACTTGGAGCTCAACCCCGACTATCCATATGCCGATGGCCTCGTGAGGTCAAATATAAAGAACAAAATAAGCACCACTAACGCCCTGTATAGCTTTCGTCTTACACTTCACCTTACTTTTTTTTTTTTTTTTTTCACCATGACTACAAACGCGAACGTACCTTACCGACCCACTCCAGCCGATATCACCATCAACAACCATCGTCCGGGAGACCCGTCAAAGGTCCTCTTCAAAGATGTTCAAATCCTCGATTCCACCGGAGCTCTACCATACAAAGGAAATGTCCTCATCGAAGGCGAGCGGATTTCCAGCGTCGGAGATGTGGATGAAAGCGCCATCGAAGGAGCTTTGATCATAGATGGGGAGGGGAAGAAAACCCTGATGTCTGGCTTGATAGACGCCCATACCCATCTGAGTTGGAACAACGCGCCTACCATTCACGGCTTGACCAATCTGCAGCTCGAAGAGCATGTCTTGCATACTGCCAATTCAGCCAAGACATACATTGACTGCGGATATACAATGTGTTTTGGAGCTGCATCTGCACGATCGCGTCTCGACATCGCTATCAAGGGTGCCATTAAGTCTGGATTGATCTCGGGTCCGCGAACACTGGCCAATACCCCCGAAATCACGACCACCGGAGGAGCTATTGTACCAAGTATCTCCCGTTACGCGGATGGCCCTTATGAAATGCGCAAGATTGTCCGTGAATTTATCCTGCTAGGTGCCGATAATATCAAGCTCAGCATGACGGGTGATGACATTCATGAGACCATGCGCAGCGAGGATACCTATTTCACCTTGGAGGAGACTGTGGCAGCGGTAGAAGAGGCCCATAACCGAGGAAAACGTGTGTGCAGCCATGCTCGGAGCGCTGCCTCTGTCAAGCACAGCCTTCGAGCCGGAGTCGATATGATTTACCATGCGAGCTTCATTGACGAGGAAGGAATGGACATGCTCGAACAGGCAAAGGATACCGTGTTTATTGCTCCCGCCATCAACTTCCCATTTGCTAGTTGTCAGGGCGATGCGATTACATTTGGATTGACACCTGAGATGGCAGCAAAGAAGGGTCTCAAGTACGAAGTGGAGATGGCTTGCAAAGCTATGCAAGAAATGCACCGACGGGGCATCCGTATATTGCCGGGGGGAGACTATGGGTTTGCCTGGGCTCCGCATGGTACTTACGCTCGGGATCTCAAGCACTTTGTTGATCTGTTTGGCTACACGCCAATGGAAAGCATTCTTGCGGCGACTTCGCTTGGAGGGGAGCTGATGGGATACCCGGATGATTTGGGCAAGGTGCGGCCAGGGTTCTACGCCGATGTTATTTTGGTCGACGGGGATCCTTTGAAAGAGATAGAGGTTTTGCAGGATCAAAATCGGTTGCATGCCATTGTTATCAATGGCCATGTTCATAAGAACATGTCCAAGGGGGCTTAGAGTGCCGTATAGCTAGGTGTGTACAAATAAGGAATAAATGTAAATGCAGAAGTATGATACTCGATTTTAACTTTACTCACACAGCAAACGATCCAATATTATAATTTGTGTCAACTATATTTGCTTCAAGTGCTAGATATATGGCAGCGTGAACGGCTTTTGTTTAAACTTCAGGGAATGACCCAATATCATAACTTGTAAACGTAAAGTCCACTCCCGCATCCGCACTTCCATTAGATCCACCGAAGATATCAACTAAGAATTCATCCGTATTGTCACAATCCGAAAAACTGCCAGGTACTAAATTTGGACCAGCTTCCATCCTGGCATCGCATGAGACGTTTTGCCCAATGAAAGAGAAAGACGTCAAATAATTGGGCGTCCAAGGCTTCTGAGGTCCTTGATTTATCATTCCGCGGCTGTTTGATGATTCATGGTTCTCGTCAGAGATTGTCTCCGAAGACTGTGGCTCGTTGAGTTCCTCATCCCACGGTGTAGACCCAACGCTATTGTCTTCTTTCTGGGTGAGAATATTCTCAATAGCCGCAACGGAATTCTTATTGGCAGGAGTGCTGGTCGCGCTCCGAAGCACCTCGAGATTTAGGGAAAGTCTGGATCTTGCCGCATGAGGGTCGGCTCCTCTTCTTAAATCAATAATGTTGACAGTACTGGCGACAAATGCAGTGTAGCTCTCCAGAAATGTCACGATGCGGAGACCGAACCGACGGATATGAAGAAGTAGCAAGGTGTCGATTGACTGGGCAGCCTTGGTGGCTAATTTATGTGGCTCTGGGTCCACGGCAAAGAATCGGCGACACAACAAGATAATTGTCGAGTGGTAAAGAAGACTTGATTTTCCTTGTTAGAAAACCAAGCGCCAATGGATTATAAAAAGGGAAAGGACAACTCATACTTGAGGAGAAGAATATGCAAAGGTGGACAGGAGATATCTGATGACTCTGTATGTATATGTATTTCGGGTGGCAAGGATTGATCCCAAGTATATAGCTTGGAAATCATCGTGGAGAAGTACCCCAACTCGATGGCCTTCGGCGAGCGGGAACATGTGTAGAGATTTGTTAGTATATCATTTATCAACTAAAGTCGTGAAATTAGCTTGAGTAATGACTCCATGCCTCCCATCTCTCAACTTACAGTGCACAGTTCACAATAAGCAGAGAACCTCGTGTTGGTTCTGGACAGATTATTGAGGTCCTGCTCCAATACCAAAGACATGCCAAAATTTGCTCTCCAAGGCTCACATTCCGCTTCTTCCCCATCCAGTATATCATTGGGCTGGATTATCGGCATCTGTGTTTGGACAGTGGGTGCTCTTCCGAGACATAAACTCATGGTCTTATCCCAAGTGTAGCAGCTCCAGAATATTTGCTGTCTCAAGCGAAGTTCTTCATCCGAGAACTGATATGGCAATTGAGAAAGGTTCTTTGTCGGAATATGAATACCCATGTCCTTCATCATGCGAAATCCAATCCCCGAATAGACCCAGCCTTGAGATATCCGCCCGCATGCGCATTCTCGAGCAGACAAAATGAGTAGGCCCTGAATGGTTGGGATTGAACTTCCTTTTTCAATCTCTTGCGAAAGTAAGCTCAGCGCCTTGGCTGCAAATTGGTCTCCGTAAGCCATCGCTCCGGGCATCTCACTATAGCGTGCTGCCTGCGAGAGCACGGAGCATAGCAAAAATGGTGTAACAAAGGGACCTGCCGTGACAAAGTCATCTAGCAAATACATGAATTAGCCACTTTCAGTTTAGATTTGGGTAGAAGACACACCCACGAAGAAATATTCGACGCGACAAAACCAGATGCAGGTGATGCGGAAAACACCAATATGTTTCCAATAGATTCTGAAGCCGGTCTTCCGAAATACCCAAAACCTCCCAGTAAGGAAATTTGTATCCTGGTGAGAGGCCTAACTGGAAAGGGGTTGAGCAGGACCTGCTCTGCGACAGCGCCGACGCGGTGGGCATGTTGGATGATTGTGATAGGTGACGCTTCGGATCCAACCTCCAGTGATAGAAACTCGTGGCACCATAGAAACAAAGATTTCCCCGGCTATCAAGGGTGACTTCCTCCAAAATGTCACCAGGGTCTTCGTTTTTGCACTCTTGTGGCCGGATATCCTCTGATGTGTCCGGGGTATTCGGCTCTTCGGGGGATGAAGGGGTATCTTCAGGGGAATCAAAGTATTTTCTTAGAATCTGTAAGCGTGTTGAATCATCCGAGTTCCGCAGACGGGAGATGAGCGAATCGAGCTGGTGAATTCTGGTCTCCAAGCTAAGTGCATGGGTTACAGACGGTCAGCTAGAAGACAATTAGCGATGAAACATTTCTCGAAGATGAAGCAGGTCCTTACTTGTCGAAATGGCATTCTTCGTTGTTCACTCGGCACCTATGGCAGACTGGTGTCGCGCCATCACAACGCGCCTTTTTCCTTCTGCATCCCGCGCAGGCGAACCCATATCTCCGCACAGGTCTGCCGTTGCCATTCCTAGCCGGCACCTTGAGCGGACTTGTCTGATTCGGCTTGGTGGCTGATCTCGGTACTTCCCTCATAATCAAAGGAGATGAGAATCCTGGATTGTTTGAAAGCTGAAAGTGTCTCTTGGGAACGATCTACCAGGGCCTACAAACGACGCTATAATCCTCCCCGGTCTCAAGCACCACATCGTATCAGGCGACGATACACTAACACACGCCTCACTCATTAAGCGGGGTAATTCTGGGGGGCCTCTTAACTCCGATAGACTCGGAATCTTACCCTTTCTCCCCGCGAATTCCAGACTGAAGACAATGTCCGAGTTCTCGGAGATGCTCACTCGGACATCACCGTTTACAGAGTATGGAGATGCTAGATGGCCGACTACTACGGGTCGAGCGAAGGAAGGGCTTTGGAATGGACCCATACACTGGTCGAGACTACAGAGTATGTCTATCACTTTAATTTACAATGGCTTACTCCGTACATACATCCGATCGGCCCGAGCCATAGTCAATGGAAAACGGCAGTAGTCTTCGGGTTCTGGAGCCACCGATGAGTAGACACAGACACGCATGCCCTCACATTCGTCATCGTAGGCTACCTATTTTGTCGTCCCAGCATGATAACTTGTACAATTATACGATGTTAGCGAACAGGGTAAGTACATGTACCAGTGGTTATATTACCTGTCCACCTTGCATCACAGAACCCATATCGGCCAACTTCTTCTGCCCCTTATCCGTAAAGAGCAGTTTTCCAGACGACCAACCAGACATAAAGATGGCTATCTCCAAGGCTCCACAAGGCAGTCGATGCCGAACCGACATCGGTATATATGAACCCCGGAAAGGTGAATTTGCCATCCACAAAGCGCGGCCGAGGCATACATGCCCAATATTTCCAGTGTTACTCGTCACGACTACTATAATTTATCAAATCCTAGCCGATGATGTGAAAAAAACTTCCGGCGCCACTTCGGTTGCTGTAGCCGGACCGAGGTGCCATCAGAAAATTCAAGAAACATCGACAAGCCGAGTTAGAAAAGACTCAGATATTCTTCGGCGCTTCAAGCGCCTTGCTCAGCTCAGTCGAGCCATTTCTGTCAGTTGTTGATGACTCGGGAAGCAGCGTAATTGACGACCAGTTCTACCGGTTGCTTGCAAGACAGGGTCTCCCAAACCGTGTCCCACCTTTGTTCACCATTGTTACAAACGAAGCGTCATATTATACCTCCAAACTTCCGACGATGGGGCGCACCCAAAATGGTCCGAATAATTTACTTAATGCCATTTTCTCCCGTCAGCTGGCCAGGAGCCTAGTCAACTCTGGTGGCTACCACATTAATCACAGTGACCCGGACGGGGTCAGAAATGCTGCCTTGGATGCCTTAACACATCGGGAATGGATCTGTGCCCAGGACTACCTCCTTCGCCACGGCGGACGAGACACGTTCCCCAGCCTCTACGAGGTTGGAATCTTCCAGGGCCACCCCTAAACGACAGTCAATCTGCCATACATGTGCGCCCCAAACAACAATTTCAACGCCAGCTGCCACACAAGTGACGTGCTTCTGGTCTGGGGAACCCTGAGTTCCAAGACCCAGAATGTGCAGCCATACTATGACCAGTCGAACCTCCTGCACCCGCAGATGCTTAACGGCATCTTCGGGTCATTCTTCCGCACCTCCGACCCCAACCCAGACCCGGCTTTTCTGAAGGTTCGTGGACGTACGCCGCTACATGTGAGATCTTCGGCTGCAATCAGTACCGAGTGCCGGCGTACCACCCTGAAACGAAAATTACCAGTTTGCTAGGGATGCCGCCTAGTTGGAAGGAGAACCCGGGCTTGTCGAAGCCATGCACCGTATTCGATCATTATGGATATACTTTCCAGCATGTATAAAATTGTGCCCTCTCTGACAGGCCAAACCGGCCCATCCATCACTTGTTGTTTATACTGGATGCCAAACTCATCAAGATGAAGATGCTGCCCTGGAGAGCTAGTTAGCAATTCGGGGTGTCCACAGAGCCCACAATATCTGAGACAATGACTCACCAATAAGCATCTCACCACTTCGATCCAAATCTTAACTTCATATCCAACCTCACATCCGGTCAACATCAAGTATGCATCTCGACCACAAAATCCCATGGAATACAGCATCTACCCATTTCAACCTAATACGATGCAACCGAAGATTCACTCCGCATCGCACAAATCTCTTTTCACGCAACAAACCGTCCGAGTCAACAGATTTAAGCCATTTCCGTCGTGTGTTTATCGCGACTATCCGGGAATTCTCACACACCAAACCATTATCACCGATATCCCTAGACAAACTCATCTCTGACTCTTTACTGTCTTATCCCGAACGAAAATATGGCCTCGGACCACACGAAACAAACTCCGCACTGCATAACCCTCTCTCTGCAAAACACCAGAATATTCAATACTGGATTAACCGTGCTGGTACTCCAGAAGAACCGGCCTATAGCAGTAACGATGGGGATCTTTCCGATGCGGTGAAGATGCTGGTCATCATCGCCGCGAGTGCAAACGGTATAGATACCGAGGCGAAAGAAAGATCAAGAGAGGCGATTTCCGCTTTACTCACTTTATCTCGCCATTCTCAAATTCCTATTCATACTTTGAATAATATCCATTGGGGCCATGGGTTTGGGGTGGCGTTGGTTGCGGATTTTGCATTGGAGGCGTATCTTTTGATTAATCTGGTTGATGGAGTTCTTTCTCGCAATCGATTAACTTCTGGTAATTCTATGGAGAAGGAGGTATCACTTCTGGAAATGGAATCCTTCCGATATCTCATCTCAAAAGCCCTCCCTGACTATGATTATCCGGTGCAAAACATTCCTCATCGAGCTTTTTGGAATGAATTGGGTGTCACGGATACTTGGGCCTATCAACAGAAGTTTAGGCAATGTGTTGGAGGCGAAGAGCAGGATATGAATGCAATCGATCCGTTGGGAGATGGGAATGAGGAAGTCAGACAGGGTTTACGACAGTATCTCAAAACTTGTTTTGCGATATTGTATGTTTATGATATGTTATTGAGGGAATGGTATGGAGAGGATGAAGCTAATTCGACATGGAAATATTGGATTGATTGTTACTTTGGATCTTGTGGTTGCAAGCTTGAATAAGATCAACATTATATAGACTAAATAATGATTAAAATAGGTAACTTCAGTGGGATCCAATTAGCTGTCAAACCCTCACCCGGCCTTTACCAAGAAACTAAGTTACTTAGCGCATGTCATGTCTGCCCAAAAGTAGATTCCATCACCGTCTTGTTGGGGCACGTTGAACATTTGTAGTACAGGATATATGTTGGCGGTGGTACGTTTTGGTCATTATATTATCTGGAACGAGCACCATTGATTGGTAGGATAGATATCTCGCTTTCGCTTATCGTGGTACTAATCGACTAGGTTGATGCTTGGATTGGCCTTCGTAGTGCTGAACGTATGTTCCTGTATTGCCTCGGATTCGTCTGCCATTTAACATAAGCAGTCGTGGACAGTTCTCTCGGCCAGTTTATCAATCAGTCTGACATCTAGGGGAAACACGAGTGTCGTCTGGAGTATGTCAGCATATATCTACTTGGATAATGCTAATGCAGGCACAGGTCTGGTTACAGCTGGAATATGTAACCTGTGCATTGTCGCTTTGCAGGCCGAGTTTCTTTCTTCCTACCCGAGGGGGTACGACAATCATAGAATCATCACCTGTCTACTGGGCAAGGATTGCGGCTTCTTCCAGAAAGTTCTTGAGAACTGGCACACAATGCTGACTGCCCTGAAGGACCCTCTTGGTATCATGCTTCAGGCAGCGCAGTGAGCTCTCACAGTATCTCTGCATGACATACTATAGTATGTTCAGTTCAGTTCAATCGCAAACCAAATACCAAGCACTGAATCATCGGTCTCACTCAGAATTCAAAACAATAGAATCATTTTCTTCTTCGTCCCATATTGCTGTCCTCATTGTTTCTCCCTCCCATATCCCCAGGCGTGAATCGTTGGCACAGTAGTGCCCGGCACATGAGACATAGGACGGTTAAGAAAGGACTCACATGGCCATATTTAAGCCAGATTTCCGGCGAGCCACATTCATTCAAATTGCGGACTGCTAGTCTCAGTGAAGAGCTTGTTTTCAAAAATTTCGACTGCTCTCTGGGTCTGTTGTGTGGGGTTTTTGTAAGTCTATCCTTCTTCTGTTAAAGCTTTCAGTCTTAAATGTGATGCGGGCATGATCCTCCGAAAGGTATCTAATGAGGTTCATTTTGAACATTGTCGAAGATTCGAGGACGAAGGACGGGTTTGGTTTCTGAGAATGCAAGTTGGTGAATGTTGGACCTTAGTATAGCTTGAATATATCTTCAACGCGGAGCTATTTCATTCACTGATCCAAGTCGACCTACTCAGAGACCATTGGAGAAGAACATGATTGGGGACTGACCAGGTTTAGGGCTGTGTCATAGCCGAGAGTACGAAGAGATACAAGAGGGGCGAAGTGACGATGGGTGGTTCCCACGTTAGTATATAGCAGCAGTACTAAGTTTAGATGCAAGAAGAGATTCTTGATAAGGCGGCTTTATGTAGAGAGAACTACTAAAACTGAAGTATCCTTCTTCATTCACTATCACTCTTCTATATAAATATAAATCAGGGTATACCGCTAAGCCAGAACCCAAATTTTAAACCAAACCTCAAAACGAAGACTTGATCAATCACTATCATAACCATCACTATCGTCATCGTAGTAATCCCCATAGTTCCCTGCGAATGCCGCATCGACACCATCTTCCCCTTCTTCCCCCTCGTCGTCCTCCTCCTCGTAATCGTCTTCATTCCCTGGTGCTTCGCCAACGACTTCTTCGTTATTTTTTGGCTCGCTGGCGGGGCCGAGGACTTCTTCGTTGGGTTGTTTTGGTGCTGGTTGTGCCTGTGGAGCAGCGGCGCGGGCAGGAAGGGCAGGGGCAGGGGCAGGGGCAGGGGCAGGAGCTGGAGAAGCAGTAGGCTTGGCTGTGGCCGATGGAGTGAGAACTCCAGTCCGTCGAGGTGTAGATTCAGGTTCGACGCTGACACTACGACCCGACACAACGCTCTGGCTGCGACTCGCACCGTCGGGCTTCGATTCGGCCCCTTCTTCGCCGTAGAGAGAATCCAGAAGACGGTAGTTAATCTTCTTACTGAACCCTCTGCGCTCGAGCATCCGGCGTGTTGCCTCTGCTGGAGTTGAGGCGCGCGTGCTCCGTCCGTCTCCCTCTTCGCCCTCGCCTTCGAGGTAGGTGACATCGCCCATTCGGCCGCGGCGGCGCTTGCGAGGTTTGTGAATCCCTGGGCCCGAGTCGGCTTCATCCAGGGCTCGCTTGAGGGCCTTGGCTTGTTGGGTTCGGAGGTAGTCTTTGTTTTCGTGGACCCAGATGCGTTCTTTGATTTCGACTTCCGAGGGGCCGAGGAGGCAGTTTGCCACTTCTGGGTCGGATTCGAATTCGCTGGCGTCGATTTCGGTGCTATCTGAGATGAATTGTCTGTTCGTCTCTTGACCTTGGTTGGGGTGTGATGCTGTTTCGACCATCTTGGAGCCCTTGGTCAGGAAGGCGGTCATTTCGTCTTCGAGGGCATTTTCCGATGCAACCTGTTCCGCACTGGGCTGGAAGGGAACCTGCTTCGGCTTAGAGCCCTTCGGTTGACCAGGCTTGGACTTCGATGACTCCTCCCCGACTTCAGAAGCATCGCTGATAGCAGATGACGCAGATGGTCGCCGGCCGGTAGTCGCATTTGTCAGGGCAGGGTCAATAGGGAGGCTAGGAATGGCAAAGCCATCGGCATCGACGCGTCTTTCCGGCGGCTCCTCATAGTCATCATCCTCAATCTCCGCTGCTGTTTCTGGAGCCTTGCGTTTCGCTCGCCGACCTGGTTTCCTGTCCTCTCTTGCTCTCGTAAAGGATGGTGGATCATGTGCGTTCTCCAGTTGCACTGACCGGAATTGATCAACGGTCAGCTCTCCGCTTTCGGTGGAGCTGAACTCGTTCAACCGTTGACTAATGGTGATTTCAGTGACCTTCACCACATAGACAACTTCACGGACCGTCCGGCGGAAGTTGTTCATTCTGGCGGCCAGGATTAGAGCCGCACCGCAGACACCAGCCGGTCGTCGACCGGTAGTCATCCAATCGCGGTTCATACGCTGTACAATGCGGACCGCTTCACTGGCCACTTGCATTGTGGCAGATCCGAATTCGAGTTGTTTGGCAAATCGGTAGATCAAGCTCTCCGGATCGATCGGGTTCATTAGAAAGACATTACCCCCAATTCGCAGCTCTTCCAATAGAGCCTTGTAAGTTCGACCGAGTTTGAAGACGTTGATCATCAGTACGTCAGCGAAATCGATCAACATAGTAGTATTCCCATCCTGTCGACGACAGGCGATGTACAGACACACTGCTGCGACGGTTTTCGTCCGTCGACCCTGGATGAAGTTCAACCCGACGGCAAGCTTGAAGACCTGGCCAGCCGCCTTGGCGGCGCTCTCAGGAATGATCAATGCACGAGCCAATTGGTTGATATATCGATTGCCGTTCTGTTCCGTGATTTCTCGACTTTCCATATTACCCCCACGCTGGAATCCCGGCCCATAACTACGGACATGGGACTGGTCCTCTCCGACGAAGGTACCCTGGACCATTGCTGCACCAGAGGAAGTCTCTCCGAATGTAACTTCGGAGACAATGTTTGCGTCGCTGATAACAGTACCACATCCGGAACAAACCTTCTGTCCGTCATCCTCGACGATATGAGGTGCAGGGCAGCCAGGATTAGGACAGGTTGACGTCTTGGGATGAGTTGTCGGTTTAGTCGGCTGCGGACGTGCTATTGGCTGAGGACGTCTGATAGGCGTTGGATTGCTAGGTTTGAGACTGGCCAGACGGCCGACAGGAGCCCTGGACCCGGGCCGGGAGGGCATGGGGGCCCGCATGCCTGGTCTAGCTGACATGGTGCGAAGGTGGTGTCAACGTGCGTGCAGATAGAAATAATATAGTCGCAGATATGAACATGCAAAGTTAACAAACAATGTCGAGCATAGATCGGTACATGCCCGTGTTTCCCGAAAGAGTAACTGATGGCCAATGAGTGAGATGTGCGTCACTCTCGCGCAGTCATTGAGAAGAAGTGACGATGAGTATTTATTTTCGTGAATTCAGACTGTTTATTCTGGCAAATAGTAGGGCAATGAAAGGAACACCACGGGACGAGATACACAACACGGGACGAGCAACCAGAGGGGAGCACACAAAAAAAAGAGGCAAAAGTGAAAGGAGTCGAGCGGAGGACGTTGTCGGCTGCAGATTCTGCCGGGTTTGGTCCGGTGGCCCAGCGGATATGTCACGTGTAGCGGGGAGGCCACGAGTTCGATTCCGGCTGTCTTTTTTTGACTGAATTTCGGAATTTCCGTTTGCATTTCGACTGAAGAGAAAAAAAAAAAAAAAAAAAAAAAGGAAGAAGAAAAAAAAAAAGAAGAAAAAAAGTACAATTCCAAGCGCTTCGTAAGTGTTTCGAAAGAAAGCTTGGTTCCTCGTGGGATATTCCGAGTGGTAGCGGACTTGCAGTGTCAAATCCACACTGGTTTCAGGATTGACGGCGAGGGCAAATCATGGCGAAGAATCCAATTCCGGGCGTTTTTCTGTAGCTGCAAAGGATCTCCTAAAGATGTCTATCACACGCCTGGAGAAAAAGAAATGGGCTTGGATGGGCTCCATGACTGACGAGTCCAGCATTGAGTGGTGCTCTTTGTAGGCGATTCGCTGGTCAACCACCAATGCGAACGGCATACCACAGCATTCGTCCAGATCAACAGGAGTCCTTCAGATAAATTCGAAAAAAAAAATTGCTTATTGGATATTGCTCAACGAATCATCAGCCTTGTGGAATTTGTCCTACTTTTGGCGTCATGGCGTACAGTCATAAAGAATGCGATATTTGTGCGTGGAAAGTCTGGTATTCAGAATCTTTCACGCACAAATCTCTCACGGATGCTGGTCCATCGTTGAGGTCGCCTTCTTTTCCATTCCACTCCTTTACTTTCTTTTCTTTCTCTCTTTTTATTCTGTTTTTAAAAACACAGATTTCTACTGCCTCTTTAGTGCAATTTTCCCAGTGTGGTTTTTCTATGGCAAGGACGCAAGGTCATAATTAGCCCTTCCTACTACGTTACAACCACCCATTTGGACGAATTCATCGCTCCTTATCAAAAACAATCACAACGCGTCGTCGTCTAGTCTTGCTGGTCAAGACAACCAAATCCTGGATCATTCCCCGGAATAGCAGCATCTCAGGTCCAAAGTGCAGTTTGTACAACCATGGAGGACAAGAAGAACAACGTGGTTGAAGCCTTTGGGCCTCACTCCCCCGTACGCGAACCCAGATGTCTCCGCAGCACCTTTTTCGTCAGCAACGTTCACTGCTCCTCCTGTGTCGCCTACATCAACGTGATACTTTCTGACATACCCGCCGTGAGGGCCGTGGAGGTCAACATCCTGACCCACGAAGTACACGTGCGACACGGCGTGGAAGTCGGTGCACCCAGGTTGGCCACGGCGTTGGTTCAGGCCGCTTTTGAAGTCCACCATGTCACCACCTATGACGACATTGAAGGCTCCGTTGTTTCGGAAATTGACACCACTTCGTTGCTCCCCCGCGATTCGATTCTATTCTCGTCGGTGCGGGCTTCGTACCCCAAGTTGCCTCTGAAGAACAAGCAACATATCGCCAACTGTGATGCGTGTAGAAAGGAGAGCCAGGATCGGCTTTCTTGGTCGCCCCGTCCAGAAAAGAATGGCTTGTTTCGTCGTGAAAGCAGTTGCGTTGCTCCGCTGGCTGCTAGTAACCGCGGCGTATTGTGTCCTGACTACAAAAAGGAAGACTCTGACGTTGAGAGTCTCGTGCCACGAGCTTCCCCGATGGCCATGGAGGCCGTGCAGCCACTGGACCCTGCGTCGCTGTCGGCGCCTCAGCAGATGGAGGAGGAATTCAATGCCCGCATCAGCATTGGCGGCATGAGCTGTGCGTCATGCGTCAATACCGTGACGAACGAGGTTAAGGAGCTTGAATTCATCAAGGATGTCGTCGTCAACCTGCTCACCAATAGCGCCATGCTGGTCTACACCGGTCCAAAGTCGAACATTGACAGAGTCATCGACCAGATTGAGGACATTGGCTTCGAAGCGTCCCTCGACGAAGTAAATGCAGCGTCTCAGCCTAGTCGTGCACCCACTGCCTTCGTTGCAGAGATTGCTATCACCGGCATGACTTGCGGATCCTGTGTGGGAGCAGTCACTGGCGCGATCGAGGAGCTGTCCTTTGTCACTCATGTTTCTGTGAATCTCCTGTCACACAGTGGTATGATCGAATTTGAAGGAGAAGACAAGGCGAATGCCATCGTGGAGAAGGTTGAAGATATTGGCTTCGATGCTTCATTGGCCAGCGTGCACCCTCTGGCTGCGCAGAAAGACGACAACGATGAGATCAAACCGAGAACGGTCTCAATTGGCGTGGACGGCATGTTCTGTCACCACTGTCCGGAAAAGGTCCTTGGCTCCTTGAACGCACTTACGGATGTTGTGATTGAGGAACCCTTGTCCATCAAGAACCCCATTCTGAAACTCACCTACACCCCTCGTCCATCATCCTTCACCGTTCGAAACCTGCTTTCGACCGTCGAGTCCGCACACGATACTTTCAAGGCGACTGTCTACCATCCACCAAGCGTCGAAGACCGCTCGCGTGCGATCCAGCTACACGAGCGACGTCGACTGCTGTGCCGCCTTCTGTTTGTGTTCACCGTCACAATCCCAACCTTCCTGATTGGCGTGGTGTTTATGAGCCTCGTATCTTCCAACAACCCAACTCGGATGTACCTGGAGCAGCCAATGTGGGCCGGCAGCGCATCTCGCATGGAGTGGTCGCTGTTCATCATGACAACGCCGGTCATGTTCTACGGCACTGACATATTCCACGTGCGAGCGATGAAGGAAGTCCATGCCCTGTGGCGTCCTGGTAGCCGGGTTCCTTTTCTGCAGCGATTCTGCCGCTTTGGCAGCATGAACTTGTTGATTTCCGCGGGAACTACGGTTGCTTATCTTTCGTCTCTGGCTGTTCTTATTGTTGATGCTGCGGCGGGTATAGACAAGTCGGCTCAAATGCATAGCTCGACATACTTCGACACCGTTGTCTTCCTTACCCTGTTTATCCTGGCTGGTCGATTCATGGAAGCTTACAGCAAAGCGAAGACGGGAGACGCAGTTGCATCTTTGGGCAAGCTGAGACCGTCTGAGGCGCTACTTGTCGAGCGTTTAGTGACGCCCGATGATGAGAAATCCGAGGTTATCCGGCGTATCAACATCGACCTGCTTGAAATCGGTGATATTGTCAGCATCCCTCACGGCGCCTCTCCGCCAGCCGATGGCACCGTCACGAACACGATAGGAACTTCCCAATTCGACGAAAGCTCCCTCACCGGCGAATCGAAACCCGTCAAGAAGGCCGCGGATGACCAAGTCTACACCGGATCCGTCAATGTAGGCCAGCCAGTGCAGATCCGGGTTTCTGCCATCGGAGGCTCGTCGATGCTAGACCAGATTATCTCCGTGGTACGGGAGGGCCAGAGTCGACGTGCGCCGCTGGAGAGAGTTGCGGACATGTTGACTTCTCATTTTGTGCCGATTATCACGCTCATTGCTATCTTGACTTTCCTCGTCTGGCTTTCTCTTGGACTTTCTGGCGCCTTGCCCGATGACTACCTGGACGTTTCGCGCGGTGGATGGACCTTCTGGAGCTTGGAATTTGCGATTGCGGTGTTTGTCGTTGCTTGTCCTTGTGGTTTGGCGCTTGCGGCTCCTACGGCGCTGTTTGTTGGTGGAGGTCTAGCGGCTAGACATGGTATCCTGGTCAAGGGCGGTGGCGAGGCGTTTCAGGAAGCAAGTCGTCTCGATGCCATTGTCTTTGACAAGACTGGGACTCTCACCGAGGGAGGTAGTCTGAAGGTTTCCGAGCATGAGGTCCTTTCGAACACCAACGACTCGACGGAAATGCAAATTGCCTGGACGCTCGCGAAGAAGCTAGAGGAAAGCAGCAACCACCCGATTGCTCGAGCGATCATGGAATTCTGCAACGACAAGCCAGCTGCCTCCGTGCGGTCTTCTGAAATCCAGGAACTCTCCGGAAAAGGAATGAAGGGTGTTTTCACAGTGTCGACTCCCGAGACCAAAGAACCCGTCCAATACGAAGCAGCAATCGGCAACGAGCGTCTCCTCCACGAACTCGCCTCCCCAGACACAGACACGTACTACATCTCAACCCTCCTCTCCAAGTACCAATCAACCGGAAAATCAACCGCCATCCTCTCCCTCCGCAAAATCAACCCGGACACTCTGGAGAAATCCCCATTTATCCCCGTCCTCGTCTTCGCGATTTCCGACCTCATCCGCCCCGAAGCCGCACAAATCATCTCCGACCTCCAAAAGCGCCGCGTCAACGTCTACATGTGCACAGGCGATAACCACACCACCGCAACCGCCGTCGCAGACATGGTCGGCATCCCGCGCTCAAACGTCATGGCCAACGTCCTCCCAGCCGGTAAAGCCGATTTCGTCCGCCAGATCCAAGAATCTTCTCCAAGTGACAATCAGAAGAAGACCCGCTCGATCGTGGGGTTCATTGGCGATGGCGTGAATGACTCCCCCGCACTGGCCGCTGCAGATGTATCCATCGCTCTTTCGACGGGGTCAGACGTCGCTCTATCCTCTGCATCTTTTATCCTCCTCAATTCCTCATTGACTACAATCCTGCACCTGGTCCTCCTCAGCCGCCGCGTGTTCAACCGTGTCAGGATGAACTTTGGCTGGGCGTTGGTCTACAATCTCTGCCTCATCCCCGTTGCCGCGGGTGTCTTCTATCCCATCGTCAGTGGACATCGGGACGTCATGGGTAGTAATGGGGAAGTGGTCGGGGTTGTTGATACGCATTGGAGGCTGAGTCCGGTTTGGGCTGCGTTGGCGATGGCGTTGAGTAGTGTTTCGGTTGTGTGTAGTAGTTTGGTGTTGGGGGTTGAAGATCGGGTGTGGAAATTTTTTGGTGGCGAAAAGTGAGACATGTATGAGGAGCTGGACTTCTCATTCTTCATTTGCGGGGTTTATTTGAGGGAAGATTGTTCAAGGAATTGGGAGGAGAGGGGATGTTGTTTGCCGTTTATGACTTTAGTTTTCATGATACCATTCATTGTGCTATGCAGTAGCGAATTCAAAATTATTATGCAGAATACCCAACTACACCCATCCATATAGTTCAAGAATAACCATCCCAATCATAAAATACCAAACCCCAACACCAACCAAACAACATTCCATTACCCCAACTCCCCCCAAACCTCCGCAATCTTCTTACTCAACGCCTTCATGATTTTCTTCCTCCCCACCATCCCCTTCATGCTCTCCGCAACCATATCCTCCCGATCCCTCGGATCAAGCGCCTGAAACGCCTCCACCAACTCCCTAGGTGTGCGCCAGCGCCTTTGTATCTCTAGCGCTTTATCACCAGTCACGCCCCGGATACACATGAGCATTTTTAGAAACACGTCACGGAGGGCAAGGACATCTGATTTCGAACTCAGCGCCGAGAAAGTAGAGAACGTCACGCCGTATGTCGTCGAGGGGTTCTGGGGTCGTAACCGCTCCAGTGTGGAGAGATATGCCTGCGACGAGGAGATCTGGGAAGTAGGCAGGAAGGAGAGTGTTTTTGTCGAGTCGTCGTACATTTTCTGTAACAGGAAGGTCATGCGTGTTAGGTAGCGGATTGTATCGTCCAGATCACGCGTTTTCTTGACAAAGTAGCCGTTGACGACTTGTGTTGTTGCGATTGCTGAGGCGACCATTTCGTGGTATTTCGATGCCATTGTGCTATCCTGCGTGACTGTGAATTCTTCAATGAGGTAGATTACGTTTTTGATTCCTGAGCGTCGAAGACGGAATTTTTGCTCGTGGAAGCGGCCGTCTTTTATCGAGCCGACGAGGTCGTCAAGACGTTTCCGTTCAACGATCCAGTCTAGCATGATCTCGTCATTGGCGTTTTCTTCGCCGTGCCGGGATAGTATACTCGGGTCGTGGATCTTGGCTACCCACATCGCATCACCGAGTTCCAGGGCGCGGACTTCAGGGGTAACGCCTCGCTTCGTGAGTTCGTTGGAGATGTAGTCGCGGTCTTTGGAGGCGCGGACTTCGCGGGTGTCGAGGATGAGTTGGATTGTGAAGGATTTCGGTGCGAGGGGGATGGGGGTTATGTTAGAGCCGTCTGCGGTGCCTATTCCTAGATTGTATGGGTTTTGGTCTTCTTGGTCTTCGTCTAGGGTTTCGGGGATGACGGTGGGGTGTTGGGATGTTGATGTTTGGGTGTCGAGGTTGGTGTCGATGTCGGTGAGTGTTGATGGGGCTCGTTGCTGTCTGGGGTTTGAGGGGCCGGCACTTGCTCTTTCGTCGGTTCCCTGTGAAGTCAGCGACATTCAATCATAGTAAAATTTATACAGTCATACCCCAAAAGACAACGTCGACTGCCCTGCCCCCGCCCCCGGCAAAGTCTTCTGAATCCTCTTCGCAACCTCCCACCCCTCCTCCGTAAGCGCATACTTCCGCAACGGTCGTCCATGCTCATAGACCAAATCCTTCTGTACCAAAGTTTTCATCGAGTTCCAAGCCGTGTAGAATTTGGTAGGATCAGGCGGGACCGTGAACGAGCTATCACAGTATGGCTGTGCCGCTTCGATCAACTGCGCTTTCGTCATGCTCTGTGACGCATTCTCATTCAGAGTTCCCAGTCCCAGGATTAAGGCGTATGGACCTGATCGTAAAGCTGGGACGTAGGCTTTTTGTTTGCGTGGTTTCTTTGCGGGTTGGTCTTCTGGGAGGCCTTCGTCGGAGGATCTTTTGCTTTCTGCGGTTCTTAGTACCGGGTAGCAGATGGCTAAAAGACAGAGCACGTACTCTTATGAGGTGGTTCAGGTTCAGGAAGCCCATTCTGCGCACAGTACTCCTTCAGTTTGTCCGTCAACCGGTCACATAGCTTCGGCCCGAGTCCATTCAACTGCTGAGCTTCAGACGGATGTTGGAAAATCAACGGACATGCTTTCATCGATTCATAAGCTTTTTTGTATCTACATGCCCTGTTAGTGATATACATCAAAATCATCTCATAGGGAAACGAACACTGTAAATCCGTTGCTATTCCGCTCTCTCGCCTGATCCAGCCATTCCTTGATCCACCCTAGTAGTAGGGGATTCGCGCAGGTTTCTTCGCTCATGATACGCCAACTCGATGGTCCAAGATACTGGCATGCCCTGGTGTCTCCAAAAATACGTCCAAGGCGTTTATTGTGTTGCCATGGCAGTTCCTGGAGAGCGTTGTCTGTCAAATTGGCTTCCGCGTCTTGACGCGTATTTCCTCTTTGGGCGATAGTGTGGCTTGACTGTGGCACAGTGTCGCACGACTACTGATGACTAAAATATCTTTGCATGATGATTGGCTGGAATGATCTCATAGTATACAACGACGCTGTTCGACATTTTGCTCTATCTGAGGATTATTTTTCTATATCAGCATACACGAAAGCTTGGAAAAATTCTATATGAAGGGGAGAGTTGTGAACAACAACAATGACGAGCATCTGTCAAGTCTGGATCAACCAAGATCGACCATTTCCTGGTTGAGTCGGAATGACATCAACACCGTTGCTGGGTTCAATGATGAATAATGGAAGACCATTTGACCATTATCTCAATTGTTCTATCATTTACTCCTGGAGACACATAGCAAAGCCAATACTGTAAGCAATGGCAATATGGTCGCCAATCCGCTATCTTCTGTTGTCAAATCCGACGACGGCGATGGCAGAGACATGGGCCATAATCTCGTTCATCACATAAATGGACCATCGAGAACTGAGAACCAGGGACCTACCGACAGCCATGCCATCTCACATGTCGAACCAGATGAGAAGGGACTAGTTCAGAAAGCTGGCGCATCTCAGGAAGTTTCGGATATTGGATGGGAGCATGGGTCCGGTGAGATTGGGGAACAGATTGTGCCAGGGTTATTGAACGAGGATCTTTGGATGCTTATTAGACGGTTTGACAAGGTATGTGACACTGGGGCAGCCGTGGATTGGGTCCTGCTGACAAGTACAGCAACTGTACTATGTCAAATCTGTGCCGGATACTCCAATGCAGAGACTCGACCTTGTTCGAGCCGAAGATGAACAGTTCTCCCCTGATAAACTGCGAGCGACGCTTGAACGATTCTATACAACCGTGGCTTTGAATCTGATAAGTGCTGCGAAACATATTGCTCGATTGCGATCATGGAGGGAATACGAACGCACGTTGGGGTTTTGTATTGTATGCTGGCCCGGTGTGACTGATCTTTAACCACTATGGCTGATGCTCTATAGGTATATTCCGCTGCATGGCTCCTGGACCTCCTCGCACCCACGTTCTTCATTGTCCTCATGACTCTCGTTGTGCACCCCCCATCTCGAACGTTGCTATTCCCCCCGGCCCCTATCGCCCTAGTTGATACAGCTACAGGTGGCATGCAAAAGCCTAAGGCTGGTCATCTGGGCTCGGATGACAGTGCTACCGGTGCACCAGAGAGATACAAGGGTGAAGCAGCCGAGAATGAAGCCAGCAATATTCTGGCAAGTGTCGCTGGTCTCACTGTGGAGAGCGCGGCGGGTAAACATGAGCAAGAAATGCCTGAAGTTGAACCAGAGAATGCACCTCAAGATGCGAAAATAGAAAACACACCCGATCCGGCGGAGATCGCAACGAAGGCGGCAGATGCAAGAACTGCCGTGCATGGAGAGAAGCCGGAAGAATCGCATGATAAGACGAGACAGCCTATCAAGGATACTGTTTTTAATGTGGCGAATCAGTCCATGCGAGTGTTGAGTGATATCACGGATACCTACGAACGATTTGAAAAGTGAGTATCCGATGGCCATACAAAGTTGACCGTATTAACTCCTTTGATTACAGTGCTCTCTCTCCAACACCACCTTTCCCCATGGTGACCCCTTATCTACGATTTGTGGGAGTCCTAACATTCGCCCTGTTCGCTTCTTTTATCGTCTCCAGCTATGCCTTCGTCAAGATCAGCACATTCCTTTCTGGTTTCTTCTTCTTCGGCGACCCTGTTCTTCAGCGTATTGTAGAATTCTTGGATCGCAGGTACTCGCATTGGAAGCGTCTCTTGGAACTGCAGAAGTATTTCCAAGCCCGATTGCCCCATTCAAAGAACGTCTGCTTATTATATCATCTAGTACACTTCTACAGGGCATCCCCACAAATGCTCAACTCACACTGACTCTCCTACGCATTGGGGAAACGAATCTTGCACCCCTTCCTCCTCCGCCAGGCTCACGAGCTAAAACCCCTTCTAGTGGCAACGATACACCGGCCCACGGAACCTCTGAAAAAGAAGGCTCGCACCCCGGCTCTCCATCACCACAGCAGACAGCAGATACCCATAAGCAAAAGCAAGGCATCCTCCCCCATATCGTCTCCTTCTTCCGCGGCACGACAGCAACAAGCATCGAAAGCAAACTTGCCATCGATAAAGCCCGCGCCGTCACCGGATCCCGTCATGCCAAAGCTCGCGTTGGAATCCTCCGCAGCAAAGGAAAACGAGCCCTCCCCTCCGGCCCCGTCGAGTTCGACGCACGATATAAAGGCAAACGTGGTGTAACTATTATCGACTCCTCCAAAGACCCACCTTTGCTTTACTTTACCACCGAGTCTGCCCTGGACTTTGATAATATGGCAATCGAGGGCAGAAAGGACGGCACGGTGATGTTCTCGATGCCTGTTTCTGATATCACGGAGATGAGAAAGACGGGCGGACTAGGTTGGAAAGGAAAGTTGGTTGTTGGATGGGCTGTGGGGAGTAAAGAGGTTGTAGATGGGTTGCTGCTTATTGGGAGAGAACCGGGTCAGAGGTTTCAGCTTACGGCTATGGCTACACGGAATCAGCTGTTTGATCGGTTGGTTGCTATCGATGGACAGGTTTGGGAGAGCTATTGAACTCTTTTTTGTATGTGTGGCTAAATTATTTCAGGTTTGGAAATAACGTATGATCTACGTGGAGTTTGATGGATTGGATGTTGTTCTTTACTGCTGGTCTTAATATATATGCAAGCCTGTACAGTACATAGTCTATCATGCACCATATATCTATTGTTGCGCCACTTCAGTCTCATAGTAATTCCTCACAGCCTGCTCAAACGACTCATCCGGCTTGAATCCCAACAAAAACGCCTGCGAGTTATCAAACCTCGTAGGCCATGAGAGCAAGATCGCCTTAAGCTCCGCATCCTCCTTCTCCTGAAGGAAACCTAACTTTTCTTTTCCGCCAACCTTCTCCAACGCATTCATCATCTCCTGAACCGTAACGCAGATTCCAGGGACATTGATTTGGCGAATATGCGATGGCAGCACATCACGCGATAACGAGAGCGTATGCAGTAGATTATGAACCAATGTCCGGGGCGAGCAAATCCACGACTTGAACGAGCGGTCCTCAATAGGCACAACACATTCCTTCCCAGCCAACGGCTCCCGAATTATACCAGACAAAAACGACGACGCCGCAGCGGTAGGCTTCCCCGGCCGCACAGAAATAGTCGGAAACCTCAGCACAAAACCATTAATAAACCCTCGTCTCGTATACTCATTAACAAGCGTCTCGCAGATAATCTTCTCCGCCCCATACGACGACTGCGGCGTCGGAATCACACTATCATGAACAACCTCCGGCAACGGCTGCCCATACACAGCCTGGCTAGACGAATATATAACCTTCACCCCGGGACACGTCTTCCGCAGCGCCTCAAACAAGATACGTGTAGCATCGACGTTGACGCGCATGCCGAGGTCGAAGTTTGCTTCTGAGCCTGAGGACATGATTCCGTGGAAGGCGTAGACGGCGTCGAGGGTGGGCGAGACTAGGTTGTCTGCGCCGGCGAGGAGGTCGGCTGTCACGGGTTGCGCATTGTTGGGGTATTTGGAGCCTTTTGGGATTGGGGGTTCGATTACGTCGGTTAAGGTGAGAGTGTGGGAGGGGTCGTTGAGGAGTTCTTTGGCGAGGAGTTGGCCGATGAAGCCTGCTGCGCCGGTTATGAGGATATGCATGGTTTAGAAAGGCCTTGAAAGAACAATGATGCTAGGTGAAGTGTATTAACTCTTTCTAACCGGTCATGCTGGGTAGATATACTATCGCAGTCTTCATGGATAGGCTTCATTATGATGTCGATCCGGTGGAGAGCATACTCCGCAGCTCGCACCAAGTCCGATATATCGGAGGACGACGATTCTGCAGACGGACTTGGACCGGGAGTAGATTATTGGAGAGAGTTGACGCAAGGTCCACAGCTTGTGGATCGTGCGTCACTGTCCAACGCGTATCCCAGATGATCTGTTTGATAGGTCTTTGTGGTCACATGACTATATTCTTTGTATTGTCTTTACTTACTATCTTGCAATCCATCCTCTTACAACCGTCTGTGTACTTCTTGATTATCCCAGTAGCTGCTGGTTCCAACCTCTATATGTTCTACTCTTCTAATGAACTTCAGCATGCATGGCCTGGGTTGAATCGATAACGAGGCATTAAATAAGGGTTTTCCTTTCCCACGCCCCCGAAATTAGAACAGACCCATCATCCTTTTTTTGAACACTGTATCTCGCTATGCGTGTAAGCAGAAGAAAATACAACAGCCGTGATTCACTGGCGGTCATCCATCCAGCAACTAACCCTATCACACATGTTATCTATCAGCATGAGAGTACTTATCCGCCTCATGATGGTACCAAGTTAGAACATGTTCAGAATATGTTACCAAAACTATAAAGATACCCTGAAAGAGGAGACAGTCAGTGGCTAGGAAGATGTTGTTTCTTCCACTTTTCTGTCGGCTGTCATTTCAGGGAGATATGGCCCAGCAAAACGACAATCCAAGTGCCCCGAAGCATACGGCGTTTCGAAAAAGCCACGGATTTCCACCGAGAGCAAGCCAATGAAACTAGCAACAGACCCGGGTACTGCAAATTTGCTGTTTCGTGCTTTGGAGACTCGTTAAAAAGAGTTCTCGTCATCAAGAACAAACGCCGGGAATTATAAAACCGAAAGTCCGTACACACATTTAGAGCGTTATCGCAGCAATAATGTGAGTTGAAACTAACAAAAATTTTGCCCCTTTTCTTCTTGCTTGTTCTTTTGACCCTTGAGAGACTAATCTGTTCAAGAAATTAGAACGAACACGCAATAAGCATACCGCATCCAGAGCAAATTTGAAAATTGCTATTATAGTTTTGTGGATGACCGGCCACATTGAGGCTCTATTTCCACCTCGACAGATATCTGATCGAATCTCAAGTTCACCCTATATAAAAAAGCAAAAAGAAATGCAACGTTGTTCTGGGATACAGGTTTGAAGAAGGTCCTGGTCATTGATAACATGCGGCGGGAGTACGAAAACCAAAAGTCTGTTTGACAGGAAGCCAGGAGCCAAGTCTTGGACAAGTTGAAACTTGTCCGTATGAACTATCCCCGATATGATCAGGGCAGTAATAATGTTCCCTGTTGCATTCTTTGATGTTAACGCATCACATAAGAAGCATTTGGCCATAGTTACAGCCAGTCGACACCGGCGCCTTCATGCCGAGACTGGCAGCGATCAATTGCTGATGGAAAATATATATCAATTGGCGCTTAATGAGAATAGCAAATTAGAGACAATTCTGCATAAAGCGATGGTAGGAGATGGAGAAAATGGAAAATAAAAACAGAAGAAAGGTGGGATAGCATTACCTTCAGACCTTTCAATCCGTGCCTCGTAATGTTAACCTCTTATGTCTTTGATGCATTCTCCTCCAGCACCGTCGATATTCAGATATTCAACGGTCGGAGTATTCTCCTGGTCGTGGCGATTATAGCGAGGAATATTTTGACAAATGAACGGAATGCCCTTTTTGGAATTGAGGTAGCGAAATTTAATATTTAGGATCCTCGGCCTACTCCAACCGTGAAAGGTGACAGATAAGCCCTTCAGGGATCGAAGGTATTCACCTCCGGGTCCCCCGAATAAAGCACAACACATAGGCTGGAATGCCATCCTGTTGTTCATTTTACCAAGGAATGACGCTTCGTTCACGTGCATGTTCGATGAAGGGACCTTGGGAAACCACATCATTTGGTTCCGGAAGGAATCGTACAATCTTCCCTGCGAGGCGGCGCCTTTTCGTGTACCCCAGGCGGAGAGGTTAATAAGTTTGAAGCCCTGCAGCCATTAGTAATGTACACTAAGAGAACCGAATGCTACCGTAAATTTACATCAAATGCAGCAGTCAAAGCGACAATCTGCTTCGCAAAGACAAGACGACGTGTTATTGCACCTCTGTCCGGATTCCCTAGCCATGGGGAGAGCGAATGGTTATCCATGACCACCTGAAGTGCATGGATGCCTCGTGTGCAGACGGACGTTATGAGCCCTTTCACACAGTTGACATCTATACATGTCGTGACTTCTGGTCCAGTGTAGCCCAGATAGATGGTTCGTCCATCTCCCTCGGGAACAATTTGTATGTCTGCGATATAGCTAGTGTCACCGTCGTGGATAATCGAGACACCAAATTTCGAAACCTTGCGCGGTATGAGAGTCTCCTGCGGGTCAAGCACCTGGCTAGGTTCATATGACGCGGGCTCACTTTCCTCTACTTCAATGAGGTCGCCGTATACTTCCATTAAGCGGGATCCGCCCAGATTCCCTTCAGTGCGAAGTCGGGTCGACGAATCTGCCCATTCGAGAGAAACTTTTTACCCAAGAGACTCGACCAAACCCCAGACCCGTTTCCTATTTTGCAATGCTTGAGGAAGGTTGGTGGGATTTGTCAAGTAATACAGGGTACGCCAATCGCGGCGTTTTGGGTCCTGCCAGATTTCGAAGAGGAACCCCCGTTCCCTGCCGGCTTGAAACCTGGTGGCCCAGAAGCTTTGGCTGTGAAACAGAGGAGTAAATTCTGGTGAAATCAGCCGGAGGCTGAGTACACTGGACGTTGGTAAATGAGCCGCTATCTCTTCCACCATCTCGTAGGGCAGCTGGGTGAAACAATCGTTGCGGGGCGTTCTTTGCTCATTGGCCGAGGCTCGTTGGGCTGCGGTGGATGTAGTGGATGGTGTGAAGTTATTCCTCATTCTTCCCTTTCGTTTTCCCACGTCCGGGGGCAATACAGAAGGGCTATCGAGTAATTTCTGGATACCATTCACGGTACAGGGGTCTATGGTGTCGATTTGGATCGTTCGCAATCCCCCAACCTGCTGCCATCCTGCACTCTCCCATGGATAATAATTCTTATGGTCAAACTCGACCAGGCCATGATATCCATGCTCCCACGCGTAGTAGCGCTCGCCCGACCAACTATAATTCCCCCATTGTTCCCACGGGACGGAGTTCAGGACCTCGATCAATCGGTCCAAAGAGAATGTTCTTCTTTGGAATCTCTCTTTGAGAAGAAGCCAGCAGGAATCATGGAAAACAAACCCATATTGACCGTCCTCATCTTTTAGCACTGGGACGTCTATTGGCAGATAGCCCTCATTGTCCCACCGCTCTGACTCAACGACGGGAACTGTAAAGTAGTCGGTCTTGTCCGTCGACCTTCGTAATTCAACGCCAGAAAGACGGACCTCGGATAACGATGGTGACGTGTAGTAGACTGCGGGTATTGAATGAGTGTTTTGTGGGCTACATATAGTAGCATTGGACGCACTACTCACCAGCACGATATTTTTGGAGCTAGGAAACCGATTTAGATCCGGTGTCGTGTCTCGGAAATGAGGCACCGCAAATGATGCAGCGAGTTAAATAAGTCATATTGATTGCTGAGTTGAAATAAGAGAGAAATCTCTGTCAATATATAATTAATAGATTTTGATGTGGTAGTCATGATGATTCCTTCTCAGCAGGCACCAATGTGATACTAGTCCACAAAGTGCTTAGCATGTCGTTGGATAGCCATCTCTATCAGGGCTCTATCAATGCTGAGGCACAAGAGAGATGGAAGCAGCAGTAGATGATTGATGCTATATTTTTGTGCATAGTTGAAGATGAGGCGGAGAATCCGCGGCGGATTTCCCCAGACGTACCCCGGATATACCCCAGAGTACCTGCTGTCCAGAGTTTGTGCCTGGATTCTTGGGGCTTCTACAAACTATCCTGATGTTGAACGATGTTGACTTAAAGCATACTTCCAGATAAACTCACTACATACATTATTGTTAAGAGGCATTTCTCCATACCCTCGCCACTAATTCGGAGCAAGTGATATTGTCCGATCGCGAGGCGGGGTTATTCTGTACCCCATCTTAACCCCCCGTCAAAGCTCCCTCTTTCTCCTCTCACTTTCTTCTTTTTTCCCCCGGGCTCACAGTCAATCCTTAGCCGAGCTGCTTTTCGATTTGGCCAACAGGAAAAGGCAAACACGGACCAAAGGAACTGTTCCTGACGCATTCCATGCCTGCTGTGTGGTACCGGAGTATCCCCGACCAGCTCCCCACCATTCATCATGGCTTCCACGCCTAGGAAGCGGTCTTCCTACGATGCTGGCTTTGAGTCGGCGCAAAAAGACGACAGTCGCGCTTCTACTATTCCCGACGGACGGTCTCTTCCGAAGATTTCTAAAGCTCGTGCCTGTGAGTGTCCTTGCGTTGACATACAATGGTGCGGGGAGGGATTGAAAAGAAGACAAGGAAAAAGCAATGGGATGTGCAAGACAAATACTAAACTAAACGGTTCCAGGTGCAGAATGCAAACGACATAAAATTCGCTGCGAAATCAAACCAGGCGCATCGAGCTGCTCGAAATGTCTCCGGAGCGGGATCAAGTGCGTGGTTAACGACTTTTCGCAAAAGTTCGTCGACGACGACGGGGTGTGAGTGGCTCTTGAATACGTACCTCTGTAGCCATTTTTGATTGCTAATGTGTGCTTATGGGTTGCAGATGGAAATCGCAAGCTGCAGCCTCCCTTCAACAACTTCAAACAGCCGTTTCGCATATCCTCTGCCAAAATGGTCTACCAGAGCTCTCCGCATACCAAACAGGCGATAATCGCAGCAAGCCCAGTCCCGTCGCATCCATCAATGGACACCCTCCTTCTTTACACGATGACGCACTGTCAAGTACAAGCCACAATGGACCGGAGCCGGTGATGGATGTGATACGAGAGCCGTCGCAGGAGCCGGATCTCCAGGACCCAGAACTGGTTCCGGCACCGATGCGCAGTCTCTACGAGGTGACCAAGCTGCGCAATTTTCGGAACAATCCTGTGGAGAAACCCAAGGTGACCATGCTCGAGGAAGACTTTATCTCGCGAGGATTGATTTCGGTCCATGAAGCTGAGGAGCTGTTCGCATACTTTAGTCGGACTATGAATCAGCTCCTATGGGGTGGGATTATCCTCGTACATCGTGATCTTACCTCCGTCCGTCGTGCATCTACCTTGCTGTCTGCGGCTGTGTTGACGATTGCCGCGCTTCATATCCCCAATCGTACGGATACGTTAAATCGATGCTATGGCGAGTACGTATCCCTCGTATCCAGCATGTCCCTGTCGCGGGCGCACACATTAGATGACATTCGCGCACTTTGCGTCGGGGCTTTTTGGCTTTCCGAGTTGAGCTGGAAGCTCTCAGGTCATGCCGTTCGAATTGCTACGGAGTTGGGTCTCCATCAGAGCTATCAAAAGTTCATCCGCGGCCATACCGATCAGTATGAGCGCGCGCAGCTCTGGTATCTACTCTACGTATGTGACCACCACTTTAGCATCGCATACGGCCGACCGCCTGTCATGCACGAGGACAATGCAATCAAGAACCATGAGACTTTTCTCCAGTCCCCGATGGTTGTTCCTGGGGATATCCGACTTCTAGCACAACTGGCTCTGTTCATGATATTAACGGAGGCATACCGGACTTTTGGATCAGATGCTGAGCAAGCCTTGACAGAAGAAGACTTCGGTCAGTTGCGGGTCTTTAACGTGGCAGTAGACCAATGGCGACTACTCTGGCAACCGCGTTCTTGTAGGTATTCCCAATTTTATGGTGGAACTCCTTGCGAATTGACACCATCATTAGCCGACAGTCCTTATGTCCGGACATATCCCTCCAAAGGAGTGGTGCTCCACTATCATTTCGCTAAATTTCAACTCAATTCTCTCTCCCTCCGGGCCCTATCACCCTCCAATACCCCGGTGTTTTCCTTGGACCGCAAAGAGTCCGCCAACATTGCCATTTCGTCGGCGATGGCATGTTTGAACATGGTGCTTGAAGAACCCGATATTCGAGATGCGATAGTCGGTGTTCCAATCTTCACCCACACCATGGTCACCTTCTCCGCCGTCTTTCTCCTCAAAGTAGCCGTGAACTGGAACTCCGCCTACCTCAGCCTCGACGGCCGCCAGGTGCGCCATTTAGTCGAGCGAGTAATCGAATTACTGAGTTGCGTCTCCGCAGGCGAGAAGCACCTAACCCGCCACATCGCCCGCGGATTAGGCAAGATGCTCGAACGCTTCGACACCTGGGAAATGGCCTGGCAGGCCGGTCATATACCCAACGGACATGGCGGCGCCATGCCCGTAAGCACATGCGGAATTGTCACCAGCGGGACACCTGCGGAGGTCCCTGGGGGCGCGAATGCAATGGCACAGGGCTTTCCGCCGCCGGATCTAATTTATGATATGGTGGGGACGTATGGGTTTGGGTTAGATGAGAATCTGCTGGATCCGAGCATGGCGAATTTCGAATTTCTGGCGTCGTGATTTTGTTTCTTTTCTTTTGTGATTTTTTGTGCCATATACCCTGGATAGTTGTTTGGTATAGGGTTGTGTTGGTTGTGTTGGTTGTGCTGGTTGTGTTGTATTTATAGTGCTGCTACGCTATCAATTGGTTCCATGGTTCATGGTGGTATGTGCTGATGTCACGGTTATAATGACAATGGATTAGACAGTGTCCGGCGTCATACTTTCTCCTCTGGTTTCTGATATGAACACATCTGATTGCTTAAGGGTACAGCCCAGGGGAAGCTCCTGGTATTCGCATTACAGTAATATAACATATTTGCAGCTGCAAGTGCTTAAATACCGTACTGTAATTACCACACAGCCTGTCCATCACCCCAGTTTCTCCCCGCATTGCCTGTTAAGGAATCGGAAGCTCAAGTCAGCATGTCTGTCCTCAAACCAGAAGGATCCTCGAGTAATAGAGTACACGCACCGGAACCCATCGACATGCCCCCATTGACCACAGTCAGTGACCATATACCGACGTCCTCGAACCCCCAAACCAGAACGACGCGATAGCTATGATGTAGGCGTCGCTACTGCTACGTCTTCGCGCAAATTTTGCTCTTTGTTCGTAACCATCAATAACTAGGTAGTGGTGGTAGTGGTCCTACCGTGTCGTCCTGGATTTTATTCACACATCCACATACCCCTTTGCTCAACCATTGCCTACCTACCCTTCTACCCTCAACCTCCCTCGCAGTCTTACTCACCCTTTTCGGCCCATCCCATCCATCCCTTTCTTTCTCAAATTCCTCGGGTGGCTTTTTTTTATTTTTATTTTCTCTCTTTTCGTGCCTATTTTTCTTAAAAATTATCCTACAATCTCATCGGCACCACGCTTTATCGCATTGACACCCCATCTAATACCAAACCACCATAAAACTAAAAATGACCACGCGCAAGCGAAAGCAAGAAGCCGTCGAGGAGGAGGAATTGCAGGCGCTGCCTAGTGATGAAAGTGAGGAGGAGGAGGAGTGAGTGCTGTTCTATTTCCTTTTTTATCTGTTCGTTTAGGGGTCTATTGCGCGATCCGCGCAATCCCTGCAATGATTTCTTAGATATTCCTTCTACTAGAGGATTCAATGCGCTAACTACACGAATGATAGATACCAATCCTCCGACGCAGAAGGACCCGGCGGAGAAGGAGAGGAAGAGGAAGAGGAAGAGCCCAGCGAGGTAGACAGTGAGGAAGATGCAGAGGAAGGGGAAGGTGAACCCGAAGAAAAAGGAAAAGAAGAAAAGGGTAAAGATAAAGACAAGCCTAAGGAGAAAGGTATGTATCATCCGTTCGGTGGTCTACCACTTATCCCAAGATCTACCCCCGTTCCTGTATGAAGTCGCGTGTCTGACAATGAATTTGAACATACAGGCCCTACCCCCAAGAAACGCAAGACTAGCCCTCCGCCCGCCAAAAAGCAAAAGGGCGATGACGAGTCCGGAGAGAAAGAAGCTCCGGCCGGGGATGATGAAGAAGAGGAAGAAGCTGAGGGTGAGGACGACGAGAAACCCGAGGAAACGGCCAAGGACAGCGGACCTGCTGCCTCTGCGGCTAAAGCTAAGGGTGATAAGGTTCCTAAGGAGTCGGATGTGCCAGAGGCTGAGGCTGAAGGGGAGGAGGAGTGAGGTGATGAATTTGGCGAAGATACTCTATACTTATGTTTAATGTCTGTTTGGTGTCATGGATATTTTTGGGATTTGGGTTTGGTATTGCTTATTATAGTCTCTGAATAACGCATCTGAGAAAGTCAATAGCCATGAAACTAGTCTATATTGGAATCGTAGTACCTATAAGCCACCCTAGCAAAGAGCAACATGAAAGCTAGCAGCATTAATACAAACCCATAACAGGACTGACTGGTATCAATACCCCTTCCACTTCTCCTGATAGCCCGCCAGTGTATATGATATTAAACAGGATCAACCTTCCCCGCATAACCCCCATTCTTATTGCCATATCTTATCTTGAATTAGCAAACCTACTTGGTAACATTGTGTGAAGCTGAACGTCCTTAGAAGTCACTCCCACTGCTCCGGAACGTAGCGCAGAGTTGACAATATTGATGTGTGAGGTCGAGGACAGGCTGGGGCAGGTTCGTGGCCTGGACGATACTGCGTACTTTGACGGCACCTTCGTCTTCGATGAGTTTGCGGATTAGGTAGACAAGCTCGGGGGAGAACTAGCAGCGTATTAATATCTTCTTGCGTAGTCAAGGGAGATGGGGACATACCTCTGAATACCACCGATACTGCCAGGCAATAAGTCTTATCAGCGAATTCAGCATCCCCCTCGTATTGTTTTTCAACTCGTGCAACTTCAGAGCACCCCGCATGGCCTTAGGAGAAAATCGAATAGCAAGGCATTGCTGGTATGCCTCGATGCCCTCCTCGGAGTGGTGCAGGCGTTCGGCCAGTTCACCGAGGATTTCCCATTCGGTGGCGGATTTCTTGTACTCCATTGATTGTTGACGGTACTGGGCCATTTCGGTGCGCCAGATGGTGTAGATGCGGAGATCTTCGTAGAGAACCATGAAGAGGTTGTCGAGCCAGCGCTCACAAAGGCGTTTGTTTTGGAATTGGGTGTAGCTTGAGTGAGATGGATCGTGCTACCCATTAACGTTAGTATGAGTACACTCAAGGATAGTAGCGAAACTCACGTCTTCGTTGCCAGACTTGACGACCTCCGACGCCATTGTGTGCTCTGGTCTCTCGATTTGGTTTTCCTCATCTTCACCATTTTCCTTGTTGGCAGAGTCATCTGCATGTTCGCCGTTGCCATTCGTTTCCGCATCTGGCCCCGAATTGGATTTGACGCTGCCCGGAGGCTTTGGTGTTGAATGCTGACGCTCAACCCGGTACTCCTCTTCCATGACGAAGACCTCACTCCGGGTTTTGAGCAACTGGTCCCAGCCAATTGCGGCCGCAATCTTGGTCAAAATATTGTAAGCCTTCAAGAACGTTCCCTGATAAGCAGCGGCGTGGAGTTTGCGAAGCGACGGATGAACGTAGTCGTGAGGGTCACCTTGTCTTGGCTGCCCTTCATCGATCTCGTCCAAAATGCTCTCAGCGAGGATTGGAAGCATGATGCGGCTTGGTTGCGGCATCCGAGGTGTATCGCGGTCTTGGTACGTGAACATGGGACAGGAGTTCAGGGTCAAGAGCGCCAGATCCCACTGTTCGAGATTCACGTATACCTCTGCCAGCTGAGCCCAGGTGCTGAATTCACTAGGAGCAGCTGTTACGGCGCGCTTGGCGCATTCCAAAGCCATTTCACTTTCTCCTTTGTCCTGACAGAATGAAGCCTGGCAATCAAGAAGAGAATAGTCCATGGGGACATCTTGCAGAGCATCGTACATTAGTCGTACCGCCCGGACTTCCTCGTCAGCCATTAACAAAACCCGGGACAGCAGCGACGAGACCTCTACGTCCCGTGTGCGAAGCTTCTCAAACAGATTGATGCCTGATGTGTAGCGACCGGTGGTTTGGATGTATTTCAAGAGACCTGTCGTAAGATGATTGCTGACGGTATTGGGGACCTGCGTTTCAGGATCGGAGCTCAACTGCCTCCCTGTACCATTGTTAGCGTCCTACTACAGTTCCCTCCATTATTGAAACGCACCCGCAAAAAAGAGTCTCTCCGCAGCATCCAAGAATTTGTGTTCCATCTCCGTATTCGTGACTGGGTTGAATCGTCGGACACCAACAATCCTCCGGATAGCATCTCCACCTCCATCGTCCGCATAAGCATAGGCCCTTAGGACACCACACAGGAAAGTCTCTAACCAAAGTGCGTCCGTAGCGACACGTTTGTCTCCGCGTTCATCGATGCAGTAGCTCTCGAGACTTCCGGGGATCTTGATTTCGACTCGCATGTCCAGGTGGGAAAAAGCATTGTAACAACTATATCTCGTCAATGAAGGGAATGCAGATATTCCGAGCGCGATATCCTAACCAATAGATTCCAGAAACCACTTTGTGCGTTTTGTCGAGGGGAGAGAAGGTCAACGTATTCACATAGGCCGCTAAGCTGGCGGAGGACGAGGCATCGATTCCGGTCACATGGTGGTAAACGCCGGTTTGCTATGATCGCAATCTGTCAGCCGGTGGGGTTCTTTCATTCGAGCCAATTTCCAAGCCTAAATAATCCAGGCAAGAGCACTTGTAGGGTCATGAATGGCATACTTCTACCTGGCGACTCCCGCTGGCCTTCGGCTGCTTCACCAAGTAAACTAGGTCCGGGGGCCCTAATTCTCGCAGGTTCTGTAGCGTCTCTGTACGCGCATCGACAGCGGCGTAGATGTCATCTTCCTCGTAAATCCTATCGCAAAGCAGATGTCAGTCCTTATCAAGGGGGGATCGTGGGGACACGTAAACGGGGAAGGAGGAAACGGCATACTCGGGGACAGCTGGCGCAACCATGGCGCTGAACGGTGCGCAGGAAACGACAGAGAAACCGAATACTCAAATCAAGATGTGCTGCAGCAACTGCGATCAGGAACAAACAATTCTCTCGGGGAATAGAGAAAGTATTGCAGCGGGCAGCAAGACGTGCATTTCGTATTTCGGGGTCGTCGTCAACGGCGGGCGATCCTGTGCCTGGCCCGCGTGAGGCACCAAGGCATCAGAACTTCAGGCATCGACACCTTGCCGCTTCGGGAAATTCGATCCCCCGGAACGCGTGATGCGTCTCCCTCGCGAGTCTTTCTATCAAACCTCCATTTATTCGGTTAATCCTCGCCATGAACCCTGGGGCTTGGTTTTGGTTCTCTGCAATGCTGCATGTTTAATTTTTAATCGGTTTCTAGCCTTGGAGCACCTTGTTGGCCATCGGAATAACTGCAATATGTCCAGCTGGGTGGCATTGAACATCGAGCCCGATGAGGCTGTGGAAGAGGAGGTTGATGACACGAAGGAAATCCAGATCGAGGAAGCACTCAAGTTATATCAGAATGCCCTGAAGTTTCATTCTCAGGGATCGCAGTTCTATCCGCAAACTGCAGAGGCGTATGATGCGCTTTTGAATTCGGACATCTTCAAATATCCCGAGTCCTTCTCCGACTATAAGAGGACTACACTGCAGGAGTCTGAACCAGAACCTCAACCAACTGATTTACTGGAATATTTTGCAACAACAGATTCAGCGGAGGATATCGGGGAGTCAGATATTAACGATTCTACGTCGAGCACTTTATTGCAAACTATCTATCTGTCTTATAAGAATCATGGTCAATTTCTCTTGGATTCTTTACAGTCTTTCCTGCAAAGTGTGTCCGAGTCACCCGATGCTGCTCACAAAACCGCCGCACAAAGGCTAGAACGTTCACGCGCTGCCCTTACATCCTTTGCTGAGGCCCTAGAACGTGATGACACGGATCTCAACCTCTGGCGACAGAGCGCTCGACTTAGCAGTGCATTGCAGAGCTATCGGTTGGCCCGATACTGTTTGGAAAGTGTTCTCGCTGATGATGAGAACCGTCTCGAGGTGCGGACTGAGCAACTAGGCTTGGAAGAGACCATTGCAGAAGAGCGTCTTCGCAACACGCTGCAATCGCTGAATGACAGGCTAGCGGTGGCCCAGATCCCTGTGAAAAGGCCGAAGAAGGCTCTGATCAAATTTCTCCAGCGACAAGCCGATCCTTATCCGTATCTTCCGACTTTACCTGAGAATGTTGAGGATGCGGATTCGTCTAAGAACCCACTTCCACTAAAGGCGACTCGCCATGTTCTGAAGCCCAGCAGCGCAACCTGGGATGCAGTTGGAAAAGAAATCCTTCAGACACTTCTGGATGAGGAAAAGCATGCACTGAACATTGGCCCTGGTGCATCTGTCGATGTTCAGTTGCCGGCCACTAGCCCAGAGCCGCAGGACACGACGCCCGAGGAGACGCAGCATGCCGACGAATCACCGAAGATGCAAGACGAGCAAGTTCAGTCTATCGAACAACAAGATATCGTTATGGAGGACAACCAGCCATCGACCAGTAATACTCAGGAAAACGAACAAAACGATACGGCCACTGAACCGACTGAAGGTCAGACGACGTCAGCAGACCAGCAGAACGAGGAACCGTCAGCCGAACCGCAAGATGATCAGGCGGTTCAACATCCTGAAGACTCTAATCAAGATCAACCGGCAGCGGACGAACCAGATCCCAAGTCAGCTAATGGTTATCGAAAGAGATCATCCGCGTCAGCGGCAAATGACGAACAAGCCGAGAACTTGAGGGCGAAAAGTAGAAGGACCCGTGCTCGAGAGTCGAACATTGATCCTTCTCAGGCTGACGACATTGCGTTCGACCAGTCGAAATACTACGAGGACCGTTTGGAGATGTACATATATGCTGACCAATGGTTGTTTGAGACGACAGACTCCTTCCTGTCCAAAGCTGTCGCTGAAACCCTAGGGAACTTGGACTACATGAGGAAGCGAATGTCTCTCGTTGGCGATGCAAATGGTCTGGTGGATTCAGCAGGAGGCTTTGAATTTTTACTAGCGCAGGATCTTGGAGGCATCATCAATAACTGGGATGACAAGAAGGCCAAGGCATTTTCCGAGAATGACAACTTTTCCAATCTGCACGACATACAGAGTATGAGCAAGTCTGGGCTCGCCATCTTCCTCGAGCACTCGAAGAAGTCGGCCCGGAAGTCGGGAATGAACGAAGTCCTTTCTGGCGGCGAGAAATTACCCGAGTGCCTCAAATCAATCAACGAGGGATGGAGTCGTCTTGGTGAAGTGGCCTTTGACTGGCTCAAAGGTCTTCTCATGCCAGAATACGGAGAGTACTCAGGTGGTGTCTCCAAAGAATGGAATTCATCCGCCATGGAATCGACATATACCTCACTTCAGTGGCCCGAGACCTTGAAGGACACAGTCGTGCAGATCTTACAACGTGAAGACGAATACATCTACAATAGGCTTTCGGGACAAGTTGCCAATCTCGAGCATCGAGTCCTTAATCAGAGCCCCGATGCTCCATTCGAATATGACTTGGAGCATCGTTCGGAACTGGAGATGATTCAAGCTATCTTCGAGCTTCATCTCGATATCTACGCCCAAATCAACAATCCTAACAGTGAAGTTGACCAAGCAACAAGGCTTCTGCAGTGGGATCGTTTATCCAGGTGGAGCATGCTGGCTCAAAATGCATTGAGTTATTTCGTGGATCATCCGACTTCTGGAAAAAGCGAAAACGAGGTCCTTCTTCGTCATTTATGGGCAACGACGTTTCATTCTAATATGGCTCCGGATATCCAACGAGAACACATCCTACTTTGCCTCCAGGATCTCAAACATATTCTTGATCGACTTGGAAACCCAGACATTACCTTAGTCAATAATGCTGTGATGCCGGAATTATCATCAGAAGCGATTGATCGAGAAGTCTCGAAACTGAAATCCATGGGTTTCTTCATGAAGATCTTTAATCCCGAATCGGAAGATCCGGTGGACATCATCGAAACGATTGAGCCACTCCTCGAGCCCTCTTCTATCGAATGTTCCCAGAACGGGGTGTCAGAATCAGATGACAATCCAGCATCAGATTTTCACGAAATGGGTTCTTTCCTGGATCGAGGAGACGCTACCCTGCGACTATTCTTATGGCGGAGGCTCCAGGAGGCGTACAAAGCAATCGACTATCCACCAAAGGTTATTTCTTGCTATCTCAGAGGCATCGAAACAATTGTCAAGGAGCTCTGCAGCTCGGCGTATGCTGAGGAGCCAAGCGAGCACCGTCAACATACGCTTCTTCGCTGGCTCAAGTCGCTTGATAGCATTCTGAGCAAACTTGTCACCCAGGCTTTGCAAGAACAAAAGGCCTTTGAGTGTATCGACATGGATCATTTACGGTCTTCGATATCTGCACTAGTTCGGCTATTGAAGATCCTGCATAGTTTTACGCTCTATGAAGACTCCGTTCGCGTTGGTCAGACTTCAGCTCCCGAACTCCGCAGCTCGTTGGCAAAATCGCTTGAAGGATTCAGGGACCGCCTTCGTGAAATGGAAGTCCGCTGCTGGATATTGCAGTATACTTTCTTCAAGGAAGTCATTTCCCAGAATAAGGAGCTCTTCGATACACCAGAAGCAGACCGCATTGAGTATCTACGCGCTGTACATTATGCACTTGGACTTCGCAAGATGTGCAGGCGCTCCGGCAAGGAATTCCTCAGGCTAATGAAATCAGAACTGCACGATATAAAGGTCAACGAGGACCTCGATCTCGAGATCTGTCAAGTCTTCTACGATCTTCATGGTTATCGGTTGATCAATCACGACCTTATCGTGGATCACGGTTGTCCCACGGAAAGGATTGACCGCGCCACAGCCATCATGATGATCGACTTTGTCCTGAGACAGGCGATGAAGGTGAATATCAAGGACTTTGCGAAATCGGACTTGAAGTCCACAATCGATAAGATGCAGCAGGCCATTGGTTCAGCCAAGTCTTCGCCTCCGTTGGCGTACAACAAGCGGATATTCTCCTCCTACTTGAAGTCCGCAATCAACCCCGTGGAACTTTACCGTGCTGCTCGAGGGGTCGAGGATGTACCGCTTATTCCCGTGACAACTGAGAGTGCTATCATCGCCCAAAAAGGATGGTACTTCCTTCTGGGATACTCTGCTCTGACCAAATTCCGATCTCAGAAGCGGCTGGCACCATCTGGGACAAGTGAACTCGACGACGCGATTGGCTTCTTTAGACAGGATATCGAGAATAAATCGGGAAGATGGGAGACCTGGTATCGACTTGCGCAAACCTACGACTCGAAATTGGAAGAAGACATCACCTGGTCCGCAGAAAAGATCAACAACAACCGCAATGAACTGGCAACTTTACAAAGAAACGCCATCCATTGCTACTCCATGGCTCTCGCAACAGCAAGTAGGGAAGCAGAGCCGACGCCAGAAACCCGGACAACATTGTCTGAGCTGTACACTGATTTTGCCATCCGCATGTACTCTTCTTCTCGGGAACCGCTCTCGATGGGTCCCTTTAGTCTCTCCGACTATCCTCGCCATTACAGCAACGAGGAGAACCAGCAGATGTACAAGGGCGAGCCTTTCAGGGAGATGAAGCCCTATTCTGCTTGGAACTTTACGAGTTATCTTTTGAAGCGGGCGATTGTCGACAAGCCCAAGAACTGGGTGAATCACTACGTGTTGGCCAAATGCCTGTGGAAGATGTACCGCAGCGATGACTCGATGAGGGGCAACTTCAAGCGTGTTAGCCTTGATGATGTTCTGGACTCTCTGCTTGATTCTATCGACACTCTTCCTCAGCGCAAGGATTCGCGCTCAGAGCCTATCTTCGAACCCCATTACAAGCTCGTGTCCATTATACACAAACTCGTGCACGGGGATGTCCTAACGGTATGTCGCTTTTTCTGCCTCTTTGTCCGCTATTTTACTAACGTCATTTAGCCCGCTGAGGGAAGTAAAACGCTCCTCGCAACACCTTGGGCTCGGAAGGTCAAGGCCCCAGAACACAAGGCAGGATGGCAATCGTACATATTGGAAGTGCTCCGAAACCTGAAGCACGCAGACAAATCCAACTGGCATCACCGGATGGCGATGAGGGTAAGTACAGATCCTTCATTGTCAAACCCCACCATCTTACTTACAATACTAGGCCGCACGCATCGTCTACGACGACCAAGAAGATGCCTCCGCAGCAGCAGTAGCCGCAAAGAACGAACTCACTCAACAAATCTTCACAAAAACAATGGCCATCCAAGTCTGGCGTCCCGAGAACGAACGTCCCGGTCGACACTTTGTCTACACTACACGTTATGTCTACTTCTTCGTCCACCTCCTCGACCAACTCGACGACAGAGCGGGTCTTGATCAACTCCTCCGCCGAGTCCGAAAGAGGCAAGGCGACTTCATCAACCACCCCAAGCTCTGGGAGGATATCTGCCTCACATACGGACGGATCATTCGTCGGGCCGGTAAAATCAACGAAGGCCATGAAGAGGGCATATTCAAGCCGATTGGATGGGACGAATTCGTCGCGAACACGGGTCGTCTGGAAAACCTGCCTGAGCTAGTCGCACCCGAAAGTGCATCTCTCCTCGAACTCCTCCGTGACTCCATCGAGTTAAAGAAACTCAACAACAACCTCATGAAAGTCTCCCTCCTCGAAGACCTCATCGCAGACCTCTACTCACGCCTCTACGAACTCAACCTTCCCCACGTAATCGAGCAAGCCAGCGAAGAGAACAAAGAGAAAATGAAAGTCGATCACCTCATGAACCTGGACGGCGTTGCAGATGCCCCTCCTGTCCCTGGCGCTGGTGGCCCTACCCCTAACCCTCCAGGCACAACCGCAACCGCAACCACAACCTCAGCCCCCGGCCCGGCACAGCCAACGACATCCACGGAAGCACCCACCTCCGTTCCCCGCGGCCGCACAAAGGGCATAGCAAGAAGAGACGTCCAAAAACGCGCCGAAGCAATCGTAGCCAGCAAACTCACCACGCGTCCTCCCACAAAGCCCACCACTACCGGCGCAACCACAACAACCGAAATAGAACCACAAAACGCAACCGGAACAGCTACGACTTCCACCGTGTCAACAAAAGCACCAAAGACAGAACCAGGGACAAAGGACAAGGAACCCCGCGAAAGCGGCGACGAAAGTGAACTCTCCGAAATCGACGAGGACAAAACGACTAAACCTGATGCTGAGTGTCAGCGGAGTAGGGTCTTTCCGAATCGTAAGACGTCGTCTCCGCAGGAACCTGGTTCAGAGATGTCTATTCCTGATGGTTATGGGGATGGTGAGGGTGATGGGGGCGAAACGGCCAATGAAGGTGAAGGCGAGGGTGAGGGTGATACGATGATCGAAGAAAGCTTCATAAGCGCTGCTCCCGGTGATGAAACAGAGGTCGTTGACGAAGAGGAAGAAGGCGATGAAGGTGATGAGGAAGGTGGTGATGTAGCAGATGGTGAGGACGGGGATGACGAGGGTGAAGGTTATAATGATAATGAAGGCGAGGGGGAAACGGATATTCTCAAGGATACTGAAGAGGGTGCTGAGGGTGAGGGTGAGGGTGAGGGTGAAGGTGAGGGTGAGCAGGAGCAGGAGCAGGAGCAGGAGCAGGCTACTGGTGATGATCCAGATGCGATGGAAACTTGACTGGCTGCAGCTGCGGTCTGGTGAAGCCAATGTCTTAACTTGCTTATTTCTTTTGTTTTTTGTGGCTTTTGGCGATTGTATATTGTTTCCACTACATCTCACGGTCGATGTTTTCCGTTTATCAGGGTAACAGGCGTTATGGTACGGATAGACAGAACATCCCGAAAATCTTGTACGACTAGGCAGGATAATATAAACTTACTGATAATGAGATATAACTACGATGTAGTCTTTTGTAAGCAATCCTCTATTCTAATTAAGTACCAGCGAGATGATTAGAGTACAGAACAAGACACACGCCCACAAACAGCATACCCAGGCAAACAACTCAACATAACTTCAAATCGGTAGATACTCCCACATTCGCCTTCCCCATGCAGCATGCAATCAACGGACAAACTACCACAATAGAAAAAGATTAGGTAGCCCTCTTCTTCCGTCCTCCCCGCTTTGGCTTCTCAGCAGGCTTCTCAGCATCAGCCATCTCCTCATCATCTTCTTCACCAATAGCATCAGCCTGCTTCTTTCTGTCGGCACTGGCAGTCTTGGCAGCACGGCCGCGAGTCTTCCTGACAGGTTTCTCTTCCTCTTCCTCTTTCTTGGGCTCCTCTTCAGCATTGTCAGACCCGGGCTCTTCCTTTGCGGCTTTCTTGGTGCCGCGGGCGGGCTCCTTTCTGGTCTTTTTGGCTGGTTTTTCGGGCTCTTCGTCCTCTTCGTTGTCTTGGGCTTTGCTGCGTTTCTTGGTTTTGGGAGGTTGCGGTTCTTTTTCCCCCTCGTCTTTCTTCTGTGGTATGTTAGGGTATTAAATGCGTTCGCTTGATTTGAGATTGTGAACATACCGCAGCAGCACCGGCCTTCTTGCGAACACGGAAACCTGTCTTGCCGGGGCGGTTCATTTCGACGTCCTGTTACAGTTAGCACATAACCTCCCTCGATATATATAAAAGGGTGTAAAGGAAAGTACATACACCCTTCCAATCCTCATCATCAACATGACCCTGCTCTAACGCACCACGGATCTTCTCCTGCAGCTCATCAGAGAGATCCTCGTAGCCATCGATGACGGAGTAATCCTTCTCTTCACCGTCACCACCTTCCTCGTCAATAGCCTCGTTCAAGTTGCCGATGAGTTTGGGGGTAATGCAGCCCCTTGGAGATATCAGCGTAGTCCTTTTCATCTCTCTTGCTTTCATCGAAGACAAGAAGGGAGGACTCACCAGTGTCTCCACATAAAAGCCTGGATACGCTCAGTATCGACCCAGGTGCCGAAACGGAGCTCGCCCTTGGCGATCTTGGTTTTGGCGTCTTTGCATTCTTTGTTCTGGCAGCCGGCGCGGCCGGTGGAGGCTTCCTCTGCTACTTGTTAGTATAGGTTTTTGAGATAGAAATGGAGCAATGCAGGGAGTAAAACGAAAGGCGCCACCGCGACTCAGCAGCACGGGATTGCAGCCACGGATGCAATTGATAGAAAACAAGTAGAATAAACCATTATAGAAAACACAGGAAAGGAATAAAAGCAAAAACCTACCCAAGCGATAAGAACCCATCTTGAACGAGAAAACGCGACAAGTTCAACACCGCGATTCAACTTCGCGACGGGACGGACACGCAGTGCGGAACGAAGGGGATGTAGAATTGAAAACCACAAGAGATCTTTTCCTATCTCTGAATATACCAGAGTGTTTATATCCTCGGAGCCAGATGGAGCAGGCAACAAAGGCCGAAAGAGAAGGAAGACAGAAGTTGGTGAGATGAGGTGAGGTCAAAAGAGAGACCGAGACCCACGCACTGCGCTGAAGACCAATGCCGCAGTGCTGGTGCCTGTCTGCCTTGCGATGGTATCTAGTCAGGGTATGGGTGTTTATGGGGGTGCTTGTACCCTTGTTATTCACTACTCTTTAGTTTTGCAGGTTCTTGGATTGTTGGTGTTGCGGTTGGGTTGAATATGCCCATTCTACTACTATAGACAACTAACCGCCGATATGAGGTTGGAATACATCTACCTGATACAGTCGCATGTTCTCAAAAAAAAAAAAGTATACCATATATATATATATATATATCCTAGTTGGTCGGATCTGATCCATTGAGCATTCATGCACTTCAAGACAGATTCAGTCATTGTTAGAGAGCAGAGCGCATAGTGGAAATAGAGAAAGACCGCCCCGGTTGTTTTGGGATAGCTCCAAGTCATGTGAACCACCTTACCTTTTCCAATGTTCGACAACCCAGATACCTTCTTGACTGCAACCTCAATATCTTACACTTGATTCTTCTGGTCTTGGATCACCCGGATCAGAGACGCGATTCCAATACTTACACCCAAATCTATCCGAGGAGCTGTAAGGACAATCTTTGCGCGCGCATTGCCTACGGAGCACAGCAGCAACCAAGCTAGGTACCTCGCTCTCATCCCAGTTGTCAAGTGCCATTCAATACGAAAACACATTACTAACGCGAACTTTAGGACAGGTTAACCAGCGCCATCTTCTTGTATCCCTCCTCGCGCACACGAATCCAACCTCGCGCACTTTTTTCCGCCGCAATCGCCACCTCAACAACCTCAACAACCTCAACCCAAAGAAACCACTCTACAAACCCAACCAAAATGTCCGAACCAGGCCCCGAATCCGTCCCCACAAGCGCCGACCGCCGCAGCAACCGCCCCCTAAAACGCCGCGCCCTCAACACCCCCCTCTCCGAACAAGCCACCCAAATCTCCTCCCTCTTCCGCGAACCCTCCAAAGAACTCAAACTCCCCGAAGCCACGCGCCAAAAGACCGCGACCAACTTACCCCCTCCTCCCGAAATCGTCGCGAACGTCCAAGGATCGTCGGCTGGTGCGGGGTCTGGCGAGTTCCATGTGTACAAGGCGAGTCGGAGGAGGGAGTATGAGAGGTTGAGGCTGATGCAGAGTGAGGTTGATCGGGAGAAGGGGGATGAGGAGTGGGAGATGGAGAGGGAGGAGACGAGGAGGAGGGATGAGGAGAAGACGGAGAAGAATCGGAAGAGGAGGGAGAAGAGGAATGCGGCGAAGAAGAAGAGTAATGGGAAGAAGGCTGGCGCTGGGGCGAATGGGAATGGGAATGGTGATGAGAAGGGTGACGGGATGGCTGTCGATGAGACTGGGGTGGATGCTCATGCTGGTGCTCATGGGGTAGGTGTTGTGGAGGAGACGCCGGGTGTTATTATCCATGATGATTGAACTCTACGGTGTCATGGAGAGTGTACGATGAAGATACCCATGTAAAATTGTTTTAGTCTAGGATATTCATACAACTCAAATCGTTGTTGATTATTATGTACGCATTTTCCTTCCAACTTCTAATGCTTTTAATCGTCACCACCACCGACACCAACACCCGCCTGCTGTGCGGACTTGCCGCTGCAAATATCATCGACACGGAGGAGTAGGCATGCAGACTAGTACCAGTTAGTAAAGCACAACATTCGGTTCCGGGGAAGGTCTTACCTCGACAGCCGTCTTGATACTCTGCATCTTCACAGCCTCGGGTTCCCAGACACCGTATTCCTGCATGTCCACCAAGTTACCCGATTCACCGTCAAGACCCCAGTTCACCTGGCCCTCGACGTGCTTGGCCCTCATGCGGGTCAAGACACGGATGGGGCTAGCACCAGCATTCTGGGCCAATGTCCGGGGAATAACCTCCATGGCGTCAGCCACGGCCTTGTACGGCCATTGCTGAACACCCTCAATCGACTTGGCCAAGTGGCCCAGCTTAACGGAAACAGCCATCTCCAAAGCACCACCGCCAGGGGACAGGCGAGGGTGGAAGATGACGTTCCTGGCAACGGACATGGCGTCCTGCAAGTTACGCTCAACCTCGTTCAGGATGTCCTTGGAGGGGCCCCGCAGAAGGATGGTGCAGGCCTTGGGCGTTTGGCATTTTCTCATGAAAGTGAAGTATTCGTCACCGATCTTCTCGATCTCGAACAGGCCACACTGGGTACCAATATCGGACTCTTGGAGGTCGTCCACGCGGTTCACAATTGTCGCGCCAGTGGCTCTGGCAATACGGTTGTTGTCAGTCTTTCTCACACGGCGGAGGGCTGTAATGTTGGCCCTGGCGAAGAAGTGCTGGGCGAGGTCTGATATAACGTTAGATAGTTGTCCCGAGCACAAAAGAAGAAGAACCTACCAGAAACACCCTTCTCGGTGATGACAACGTCGGGCTTCACAGCCAAGACAGCATCACACATGTGCTTAACTTGCTCCTCCTCGATCTGCAGCATCCGGTTCCAGTCCTCCTCCTTCGTAAGCTCAATGTTTGTTTGGGACTCTCCCTTCTTGTACTCAAGCGGGCAGTCCAGAAGGACGATCCGGGGGTTCTCTATTCTTCTCCGCATCTTGGGATGCGTGATATCCTTGTTGACCATCACACCATCAATGACCTCGCTGTCCTCAATCTGACCACCGGGAATCTTCTCAATACGGGCGTAGCGCTTGATGTCGACCTCTTGCTTTCCACCACCAGCATCGAAGGAGACCGTCCGGACCGCCTTGAGAGCCAAGTCGCACATGAGTTTCGACCACCTCGACACGAACTTCGTCCCGATGGACGACTGGATCAGCTTATACATCTCGTCATCGTTGTGGATGTCGACGGGCGTCGAAACCTCCTCCACAATAGCAAGAGCGTCCGCCAGAGCACGCTTGAAAGCCGAGATGATGACGACCGGGTGGATGTTGCGTTCGAGTTGGGGGAGGGCCTGGGCAAGCATTTCACCGGCTATCCACGTCAGCACGTTCCTCACACTCCAAGATAAGCAATATGGAAATCCTACCCAAGATAATAACAGTTGTGGTTCCGTCTCCAACCTCCTCATCCTGTGTACGACTAAGCTCGATCATACTCTTCGCAGCCGGGTGCGACACTTCAATTTCTCGCAGAATAGCATGTCCGTCGTTGGTCAAGACGATACCACCCATCGGATCCAGCAACATCTTCAACATGGCCTTGGGGCCAAGGCATGATCGAATGATATCGGCGACACTGAGGGGTTGAAATTGTTAGATGGCAATCGGACAGATATAGGTGTTCGAGTTCCACGTACGTCTTAGCAGCGGCGATATTCGAGAGCTGTGCTTTACGACCAACCTGTCTGTCACCAGCATTGGTGTCTGAAGCCGGTTAGCAACGTGTTGAGTATAACAAGTAGCATCAAGCAAAGAAGCCACTCACTCATTACCACCACTGGGGCTTGCATCTTGGCGGTGGTTGTCGCTCGATTTGCTTCGGGAAAAGAAAGGATATGAGACCGGATTGATGAGAGCAAAGATATCCAACCTTGTCAAAATAATAAAAAATACGACAATCAGAGAGTTGTGATGCTGCTCAATGCCCGCATTCCCGTCAAATTTCCAGCGAACTCCAGAAGTGGGATTGCGGCCAGAAGCTCACCGCCTTAAGCCCCATTGGGTTAGCGCATCTCCTTTTGGATCAAACAAGACAAACACTACTACAGCATATCTACAGCATTTTGGATAACTTCACTTCCTATTAACATTGGCCTTATTATTAGTATGACTATCCGTTTGCAATGAGTATCCTTGCATTCCAGAGTACCCATTCTCAACATACATGTTGACCAATCGCTTGTCCCTAAGACCAGTTTCCTAACCCTTCCCAATGGCTCTCAGGCGAGTCCAAGTCGAGCAAAAAGATGAGACACCATACAATGCATGAGACCAACTAGCCCTTCTTGAAAGCCATGCTCATCTTCTGCATATTCTTCTTAACGCGGCCGCGCAGCGAGGACTTCCCCTCCTCCAAAACCCGGGCAGAAACCTGTCTATCCTTTTCCTCTTCCTCTTCCACGAGATTTTTGTAACACTGCGGAATCCCAACATGGACCTGGCTCTCAATGTTCTTCAAATGCCTTAGAGCAGCCTCCTCCTCGCGACGCCGCTTGCCACTCAGACGACTATAGATACGATCCTTGATCGAAGGCTTCTTCTCAACCCTGCGTCTGGTCGCAGCCGCCAACATGACATTGGTCTCACCACCAGTGCACTCCGTCAAATACTCGAGGTTATCCTTGGTCAGAGGAAGCGGAGAATCAGGCGCAAGACGAGCACGCTCATGCGCTTCCAAATCATCCAAACCAGGACTATTCTTGCGACGCACGTTGTCGCGATTCGCATGGAAACCCACATTGGGCATGGAAGGAAAGTGAGACAATATGCTCTTGAACCAGTTATCCGCGCGAGCCTCCTTCTGACTGCTAACCTTGCGGATTTGGACGTTGGAATTCTCGCGGTGAATACGCTCGATGCGTTCCTGTTGGATTTCGCGCATGTTGGTCTGGAGGTGGTCGGGGAGCTGGGACATGGCGTCTTCGTCGAGCTCGTAGACGACCTCTTGCTCGTTCTGGGGGTGGTCATCTCTTTTGGCAGCGTTATTGTCGTGAGCAGCCTTATTCTTTTCCTGGCTAGTCTTGGATTCGTGACTGCCGACCTCGTGTCCTTCGCCGTTCTCCTCCTCCTCCTTTTCTTCTTCTTCTTCTTCTTCTTCTTCTTCTTCTTCTTCTTCTTCCTCACTGCTGCTGGTGCTCCAGCGACTGATCTCGATCACGTCAGGGTCGGGGTCGGGGGGTCTCGACATGGTGGAGGTAGGGTTGAACGGATTTCAGGGCTTTGATTGATAGAATAGAGAGTAAAGGGAGTGAAGCTGGAGATTGTTTTTTTTTTTTCTTTTTTTCTTTTTTTTCTCTTTTCTTTCTCCTGCCTCTGAGAAGAGGGACCTGAGAAGAGGGACTTGAGAGGGGAACATGATTTTCTTTGAGACTTTTTGCTTTCCTAGGCAACCTCTAATTTTTATGGTCTCCATCGTTGAATGGACTCACAGGTTGTAACCTGGGAGATGTGTAGAATTGGTGCATTTTCTAATACTCTAAGCTGGTGTAGTTATTTTAGCATTTATGATAGTGATTTCTAGAGATATAAGGAATTAGATTATCCAGAAGAATAGATTAAATGGCAACAATGAATCTAGGAAGCATTTGTATAGCTTCATGGTGGTGGTGTGGCTACATGCCATACAGTCTTTGTACAACATTCACTCATAAGCATCCATGACTCATTTTACTTTAATCCCAGAAGCAGTAAATGCAAAAAAAAAGTAATAGGAGAATTGAAAACTATACAGCTAATAGTACAAACCACTCAAGCTATTATACAGAATACGTATGAGCCCTACAACACCCAAAGCAACGAAAAAACACCTAAAACTCCCGACTTTCCCCAATATCACAAATATCAAAAACCCCCTCCTCAGCAATATCCTCCTTCCGCAAATACTCCTTTAACTTCCTCGGCGGCTCCAAGACATCCTCCTCAGTAAGCACCCACGTACCCCAATGCATACCCAGCGCCCGTTGACACTTCGTATCCTTGAATATTTGTACAGAGTCGTGCGGGTCGGCGTGCATGGGACTCATGATGTATCGGGGCTGGTATGCGCCGATGGGGATCAGGCCTAGGTCGAAGGGTCCGCGGTATTGGCCGATTTGTTTAAAGGCTGGGCATGAGGGGAAGTTGTATTCTGGGGCGTGGTCGTCGACGTCGTCGGGGAGTTCGGGAACGGCTCTGTAGCCGGTGTCGCTGTATTGTAGTTAGTACATTGTACATCGTGAGGAAAAATGGGAAGGCCGCATACCCAGCAAAGTAGACTTTACGTCCTCCCGATTCGATAGACCATGAAGACCACAATGTCTTGGACCTATCGAAGAGACCTCGTGCACTCGTATGTTGGCACGGCAAGCAGCCAATGCTAGCTTTGATATCCACATTCTTCGCTTTAGAAGCACCATCTGGTGTTTCCACTTCCGTAGCTGACGCTGACCCTTGCGACGGCGAGAGGATGATATCGCGCTCATCCCACCAGTCCAACTCAGTCATGTTATTGATCCCACAGTTGTCAAACCACGCCTTATTCCCCAGCGGAGCGAAGAAATGGCAATTCGGATGTTTCTCAGAGATCTCCTTCACTGTTGGATATGACAAGTGATCGTAGTGGTTATGTGAAATCACGACTGCGTCGACAACGGGTATGTCTTTAATTTCACACGGCATCTTCGTGTAACGCTTCGGGCCCATGAAGGAGCAAGGGGAGCAGCGATCCTCGAAGACAGGGTCGAAGAGAACTCGCATGCCGCTGGGGAATTCGACGTAGTAGCATGCATGGCCTAGCCATGTTGCTCGTAGATTGGACGTTTCTCGAGAGGGGAGGAACTCAGGTTTCTGGACTGGTACGGTTGGAGGTTTCGTGTCGGGGACATTTCCTTTGCCAGAGACCTGGCGACTTTAATATCAAACACAATCAAGTCAGATATTGTTTTGGTCAATAAATGGTAGTTGGCTTATCTTACTGCACCATGTGTCCGAGGATCCCAAAGAAGTCATGCTGGTACCATGAACTACATATTCAGTTAGTTACCAGATGTTTGTTCACTTCAAATCTGTCCTGCATACTCCCATGGATTCTTAAACCCTTCCTGGAGATGATGACTCTTCTTTGTCGCATCCTCTGGCCCTGGAGAGGTTGAAGAAGTAGTGACCGTGAGGGCGTAGAGGACAGCCGCTGTCGACGAACTCATATTGCGCTTCGCGAGGAGTATATTGGAACAAGGAGGCGTACTTCTAGTCTGTTTGCGAAAGAAGAAGAACCAGCGCTGGTATGATCGCATTTGCGAATCTTCGTTGTCGCGGGGTCGAAGCTGTTACATAGGCAGTCAGACAGTACAACGCCAGGATTATCACTGATCTTTATTATAGCCCAGTGCTTTGTAGCCACGAAGCTGCAGGATCATGTCATCTGGTCAGCTTCTAAATAAAGAAAGCCGTGTCATCGACAGGCGAGAAAATTCATGGGCGTGAATGTTAGGTCCGTTATCTCCGCATTGACGGATTCGGTCATTTCAGTCACTCCGCGGGGAGGGGAATAGCATCCCGATTCACCAAGTCGGGGGATTTAGATTGACACATGTCTCATTCAGCCCCAGGAACCCTTAATATCTTGACAACTTTCACTAATTCGATTTGGAGCGCCCCTTCTATTTCTCTGTCCGGACGGTCATCGGACCATCTTAACTCCGGTGACGCTTTATCGTTATCTGATGAAGATGGATGAATTCCACCAGCAATCATTCATCGAGTCAATCGCAGAGGGATGGAGCCAAATGGACCGCCCAATGCTCCGGGACTGCCCTCGTCTGGCAATCTAATCCAGCAAAGGAAAGATGCCGTCCAGGCGGCGGCGCAGTCCTCTGGAGATGGAAGTTATCTGTCCCAGCTCACCAACAATCCTTTCTTCACGGCGGTACGTTACTATGTGGAATAAGGCTAAGAAAGTCGCTAATCCTACGCTGAATAGGGCTTTGGTCTCGCAGGCCTCGGAGCCGGTTTGAGTTTCGCGCAAAAGGGCCTTCGACATGGCGCCGCACTCCTCCGAAGACGGATGCTCGTGGATGTCGAAATTAGCATCAAGGACGATTCGTACCCGTGGTTCCTGCATTGGATGACACTATACCAACAATCTCATAATGCTGCTCGGACAACGGCTGCCAAGTCCGGCTTCATGGACTCGTTACTCCAACGGTTAACGCCCGGGATGCGCCACCTCTCTATCCAAACGCAAAAGGTCGAACATTCGAACGGAGCGATTCACACACACTTCGCGCTGGTCCCGGGACCTGGGAAGCACGTCTTGCGGTATAAGAATGCGTTCATCTTCGTCAATCGAATGCGGGAGGCCAAGTCTGTGGATTTGCAGACGGGTCGGCCGTGGGAGACTATTACGTTGACTACGCTCTATTCTCATCGGCATGTTTTTGAAGAGCTCTTCACAGAGGCACACGCATATGCTGCTAAGGCGCATGAAGGAAAGACGACTATCTATAACAGTTGGGGTACGGAATGGAGGCCATTTGGACACCCACGGCGGAAGCGTCCGTTGGAATCAGTGGTTCTCGACGAGGGCGTCAAGGAGCGCATCGTTACAGATGTCAGGGATTTCCTAGACAGCGGCTCGTGGTATCACGACCGTGGAATTCCCTACCGTCGTGGGTATCTACTCTACGGGCAACCGGGTACGGGTAAAAGTTCGTTTATCCAGGCTCTGGCCGGCGAGTTGGACTATGACATTGCAATTCTGAATCTGAGTGAGCGTGGGCTTACCGACGACCGCCTGAATCATCTCCTCACTATCGTCCCTAATCGGACATTAGTGCTGCTGGAAGATGTGGATGCGGCCTTCGCCAACCGTCGACAAACAGACGTAGATGGCTACCGCGGCGCTAACGTGACCTTCTCCGGGCTCCTCAACGCTCTGGATGGCGTTGCTAGCGCTGAGGAGCGTGTCCTCTTCTTAACCACAAATCACGTCGACCGTCTCGATCCGGCTCTCGTCCGACCCGGCCGGGTAGACATGACTGTCCGCCTGGGCGCCGTCACTCGCTACCAGGTTGGCCGTCTCTGGGATCGGTTCTACGGGGAGCTCGATACGACTGGCGCTTATCGACACACATTCCTCACGAAGTTGGAGGAGCTCGGACTAATCGAGGACGAGAATGGTCAGCAGGCCGATCGGTCGAGAACTACCAGCGCTGCTGCTTTACAGGGCCTGTTTTTGTATAACAAGGATAACATGGAGGGAGCCATTTCGATGGCTGAAGCTTTGACTTACTCGGTACATGAGGAAGCCATGGAAAACTGATGTATTATTATACCATACTGTAAATATTCCTCAAAAATTTCTTCGTGTGATACACAGACCTGAACACACAAATAACACCAACAACTCCCAACCAATACATTCCAAACCGAATACCTTCAACGTCATATAAACAAGAATCAAGTTGATTGTCCCCGTCGAAGCGCCCCGATCAAAATCATGCTATCAATAAAGCTGAAGAGCGGCCAATCACCGGCTCACCAAGTTAAGCGCCGGCGATGAACAGTGCAGCGCATCTCATGCAGCACAACGGTCGTTCTCCATATTAGTGCAAGCTTGACGCCTCGATGATTTTCTGTGGAATTCTTCAGCTGAGAGCGGGTGTGATGATATATGCCTTCTTGCCCGCTGAGGACGAAACCTTGTCTGCTCACATCTCACTGAGCTGCATCAATAGTATACTTTTGCCTTTCACCTAACCTTCCTTGTCTGTCTATATACTTGAAAGTAAAGTATGTTTGTCGCTGCATTAACCGCATGTATTGACTAACCATCAACAGAATATATATGAAATGAGCCAATTCCGCCTCTTCCCCCCTCTCACCCCAACATCATCAACCAAAGACAACCTCCCCTCTCGAGGAGGCAGAAAAGTCCTAGTCGACAATACCTCCCAATCCACACCAACTCTCCTCGAAGACCTCAAGGGCTCCCGGAAAACAGACGCCGTGCTTCGCCAGATCAGGGAGAATGCAAAAGCCATCCAGCCACCAAAGCCACCGCCAAAGGCGCATGTGACCAAGCCTGCTTCGAAGCTATCTGATAGACTGCGCGGTGGAGGTCGAGGGGATGGGGATGAGGAGAGACAGGAACAGGAACAGGAGCCGGAGCGAGTGGCTTTGTCTAGTTCGAGTACGCTTGTGGAGAATCGGGCTCCGGGGAGATTCTCTGCGTTCAGTATTCCTATTAGATCGATCTTTCCGCGGTATAATCCGAATCTGCCTCTCAATAGGCAGGAATATTATCCTCAGTTATCAAGCAGCAACTCAAGGTCCCGGCAGAAACCAAAAGGTCTGGTTCTTTCACCAGAGCCGGATATCGACCGTGCCCTAGGACCAAAGACTGTACCGGCAAGTGTGATGGACTTCCCACCGGGTCTTCTCGACTCTGTCGAGGTACAATATTCCTCTGCGGCGGAACTCCAAGGTCTCTGGGAGGCTGCCAACGGCCAACGACCAGAGAATCACACAGCAAGTTTCAACCTGCGCCTTACACGGTAACCCTCTACCCACTCTCCCTTTGCTAAAAGCAATCGCTAACGTATAGCAGAACCGACCCAACAACATTCTCATTCGGGTCCCCCCAACACCAACACCCTTTCTACACTCTCCGACTCACCACCCCCACCGAACTAACAATCTCCCGAACAAACCCCTCCAAACCAACAAACAGCATCCCAATCATGACCCTAACCCTCGAAAACCGCACCCGTCGCGAACCCCCAAGCGACGGCCTCGTTTCAATCATTTCCTCTCGTCTAGCAGCAATGCTCGCCATCGAGCAGATCGACGAACTCGTGAAACAGCAGCATTTAACGCCCTCAGAAGCGCTAGAGGCAGAAAGGAAAGCGCTTAAACGCGCGGAGGAGCAGGAATCTTGTCGTTTGGCGTGGAATCATGATCTTCGGTTATACACGCTCGAACACCCGTCATTCTCGAAGCCGAGGACACCTGCCCTCGTGGGTGCAGCCAATATTCCGCTTTCTCCTGTACGGTCGAAGGGCCCTGGTGCTGTACACATTACTGTCTCATCACCATCATCAAACAATAACAATCCTCAACCCCAATCCCAATCCCAATCCCAACCTCAACCACCAACAATCCTAGTGACAACACCCACACCCTCAAACTCCACATCAACAGAATCCGCCCGCCTCGCACCAACACCACGAACCTCGACCCTCCCCCTCACAGACTCCAACGACCCATTAGCATCCCTAGATCTCTCTACCAAAACACTGCGTATATCCTCGGGAGCAGTTATCGCGACAATTCCATCGCTGTACGCGATTGACTCTGTGGTTGCGGGGATTCTTGCCGTCGCTGTTGCGGATGAGGGGAGTAGAGGCGTGCTTATGGGCATGGAGATGAGGATGGGGATTGGGACTTGTCAAAGTCAAAGTGAAAATGCAGGGCTGGAGTTAGTTTCGACGGCTGCGGAGAGGGAGGATGCGATGTTGGGGAGTGATCTTGTGGGGAGGGTTAAATCGGGTCCTAACCCTGGCACTGTTGACGACAATGACAACGATAAGCGAGAACCCAGCAGCGATACTCCCAAGCCCTCCTTCTGGAACTGGCTTCGCAAACCCCAACCCCGAGAATCGAAACCAAAGAAACAAAAGAACAAAAAAATCGTAATCGAAGAATTCGACCTCGAAAAGTACGGCCGGTATGGACCTAGTTCCTCACGGGAGGGAGAGAAACTACCCTCCATCGCACGGGGAGTGTTGAGGGTATTGTTCTGGGGGTTAAATCTAGTGGTTAAACTGCTCACGGCGATGGTCAAGGTGCTGGCTTGGGTATTGGTCAATCTGACGAGGTGTGTTACTAGTGAACGGTTTTGATATTTATAGAAATAGCAATAGCATTGATGATCCATTACAACATTAAACACTAGTACATACATATACACCGTCATTCCATACCATGCCATACCAAAATACTTGTACAAATTAAGCATGAACAGCCTGCTGCACCCTAGGATAAACCTTAATCAACTCCTGATATAACCCCGGATGCTCCCTCATCATAACCTCAGGATCCCACGCCATAGCCGCAAAAATCGTCTCAATCCCCGACCCCACCGGCGTCAAGAAAATCTGCGCAACCTGCAACCCAATCACAAACGCAAACGCCATAATCACCGCCGTAAAGTTGCCGTCCGCGTTATACCCGGGATTCGTAAACTGGAGGTACAAGTATGCCAATAACGCGCAGATATACGAGACACCCACGCTTCCCATTGTAAGAACAGGGCCCATGAGGCAGTCGTTGACGAGGGCGTCGACGCCGCGATCGCGCATCATCGCCCATGTATCTTTTGCTGCGGGGATGTAGGCTTTGCCCCAGAGGGCGATGTGGCAGAAGGCGTAGCGGTTGAAGAGGGTGACGAGCCAGTCGAGGAGGCTGATGCAGGATCCTAGGATCCAGGCGAATACGCAACCGATGGTGTTTCCCTCTGCGGCTTCGTGACGCTGCGCGATGGAACATGCCTGGCGGAGCATGTTGATGATCGCGATGAACAAACTACCCAGACTAATGCTGCCGAAGGAGTACGTCGTTGCGCGCTTGAACGCACCACGCGTCGAGCCCTTGGGCATCTTCTTGCCTCCCTGTCCGCCTGGGCCCTCGCCGCAGAAATAGTACCACGAGCCGTAGATGCCTGCGATGGTCGTGTGCACGGTGTTCTTGATCCACTCGCTGAGCCAGTACATCGCGAAGGTTACGTACACGACTAATCCGATAACCCGTCCGCGGCTGCAGCCGCCGTTGCTGCAAGAGGGGTTGCCTGCGCTGCTAGTGCTTGAAAGACCATCGACTGCGCCCGCGCGACCGCTGCTGCTACTTGTTGGTTCGTAGGCGACGTATATAGCAACCAGGGTGACGGAGAACCAAGCTGCAAAGGCGACGGCCACGATGCCACCAAGTGCGCTCACAACAAACACATGCCCGTATTTCCTTGTGACATCCATGCTCGTCTGCAACATGAACGCCGTAAAAGGGATGCGCGGTATCCAACTGATAAAACAAATTATCGCGAACACGCCGAATATCAGAAACGCGATGCCACCACCATACTGCTTGCGACAGATATAGTAAATTCCCGTCGCGAGCGCAAGAACGATATTCAAAATCCCAGTTACCCAAATGAAGGTTTTCGGAAAGAACCGCGCGCCCATAAAATATGCCCAAGAAAATGCGATCGCAACGCAGAGGACGAATATGAATAGCACCAGTGTGTTCGTGTTGAGAGAGACTTCATTACCGGCGTCGTAGATGCCGCCACCGTTGAAGCCTTTGTATTTCGCATAGCGGTGGATGGTGAGACCAGATATGGCGGCGTAGCCGAGGAAGACTGCGATGAGCTGTTATAGCATAACTGTTAGCATTTGTTGATTTCGGTAAGGGGGAGGGGAGAAGGGAGGAGACGCACCAAAAGACCGGCCCAGAGATCGTTCAGCTTGGGCTTTTCGATTTTAAACGCTTCGTCGAAGCCATATACGGCTTGGTTGTATGTGGGAGGATGCTCCGGGGGCTTGGATTCAGGAACGCCCTGGTTCGGATAGGGCGCGTACGGCTGTTGTTGTTGTTGCTGTGGGTTGTAGACGGGCTGCTGGTAAGGCTGCTGGTAAGGCTGCTGAGGAGGAGCCTCCTCAAAGCCTTGGGAAGGATTATAATAACTAGCCGCCTGTCCACTCATCGTTGCATCCCAGTGAGACGGAAGATATGAAAACAAGAAGAGGGGAGAAAGCAAAAAAAAAAAAAATTTAAAAATTAAAAGGGACAAAAGAAACTTTAGCTGATTTCACCCTTTCCGGAAGCGGCCAAAAGCGAGGGACTACTGTGGCCGAACCAAAGGTCAGCCCTACGTCAAGATCGGCTACTGCTGCAAGATCAATGAATCATGGTTCAAGTAGATCCATGGTTATGCTTCCGAGCTATGTACACATAGTTCATCCGGTGGGTATTTCATCTCCGATCTCCGAATCAAAACACAGACACGCCGGCTCCATGAGCTCCTTCGTCAATAACAATTGGGTAACAAAATGAGAATAAACATTAGGGAGTGGACGATCGCAATCGTAACCGATCTGGCCACTGAAAATCAAAATCCAATGGCTCCTGCGGATGGAAAGAAAAAAAAAAAAAAAAAAAAAATAGTGAAAAGGAGGGTATGAGGAAAACAGAACAGCGCCGTTTGGGTATCAATGTGGAAAAAAAAAACAAAAAAAAAAAAAAAAAAAAACAATACCAGCATCATTGAGGATCGATTTCTTTTTAATCACAGTCACCGGACTGCGTGATGATGTCTCCTCATATGTCGCCATGAATCTGCAACAAGTCCCGGGATCGGAGTGCGCGATCGCTGTGTCGGCCATTCATCAGTAGCCGCTTGAAGTTGGCCCTGCGTCATCGCCATAGACCGTCGGATCTTATCCTGTCGGACGGCCGCCCGTCGCTGTGCCCGCAATTCATCGATTCGACCTTGTCCCACGCGATGGCGTCGGACAAAACAATCGTCCAGCAGTGTATTGGCGTCCAGTAGTTTCTTGGGAACAGTCTGGACAACCTGGAACACCTCCATTGGGTCAGAGACGGCGAGAATGTCCTTTTCGCATGCCTTGAAGATAGCCAAGGACACACGGAAGAACGTCTTGGAGCCTTCATAGAAGAAGACATCCCAAACACGCAAGGTCGTCTCCAATGGCAAAGTTCCGATGAAAATCGACATGAGCCAATTCGTCAATCCAAGTGTGATATCAGGCAGTCGCGAGTGAACTGTGAGAGCCGGAACGCGGGCCTTGTTGCTGCCAGGACCCGTGGCCGCGATTTTGCTGTAGATGTTCGGCATCGATTCCTTGAGCAGAACCATGAGAATCCAAAGGTCGATATTCGCTCCCTCCAGACTAATCTCGTGTGTTCCCGGAAGGTATAAAGACGTAACGATGTGTAGCATCCAGAACGCCTTTTCCTCGGGAAGAAACAGCAAAAGCATTCCTGTGATGAAGTTGAGCGACTGGGTGTAGCCGACTTTCGGGTTGTGAAGCGCATATGCGTATAGGACGCGCCGAAGAGACTGGATCATTTGGGTCTCGACCACCGTGCCCTGCGGGTTGCTGCTACCAGAGCTGACACCCTGCTCAGGCTTAAAGTGAATGTTGTCGGGAAATGTTCGATGGAGGTCGCGCTCAATGTGTTCCTTGTCATCGTTGGAGGGCGATATCATGGCCTTCTGGACCAGTTCATCGTACAGTCCCGGATTCCGGTTTAGAAGCTCAAAGCCTCCGGCGTAATAAAACCATGCCGCGCCTCGATATTCAGACGGAATACCCTTACGCACGAAACGCTTAACACGCGAGGACTTCAGTGGAAACCGTGTTGGCTCCTTCGTCTCCAACCCGTGTTCCCTGAGCAGCTCCGTCCACTTTACTTTCCGGTTGGCCGCAAAGGAGGAATACGGGCGACTCCAGGCATCGTAGCGCTCGATCGGGACATGGTTACTGGCCTTTCGGAATCCATAGCGGTCGCGCGTGTCAGTTCCTGGCAGAAGCGGCGGCGGAACGACACCAGGAATGACAATTGTAGATTCTTGTCTAGCAATCCCTGGGTCCTTGGCGGGGGATGTCGGCTCGTGGTGGTAGGTTTCATGAGAATGTTCATTAGGGGGTTCGTGAATCGACGATTGATCATCGAGGAGCTCCTGATAAGGTGGGTTCTGGCCCATGGGTTGCAGTTCCGGAAGCGGTGGTACAGGAGGGAGGTCTTCCACGGGGTTTATGTCGGGTGATTGTTCATCGTAAGTGTCCATGGTCATTGTTGTTGACGGTCGTGGGCTCGACGGGCGCGATTTGTCTTCTGCATGGAGATCTGGCGACGACGGCTCTTCCGTCACATCGCTGAAACCATCCAAATACATGGAAATGGCATCTTCGACACTCATACCACCATCCTTCTCCGGTCCATCTGGAGTATCAGGTGAAAGGTCGGTGATGGAGCTGCTTTTCGTCAAGACACTGCTACGCTCCGTTCCACTGTTTTGTTCGATACTGGAGCGCGAGGTCATTGCCGAGTTGACACTAGATCGAAGAGCGTCATTTCTCCCATAGGCATCCAGCGAACTACTTGGTGTAGCACGCGGCAAGCCCAATGCCTGAGGATTGCTGGTATCTGTTGGACGACGCTCGCGGGAATGGTGGCCCTTGGCACGCTTTTGATGATTCATGCGAGAGGCGGACATGGAAATTCGCAGACCAGCCCGACCTGGAGGCATCTTCCGGTGGGACGGGCGGTCGCCTTCGCCGTCCATGTGGCGCCATGTGGGGACCGGCTCGTGAGAAACCGCAGGAAACGTCGGGGCACGATGTGTTGCTCTGGGCGGGTTGAAGTCGAAATAGGCGTTATAATCCGGACCGAATTGAGGTGAGGGACACGGTGACACTAGCTCTTCCGGCGGCGGTGGCCAATGTCCGTGTTCGTGGGGGAGAGGACCTCTTGCTCTAAACGGAGCCGGCGGTAAACGAGGGGAGTTGGAACGAGAATGAGCGCCCTGGGAATGGGAGGTTGCAGGACGTGTAGGAGCAGGAGGATGGAATCTTAACGGATCGAGGCGTGGAGGGGGGACTCTGCGACGGCTGGGGATATCAAATTCGCCCACACGAGGTGGATATCGAAATTCTCCATTTTCTGTGACCATGGCCACGAGATAGTAGCACCCAGGACCTGCTGGACATTTGTCGATATGCGAAACGTGGGAATCGTCAATGGTAGCGAGCGCTTACTGTCTTTCCGGGCAATGGGAGAGACAGCTTTCGACACAGGTATAAAGATAACCGCAACAATGAACGAGCGAGAGAGGACCCCTTTAATAATGCGAAAGAGTGAAAAATCAAAGGTAAAAGGTAATTAAACGGAACGAGGCTACCGGGATGTCAACCGTAGATTGACAGCCAAACGAGCGTCAGGGAGCCCCCAGCAGCAGCGCGATGCAACAATGAAGTCAGTCCATCCGAACGAATCCCACGATCCTACCAGAGGTCCAAGGGAAAGAGAATGAGAGACGACAAGGAGGAAAAAGAAGAAGAATGGAGAGTAGAAGAAGAAAGAGAAAGAGGAGGATTGAAGTTGTAGAAAAGGAGAACAGAAAAAGGAAGCAAATCGTTGAGCTCCCTGTCCGGTCTAGCGTGGTATTGTTTGGTATGGTACGGTACGGTCCGGTACCTGGTAAAACGGTATCGATGTTTCAGATGAACAAAGAAACAACTTCTCTTCAATGCGGGATATCTTGATATATCTCTCTTCTTTTGCTTCGACTTGAGTACTATACAGAGCAGCTACTACTTGTGCTGCCAGAGGGCATAGAAGTACCTCTACAGTCTATATCCATCATATCTGCACTGCCTGCAGGGGCAAACTTCCGTGACTGGTCACACCCTGCATTGCATCCATCCATGCGTCTACCAATGGCTTCTTCCTATCACTCTCTCGCCTTACTCTTTGAGTCGCCTTAGCTTTCTCGTTGCTTTTTGACTCAGTCGAATGAGGCAACGCGGGGCTCGCGATCCGTTCCGTCCGGGGATAATAAAGTCTACCGTTATACAGGGGTTTAAGAAGGGTTGATATATAATCTACCCGGGGCCCTGGGGAGTATACAGAGCACAGAAGGAAGCGAACTACAATGAACTGCTGTACGTACTTTTTGTACATCTTTACAGGTACAGGTTATACAAAGACAGATCAGAAATAGAGATGGATGGAGATGCTTTTCCGGTTCATTACGCAGGGCTTGGTGTTGGTCCATCATAATCTTATTTCTTGCCATCTGGTCGACGCTAAAGAGTCAAGCACAGGGAAATCTCTGCGAAGAGCATAAGGCTATCGCTCACTGGATCATCTGTCTATGGATATGACATGACTTGCTTCACTTACCGGAGCAGTTCCCTTCTTGCAAAGACATCCGCGCCGAGGTTCCTGTCCTGTAACCTGTTTTTCCATTTCATTAACTTTGTTTCTTATCCAGAATCCGTCTCCGAGTGAACGGGTCGTCATCAATCCATCATCAGGGCCAGAATATTGACTAGCGAGTGGAGCTGTCTTTTTTTCTCACTGGTTTCAAGGTCTGCTAGCGTCGGGCCCACATCAACTGCCCTGTACGGGAGTCGAGCACGCTCTCGGGAGGGTAAAAGGGAAACAATAATACCAATATGAAAATAAAAGGGTCAAGCCCAGACCAAGCACAAGTCTGGAATTATTGCGATGGTCCGGCCCAATCTCGTCCTTCCGATTAATATTACTACACTAGTATCCCATCCGATTCCTTCCAAGCATCTTCCACGATCGTTCGGTCGACATGAGTCGCCCATCGGGAGTCCCAATCCGTCGGGTGTTTGGCAGTCCGGCGCTGCTAGACTAACTCTATCTGTTCATACAGACGTGTTCCGAAATGCTTTTGGCTTCTGGACAAAGAAATATCGTTAACTAGTCTGGACGATCGACACGCCGGGAATTCTCCGGTTTCTCCGGTTTCTCGGTCTATTTTCCAGGACTCGTACTTTGTACACCGGTAGTGTAGCTTGTAGCTTGTCGTCTGTGTTTTTCCCTTGCGTCTGCGTTCTGGCCGGGAGAGGAGAGCTGAATCTCCTTTTTGAGGATTCCACTAGAACAGAGGATGGAGAAGACATGTACGGAGTACGGAGTATCCGGAGCTCATCGGTGTCAGTAGAATACAAAGTTTGGTCATGGACGATCAATAATGTTTCATTTATTCAATAATACAAAGCAGTGTTCTCCATTGTATCTCACACATTCATTTATGCCCATTGCTTCACAAAGATTATTATTACTGTCTGTACGGGGTAATCTATCTGGTATTACTGGTTACAGGTCTCTCTCAAACACAATGTCAATCAACCAGATACCGCAGTAAATTCTTTCAGTTCGGATGGTTGCTGCAAGTGGGATGTCATTGTAAGTGCAGACCATGTGATTGTGGATATGCGGTACAGGAATGGAAATGTTTGGCATATGATGTATGGGATAAACAGTCATTGTAGATACATTGCTGGATTGTCGGATATCATCGCCGTCCTAAAAGGCTCACATTCTCTTGCAAGAGATATATCGCTGACATGTGGAATCGCTTGTCAACTGTCAGAATCAATGTGAAACTATGCTTGCATTGTGCAATTCATGAGCTCTGTATAATTTATGCATAATAACCAAGACGTATCCGTCAAGAAAACCATATCTCGATGCACTCGATTAATGATAACAATGCCGGTTCCCAAATGCGCCTCTGTAAGAATGATGCTGGCCCTGTTCACCATGTCCATACTGCGATGTCTCAAAATGTTTCCAAGAGCAGATCAAGCGCGCAGCGATCGCGCAAGAAACGGTCGGACGCTATCATGATCTTCAACTATCCAGCGACCGCCTGAAACCCAAATCCAATTCCAGTAAAAGCATCCTGCCCATCAAACGTGTTTACTATGCCTTCTCATTCGCATACCGACGTGTCCAATCCCTCGCCACCTCCTCATACCGCGCCCGATCATTCTTATACTGCTCCGCAATCCGTCCCTCAACAGCATCGTCCGGCATCGGTTCCGCCAGCAGCTGACGAGCGAACTGCAGTACAGCTACCACCCGCGAACTGGGCTTCCACTCGTCGGGCCTCAACATCCCCAGACACATGCTTCCTTTGTCATCATTCGTAACGTTCGGGTGGTAAATCTTTGTTGCGAAGTTGACCGCGGGGGGCTTGAAGGGGTATTCGTTGGGGAACTTGAGTTTGACTAGGAACGTGCCGTTCTATTTTCGTTAGTTGGATTGGTTATTGATCTAAGTAAGGGTATGTAGCATGGACGTACGTGGAAAGGAGAGCTTTCGGGGCCGTTCAAGTAGACTTTCCAGTCGTAGAGGTCTGCTTCATTTGCGAGTTCGACTTTGATGCCTTCGGGAGGGGATTCGACGAGCTCAGCTAGCTCCTGTGCAGTAGTCAGTACTATGAATAGACATCGCTAGACGAAGCTTAGCAGCGATCTTGTCACGTACCTTTGCTATCCGCTTTTGGCTGCCCATGGTAGCGATCTGTGGAGGGGCAAGTACGGGGTGCGGAAAGAGGACGGAGGTAAGAAGATGATAGAAGGGAGGAGGGATAGCTGGCTTGAGGAAACGTGCTAGGAAATCAAGACAGGCAAAAAGATCCTTTACAAGTCAGTTCAAAACAAAGCAGAGAATTGGTGACTGATTAATTGAATGACTCTGAAAGAAGAGGTCGCAGCGGGGCGGCGGTAGGCGGGGAGTGACGTCTCCAAGGTGTTGACTGGTCTATAAATGGCTCTCGGCCATAAAAGGGCTTTCTGGGTTTCTCTACGTTCCTGTTTCATCCAGGTAACACTGGTACACGCCAATGATACTCCGCTTACATCTAAATATATCTCCAACTTTTTGTATATGCGACTACAACAATCATGGCAGTTCAATAGAACCCGAAAGAACAGAAACATGCAATTCATATCATCGACAGCTTTTTATTTCCGACATGAGTGTCTATTGCTCCCGTTGCAGCATCACCGTCAACCCCATAATCCCCAGCAACACCGTCTTGAGCCAAGGATGCTCACTGAGCATGATAGTCACATATCCAACCATCGGAATATACCCTCGCACGCTACCCACAATATCCTCCTCCCGGTTCAAATAGTCCTGGCCTCGCGCGTAGAGCTCAGTGTCATCGGCAACGTTGTTGTCTCCCTTAGTCAAGAGCATGTTGTTCGGGACAGTCGAGGCACTAAGCGGGTATACGTTAGCAACGATCAGATAGACAAATGCCACGAGGGCAGAGAGATAGACGTACTCCTCAACCTCCTTGACCTTCTTCGCTTTCCCTTCGACCTCAGGGAACGTCCTCACAACACGGTGCACGATCGGGATATCCTTGCCCCTGACATTGTAAACCACAACCTCTCCCAATTCAGCGCGCGGAGCTCGGTTCCATAAGAAGAGCAGGTCGCCTCTCTGGAAAGCAGGTTCCATAGACCCCGACAGAACAACGACAATGGGCGACGAGGAGGCCGTAGCTACCGACAATCCCTTCCACATCATGAAGGCCGTAGAGAGGACCAGCGCAAAATTGAGGACTTGCGCCAGCGACTGGCGCGTATTAGACATGCTCGACGACAGGAAGGACAACATGGTGGGCTATGCGATCTGGTTGAGGTGGAGGACGGTTGATTGTCTATCGGCGGGGAGGTGAGGAGGTTCGTAGATTCTGGATGTGAGAATTTGTGACTCGATCCAATGCGACAGGGCACTTGCGCAATACCCGTTAAATTCCGTCGAGTCGTGTGGATGTAGAGGTGTCGCTGTTGGGTGTCGAGCTGGGATAAGTTGGAGAGGTGGCCTCGGGGAATATGCAGCGGGCTACGGAGTAGACGGGCGAATAGATGGGTATACAATCTACAACAACACCAGCGCGATCTTCTAATGAGATAGTAATCAATTTCTACAAGTACAGAGCTCATGCGTATATAGATATTTTATTTTGTCTGATATCAATTGCCAGAATGAAGCTACGATGATTGAAGTCATGTGATATCAAACGCTGAGTAAGCAGAACATATGATCGACTCTATCATTACCCCATATAGCCGTTGTCCCCCCAACTGCTGCTTTCCCAAACGGGCAAAAGCGAACCTCCACCGGCCACGCATCTCGCTGGTGTTTCTCCTCGACTCTCCACCACGTCACTTTTCGCAGCATCACTATATGCAGTCTCGGGCTCTAAACTAAATACCGACATTTAGTGGAGCAATCTGCAATCATGAATCCCACTTCCAAACCTTCGCAGACCTCTCTGTTTCAAGTTTATCTCCGTCTTCGGCCTCCGATTTCCCAGCCAAAAGACATCCAACCGGATCGCTGCTTGATTGTTGATCCTCCGGAGCATAATAACGAACATGCAGAAGATGGCCAGGATGCTCCGCTCCCGGCTGCTACCCACATCACGCTGCAGCCTCCCGCGGATTCGAGGAAACGAGCTGTGGAGAGGTTCGGGTTTACACAGGTTTTTGACGAGGCGGCATCGCAAATAGATGTTTTTCAGGATACAGGCATGGATGATATTATCAGGGGTGTATTGCTTGAGGGTCGAGATGGATTGATCGCTACACTGGGCGTTACTGGGAGTGGAAAGGTTGGAACATTTGTATGCGCGGTGAGAAAAAGCGATGCTAACCAGAACGCTATATCCAGAGTCACACCATTCTCGGCTCGAAATCGCAAGGAGGACTTACGCAAATGTCCCTGGACGTGATCTTCAAAGCGTTGGAACCCACTATCAAACCCCCGGACAACTCAATCAACCCCAACCTATTAGCATCCGTCGCCGCATCGGATCCCTGCGAGGCCCAGTTTTTCGCGGCCCAGACTTTCCTCGAAGCAGTTTACGGCGACCCAAATGCGGACCGTGGCAGGAACTCGAGAGCCCAGACTCCGATAAGCTCGTCTAGAGGCAATACCCCTTTGATGGTAAGGAACCCTCTTCCCTCAAAGTCGATGCAAGCAACATCGGTTTTTGGACGGCTTTACCCAAATTTACCTCCGTTCCCTACTTCACCCCTCAGGTTTAGTCGCAGGCCTTCCCAGAGCCCGGAGCGTGGAGATTCAGACAATGTACCCAAAGAATCCATTCGATTGGTCCCTGGATCCCCATCAACGTCATATACACACCCAAGGATGATGAATAGTCTTGCTAAATCAGGATTTCAATCTTTAAAGGATCCGATGCCCGCCCTGATCTTCCCCCGTCGACAGATGCCACAGCGCCCCAGCGTGTTACCCCGAGTACCTGACGTTACTCAATTCGCCCCGGATTTGAACCCGAAGTCCGAGTACATGGTTCTCGTCTCCATGTACGAAGTGTACAATGACCGAATCTTCGATCTTTTGTCCCCCGCCGTTGCACCCGGGCAAGGAAGTTCCCGTCAAGCGGGAAACAACCAAAAGGACCGGAGAAGGCCCGTCATGCTCAAGTACACCGAAGGCTCCCCCGATCGAAAGGTTGTTGCCTCACTGAGAAAGATCGCCTGCAGCACCTATGAAGAGGCGCTGGCGGTTCTCGATGTCGGGCTTACGGAGCGCAAGGTTACTGGAACCGGCGCAAACAGTGTCAGTTCCCGGAGCCATGGATTCTTTTGCCTTGAGGTCAAGAGACGTATGAGGCATAAGATCACTGGCGAGGAGACATGGGTCGGAAATATTCTTACTGTTGCTGATCTTGCTGGTGAGTAATGCTTACCAAAGTATCGTCATGTCGGTATTAACCTATTACTAGGTTCCGAGCGCGCAAGGACTGCTAAAACCGCCGGATCAACCCTTGCTGAAGCCGGAAAGATTAACGAAAGTCTGATGTATCTGGGACAGTGCTTACAGATGCAGAGCGAAATCCAAGACGGCAAAGCCGCTCTTGTCCCGTACAGACAGTGCAAGCTAACTGAGCTACTATTCTCTAACTCATTCCCATCCTCAAACTCCTCTCATAGCCGCGCACCACAAAAAGCAGTCATGATAGTCACAGCTGATCCTCTGGGAGACTATAATGCTACTTCACAGATCCTCCGCTACTCCGCTCTAGCCAAGGATGTCGCCGTAGCTCGTGCACCTTCTCCGACTGAGAGCGTTTACTCGGCTACCTTGCGTTCCTCGAGGGTATCAGACCATGGGCGGAACTCACCAGATCCAGCATTGAATGAAGAGCTTGAAAACGCCTTGGCTGTAATTGCACGATTGACCTCTGAGAACGAGAACCTCTCTGTACGACTTACACAAGAAGAGATCGCACGTACAGAGCTTGAGATGCATTTGAAAGCAAGCGACGAAAGATGCCTCATGATCGAGCAAGAAGTACGAGAGGAATGTTGGGCTGAGATGGACGAAAAGATGGAAGAGGAAAGGAAGAGGTGGCAGAGTGCATGGGATGACCAGACCGGATACAACGATGGGCATATGGATAAGAAGATCGAATTGCTCTCCCGTGGCTTCCACAGTAAGCATATCTCTTTGAACCAACCACTAGTACCCGAAACCTAACAAATTACCCCACAGTAAACGAAGACCCCGAACCACCCGCAGATGAAAAATACCAATCCCTCGAATTCGAAAACGACCAACTCCGCGCCAAAATCATCACCCTTGAGCGAGAACTCAACTGCCGCTCCCCAACTAAACAACCAACAAGACCAAGGACCAGGAACGCCCTCAAGTCATCTCGAAACTCGAACCTTCTCGGACGCGAGAGTGACATCGAGTCTGCGCTGCGTCATATGGATCAGCTCAAGTTGGCTGAGAATATGTTCGCTCCTTCTGTTACGGCTGGTTCGGGGGGTTCGCCGGGGAAGAGGACTAGGAAGATGGCGACGAGGAAGTGGGATTTGGCGCCTGAGGATGAGATTTGAGTTACGCTGACCGGGTTGGTGTGATTTGGTTTATGTTTAAGCATTTATGGTTGTACATTACTTTCGGCGTTTGTATGGAAGGAAATAGGTCAAGGCGGGCATGGCGCTTGGGGATATATTGTCAGAGCTGGGCTATACGGAGTACACATGCTTAACAACACATAACTGGACTTTCAATATATTCTACGATTCTTGATGACTTGGATATGTATCATGAATCTCAATTGTCAGTCTAGTTATTCATATCATCTTCAACATATCAACAAACAGCAATCTCAAACGAAGGCAAATAAATGTCTGAAATGAAAATAGGAAAATGAAGGACACCATTCGACACCAAACAAGTTCCGTGCATTAGATAGGTTGACAATTCTTCCTTCCTGAAGGTAAATCGACAGAAACCACCGGCAGAAACGCGCATATTGGTATCGGTGCCCCCGATAATCAAAATCAATGGCGTGCATGTATCAATGAATGACAGGATAAGAGTTGCGAGCTGATTAAATCAAATGAAGGACCGGAAATAGCAACAGCGGATGTTGAAACGAGTAAACAGATGGGTTGTTAGATGGCGATAAACTGACATTCTGGTAACGCGTTTGTTCGGAGGTGGGTTGGTGTGTCTCGATCAGGTTCGGTGCAGCAACACTTTAGGATGACTTGAAAGACTGCTGCTTGCTAGAACGGTGTCAGTACACGCCAATTCCATATAGTGCAAAGAAACCCACCAAAAACCCTCCATATCATCAATATGATTGCACATAGCAACAAACAGATCAAAAAACCACGCATGCCCCTTCTCCATCTCCATCTCCATCGTCCCACTCGTCTTGAACATCTCCCTCGCCCTTATCACCATAACCAAGTAATGAGCGCGCAAATCCGCATCCGAATCCGGCGTGTTCTCATACGCATACCGAGCAGAGCGCAAGATAATAGGAATTGGAATCCCGACGTGAAGACCCTGCTTGCGGAGTGCAAGCTGTTTGAGATCTTCCAGGCCGTACTTTTCTGCTGCGCAGTAGACGACGGTGTCGCGGAGGATTTCGTCGCGGGTTCGGGCGTGGAGGATGGTTGCTTTGCTTGTGATGCGGTCTGTGGTTTTGGTGTCGTGGGTGTTCTCGAGCTCGTTGTGGGTTAGGCGGGGGTAGTAGTCGCCTTTGTAGAGGTATTCGAGAATGCAGGAGAATATTTCTGGGTCTCTGGTTTTTGTTAGAGGATGCGCGGGTCGTTCAGGGTCAGGGTTGCGCACTCATCTGGCAGCTCCACCACCTTGTTTGCATGAGCTCCAACCATAGACAGGTCTCGCAGGATACTACGGAAGTAGAGAGACTGGGCAATAACATGTTCGTGGCCCACGAAGAAACGTCTTTCCGAGCTCACGACGAAGGTGACTGCTGGGCTTGAAACAGGACTAACAGATTATCAGCTACGTCTTTCATATTCAAATAAAGCAAGACTTACTGTTCAGTCAAGCTGTCTGACCTGCTCTGCGCCTTCAACTTGCCATGTCTGCTATGTTTCCCATGTCTCTTCCTAATCCACCGGCCCGTCTTACTCGGTTCATCTTTCACCATAAAGGAGCGTCTAAACATGGACATGGTGATAACTCCGTATCGGCCTCGATGACGTCAAAGAAAGCGAATAACCAGAGCCCCGACAAAGGAGATCCAAATACCGAAAATAAAATGAGTGGAAGTTTCCCTCTGACTATCAGGAAACGTGACGCAACCAGTCACGCACGTCGTTGCATGTGAGTGAATGGATAACGAGCCTGGAAGCCGTCCCAAAAGATTAAATGTCCAACTTCTCCCAGGCACCAGTATCCTGCCTTCTTTGTCTTTATTCAAAAAAAGAAAAAAACGGGGAACGAGGCTGAGAGATGACCGAGAATACTTGCTACTAGACCACAAAAAGTGAATTTTGCAGTTGTTCGAAGTATCCCAGGACAGGAACACAACTCCTGGAAACAGGCTTTTGCATACGTAGTGTCGTGACTCACGTAGGCAAGAGTTGGTCGACTCGAGGAAGCGTGGAAGAGAAAAAAGAGTAAGAGGAGAGGAGAGGAGGGGGGCGGGCTGAGTTTGTGACTGGGATCATGTGATATGGTTTGCAGCTGACTCTATGTCACTGGTCAGTCGATGTACAGCTGCAAGGAACATCCTGAAGTCTTGAGTCATATATATTTATAGAATATCAACTGGAGGCTATATACATGTTCTACAACTACCACTATATATCTCTCTCTCTCTCACATATTGCCAACTATACCCCGCATCCGGCTTCCGCCATATGAATACCAAAGCTATAACTATGCTCATCAGTTATACCGACCTTCCCATTACCAGCCGAGCAAGATTCGTCGCGTTCTCCTTCGCACTTGATGCATGAATCTTGGGTCCCGGAACTATAGTATTCCTGCGATACCAGTTAGACTCGGACCTTTACTATAGGGAATCAGGGAACTCACCGTCCCATAATGCTTGAAACCGGGAACTGTCACAAACAAATTCTGGATGATGTTAGAAAACCGCACACAGTAGTGTAGTTATGGGATACTCACAGGGACACCGTCATCGGCATTATTCCCACGGTTCAATGTGCCATTCTGCGAGCTACCAAAGTCCGCAAACTCCTGGTTGCCAATAGGATAGGCAGCAATCGCATTCCCAATGATCTCTTTCTCCGGGAATACCTGGGACAGAGCAACATAGGAGATGTAGGTAAGAGAGCCGCCAAGAGAATGTCCGGTGGCTTCCAGACTATACTCCGGGTATTTTCCCACAAGAGACGTGACCTCTGAGACGACCTCGTCGTGAACAGAACCCCAGGTCTTGGATATGCCCTGCATGATTTTTGCATCTTCTGGAAAGGTCACATCAGACAGTTCAGGGACGACAAGGAGGAGGTCGATGTCGTTCAGATAATCCGCGGCTGGTACAGTTAGCCCATCCTATCGCTTGACACGAACCGTAGGCCAACGCAACTTACTGGTCGTTGATCCCTTCATCACAACGGCAATCCTTTTCTTGGATTTGGAGTATCCCACGTATCCCTTCTATTGTCAGCTCATGCTACACAACGGGATTCGGTGCACTCACCTGAGTATCCGTCGACGCCTCATTGATCTTCTTGGTAATGCTAACATCGAAAGCAGTCCCATTGCAGTCTGTATACGTCGCAGATGAAAGCTGCGCTGCTCGCTGAAGTTCCGGGAAGATAGAGGGATCTGTGCATGTAAGAACGAGAATATTCAACGGGGTAGTAGGAAGGAATACCAGGAGTCGACCGTGACTGGAGCGTCGGGGCGCCGGACACTTGGGGTATCAAGGTAGACCCTGCGAAGAGTGTGAAAATTGCACCAAGAAGCATCTTGATATATCCGGTGTTGGTTCCTGGGGTGGGAACTTCTGCGACAGTTCACCCACTCTTCCAGGACTTCCTCTGTCTCTTGCTTAAACCACGGGCTTACCCCCACATGATATGCATTTTCCAGCACTGCAGACCAGCACCACATATTAATAAGGTGAAGGTGGAGTTCACGATGTCGCGATAATCGGATGACGAATGTTCGGTTCTGGCCGACACACGATTACTCCCAGTACGGAGTACACTCGGAAGACAAGACGACGGATATTACCCAAATTTGAGTCTTTATGTTTCGCATAATCGCCGAGCCCAGTTGTTTCAAGTCCGCTCTATGTACTCGTTACCGGGAGTTGAATACATATTCGTCTTGTCAATGCTGAGAACCTCGGGAAATAGACGCACGTGAACAAAGTACAGAGTACTTAAATTAAGATTTCTCCACAGTTTATCCGAGCCCATTCCATGGATGGTCCGTGGAGTCCCAAGGATAGGTCATAGAAATAGTTAGAACCTCAAGCATTGCAATTATTAAGTATGTACGGAGTATAAACAACCAAATATTATCTACAAAACCAGCCACCCATCAGTAAACAAAATTACAAAAAAAAAAAACCCCATACACCCACCGAAATCTACCGCTCCCTCCCCATTAACTCTGCCACAGGAGTCGTTTGTTCCAACTCTGCTGGCAACCGGTCCTTCTGATTAACCCCATATGCAGGAGGTTGTTGCACTCCGGTATTAATTGGCGGCATGGTCGACATCTGCTTATGCATAGCCCGCACGCGCTTCCGCTCGAAGAATGCCCATGCTAGAGATGCCAGGGCGATTACCCCCAGCGGAACACCAACGCCGGCTCCGATCGCTGTGTCGTGACATGTACCGCCATCGTCGCTATCTGATGATGACATTGTTGGAGCTGGGAGGACCGAGGGTGTTGCGGAGGATGATGGCGCTGAGCCGGATACGTAGAAGTTGGATAGATTGCTGAGGAGGGCGTAGCCGGGTACTGCCTGTGCGTCTTCTAGGGTGAATTGGCTCTCGGTCGGACACACCGCGGTGGTGCCACTGCCACTGACTGGATTACCGCAGCAATATGTTGATTTGCCCTCATCGTCTGCGAATTCGAGGTTGACGATTGAGCAGCCGCCGCCTTTGTTGTCGTTTTCGCCGACTAAAGGGGAATCATTTGTCAGAGCTTTACTTCACACATGATAAGATAAGGTAAAAAGAATTTGGTCCATACCGCATCGTTCAGGACACCCAGAATCCCAGTTCTGGTTTGTGCAAGACCCCCGTGATAGGACCCAGGGCTGGTGGGCGATGCTCAAGCAGTAGCCATTATCTAGGCAGATGTCGGTCGTGCCGCAACAATGGGTGTGCTCTTTTGATGAGCAGGGCGTGCTATCTGAGGCCTTAGTACGGTCAGGGAAGTAACATGGTCGTGTATCATTTGCCGACATATTTGCTTGTGTTTGGTATAGTTTAATGACCCAATTGCGTAACAGACGACAAAACCATAAAAAGTGATTATGGGTTGACCAGGAACAGCTTGGTTTAAAGGGGCGAGAGTGAGAAAACTTCAATCCTGTGGAAGCGAGTCAGGGCCCCGATTCTTGTCGTGCGTGATTAGTGCTTACAAGGAGTTTTTCCCCAGTCAGCCGCAGGGTCTCGTGTGCCAATTATTACTGCATTGGGGGTTAGGCCAGAGACACTTATGCGGCCCAGCCTCAAAAAGGTCAAGAGAAGCGGTGATCTTCACTTCTCCTGGAAGCATCTTCCGTGTCATGGATAATTAGTTTCTGATTGTCGCTGCGGAGTGGGAGAAAGCTCATAAGGAGAGAGGCTCAAGATGGATAATGACTTGGATACACGACGGTGTGTATGTCGGTATCACAGATAGGTCAGGTCATTACCATTAAATTTGGTGTAGGATGCCCAGAAATAATTGTGCAACTCAACACCTCATCCAAGTCCATCCATCAGAACCTACCGCTCCCTCTCCATGAACCTGTCACAGGATGTTCCAGCTCGGCTGGAGGGTTCGTATGAACAGTACGTTTGTTCTGACTCCACTGACAAATAGATGATGATTCCCCAAGTGGTATGCTTGCCTCAGGTATTGAGAACGGGTCGAGTAACTAGTGCCGCAGCAAATCGGGGCTTCCGAATTCAGGTAACTGATCGGCTTGCTGCTGGCCGTGTTGTCGAAAATGAAAGGTGGGTCATAGGGAACGCCCGACTGGCCCGTGCAGCTCCCGCAAAGACTTGACTGTAAAATTAAAGGAAAAGACGAAGCAGCTCGGCCGGGGAGATGGGCTTGATAGGGGAGGGGAAATGGCAAGGCTGTTGCGCCATTATGGCAGCATTAATGCTTATGTTTAGCCTCAAATACCCATGTGCGTTAAGAAAAAAAAAAAAAAAAAAAAAAAAGCAAACATACATTGTGCAGCGGCATGGAATTTTAGCTTTGAAAAGCCAAATAATGGCGGTAATCTTGGCTTCTCCTGAACATCCTCAAATATGTATTCCATTTGCCTCGCTAGAAGATGATCAGAGAATGTCTGGCAACTGATTGGTTACCATATGCAATCGATTCATTGCCACTAAGTGTGATATACTCTTTAGAGCGTCCAGAAATGATTTCATGAAACGCCTCATCTGAATATAAACATGAGAAACCCCTCTAAGCTTATCGCGTTCTTCCCATAAGCTCCGGCACAGATTGCGTCTGTTCCAACTCTGCTGGCATAGAATGCGTTGCTCCCAGTTCGACTGACACATGAGGATTCTTCTTCATCTGATATCCACCCCCCGAAGGGATACCACTCATCACCTCTGCCAGTTTTGCAGATGTATCCTGGGCCCGCTTCCGTTCAAGAAGTGCCCATACTAGAAACACCAACGCAATCACTCCCAGCGGGACTCCGACGCCTATCCCAATCGCCGTGTCATGACCCGCCGTACCACTGTTGCTGGAGCTTATCGATGCTGTTAAATTCGGGTGAGGCGAGGGCGAGGGGGTTATGGAGGAATTCGGTGCTGACCCCGAGACATAAAAGTTGGATAAGTTGCTGAGCATTCCAACCCCAGGTATCACTTGTGTTGCATCTAGTGGAAAACGGTCCTCGGTGTTGGCCGCACACTGGACGTCGTTGTTGTTAGAGACCAGGTTACCGCAGCAGTACCGCCACCCCTTGTTGTAATCGATGCTGATTATCGGGCAGCCGCCACCCTTGTTGTCACCTTCATATTCTTTATATGATCGTTAGCCAATAGATCAATATACAAGCTCTGGTGGAAGAAACTGGCAAGGAATTCATACTCCAACATCTTTGCGGACACCCAGTAGCCCAATTCTGATTTGTGCAACTCCCACGCGACAATCCAAAGGGTTGAGCGTCAGCACCCAAGCAGTATCCATTGGACAGGCAGATGCTGTTTTTACCGCAGCAATGAGTGTTTCGATCTGACGTGCACGGCACATCATCCTCAGATAAAGTCCCATCAGGGTTGTAGCATGGCTTATCATCTGACATATTGTCAATCAAGGGGGTATCTTCTATAATATGGCCCAATTAAACCAACAGCAAATTCAAGGAAACAGACAAGAGAAAGTGTTCAACTCGGCCGGGGAAGGGGGTTTAAAGGGTGCAATCGCAAGACTGCGCATTCTGGTGAAACGAACAAGGATCTGCATTCTTGTGTAGGGTAGTGCGACATTAGTGCTTATGTTAAATCCCAGGGACTCGCGTTAGAGATGGCTAAGAAGCCTTGCGCCATGGGATCTCGACCCTGAAAAGCTAAACAATGGAGATTATCAAGGAAAGAGAATGGAAGGATGATGGATAATTATCTGTATATGTGCGAAGCTGGCCATCAACAGGCATGGCGAGAAACGAGAGTGCGGTAGCAAGCACGCTGGAAATCTATACTGTATAGTTGTTTGATAATAGCTGCGGAGCAGAAGGTGGACAGGTCGAAAGCTCATGGGGAAAGACTCAAAATACTCTGTACACGGCTATAATTGTCATCAGGTTTGGCATAGAAAGTCCGGAAATAATCCTACAGATCAACACCTCATCCAAGCATAAACATGAGTAAGCCCATGCATCAAAACCTACCGCTCCCTCTCCATTATTCCTGCCACAAGATGTTCCAGCTCTGCCGGAGGTTGCGCTTGTGCTAACTCGGCTGGCATACGGTGCTTCCCATCTATCTCATATACCTGTACATTCTCAGAAGCAAACGGTTGCACTCCGCCATTAGTTATCACAGCCATCGCCTCCATCTTTGCGTATGCATTCTGCGCTCGCCTTCGTTCAAAGAACGCTCATCCTAGAGATGCCAATGCAATCACTCCCAAAGGAACACCAACGCCCGCTCCAATTGCTGCCTCATGACTTGTACCACTATTATCTGTCGAGGAAGGCGAGGGGGACATGGAGGAAGATGGCACAGACTGGACGTCGCTTAGAAGTGCATAGCCAAGTTGTATGTGTGCGTCTTGTATCGTGAACGGGTCCCTGTCCCGGCAGCGAGTTTGGTTGTCGCTGGCGGTTAGTGTGCCGCAGCAGTACAATGCCTGACTGGCGTTTCCGGACTCGAGGTAACTAACCGGGTTGCTGCCGGCTTGGTAGTCGTAATTAGTGACTTTTGAACTGTTAGTCATAGCATTACAAGACCGACCGACTAGCTCTGCTAAAAGAAAGAGAGAGAAGGTTCCATAAAGCATCTTTTAGAGCACCCGTTATCCCATACCTGATTCGTGCCGCTCCCACGCAACAATCCAAAGGGTTGAGTCTCGACGCCCAAGCAATAACTGTTGGACAGGCAGATGTCGCCCTCATACAGCAATGTGTCTCTGTATATGGATTGTCTGAGCAGGGTACGTGGTCCACGGCCTGAGAAGCATCAGGATAGTAGCATGGCCTATCTGTCATGTTGCCAGTTCAAGAAAATTGTCATAATATGACCCAATGGACTGACTGAAAAACCAAGGGAATTCATGAGACGATTCGGCCGAGGAAACGAGGTTTAAAGGGGGCGGGATAAGAATGGCAAGACTGAGCAATCGGGTGAGATGAGCCAGGTTCTTTGTTCTTGTACGGCATTAGTGCTTATGGTTCAGCCTCAGGGACTCAACTTACTGCACTGGAGGCGAAGAGATAAAAAGCAAACATACAGCGCCATGAAATATCAACTCCGGAAAGCCAAGCGGTGGCGATGATCCTCATCTGAGCACTTTCGAATATTCCAATTGCCTCGCTAGTTTTGCATTTGAAGCCTGTGCTCGCTCCCGCTCAAGGAAGGTCCATACTAGAAGTATTAATACGGTCACCCCCAGCGGAACTCCAACGCCCACCCCTATTGCAACGTCATGATTTGTATTGCTATTGCCAGTGCTTGGAGATGCCGTTGAATTCGGGAGGAGGGAAGGAGACGCGGAGGAAGACGGTACCGAGCCCGAAACATAAAAGTTGGATAAGCTGCTCAGAAGCACGCGACCAGGAACTGCATGTGTTCCGTCCAATGTGAACGATGACTCGTTGTTCGGACAAACGACATTGCCATTGCTGTCGCTAACCGGTGTGTCACAGCAGTAGGTCACTTGGCCATTCTTGCTCCAAGAATAGCCAAGAAGTGACCACCACCTTTTTTGTCGTTTTCGCTGACTGTATGTGACTGGTAGCCCGAGTCTTATGGATAATGACTGACCTTGGTAAAAGAAAGAACGGAAGGAGAATCCATACTGCAATGACCAGGACAACCTGAATCCCACTTCATGTTCGTACAGCTCCATACACATTCTTACATATCATTTCAAGCGCTACCTTATCCATTATCCAATTAGACAGGTAGCAGATAAGTACTTTCCTCGTCTGTCCTATGGATTGGACGATGGAAGTTGTTTTCCTATGTCGCTTTACCGCTAGACAGTTCTCTATCATTGATTTTGGACATTGCATATGAGGCAGTGACTCTGTTTTTGTTTCCTCTGCAAACCAGGCAAACCTGATTATTGGTGACAATTTGGCATCGCATCGGGTATTGGAAGAATACGTGTTCTCTGGCCCCGGCTTTATAAGACGGATTGACTAGAGGCCTCAAACCCAGAGTCCACCACCAGTATACTTCTAGTGGGATGGTCTAAGGGCCGGCGGGTGTGTCTGAGCGAATGCATTTTGGTGTGTTGCGTTGACGTAGCTCATCAGTACTTGAGACGCATTCTGTCGAGAAACGATTATCAGTTCATTCGAGAAATTTTTGACTAAACACATCCCATTTGCGTGACGCGCAGCGCATTAGTAGCAGCTCAAGAAGTGATAGCATGGTTTTATAAGCACCTAGAAACCCAAATGCGACAAGCACAGTGAGCACACAAACTCGCGCTCGGGCTTGTGTGGCAACACAGATGCGCTGTTCCTAAACTGAGAAGCGATAAAGAGGACCGTATGTATCTAGGCCAACCCAATTTGCATTTGCAAACAGACCCAGAAAGAAAGGTACTATCGTCTGAGGGCAGTAGACTTCATGTACTTTCTGTCACTATTAAGTTGTGTAGAGTACTTTTGGGTCACAGAAGCGTCTGTATAAAGATCGCACCTGTCATGCAATGTGGAACAAGTTATCGCCAATGAAACAGCACCGTTGTCACTGAATTCTTGATCTCGATGCCAAATAGCAGCGGTACATGCTGGGTGTGAGGGTCAACAGTGAGACCAACTGACTGATGCAATACTCTGCTCATGGCTTTCATATTTCATCTGTGTGTGATTCGTTGGCCAATGTAAAAGGTCCAGCTGATTCCATACCCCTGACACGCGAAGTAGAAGTGTGGGTTGAAGTAGGGAAGTTCCGATAAAAATTAGCAGAGAGCACTGGAGTCTGATCGGAGGTTCCAAGATTCAAGAACTGAGTCTGTATAACAATTGCATCTGCCATGATCGATTCTATCTTGACCTGTTTGGTGATTGTGATGTAGAGGATATATGGAGGAAGATTCGTAGACGGTGAATCGTAGAAAGATAGGGATCTCAACAACCCAATAGAACCAACTACATACATTGGTGAATATACTATGGCCATTCCTATTTTGGTGAATGAATAAGCCTGCCAACATTGGTTGATCCAAGTTAAGATCCAAGTGGGACTGTCAGGTCGATCTTGTCAATATATGGACCCACTTATTCAAGAACTGAGGTTCCCGAGGTACATATGCTTCTATTCATTGTGCGTACATAGTACATGCATATGTTGTGCTATACCCCAGCGCATGCCACTTGGTTGCTAGCTATATACATATCGGATTCACACGACGGTTTACATGTCAACCGCCTCACCAGGGCTGGAGTCATCATTCATGACACCACCCGAAGAAGTCAGCGTAGCCGCATTGCTAGTGTCATAAGTAGCCGAAACATTGATACCCATAGTAACCCAAGCGAGAACACCATTCTGAAGCTTGTCACCAAGCAGCGCATACTCAAAGATCGGATCCGAGTTACTATCCTCCGTCTCATCCTGAACAACGTGATCATCTGCGTTCTGCGTAATATCAACAGTGTTCGTGTTGTACGGGTACGTAGCCTCGACCTTGGAGATCAAGTCCTGATCAAAGAATAGCTGTCCGATATGCGACACATGACCACCAGCAATGGTGTTATTCTTAAGCGTGTGAGAGCCCACATGCGCAACAACATGCACGTGCGTCGCGCGACCGTCGTAGTGACCAGGGAAGACGGACTTGAACTGCGCAACACCATCGGAGTCGGTCTGCTGGATACCACGGAGGAAGGTCTTGTCAAGGTTGGATGCGTCGTTGCCGTTACCGTTCATATCGCTCTGCACGCCCGAGTACTGACCGGTGGAGTTGCAGGTCCACACATCCCAGTACAAGTTCTGGATGGGCTCGCAAGTCTCGATGTCGATGAACTGGCCGTCCATGATGAGCGGGATACCCGGCTCGCCGTCGTGGATGTCCGAGCGGACGAGCTCTCCCTTCACCCAGAAGGGGCCGATTTCGCCCTCGGGGGCGAGGATGCAGACGGGGTTGTTGGAGAAGAGCTCCGTTTCCGGGGTGTTGGAGGTCACCTGGAGAGGGGAGTTGTGGGAGGTGTTGACGACGCGGTCCGTATCACGGGCGTTGAGCAGAGAGCGCTTGCGGTAGGTCTCGGTGATGGCGGCACGACGGGCTGCAGCGCGGGCGTTGACGCCTCGGCGCTCGAGACGGTCAGCGCATTGGCCCAGGCTGCGCTTGGCGTTGTGCAAGAAGGTCTTCTTTGCCGCAGGGGTCAAAGAGCTCTCTTCGTGGGCGCCGGGGTGGGCAATAGAGAGACCGGCAAGGCCTAGTAGGGCAAGCTGCCAGAGGTGGGAGAGTTGCATGTTGATGGAGGATCGATGAAAGTGATGAATGGATTGTTTGGAGAGATTGTCTTGCTTTTTTTTTATTACCGGATGCTTCGACATATATATACCTTTATTCCCAGTCCATATTTAAGCATATACAAACGAAGCAAGCTAAAACTCTGGGCGCGTTAACTCGTCAGCAGTGGAGCAAGCTTGCCGGATGCTAAGCTGAATTATTGTAGATGGAATTGGATTCCCCATACCTCCACTAGATTCTAGGTTCCAGATATTAACGGTGTGGACCATGGAACTTTCCATCTGTTTGTTTGTCTCCTACTTCTCATAACGATACTATCCTGTGTGCTGTGCCCATTTCGGGTCTTTGGTATTTATTCAGCATGTTTAGTAAAGCCTACCAACATACGAAGGATAATCGATCCACCAAAAAGGCCCATTGAAATGTTCAATGCTCCGTACAGACTACAAGTAGAGTTTTCTCAGTTTCACTATCTATATCGCTGTTAGGGTAGACAGCTCTTGGTACCTTAGTCAGCGGGGAATTCACGAATTCTCCGGCCACACCAACCAATCAGGGCACCACCTATCGTCATTTTCTCCTGCCAAGTTTTGCCAAGCTCTGCCAAGACGGTCTTTGCTATCCGATGGACGCGCGTGTATACATTTCGGTGGCCGGGAGGATACCGGGGAATCGAGGCTGTGGAGGTAACTACAGTGCCTGGATAGGGCTGCTCCGTATGGGTAGGAGTTGATTCTATTCCAATCTTCGGGGAAATCAGTTCCACTGGCTGACGAGGCTACAGCACTAGCTATCATGTCTGGATCATGTTAGACAGGTTTATGCAGGATATGCTGAGGATATTGGGTATTATTCAGGGGACCGTGGTTGTATAATGTGTCAAGGAGATTCTCAGGAATTCCGATTTCCCATCCATAACTAACTAGAGATAGCAGCATTAGTAATTCTGTACATTATATGTAAGTCTACAAGTATGTGTCTTCATTAGGGTTAGTCAAGACTCACGCAACATGTGCTGATCTTTCCTTTCTGTTATATAAATGCCAGATCGCTCGGGAAAATATTATCACTACATGTACAGAGGAGCATGCACTCGTGGCTCTAGTACATACTACTATGCATATAATATTTTTTTCATTCGATCACCTTCGGTCACAACTTTTCGATACCTTGGTATATGTCGGAAACTTACTTCTTTCTACCAGCAAGGGATTTCTAAATCCAGTACGTACTTTGTATCCTCCTGCATTTCACCCTGCAAATGGCAGCTTGGCGGCATTGATATGAGAAACACAATACAAGCATTATAATCTAATATGAAAGATATTGATATCATCTCATGCCTGGGAGCATACGTCGACAGATTTAAACCGAGATTCCAAATTACCCTCGGCTCAACCTCGCCAAATATCACCGTGCCGGAAACTATATCGCGTATCAATACAACCGTTGGCCTGGAAGTATGACCTCCTGGTTCGAATTGTTCCCAAGCATGTGTAAGACTGTAACACGGCTATTGCGTGAGTTTGAAATTTAGTTCAGCTAATTTAGCCGGCCACTGTAGTATGGGTGGAATAATGTATCATATTGGCTAAGGTCATTGGAGGTTGTTTCTCTCTCCTACAAGTACATATCGCATATTTGCTTATTCCAAATGGGGTAAAGCTGAGTTTCGATCTCTTGCGACATTGTTAGAGTATCAGCATCGTTTAATGGGCGTGACTTACCCGAATCAGTTGCCTCTAATGCTGTCGCTAAGCTCTCTCTTCCTCCAAGCTGCTCGATCTTGCAGAAATCGGACATGTTTAAACCTCGTAGCGTCTAAACCCTTCAACTGCAAACCGACTTTACCAAGACGCTCCCTTCATCGCGGAACAAGCACGATATTAACTGCCCCGGTAGACAACGATGTTTACATCGGCCAATCTGGTCGTAACTAATTATAAAATCCAACGGATTTTCCAGGAAGAAACATTTCCCCCACGCCTGGTTTGCCTTGCCACGTGAGTTGACACTAATCATTTGCTCCTTCTTGTGATCACCTACTTGCAACTTTCTCAGCGTCGACGACCAGAAATTCATACTAAAGTACATTCACCCGGTTAATTTCGAGGATCTTCAAAGCATAGACAATAGACTACGCGGTGCAAACCATGTTCGTCTCTCTCAAGACACCATCCCCGAGAAGTCGATGTTCGTTTTCGAATACTTCGCGGATCATCTCCTACATCTTACTCAGAAAGACTTGCCCCTTGAAGTAATAAAAAGGATCCTGAGAGATGCTCTTCGCGGAATTGCAGAATTGCATGATCGAGATATCGTCCATACAGGTACGTTACACCTCCCGCGGAGCAATGAGTGGTGGCTTACTCTGGGTAGACAGTAAGGCGGATAATGTCTTCATCGACTGGAGAGATCACCACGGTAAAATCAAGCTTGAGCGAGTCCAGCTTGGGGATCTCGAAGACGCCGTGCATATTCCCCCTGAATCACATATGATCGGCAAACAGGCAGGGAACTGGATGTGGAGGAGTCCTGAAGCCCACGCCAATGGACCCGTGAATAAGCCGTCTGATATTTTCTCTTTTGTGCTTGTCGTAAGTATCACATCATGTCTTGGATTTTAGAGGAGATATTCACTGACCATATAGTGCATTTTCGCGCTACACAAACGAGTCATCTTTGCCGCTGGGGAAGAAGAATTGGAAGAGGGCATAGACCCCCCTGGCCATTGTAATCGAGCGCCAGATCTTATACTTTGCAGATGAAGATGGTCTAAACAGTTTTCTGAAACGTCTTGGCAACGAAATCCCCTGGGTTCGCGTGTTTGAAGTACTTCGGGACGGTTTCAACAAAGAAAACCCGCGCAGACCGTTTTCCCTTTGGAAGGGGGTTGACAACGATTTTAAGAGTCTTATTTGTGCCATGACGAATTTTGATCCTGAAAGGAGAATTACGGCTCATGGAGCATTGGCACACAAGTGGTTTGAAGGTATTTGAGATGAGTAGGTGTTTTGCCCATCGCCATTAGGCGTTTGGATTCGAGTTGATCCGGCTGCCTTTGTGCAACACAACGAGATGATCTTTGACCTCGAATGAAGAAAACAAATTCCAAAGGCCGAAGATTCGGGATATGCGCTGGCAGCTGCAGTCAGCATGCATTGGATTGCTTGCTCTCTCTGCATATCTGCATTTGCTTATTCCAAACAGGGGAATAAATCAAACGCCGAGTCAATACAACAATGGCGCAGGACAATAATGTTTTTTCAGCCAACCTGTCTGTCTGTCAACCCAATAAAAATCCGGTAACAGTTTAATAGCCGCCAGGAACCGGCCATCAATGACGAAAATGGTCAGATCGGGGTTGCTGGATATAACTAATCTCATTTGATGAATCATTCCGAATGCTGCTCTTCCACACTGCGTCTCTGCCACATTGTGGAGACAGATCATAAAGAGCTAATGGTGTTTGTTGCTATTCCTTTTCTAACAGACACCAAGACAAACAGTTGTGTATAAAAGTCCTCTACCGTCCAGCACTGATCTCACTTCTGTCAACTCCCACTACCACATCTTTCCTTTTGGACAACTCGAACACTCCGACCCTCTATACAACACAGCACGACACCCGATACAAGACAAGAACAAAACCAACCACACCATGCCCCTCCTCCCGCCCCCGCCGCCCCTCCCCCCAGCAGCACCCCCAGGCACCTACCTAGTTACCCTCCTAATCTACCCCAACCACTGGGCCTACTACATCCCCTCCTTCACGCACCCAAACCTCGGCGTCCTCCTCCACACCATCGGCGGCGACACAAAAACCGGCTTCAAATTCAGTATACAACGAAGCTACGACTTGAGTCTCCCTGAGAACCAGAACCCACCGCCTACACATAGGATTCCGTTGCAGTGGGTTGATGAGCGGTGGTTTGATGAGGAGAGGATGTTGAATGGTGGGGTTTGTGTGGAGGATTGGGAGCCGGTTTGTGGGTTCGAGGGGGTTGTGGGGAGGGTTGGGATGACGGGGTGGGGGGAGGGGTTGGATGATGAGGGGGATAAGGTAAGTTTTTGCTTTGACGTGGTGTGTAATAGGTAAGGGGTATGTGCTGATAAGACGACAGGACTGGGTTATTAAGGTTTCTGAGGAGCTTGTTAGTAGTGGGGTTTTTGGGGAGAATGTTGTCAACTATCTTTATACGATCCGGGTAGCGGAGTGGCTATAGAGCTGGAAGGATATTGGAATTAGGGCTGGTATTGTGTTATAATACAGTTGCTTTCCCTTTCCCTTTGTGTTCAGGACACTGTCAGAATCGGAGCTCACAGTTGAACTGAACTCCTGAATCCTTCGCGGAGGAGGATGGATAGATGGTCACTGCTGAATCGCGCGAAGGTAATCAGCAACTTCCTTGTTGAAAATACCATCCTGGACAAGCTGATCTGCAGCCTCGACAATTCACGTCTGGCAGTTCTTCTGAGTAATAGGTTTCTTGCCAGATACCTAGAAGCCCTCCAACAAGTCGCGCACATTCCAGAAAAAAGAAAAAAGTGTAAGGAACTCACATCCTCCCCAGCAACACTCAAACTCCTCCCCCGAGCCCTAACTTTAAACACACTCTCCTCAAACCCACAAACCGGCCCATCATCAAGCTTAAACCCCACCATTAAACATCTTCCCCTCATCAAACTACCTCCAACCAACCCACTGCAATGGCACTCTCTTCATTGGCGAACTCTGCGTACTCCGAAAATCATACCCGCGCTTAACCTGGAATATAAACCCATTCCTCACGTCCCCGACTGCGTGGATTATCACACCCAGGTCGGGCCTTCTGTGCGAATTCACCTAGTATACCCAGTAGTCTTTGAAGGGGTGGCCGGAGAAGATCATTAGTTCGAGTAGGAAGGCGCCTGGGGGAGCGGGGACTTTGTTGATGGAGCATGTTGGGAGGGGCGTTGGCCATGATGGGACTTGTCTTTGTCAACGTGTTTTACCCCGAATCAAGAAAAATGGGGCATCAAGAAAGTGAGGTAAGCGGAGGAACGAGTTTGGATTCATATTGCGCCAGACTATGATTTTAGACGAATCCTTAACAGTCCATGGATAGAGAATCCTTTGATGAGACACGCATCCTGTCATTGTACGCAGTCAAGGAAATCTGCTCCGGTCTTACACCGGCCCAAGATGGCATTCAGTCATGGCGGAGCGAAACTCCGGTCTACCAGGGCTCTGCTCTGATTAGTCATTGCAGTGTACCTGTCTGTATCATCTTGTTGATAGCTCTGCTTACTTGCGGTGACCATCGGGCTGCTAGACATATGGCCCCCTGCCCCCCCCGGATGCTCAATCAATGGGTTGTCGAGTGATAACCCAGTAGTCACAGCCACAAGCCACCAAGACGCTGTGCTAAGGCCCCTTCGACAGAGCAAAATAAAGCCAAGCATGATACCCCCCTTCCTCATCCACCGAATCCACAATCAACGGCAAATACTTCGTCCTCCACTCCGCAATCGCAGCATCACTAATATACCTTGGATTCACCCTAATATACCGCGCCTTGCAGTACTCCCAATAAGCAGGGTACCAACCAGCCTGCGCCCAGTCGACGATAGCAGTGACTTTGGGGTTTGGGCTGGGTGATATGAGGATGTTGGGTGGGAGGAGGTCGTTGTGTGTGAAGGCGATGGGATTTTGGTTGGTGTTGGTGGTGGTGATCCAGAGGCCGCAGGTTTCTTGGAATTGGTCGATGGCGTTGGGGCCTTGGTAGGGGCCGTTGATGGTTGGGTTGTGTGTGAGGAAGAGGTCTTTTAGGGGTTGGTTGTTTAGACTGCCTGTATGATGTACAATTAGGCCTGTAGAAACGGGGGTATATAGAGTAAACTCGCCAATATAAGGCCCATCATCCTGCTCCAAGCCCCTAACCAACTCCATCATACCCCTAAGCTCCCCACAGACCCCCCTTATCTCATCCTCACTCAACCCACTCCACCTCTCCATTAACGAATCCCCCTCAACAAGCTCCATATAAAGAAACCCCTGCTCCCCATCCTCCTCCCACCCAAAGACTTCAGGAACAGGTACGCGGCCTTGTAGTCTCTCGCGAATCATTATCTGAGTCTCGACTTCAATGAGGGTTACATCTGCGCCATACTTGACAGCCAGACCCGATGATGGGATTAGGACTGGTGGTGGACAGTTGAAGCTTGTGGCGGAGGGTTTGTTGGTTGCGATGTTGAGGGCTCGGATTTCGGCGGGGGGAGGGAGGGTTGGGGCGCGGTGTGTTTTGAAGGAGGAGGTGGACGTGGGAATGGGTGCCATTTTCTTGAATCAATGGAGGTTAATTTGGATGTTTGTAGTTGACCTGTGTCAAATGTGGTAGACAGTCATCATTTTAACTTTCAACATCGGAAGCGATAACATCGATCTCCCCGCACCAACATAATCACCATTCAACAACCAACCATGCAATCCAACAAAGAAACCCCCATACCACCCCAAATCAACACCAATACAAGTCCTACAACGCACGATCCCGTCCTAACACCCGAAGATGAAGCGTTCTTCCGCCAGATCATGTCGCGACCCGATGCCACCGGTAATGCGGTGACGGCTGACGCTCCGGGCCCGGTCGCGCAGGACGCGGAGGAACTTGGAAAGAAGCTTGGGGAGCAGCAACGAAAGGCTACTGATTTAGAGGAACAGGAGAAGGGTGGTGATAAGGATAAAAATAAAGAACAGGCTGAGCCTGCTGCGGAGGGGAAGAAGAAGCGGTGGAGCTTGAATTGGCCGTGGGGGAAGGGGAAGAAGGTGTGTTACATTTCGGGGGGAAATTTGAGAATTATATGGTCTGGATACTGATTCTTGGGATAGAAGGCAGAGAAACCAGACGACGCAAACGAAACCGCCGCTTCGAAAGACAAAGATGTCACCAAGGATCAAGACCAACCGCAACAGCCGCAACAAGCAGAAGTAGCGAAAGAAGCAGAAACACCAGCACCAGCAGATGCACCAGCGGACAGCGACATGGCCGAAATCCTCGAACAACTCAACCTCGCCGCAGAAAACAACCGCGTCTTCTCCGCCAGCGACGAAATGCAAGAACTCCTCCGCAAGTTCAAGCTCATCTTCAAAGACCTCATCAACGGCGTTCCAACCGCTTACCATGACCTTGAAATGCTTTTCAAGAACGGCAACAACCAGCTCCAGGACACATACTCGAAGATGCCTACCTTTTTGCAGAAATTGATTGAGAAACTGCCTGAGAAATGGACCGAATCTCTAGCGCCGGAGGTTCTGGCTGCGGCTAGTGAAAAGGCCACAAAGAGCGGAGTGAATACGGAGAATGTGGCCAAGGCTGCTGCGGCGGCTGATAAGATGGGACTTAAAATTCCTAGTTTGAAGGAGTTGGTGGGGAAGCCAGCTGCTATTGTCGGGATGTTACGATCGATTGTGGCTTTCTTGAAGGCAAGGTTCCCGGCGATCATTGGTGTGAACGTTCTCTGGTCGTTGGCGCTATCCAGTATGTACTAACTACCCCTGCATTTTGATATGGATGGGAACTAACACGTTCAGTTCTTCTATTCGTCCTTTGGTACTGCCATAAACGGGGACGCGAAGTCCGTCTGGAGAACGAGCGTCTCGTCACCGAGGAAGAGATACGGAAGATGAACGAGCAGATGGCATCTGAAGAGAGACCCATCCGGGCTACTGAGACGTTGACTACGACTGCACCTCCGGGTGCTGCAGCCGATTCGATCCGCGACGGCGTTCGAGAAGTCGAACAGACGCGGGAGACGGTCCGGACTAGCACTGCGAATCCTCAGCAGGAAGCCTCCGGGCAGGAAGCTGGCCAAGAAGCTGCTGGCCAACAGGCGACTGGGACAGAGGTGGGAAATGAAAATGCTGCTCCGGTCCCGACACGGTCCAAGTCGAGGCTCTCGATCTTTTCGCGGTCAGGAAAGAAGGCGTCGAAAGCTGAGCCATATCCGGGGACTTGATCTTGTATATATGTCATTGGTATATAGTTGTCTAGCTATGAGATACCCAATTGCTGATATGATAGTAGACCACTGACCTCACTGCGGGGTGCAAATGAGCATGGTCCAATCGGATCGGCGTTGACCTGCAGATCATGGAATGTGCATGCATAAGCATGCATGGACGCAGTTTTATGACAACTCATCGGAGGATTTAGGATACGACACCCCGAGAACAGTTACAGAGTACATACATACTGGACAGAGTGCTCCGTTCTATGTAGATGATTGTAAATGTATAGCTGTCCTCATTCTCAATCGGCCTAAAGTAAACCGGTAAGGAACGGCGCCACTCGGGATGTGGGTCTAGCGATGCCTCGGTTTAACATTCTGTCTATTTTTACCGTAGAAACCCCGTATGGTCTTACAAACGGGTAGAGTGCTTATGTAGTGTTTATGACTGGCCAATTCCCCTCGATCAATCATGAAAGGACAGAATAACCCGACCAAAACGGAACCATGCAGATGATCTGTCACTATGTCTACCAATCATTTACTATTCTCAACAGTGGTTCAGTTGGCGCTTACAATTGCCACTACGGAGAACTAGTGGAGGAGAGGCTCAAAAGGGGCAAGATGGACGAAGAACCATACTCCGGAGTACTCTTCATGACTGAAAAATGGAAAAATTTGCAGCATGTTATGTAGACGTGGCAAGTGAACCAGATGCCTTGGGTATCGACGGGCTACTAATTATCGGGCATAGCCAGGTGCATTCTGTATGTATGCACGCAATCAATTGTATGCGTATGTATCTGTATCAATGAGGAGATTCCAGATGCAATACGGAGTAGAGGTTTAGATACTTGCAGTCCGTACTCCATACTACTACCTGTACTCCGTACATAACAGATATCTGTGTCATACCGCAGTCACCACGCATGATTCTATTCCTCGTACAGCCTGCTGCATATGACACTCTCAACACTCATAGCCATTTTGAGTCATTGCATGCATTTCCTGCTTACACTTTGATAGTTCTAACTTGAAGGCTTGTACGATTCCGGCAATACCTGCCAGATGATTGGCCCGTGAAAATGCGGTGAGCACTCTCCCGCCAATGGGAATCCCGAAAAAGGTCTGCTCCCGACCAATGAACGACCACCAGCGGAACAGGCGTACCGTTAGCGCAGTGGGTCAGTCTCTGCTGGCTTCTCTTCTCTTTTTCTCCCCGTTTTCCCTCTCGTTCTCTTTCCTCTCCACCAGATTCAACGCTGACAACTCGCGGTTATTCTATTCTTCTATCTATTTATTTATTCAGTCTATTCTATTCTTGATTACTCAGATATCGTCTTCACACGTGCCGCCATGGCTTTCGTCGAGCTGTAGATTCCTCGCTGGGGGGCTTGGCCCGTCCCGCTCCCCAGTCCAGCAGCTCCGAGTCTCAATTCTCTAATCACTTTGACGATATCTGTTTCCCTCTTTCGACGTAACTGTCCTATATTCACTATAGGAGCGTCGAAATTGCCCCTTGATCTCATTAACTGAAGAAGCACTTTCGTTGTCCGCTGTTTGCGGGCCCCGTGAGGTGCTTTTTTCCGACAGCAAAAAAAAATTATTCACCACGTACATCACTTATCCACCTGCCCCTCCTCCTCCTCCTCCTCCTCCTTCTCTCTGTCCTCAACCGGTCACCCTCTCAATTCCTCTCTTACGATCACGACATTCACCTCTTTTATTCTTACTTGGACCGACGACATACCCAACGATTGAGTCTCTTACGCAATTGACGCCAGGTTGACGGTTGACAAAAACTTTGTTCATACCCCAATCCCGAACCTTATCTCGATTCCCCCTATCCTACAAAGAACCAAGGAACAATACATATACAGCATGCATCACAAATCCAAGGCCCCTCCCCGGAGAGCGGGCAAATCTCTTTCCGTTGGACCGTTGAGTGGAGATAGAAAACGACGGGCATCCTCTTCAGTATCCAGCGTGTCTTCGGTATCGTCCGTGGATGATCTTAGTGATGCCCCGGACAATTCGTCAGAGGACGATGCAGATGATGAGGAAGACCCGCCGGCCCCCGCCTACCACAAGGACAAGGGCCGGAAATCAGCCCCTAAACCCGCAAAGACCATCAACAATCGGAATAAGAAACAAGCTACGAAGAAGAAGAAGAAGGCCGCAAGGATATCTGACGACGAACTCTATGATGATGACAATGACTCGGAGGATAGCTCCGATGATGTCTACGCCGCAGTCGACTACATCTCGGACGGGGACGGGGAGGACCAAGACATGGAAAAGCTGGAGGAGATGATGATCCTCGAGTCGGAAAGCGAGAGCCGCATTGGTAACCTGCTGTCGACGGCGGATATGGGAGATGCTGAGACCTGGGCTGGCCCCACCAACATCTTCGACGATCACATGTTGCTCACAGGGACTTCGTTCTTTGATGAGGATCAGCTCTACAGCGCCATGGAGAACTTTGGTGAGACTGATCTGGCCAGCGAGGCTATTGAGACCCCAATGCAGGTACCCCGCCATGTACACTTTGAAGCCAAGTCCGAGTCCTCGTCCGACAGCGACTCGCATACCGAAGACGAGGTCCCCGGTGATTTCCTCCAACAGGACAGTCTGGACCCCCAATTGCGTCGTATGATTGAGCACGACAATCAAAATACACACAAGCAGAACCGACGTCGGATGTCAAATGACGACATGTTTGGCGAGTCTGACTATGGCCATTCCAACATTTACCACGTCGAGTCTGACGCTGTCGACGAAAAGTCGGAGTCCAGTGGCTATGAGAGTATGACGATCACACACACCACACCGTACTTTCTGTTTGTGCTGACTGAATTCCCTTCACAACAGCCGATGATGGCGAGACTACAGATGAAGACTTACCCCCGCCGGCTACCATCACACATCCCCGGTCCATTTTGCGCCGTGACTCATCGGCTTCCCTTGCTCCTCCCGCAGACGAGAACAATGAGTCAACAACACGCCGGCGGGGCCCTCTTATGGGATCATTTGTGCCAGATCCTCACAAACCGGTGGCTCTTGTGGACTGCACCGGCAAGCATCTCGTCATCATTCCGGCTTATGCCTCCTCTCGTCATGACTGGCTAGAGTCGACATCTAACAGTATGCCGGGCACGGTGAACAATAGCCCGCGTGCCACCACGATGCAGATCATTGATGAAAGTGACACGGATGCCCTGGCCTCTCCTAACCATGCTGATTTCAGTCCCATGTTGGCCTCTGGTGCCAACCTGATGATGACCGCACTGGGTAACGACCTCGCTCCGGGCGGTCAGGTCATGGGTCCTCCGGAGGCTTTCTACCCTTCGCAAGACATCACCATTGATTCGTCATTCGAGGATGACGACGACGAAGATCCGGAATCGGCTTTGAACGTCAATGACTTTATTGACTTTGGTGATGGCTCGTCCGATGATGAGATGGACGAGAAGCAATTCGAAGATGAACTTACCTCCCCTGCTATGACCAACCCTGTCCCAATGGTCGGCGCGGGGAGTCCCACGCCAACGCGGACGGCCGAAACGCAGCAGCAGACGAACAGTGCGGAGCGGTTCTTGAACCATCTCGACCGGGGTATCGTGACGGCATTCCGTCGCAACCACAACCGGTATCAGGCATTGCTGCGTCTTCCGCAACATCGTGAATTTATGCCTGCCAACTCCCCTGCCCGGCCGGCTAGCGTGTTCCGACATGCTCGTTTGGCAGACCAACGCACTCCCACACGGAAGCGCAGGAACGGTAATACGGGTGACGCCGTCCGGCGAAAGCTGATGGACGCGCACCGTCGCAACCACCTTCCATTCTAATTACCTTTTGATTTTCGGGTAGAATCAACCTCGCATACGATTTGCATCTCTCGTCGGGAGTTGTGTTTTGACAAAGCAAGACCTTTAGAATTGCATTTGGCTGTATCTTCGCTATTTTTCTCTATTTATGGGTTTAACTTTTCATGTTTATTTATGGTCCTCCACTTTCGGGGATATGACACCTTGGTCCGAATTTATTGATGGTGATGGAAAACAGAGATGATTCGATGACCTTTGCGTTTTGGAGTCGGTGTTTTGCTGTTTTTTTTTTATGTATGCGTTTTCTGGGACAAGGGGATATACCTCGGGGTTTATGGGGGGGCTTGTTTGATATTCTCTCTGATGTCACGTCCATGATGAACATAGCAATCACGTTAAAAGTTATGCATTTGGTGCGTAGGTGAGCTTAGCGCAGTAGTCTAGTGTCGAGGTTATGCATGTACTTGTCAAATGTGATGATAGGCTATTGCCAATCAGGTTTCACTGCGAAGCGCCAGTCTAGTTTACGTGTCTAGATTAGGTAGAATGCGTAGCGACGCGTTTAAGTGCATAACTGAGGGTCCATTCTACCTCAACCACCACCATCATCTTCACCTCCACCATCACCACTACCTACAACAATAAAACCGTATACTTCATTACCACTTACAGAGTACTTGAAGTCGCAAAAGTCAATTCTATTCTTAGCGCCATGCCTCTCTTCTTAGCAACATGCACACATGCACCACCGTCACGCACCTTCTGTCGATCCGGCGCTTAGAAAATAATCACACCACAGCACATACATTCGAATCCTACTCCGTACGAAAAAATCTTCTCTAAGCGCCCGGCTACATTAAAAGCCCATTCACAAAAACAAATAACAAAAAAGAAAGAAAAAGAACCGTCCAGACCCTCACAATATCCCACCTGTCGACGAATCACCATCCATTGTCCATCAAAGCCGCGAATTACAGAGAAGTTCGACGCGAAGGTCAAAAATAAACTTGGCGCCGGATGGGTTGGATTGGTCTTGACACTGTGGTGAGGTTTAATGTGAGGGAAATGTTTTAAGACAGTGTGTTCCTGCATTGTCTCTTTTTCGCTCTTGTTTTTGTTCTTGGTGGTTCCGTGGCTTTGCTTTGCGCGCTTTGTCCTTGGTCTTGTTCTTGTTCTTGTTCTTGGTTACGAATTGAAGACATTGATTATAGACAGGAAGGCTTTCTTTGTTTCTTATTATAGCCGGGATTATATACCTATCTATAAGACTGAACGACATCGGAGTCGCGACGAGCTCGAATAATTCTGGTTGTCGTTCATGTTGCTGTGAACATGATGTTGCTCCCGTTTCTCTCGTTTGCTGTCCTGGCTCAGGCAGGCGCGTTGGTATGTTCTGCTTAACCAACAATTGCAATGGAAGACTAACAGGAATAGTTCTGGGGCGCCGATCAATCCTACACAAGACCCGGATACCTTAATGGCGCGAAGCGAGAATTATCTGCGCGCGATAAAATTGGCGCAGAGGCACCACTCGACGCAACTGTGTTTTCGACAAACGAGGTTACTATTACCAGCTGCGGGCCGGAAAAGCCAGACTGTCCGGCTTCTTCGACTGCGGTGCCCTTGACTGAGAGTGTTGATGCTGGGGTGCCTAGCTCTGCTGCTGCGGAGTCGAGCGCGCCTTGGACTGAGAATATTAGTGTTGGTGTTCCTAGTTCTGCTGCTGCAGAGTCAAGCGTTACGCCTAGTACGCCTGTTGCTCCTGTGGAGACGAGTTCGAGTGCTTTTACGCCTAGCGAGGTTGTGTCTCCGCCTATGGACTCGACTGTGTTTTCTACGAACGAAGTTACTCTTACTAGTTGTGGACCAGAGGTACCAAATTGCCCTGCATCGTCAACTGCGACACCCTCCTCGACAGAAGCTGTCAGTGTTGGGGTCCCTAGTTCCGCTGCTGCTGAATCGAGCGTTGCGCCTAGTACGCCTGTGACTCCTGTTCCTGTGGAGACGAGTTCAAGTGCTGTTTTCCAGTCCAGCTGGTCTGCGCCTGCTTCGCCTTTGCCTTCTGATGCTACTGTGTTTTCTACCAACGAAATCACGGTTACCAGCTGCGGACCGGAAGTTACGGATTGTCCCGCGTCGTCGACTAGTCTCAGTGCTGGTTTTCTGAGCTCTTTTACTCCTGCTGAATCGGGCGGTTGGGGATCGAGTGTTGGTCCTGTGGAGACGAGTTCGAGCTCTTTATCCAGCAGCTGGGTTCTGTCTTCGTCGGCATTTACGTCCTCTGAGATTGTTGCATCGACATCTACGTCTATTGAATTGTCTTGGTCTGCGTCTGTGTCTGTTGAAACGTCAAGTTCGATTGCTGTCTCGTCGATTGGATCTGTGGCGCCCTCTGACTCGACGCTTACTGAGACTATTTCTGGATCTGTTCCTGCTGGATCAATGGGTGCATCTTCTGTGCCTGTCGAGTCTACCCCAGCGGTCTCATCGACGTACAGACCTACACCCACGCCATCTCACGAAGCTTCGAGGTCCACCTTGTACAGCTCAGCAGCTCCCTCGACCTCGACAAGGCCTACGATTCCCTCTTGGAGCAGTTCAATCCCCATCATATCCTCCTCGCGCGGTGTTATTTCCACACCGGAATCCAGCAGCGTCATCCCAGTAACTTCAACTGAAGAAGGCACGACGACATTAGTCACCTATGAGACCGTGACAACCTGTCCAATTACCTCCACTCATTACTCCGGCGGAAGTGCAGTGACTTCAGTGTACAGCACTCTTTCGACGTTGACTTTGACGTCTACGTCTACTGTTTGTACTGCGTGCGAATCTGGTAGTGCTGCTGCTGTTTCTAGCTCCGCCACGCCGACCTCAATTGCAGTCTCAGTGCCAGCGCCGAGACCATCATCATCGGCACCAGCGTTTTCGACACCATTCAGTTCCACGCCAGCTTTGACTACCGAGGGAACTACGACGTTGGTTACTTATGAGACAGTGACTACTTGCCCGGTGACATCTACCTACTCTTCAGGGGGGAGCTCTTTCACGTCTGTGTTTACTACTTTATCTACACAGACCCTGACATCTACGTCTACTGTCTGTACGGAATGCGAAAGTAGTGTCGCTGCGGCTTCTTCTGCTACACCTACTTCAATCGCAGTTTCGGAGCCAGCACCAAGACCATCTTCTTCCGCAGGAGCTTCTGTCCCGATTTCTTCGGGGTTGATCTCTTCATACCCAGCTTCTTCATCGATTGGCATCGCACCTACTTCGACTGAGGAGGCCACCACAACGCTGGTTACTTATGAAACTGTGACTACATGCCCGATTACATCTACCTATTCTTCAGGAGGGAGCTCATTCACGTCTGTGTTTACTACCTTATCTACACAGAC